ATCCTTATGTATTGCTTGATGTATACAATTCCCTTTTAATCTCAAGGAATTTATCAAACATTCATTTCTATTGAGTGTGAACTTTGATCTCGCCTTTTTTGATCACAGTGACAAATAATTCATCATAAAATAAATAAGTAAATTCACTTATTTTTTTGAACTTAGTTTCAAGCAAATTTTTGGTGTATGTTAAATTATTAGATTTCATTTAAATTGAAACTTTAATTTTTAAGATTATTATAAAATGCTGAAATTGGACTTGAATCCATTCACATTATCGCATTGTTGCAAATGCAGTTAAAATAATTAAAAAAAAAATTGAAAAAAATTTTCAATAAATCTAAAATTACTATCCCAGATTTACATTTGTTTTTGATAAAGTCTTTGAAATTGAAGCATTTGCTTAAAGATTTGTAAGAATAAAAGTCAGAAAATTCTAAATCATAAATCATAGTTCAATCTATCAAAAAGGTGTAGTCTTCACAAAATTTATATAATACTACTATAAAGAGAGATTTTATAAAGTTTTGTATAACCTTTATAATAAAATGAGGCTCTTAGAAATTTATTAGTTTACAGTTATTCTAATTATATTGAAAATACAAATTTTATTGTGCAATTAACAATTCAAAAATTTTAATTAATTTGCCTGAGAAGGATAGAATTCTCCAAGCCAAATTGGAGACTCTTCACCGTGCATTAAACATAAGATGTCCAAGAAATATTTAGAAGAGTATAGAATGGTGGGAAAAACTGGATGGAGAAGAAGAAAGATTAAGGGTCAAAGTTATTTTTTGGAACAGCAGATCATGAACACTTGTCAGAATTTAAAAGCCAGCGCAATAACCTTATAACAATAGAATACACCTATTATTAAATTACTTACAGAGATACTTATTAATAAATAGCTAAGCTTAGAATTTCATTTTTAGACAATCCAAGTGATCAATGTGAATAATTATTATTGGATAATTTATATCATAAAAAATAGAAATTCAAAGTTGTTAAGGTTAATGGGAGGAATACATTATGAATGTGAAGGATCTACAACAATAAAGTACTAATAGAAGAAGAAGAATGACTAAGGTTACCATTCATCCATCCTACCTTGTCATGGTTCCCAAGATCTTGCAATACATCGTTTTAATTTATAGAATCATTGAATGACCCAAAAGTTGCTATATCAATTAATAAATTCTTTATTAAAATATAAATAAAACATTTAGAAATTAATTTACAAAATTCAACAATCATGTGCCAATATCCATAGGTGATGTAGGTTGAATGGTTGTGAGGTAATCTAGGGTTAAGGATTATAAATTTAATATTCTGACTGTGTTAGGATTTGTTAATCACTCATTGATCACAATTAATTAAAAAAAATAATAATAATATCAAAAACTGATAGGATTAAAATTTGTCTTTTTAGTAGAAAATGAATTCTATTATCATTTAATGATATATTTAGATTCTTTGATTAAATAATTCTTTAAATTTGAAAGAATAACGATTTAATAGTTAATTGTTATATAGGAAATTCTTCTTATATGGCTTAAGATTTAAATAATTTATATTAAAGATTAAATATGTTGTTTCTATTTAAAGATTCTATTATATAATAGTACTAGAATAATTACAAATGATTGATTGGTATTTGCTTTGGTCCATTTGATGTTTTTATTTTAAATGTCAACTTCCACTATTATGACATCATTTATTGCAAATTCAAATGATAATGGTTTACCATCTTTATCTTTTTCCGTGGTGTGAATAACAATATTTATTATGATTTATTGTATATGATCTAATAGATGATAACAACTGAATACCCATAACCAGAAGTAACATTTCCATAATAATTATTTTTTTAGATTATTTCTCTAATCCCAATACCAATAAAACAACATGAATGAAGTTAAATGAATTTGAATGCAAATGACGTGACTCCATTTTTAGAAATGACTTAATCACATAAACAATAATGACCGTTTTAAACCATCCTTCCATTTTATGATACTTCACATTTTGAATGTTTATAAGTTTATGAAAAAGTTAATTCCCTCTGATATTATGATGACTATATTAATAATATTGATGAATTACTATTATTTAAAGCATCATTTTCCAATTTGGAGTAAATTTATTTAAATTCTATTCTAAACTTACATTTTCTTATTTTATTTATTCTATCTACACTTTTTATAATTTGTTATCTTCTTCTTTTGTGTTAATCTATTTTTCAAAGGAATTCTTTGATTCTAAATTAGAATATTAATTTATTCTATCTATTCTTACATCTTTATAAAGTCATTTTCAAATTAAGTTGTTTATTGTTATTTTTCTTTATCAATAGAATCAATTGTTTATTTTAATTATATAATTTCATTCAATTTTAAATTGATTTCGATAAATTATTAAAATTTAAAGTAATCCTCATTGAATTTATCTGAATAATTATTGAATTCATTGAATATACATAGTAATTCTTAAGATTTTTCTATTTTATTACTTAAAATCTATTATAGATTTTGCATATCTTCTTTGATCTTTGTATATTAATCAATAGTTTGAGTAAATACTTTTTATGAATATTCAAAATTCATAGATTTATACATAAACTAAGTAATTTATTCAATTATTTATTTTAAATCAAAATTCTCTAATTTATCATCTTATGTTGATTATAATAAATTGTCTATTTCATTCACTACCTTATTATCATTAATAAGAATTTAATTGAATCTTTAGACATTTATTTATTAATATTGTATAAAATGTTCAAATCTAGATCTTAAATCAGAATAGAATATTTAATCAATCTTTTCAACATTAATTTTATGCTCTTTTTATGTTTTGAATTTGTCAATTTAACTTAATTAATTGATTATTTCATTTATTTATTTGATGTGAATTAATAAAGTGATTTATTATTAAATTCATTCTAATTCATCTATTCTATTGATTATTCTTAATTAATTAATGATTATAATAATTCATCAAATATTTGATCATTTTATAATTTAATCTCTTAAATCATTTTAAATACTTTCTATCAAATAGAATTCCTTTTATTATATAATTCAGTTAAATTAATTGTATTTCTCTTTTAATATGACTCCCATAAAATCATGACATCCTCTAAAGGAGTATATTATGCAGGATAATACTAAATACATTTAACACAAGCCATTCTTGGTTATGAATTGGTATTTGTATCTGCATTCAAATTAAACATTATAATTTCTTTTGTATGTTCTTAACAAATCATCTTCAATGCAGGTGTTTTCTAATATAACATATATATAAAAAAATGTACATAATCTTATGCCTTTATGATTTCATATTCCTATTAACTATTTATTAAATCCTGTTCTATCTGAGATTTCTTAATAATATTTGAATTATTCATTAATTTATGATATTATTCAGAATTTATAAAAGCTTCTAATTACTTTTGTATTTGTTCTAAAAATTTATGATCATCTTCAATTAAATTAATTGATTATTCATTAATTTAATTTTCTTAATATTAAGACAATCTTTCAATATCATCTTAAAAATTAAATGTAATTGATTATGATTCAATGTTACTTATATCTTTTGATATCTACATCAATTTCAATTGAATATTATTAAATATCTTATTGAATATAGAATCCATATTTAATTTAAGTTCTCTTAATAATTCTTCAATTCTATTCAAACCATCAAATCTCTCTTTACTATCCTTAATTCTTTAATTTTATTCATTCCTTTTCATTTCCTTAATCATATCTTATGTTTCATCAATCAAACTCATTCTCTTCTTATCCATTCTTTCAATTATACATCTTACACATAAATATCTATCTTCCTAAGCAATCCTTGTTTCAAGGTCCACTATAATTATCTCCAATTTATGTTTTTAACATATTTTCATATCACCATATTCCATTCTCTATTAAAAATTAATATTATTATATATATTCGATAAAAGTTAACTTACTCTCAATTAAATAATTCTTTTATATCAATTGTTAATTATTAATCTAGAACGTTATATAATATTTAATTATCATATCTTCTAACTCTCAACACTCGATTATAATCTAAAAACTGACTAAGTTACTTTTATAAAAATATAATCTTTTTAATATTTTGAATGATGAGCTTTTGAATAGATGTATAGAGCAGTTTAGCAGTATGCATTATGCTAAAAGTTATCAAATGAGAATTTTTATTTTGAAAACTAATTTATTACAAGCCAGATACAATTTCATTTCAATCCTCTGATGAGAAATTCATCTGGAAGATCCAAGATTCTATATAATAACACAAAATTCGAGGATTAGGAATAAAATCAATATCATTAGATGATAATCCTTCAAATTGCTCATAATTGCTCTATGTTTTTTTAGTTTATTATAAGATTCAAACTCTAAATCTGCAGCAAATTCATGTATATTTAATTAATATTGAAAACTCCATAAAATACTTTTAATATAATTGCAAAAGGTTATTGAAATATATCATTTGTATAGCCTAAAATTCATATGCAATTTTGTGTATAATTACTTATCAATTCTTCCTTTTCTTTTGAGTAAAATTGCTTTAATTAAATTTTATTCTTAATCAAATATTTAATATATTCTTTATTTAAGAGTTTGTGGATGAGAATAGCCTTTCATCCTAACAAAGAATCTGATAATTAAGTGCTGCACAAAAATTGACAGATTTAAATTCTTAAATGGAAATTTAGCAGATAATACAAATGATGATATCAAGTATATAGTTTAAATTGTTTGCCTGATCAACACTTGATTGAAAGAGCATCAAACATCACATTGTGAATGTGTTGATGAAGATTTGGACACCCAATCCAGAGAGAAGGTCGAGCTGGATCCCAAGTTGATGAACTAGCGTAATACAATTAGTCATGAATGGGTGATAGAAATATAATATAATTTTCATAGAATAAAAGAAGTTGAGCCATCGGCATTGTATTTTGAGTATAAGTTTGAGATCTTTAGTTCCAAGATAGAAGATAAAGTTGTCTTTCTCCAGATAATGCTTAAGGAAACCTTAAATATTTAATCATAAATCCTTTTTTTTAAGAATGGATTAAAAATAGGAGATTTTCACAAGCATTAATATCCTTAATGACCCTGTATAACAACTCCATTAAAAAAGTATAAAAGGCTGTTATTTTTAATGCTATTGAAAATTAGGATGCAAAGATCAAAATATAAACCGCGAGAAAAAAAATTATTTTACCCAGTATAAAACATCGCATAAAGGTTGGATAATTGTCTGCTCAAAATAAACATCAATATATAAATTCATAGTTTCCAGGATTGATGACAAAAAGAACTTCAAATTAAATAGGTGAATAGAGAAAAGGTGCCATGTAATTCTCTATAGTTCTAGGACAGCAAATAACAAAAATTTAAACGCCAACCACCTGTACTTACGCAAAGCATTCATGATATAGGTCTTCTTAAATTTAATAATTAAATTTGCAAGATCCTCAGGTTTCAAAGTATGCACATTATTAAAAATATATACTTGATGCAACATAATTCATATACATCCTATAATAAAAGTTTGCCATTCACTAGGTCGAATTCCTATGTTTAAATTTTGCCTTTTAATTCAAAATCTTTATTATGTCATATATGTCAGCTCATTTTATTTCATTACCTTTTAACAAAATTCCTAATATTTCAGAAATTTAAGGAAATGCAACAACTCTCCCTCAAATCTATCAACTTGAAAAAAAACTAATGCTAATGACCAGGATGATGGCAAATTTGGTTCCATGTCACTCCAAAATATTTACATATTCCTAGTTAAGCTATGAATTAGGAAACAATTGTGGTTTGATATCTTTGTACTCATATGTTTTATTTGCTGCCTTTTGGAAATAATCATCCGTTTTTTTACCAATTTATATCCTCATCATTGTACAGGTTAAATGCTTGCACTATTGTCTTCTTGTATTTAAACTAATTGTGAAAGTAATGAAATGCAGATGCAACCAAATTGGAACGTGGCTTGATATTTTGGATTCTCTTAGCTTGCACTACTATTACATATATTACATTTGATATCAATACTGAAAGAATAAAAAGGCATTATATAAATTTAAAGGCACTATTAAACTTCTAATTATGTTCAAAACGATAGTATTAATAATCTGGTACTTTCACATTGTTCTTTATAAGGTGGGCAACTTTGTAATTCATGCTTATATTACATTTAAATACTTACCATATATTATTTAAAAGATGGAAAATGTTCTGGCAACCATCTCGAATAATAATTAAATTTATCGGTTCCACTCCTTGCTTATTATAAGCTCCAGCTTGTGTTAGGTTAGTTAGTTATCTCTTATTAAACTGTGAAATAATATTACCAAGAATTAAAGCTGATCCTATGAAACTATATCAAAGGGATAAAATGGTTTAAAGCAAATTGATATGAATAATTAAGCAAATTGAAAAAAAGTTGGAATTAAAATATGAATAAAATGTTGATCAGACAAAACTTTGGATCTAAAAATTCCGTGAGGGTAAGTGTATTAATATCTCAGACCCAATAGTAGCTGGCTGTGGAGTTACATGGTGGTACAAAATAAGAAATAGATAGTTAAATAACTTTTCAGCAATGTAACCACAGAAAATGGCATATGAGTAAACATATGGAGAGGAGATTGAATTTTTTAAGAATAAGAAAGATGGAGACAGAGTTCATTACTTTTTCGCTAAACATATGTATGGGACATTTAATGGCTTCATGGTTCCAATGGACCTATATTGTTATTTGTCCATTATGTGCTAGACTTTTTGGAAGTTGCGAAGATGTTGTTTACCATTTATACAAAATGAGTGCTGACCTAGTTATTAGGAAGGCCGTCCAAATAGAAGTACCACTTTATATATGTAATTGCAAATTACAATTCATATCAATAGTTCAGATTCTTAAGTCAAGAAAATTCTCAAAGCATAAAGGTTCCTTTACATTTAGGATTTTCATGAACACAGTCTGCTCACAATGATATAAAGAAGAAAATAAATAGTCTTTTGTGAACCTGTTAGAATATCAAAATGTAATGGCGATGTCAATAATATACAGGATAAGAGAGAGCCTCTAATAATGACGATTTGAGGCATGCTTCACAATCAAGTGCTACAAAAATTCACCTTGCAAAGTTATTAGAATAGCACTTACTAGATTTGATTATGTCTAGGCCAGCAGGCCTTTTGATCATATTATAGGGATTGTCAGTACGAACTAGTAGCACTAGAGAACACCAAGAATGTCTTACAAGTCATCAAAAAGTAAAGAGTTAGTACATTTACAATTACATACAAAAGCATACTTCATAGATAGCAATTAGTTAACAAGCTCTTAGAGACTGTGCTCAAGGATCAGCACTAAAAGAATAACCAAATTTGCGCCTATCAATTAAATATCTGATGTATATATGAATTAAAACCACCAAAAATTTATATACACAAGATTAGTAAGTTTAGATTAGTAAATGAGGAAGATAACAAATAGTAGCTTCGTATTAACGAGAAACACCCACTGATCTTGACTATCTCTATTTAAAATAAAATTCATTGAAAGAAGAACAACTAGCGCAGGCAGCTTTCGTACATCTTAAATATAATGAACCAAAATTTAATTAATCATATGCTTGCATTTATTACAAGAAGAAGCAAGAGCTTAACGATTATCTTTGATCATTTTAACATTATGTGGGTCTGTGTAGAGCTTTTGGACAATAGATGTAGTGCATCCATAATAGTGCTGATGAACAATAATTATAACAAGCTTATAATACAAGAGTTGTAATGGCAAGGTTGTAGAATTAAAGTAAAATCCAAATAAATATTTAGTATATTGATCATTTGTATAAAAGAGATAGTTGCTGATTAAAAAGCGCTGTCAGAAGATGAACATTGAATCTGATAAAGGGCATTATATTATAAGGTTTACAATATCAATTATATGATAGAAAGACCTAAAACTTACTCTTTATTGAAAGAAAATATCAAATAATCCAAAGGGAAGATGTACAGATTAAGGCACATCCTGAATATAAATTATCAGAGATTAAACAGAAGTAGTATCATAATTACTACGCTTAGTGAAGTCTTGAGTATGAACATTACTACTTTAAATAACAGTAACTGTAATGCTTACAAATAATGTAATACCAGTTAGAAAGGGACAAGCAATTCATATATCGGAATTAGACTCATGAAATAAAAAAGTGTAACTCTATATATAGGAGGTATTAAAACTGACCAAAATTGCAATAATCTTTGTTAAGCAATTACAACCACACCATACAGTGGTCTAAGTGATTACTAAATTTGAAAACTAGATGCGAACAATCACTATCTGCTTGCGCTATTTGTAGATGTTGTATAACTACTCTGCATATGAATCAACCCTATAAGTCTACAGCCTTTCATGTACAAAGATAACTTCGATTATTTAAAACAATTGGAAATTTACTTTTAAACTTATAATATGGATATTATTTGATTGAAAAGTATGTCTCTTTTGTTCAACTTTAGATGAATGCTCTTGCAACAGGCAATAATTATTGTCGTACTTTTTCCCTGTTGTAAATATCAAGAACTATTGGTAATAATGATGAATTCCTCAGTTTGTAATTTTCCAATATAAGTTAATATCAATCTGTTTTGTGGATGAGAATATCCTCAGAAAATGAAATTAATTACTCATCCATTTATTTCCTCCTGTTTAGTTAAGGGTTAATAGGCATTTTATAGAATTCAATAGTTGTAGCCAAACAAGAAAGACAAAATGTATTCCACTAAAAATGAGCTAATTGTCGAACAATTCATAAAAACAGCAGAGATTTTGAAAGTGCTTACACCTTAAGCATGGAATTAAATCACATTTATCTCAACTAGAACGACATTACGTTAAGAAGGTATAATAAGTCATTATTACCTAGTTTGTGTTGTAAGTTTTGATACCATCATAAAATCCTCTGTTATTTAGCTGACCTAATTTTTCTTTCATCAAATTTTAAGCATTCATTCTTAGATGATTTTAGTGAGCACAATTTAGCTACTCCGATAAAACCTAATAGTCAGGTAAAGTTCTTAAAAGAAAATATAGTATGGCAATAAAAAGAAAAAATTCAAACATGGATAAAATGCAGCTATACTCCTGACATAGGGTTGACCCAGCTAATATATTTTATGTTTTTATAAGACATTGGATTGTGAGAAATAAAATAATGCTAGTTCTTTGTTTGTTTAAAGCTTGTCTATAAAGAAACAAGTTATTATTTAATTTAGTTTATTTGTTTTGCATAATGAAGGTTTCTTGCTCATCAGTGATTAGGTTAATAAATACCCCTGATAAGTTTGGAGTGCTCTTTTGAAATTAGTTTCAAGCTGACTCTTAAAACCGATGATCAAAGATAAAATATTCTGATGAATAAATAAATATTTAGGTTACCAAATAAATGAAGAAATTAAGGACCTGGACTAAATGGAGTAGTAAATTATAAATCATTTTACCTCAATATAACTAAATTTCGAATTATTATAATTTTCATTTATCAGTTATTCCTTTAAAGGAACAAGAATAATTTTATGACAGAGTTATTTTACTCTCAAAGCTTAAATTGAAAATTTGTTATTAAACAACTATCTGCCATATTTTCCTCCCTTTAATGTTTTTTAGTTTAATCTCAAGAATATTATTTAAGCTGAGTTAAGGATTGAAGTCAATATCAAGTAAGTGCAAAGCAGATAAAAATTCACTTTTCTTACATAAATAAACAAATAAGAATATTTTATGATATGCGCATTATAGAAGAAACGATGTAGCAATGAAAATTATGTACTTATTAATGTTCAGAGATTGGAAACTATGAAACATTTTGCTCTGAAAGCTTGTACTTATTTAATAGTAGGGAATACTCAATCACTCACACACGGTTCAACCTTGCATTAGAAGGGTATGTCAAGACAAACAGCTAATTAAACAAAAGATAAATAAATTAAGAAGAAATAAAACATTCTAAAAGTTTCAATAGTTCTGTGTTTTATATCAACTACTCATTAAAGTCCTTATTTCAATTAGTATTCAACTAAATAAATATGTAATAAATTCGTAAAACAATATTTTAAGTTTCAAAAATATTGCTTTACTAAATTTTCTAATGTTAATTATGAAGCTTGAAATGGCATCCAATCGAATTTCGTAGTAATCTTGTGTTTTTTTTTATGATTGTTGTGTAATTAATTTAAATAATAATTTATATTTAATTAGATTTAATTAGATTGATTCAAATTTTCAAAGAAATAGCAATAATTAAAATAAGTATCTCTTCAGTTCAAATGCAAACAATTTCTGAATAAAACTTAAGAATAGAATACCAAAGAAAAGTAAATGAATGTATAGAAAGCTTATACTTAGCAGTGGAGGTATAAAAATTATTAATAAATTGAAATAGTTGTCATTTAACAAGATTGATGCCTAACTTGATCAAATTCTAAATCATGAATCAAATCCTGCAGTAATATCTTAATTATAATGTGATTTATCAAAATTCAATTAGAATTGTGTATTTAAATTGAAAAATGACAATTTCTCAACAGAAATCAATTAAGAAGTGACTTCTTTAATCAAAAATAATATTTAACATCAAATTTAATAATTCACTAATTCATAAACTATTGAGCAATCATCAACACTTTCATCTATACAATCAAATCTTAAACCCTTCATTTATTAATTGGTACCACAAAATTCAATTCAATAAAATGAAGTTTGTAGAGCAATTGCTATTAATAAAGATTGTTCAGTATTGATTGCTGCATGTTAAAAATAAATTAAAGTTTTTGAATTCAAATCAGGTATGTTGAAATAAACTTAAATTTTAAGTTAACACAATCATAATGTTTATACTCTGAATTTTATGAACAAATCGGATTAGTTTATATCTGGGAGTAGTGATAATTTAATTATAATATGGATAAAAAATGAAAATAATTAATGGGTTTGCAAATAGAAAATCAATGGACATACCAGATATATCATTTGTTTGGTATTAAATAATAATGAAGATCTTATTGTATCTGGTAGTTATGATTATACAATTAAATTTTGGTAAAAGGAAAATGAATGGTTGTGCTCTTAGACAATCACTGATCATACTTCATATGTATATGGATTAAGTTTTAATGAATAACAAAATAAATTGATATCTTGTGGAAGTGATCAACATATATTAGTAATAGAACAATCATAATTGAATAAATAATGGATAGTAATATAAAAGCTTAAAGTGGAGCAATATGGTAAGCGATTATGCTTTATCGATGACAATACATTCACATTCTAACCTTATGATCAAGAGTAATTACATGTTTTTGAGATAGATAGTACTAATAAATATTATACAAAGACGAAGCATATTTCAGTAAAAGGGGGTTTAGATAGCTGGCTGTTCCCTTAATAATATGTAAAATCAAAATGTATGCTTTTAAATAAGAATGCATAAAATGTGAATTTAATAAGGAAGACAATAAATGGCGAATTTATAACCGAGTAATCTATTGAGTTTGGAACAATAGAGATTTATGGATGTATGTCTGGTGATGGTTAGTATTTGATCACTTGGGATGATAAATCAAAAGAATATTAAATAAGAAAGTATTAGGAAAAATGAGTTAAATTAAACAATTCCTTATCATTCATTTTTTATTTATTTCTTCAAATTATAAAGAATTTTGAAGAACTCAATATAGAAATGCAAATTCAATTTTTTGAATTTATATTTCTCAAAATCTCTCTTAGATTTTTATTAGAATATGTATTGATTCTGAAATATCAAACAAAAATTGTTTAATTTGAGTGGCAAACTAAGACTAAATTATCAAAATTTAATTAAGTTGTGAAAATGGTGTTCCATTATTGTATTGATACAATTTTGCTAAATAAATGCTGAAGGGATACTTTATGCTCATTATATCAAATAGTTACATGAATTCTTCAACCATATTAAAGAATAAAACGTTTAGAGGGAAATGACCCAATTTCAAATAGTTCTTTCTATTTAATAGAGTCTAAACAAAAAATTTAATTGTAATCAATTTTTTCGAATCTACACTAATATCAAATGGAGGGAGTCGAGATTTATATTTCTCACTTTATAAGAAATAGAAAGGAGCTTAACCTTCTTAATGAAAGAGTAGTTCAAAGGTAATATGGACTGTATGAAGAAAATAGGGATTAGTGGGAAACCCCTAGAAACATAAAAGTGAGCATGGAGGCCAGTCAATTTGTGTATGCTGTATGGATAAGATTAGAAAATCCCTCAAAGAATGAATGGGCATTGGAGAATACAATAAGAAACTAAGGGATCGGCAACAGTAATGAACATATATTTATTATGAGATACAAATCATTCGTTCTTTTATTTATTAAAAAGGAGTTACTTTCGTTGGGTTGTCATTTCAAAAGATTACTTTAGAAATCTATGTTTCTTTTATTGTGAAGGCTGCTCACAATTACAACTAATCCTTATTAAAGTAAGAATCTTTAACAATCTTCATGATATCAAATACGTCAGATATAAGTAGTTTGAAAATCTCATATTTAATTAAAATTAGAATATATATAAAAAAGCTTCATAATTTTATTAGCAAAAGCCTAAAAATTTAGGGATTTATAAAAATTAAAAATAATTGACTTCAAATCTAATCTGTTCCATTCAGGCTAAGGCAAATTATGAAAAAGCTGAAGTTTGTCCTTCTTATTACTTTATTATTGAAAATAATAAAGGCTGATTTTTTTAGATTATGATTAAATATTGATCCTATCTCAGGGCTTATAATTGATTATTCATTATATTTGATAGAATGTATATATTAATATCATATATGTTTATTATTTGATAATAACATTAACTTATTGCCAATTACAAGAACTAATTAAACTAATGAAGCATTATTTACTAAATATCAAAGGCATAATTACTTAGCATTCAATACAATATTATTCTATCAAATATTCATAGAGCCTTTATTTTAAAACCAAAAAACTGTTTGAAGTTTTGGATTTTTAAATAACGCTCTAATTTACATTACCTTTACTATTTAATGGAATATCACTTATGGATAAATTCGAAAATAGTTGGTTTTTCCTTTATTGATAATTTTTCTCATAACTATAGAGGGTTATGTATATTTTCTATGTTTATATATAAAGAAACTGGCCTTTGTAAAAAGAAGATCTTCTAAAGTGGTAAGAAAGTGATTATTTATCATTGTTAAATTCACATCCTCTTTATTCTGATAGCAGTAAATAACTAAATATTTGTCCCATTCTTTCATTGAGCTATTCTGGTTAAATTCCTAATCTCAGCCAAATTATTATATTAGTAGTGAGTACATTATTGAACACTATATTTATTCAAAAATCATCTATGCTATAAGATCTGCCATCAAATATCATAAAAATAATTCACACTCCACTGCATTATTGTTAAATTTTCTAAATCTTAACGAAAATCTAGATGATATGCAACTATTATTATTTGTTCCATGAATAACATATTGTACAAGTTTCATCTCTATAACAAATCTATACATTTCCTTTCCCATTCAAAATTAAATAGAATGGCAATCAACATTTTATTGATCCAGATACACTTTGAAAAATTCGCCTGACTATTATCAAATATGAGAAGTCAAATGATTTTGACTAGTAGTATTATAACTGCCTTTTTGAAATATCTTACCTCTCTTTAGGTAAAATTTTACAAGCTCTAAAAATCTTACTATAATTAATTATGATCTTTTGTTAAAATAGAAATATTAACAATTAATAATAATAGATCACATGGAAGTACAGTTCAAAATCACCTCTAATCAAATTTTAGAATATCTGTATTATATAGTAATATTTTCAGAAATAAAACTTATTTTTATATAACCCTGGATAAAATGAAATGTGGTGTTGAAGCTAGAATTTATCTGTGCATATTTATGGCTTAGTATTATGAATTTAACAAGGGTTACTGAAAACTCAAAGAAGATCAAAGCTTATTGGACAATTCCAAAAATTTCAATCAAAATAGAAAATTTGAAAAGGATACTTTAACTTCCCCTAAGGTGGATGAATTCTTCTTTAATAATATTCCAACCCTTATAGACAATTTATATTAGGCAAACTCAAATTCCAAAGCACTTTCTTTTCAATTATTAAGTCTAGATACAAAGCATTAATTAAAGATTTTAGTTTTATTCTCTAAGCTATTGTATTATTAAATTCATAATAAAGTAGAGTAATTATCTATATTTAAACGAAATTTGATATTTTAATTTGATAACTATTGATTTGAAAGTGATTCAACCTAACTCTTAAGCGTTTATCAAGATTAATAAAATAATTAAAAATCGCTCTTCTCAGATTATAACGTTTAATATGTAAAAAGTATTACACACTAGATAGTATTTATTAATTTTCCATAAATTTGCGTTTTTATCAATCATTATTATACTATTGATCCAATTGGTGAAATTATTCTGCTCTAAAGGAGAAAAACTCATTACAAAAACATTAAGTTGATCCTTTAATCGAGAGATCTAAACATATCTGATTAAAATCCGATATTTCAATGTTCCTCAATAAAGATTTTTCACTGCAAACAATAGCAAATTCATTCACATTTTTGGTACAATCATAAACAAATGTAAAAGTTAAAAGGAAAGGATGCCTCAAAAATTCGCAATAATTATTATTATCTAAATGAATTCAGTTTAGATTTTTTATAATGAAATATCAAAGATTTTATTCGAAGCATTTTCTATTAAGATGTGATGATTAAAGCTCCTTAAAATATTTTTTGATTTTTCACCATACTTTCTTTATAAGGCTAATTTTTTTGGTGTTCATGAGTTTAGCTATTTCTTATTTTTTTTTTGTATACATTCATCCACATACGAATATTAATATTTTCTCTAATCATCATTTGTATTCTTAAACGATTACTCTTTTCTTCTTTTTAATGTTTTTACACAAATTTTGAATAAAATTATTTTATGCTTTCTTTATATCGCAATTGTTATATAAAAAATTAAAATAATAATCTTATTTATCCATCTATATATTCCTGGTTGTCATACAGTAAAGTTACTTAATTTAATTTACTTCAAAATAGTGAGCACTTAGGAAATTATTCTTAGCCTTTGCATCAAGACAAATTACAAGGAAATTTGAGTTTCAGAAAGCATCCACTAAATTTTTATAATTTGATTTAATCTTAAAACATCATAATTTTGTGATTAATTTAATCTAATGATGGGATCCATTAAAAATAAACCAATTGAATAAAAAGGATTATCGCATTTTCAATCTATGTTAATACGTTATAATCTATTTTCTAAATTTCAGAATTTTACACTCATTTCCACAATATATCTTAGTTATGAGAAAAAATTGTTTTTAACTTCATAGTTTTTGTGTTGTAGAATTACAATGAGTCTTAGACATCTAATAATATAAAGGCGTTTTGAAAAGGATTATGATTAATCAAACCTTTATTGAATTCAATAATTCTTGGATTATATATAATTAATTTATTTGTTTGCAAAAATTTTTATGATATCTTGAAATAAGTAAAATATTTTGTTTTAAATGAAAAAGTTAAATTATAAGAAGAACAAATACATTATATATAATGTTATTAGCTGATAGTTTAAGATTCCTTGGTTAATCTAATGAAGCAATCATTTGGACAGATAAAGCATTGAAAGTAGATCTAAGGCTTTGTCCTTAATTATTTACTAAATGTATGATGATATCTAAATGCATTAGCTGAAGATTAAAATAATTTATAATAAAATTGCCTGGTCAAAATAATGAAGCAATCATTTGGGCAGATATTATGAGTAGATCCAAAGTATTTCCTTCATTATATACTAAAGGTATCTGATATTTATTTATAAGAAGGTGACTCATTAAAAAGATTGGGAAAAGTATACAGAAGCCTTAGAAGTGATTGAGCAATGTCTAAAAATAAATCCAAATCATTTTGATTTATTAGGAGGAAAAGGTCGATTCTACTTACTTTTAAATTTATAGGCTATTGTTTACAAAATTAGAATCAATTTGAAAAGGCCATGCTATTTTACAACAAAGCTAGAGTGATTAATTCTAATGATTTATGTACTATAAATAGAAAAAGTATTTTATTCCTAATAATACTAATCAGATGAATGTTCAAAATACCTCTTTCAAAAAACATGAATAACCTAAGAAAAACATAATATAATTGATAACTTAATAAAATTATTTTTACATGCTAAACAATAATCTCTTAAATGAATTTTTCTTATTGCACTCTATGATCAACACAGTAATTTTAGTTTAAGATAATTTTGAACTCTTAAAATTATTCTATATTTTCTATAACCAACCTCACACAAAGGAAATTAAAAGACTCCTTAATTATATATTCTAATGTTTTATTGGTGTTCTTAAATATTACCTTTTCTTGTTGATTCAATTCAGGTTTCCAAAATAAATCAGCAACTGATGACAACTGTCAAATTAATATAGAGTCAAATTACTTTACTATTATCCTCCAGCTATTTCTTTTTTAATCGTCTGTGTAGTCCAGAATGAATTTTCTCACATAAATAAGGCAGAATTTATTGCAAAATGTTTCTTGCAATTTTTTCAGAGTGCAATTGAGTATAAATTTTACTTCAAAAATAGTAGAGATATGGTGCAAATGAGGTTAATATAAAAATTAGTTAAAAATGATACGTAATAAATCCAAATTTAAAATCATTTCCTAGTGATTTGTGTTAAGCACTTGAATTGACCTTTATAATATTTATATGTAATTATCGACAAAAATACAATTGGATTCAGTTTTAGACTATAGATACTGCCAATTAGAAATATTAAAATGAAAACATATTGATTCATGAAATCTCAATATTTATTCAAGAATATATTAAATAGATTTTGTGCAAGAAGAATGCGATAAGTTTTCTGGTTAAGTAAAACTTGTACTAATATTCAATTCTTAGATTTAAAAATTATACTGGTTGTTTCTAAAGTTTTTATAAACTTGACATTTTGAATTATTTTTCTGGTATAAATTTATTCAAGGGAAATTCTATTCTATATTATATCATTGAAATTTAATGCAATTGTTATTATTATTATTTATATTTTTCTACTAAAAATCAGTTTAGGTTTGGTAATAATAGAATTTTTCTCAAAATATACAATTAGTAAAGAAAAGTGGAAACCAATTCTTTCAAATGGGTTATAACAAGACTCATAAAGAATTTAATAAAGTTATTATATAAATTGAATATGGTACGTCCGTCAGAAAATCTTTCTCAAAGGATTGCTCATTAGTAAAATAATTTAATACCGTTGCCATATATTATATATTTTAAGTCATTTCTGGTCATTTTTTGATGTATAACATACAAGAGTTAGAATGGAAAAAAAAATTGAGTAGAAATGGCAATGGTTCCTTTAATTCTTTCTCAATGCTAAATTAGACTCCATCAAAAATTTTAAATCTCAATAAGATTCTCCATACAATTGCGTGTCTATAAAGCCCATTTTTATTATTTTGAATTCTCTATAATTAATAATTTTAAGAATAACATCTATTAATATAAAGTTAAGAGTCAATCGTTTGCATATTTTCTATTAAATTTCCTTTTATATAAATTAACTTTGTACTATATATTACTTTCAATAAAGCAAACAATGATTAATATATTTAATGCACCTTCTTATATATTTAGGATGCACCTTATTGTTTGTTATTGTTGTTGCTATTTTAATCTTTATATATTGCAAAAGGTAAAAGGAGAGTAGGGAAAGGCTACTTGATGAAGATAGGGCATATTGGTGGCAAAGAGAAGAATAGTCGATCCTTTTGGATGAAGAAAAAAGAATAAGAAAAGAATAGGAAAGGAAAAATTAACTTGAAGAAGAGGAAGAATAAAAAAAAAAAATAAAGTAATAAGAGGAAGAATAAAGAAAAAAAATAGAATAATAAGAGGAAGAATAAAAAAAAATAAAATAATAAGAGGAAGACTCAAAAAAAAAAATGAAGCAATAAGAGACAATTATTAAATAACACTTTTAACCAATATGTTAATAGACATCATAATAAGAAGAAATTCGAAAAAAACCAATTTAGCAATAAATCTAAATATTGAATTAAGAAATTAGTAAATTAGATAATAATTATAATCTTACAAATAATCAAAAATAATACTATAAAATTAGTATTAATAATAATTATTTTAAAAATTAAAAGAATAAGGTAAAGTTAAATCAATTCCTCACGTAAAATAGAATATTGAGACTTCAAATCCTGAGTTAGCACTTTTTGTTTTGAAAGAATAATTATTAAGAGATTAAAATAGAGAATTATTAACAACAAGTCAAGAATATTCATTTGGATTTGGTTCAATAATAGGAGCATTAGGCTCTGATTAAGCTTGTTTTAAAGTTCGAAATACAAATCTTGATTATGATAAAATTGTGAATGACAATCAATTATTATAACAACATTTATTAGAATTTAAGTAAAAGTTATCAAGTTCACTTAATATTCCAATTGATTAAGTTGAAATTTTAGGAGTATCAAAAGGAAGTTTTGAAATTAGTTTTAATATTACAGGAAATGATCCGGATTCGATTTAATAACAAATTAAAAATAATCCAAATGCTAAGAAATTCTTAAATGAATATTGTAATGGCAAAGTTGAATATCTAAAATATTTTGATTAAGCAAGTAAATCTGCAAAAGGAGTCACCCTTTCTTTTGATGATTTTAATCCTTCACACAATATGAGTTGGGAAGGTTTTAAAGAGAAAGAATAGAGAGGACCTGCTTAACATAGATATGATTACTATTTTCCAAGAGGTTGCTATGGATTTGGTTTAAATGTAAAAAAGTATGGAAATGATGATTGGCTAAAAATGGATGGTAATCAAGGTGAATGGAGAATTTTGTATCATGGTACTAAGTAAGATGCAGTTAATTCAATTACAAAAACAGGATTGCGAGCCGGGTATGGATAAAAACATGAAGATGATTAATGTAAAGATGAAAATGGAAAAGATGTTATGGTAGGAGAGGGAATCTATTTCTCAGATAAATATACAGTTTGTATCGAAGATAATTATTAACTTAAATATGCTTAATATACTTAAGTTTGTAATAAGTAATTTGCAGTTATTTTTATGTCTCGAGTAGATCCAAAAAAAGTTAGATAGAGTTCTTCTATGAAAAAAGACAATTATTTTGTTGTTAATGAATCAAAATATGTTAGACCCTATAGAATATTATTACATGAAAAATAATGAAATGAAATATTAAAAATAAATATATTTTATCATTTAAATGGAATTAAATCATGTTAATTAAGTTCATATAGTCTATTTAATTAAATAAAATTTTAAAAGATCTCAGGCGAACTTGTGTCTGAAATAATCTGATAGGATTAATTAAATCGTAGCAAGATAATAAGGTTATTAATTTAACATATTTTTAAATATCTCCTCGGAAATATTCTATTATAAAGTCTATCTATAAGTAAAGCAAATTTGGATAATGTTAAATATATTTTAAATCTATCTTTTCAAAATAATTACTTGTTGATTCCACCTATTTCTTTTAAACTGAAATTTTTTGTAATGTTTTGATTAAAAGAATATATAATTTGATTTCTAAAAGTAAAAATGAAGATAAAATAATAATCATAAGTAATATTTTGATAAAATTAATAATAATTTAGTTTTAGGGGCAATATTCTCTAATTAAATTGGAGATCATTTTATTAGCACTTAATGAAAACAATCAAATTTGTTTAAAAATAATATAATAGAAGATGATGCATGATTTTAATGAAAGCAACTTAATAATAAGATATTTAAATTATTATTATTTAATGAAAAATCATCCAATTTTACCAATCAAAACAACTTAAGATGTCACTTGCCCTATTTAATATCAATCTACTTTCAGGAAATAAAATGATGCAATGACTCCAGCTTAAATGCAATTAGCAAAATTCTATGAGCACCATCAGCAATGAATAATAAATTATATGCAGAGCAAACTATGACTAGGATTGTTTATGNATCAAAATATGAGAATGTATTTATTTTATATTTTGTAAAATTTTTATTATTTTAAGTTCTAATAACATTTTAGATTTATATACGTATTGTAATCCAAGTGACTTTATTATTTAAATTGATAAAGTGTTATCTCAAATGTCTTAATCAAAATTAATATTGCGCGGAGGTGGTTGCGGAGCTTAGAAAGCAACCTCCTTAGCATCAGGAACCTCAAAGTCAGATAATTAAGACCTTCATGCTTTCTTTAATAAATTCAATTTTTATGTTGAGAAAATTTGTACTAAGGCGGTAGTTGCTGCTGATCACTCAGAATCTTAAGAAATAATGATAGCGCTCTAATGGTTTATTTTTTAAGAAGAAAATATTTACAATCTCAACAAGAATGCTTAAAGGGTAGTGAAATCATACGATTTAATTTTAGAGGGAATCAGAAAGTTATTGAAAAGCTGCTTGATTTATATTAGAACAGATTCGTTTAAATGTTTAAATATCTTATAGACAACAGCGTCTTTATCTAAAGTCATATTTAGTTTCCATATACTAAATGAGGAGAGATTCATGAAATGGGATTAATAACAGGAATTTTTGGACATCTCTGACGAACTAAGCCAACATATAGAAATAGAGAAGAATGATTTGATTCAAAATTAAATGGAACTCTATCTTTTTTTAACAAAAACTTCTTTCGAGATCTCACCAAATAATAGTAATGAAAGGGAAGAAATCTTAAAAGGATGTTTAAGTGGTATTATTGGTTCTTTAATATAAATGAAGCCAAATGAAGAATTGCTTGAATCATTGTTTCAGGGAGCCTGTCATCTTTATAAATAGTATGTTGTAAGCAACAATAGAAATAATTTGAAGTTTATTTTTAAATAGATATGTTGCAATGGGAGATAATCAGTTATTTTAAGAACGAAAAATTGTAAAATCTAGAGGAAATACTTTTACAAATAGAGGAAATACATGACAAAATTGTAAAAAATTCAAATTTATGGAAATATCATTATCTTTGGGTGCAAATGATTGGAAAAATCTTATAATATAATCCTCTATTAACTAAATAGAAATTATCTTAGCTGATAAATTCTTTCAACTTTGAATTAAAGCCAGATTAAATTTGGAAGGAATATCAGAGAAAAGGATTATTAATTTAACTGAATCATAGTAATGACTAAGCAGTCATCTAACTTCATTAACTTTAAAATAATTAATTAAGTTCAATTGATAGAAAAATATTAGAAACTTGTTTCAAAGAATGGGAAATCTTCTTATTACTTAAAGATTTTTTGTAAAATGATCAATTTTAAAATATACCATATACATTTGGATCATATTTAAAAAGCAAATTAGTTATTGAAGGAAAAGAACTTTAAAGAAATGAACTTATATTTGCAATTAATAAAATCAATAACTTTTTAGGCTTTATGATTTCCAATAAGTTGCTTAGTTTAAGTAAATAAAATGATGAGAAACTTGAAGATGTAAGAAAAATTTTTAGTAATTTTATGAAAGTTAAGCAATATAATGAGAGCACAACATTAAAAATTTCACAATAATAAATAAAAAAAATTATATAAAAATTAGAAGAGTATTTCTAAAATATATAGGATATTAGAAAAATTCTGAGTCTTAATTAAGACAAATTGAAAAAGAGAAATGAAAATAAAAATTTTGAGAAACTTAATAAGCTTTTGAGTCTATAGGAGATATTAGAATTATATATTCTTGAAGATGAAAGACATAAAAATGAAAATGATGCTACTTAGGAGTGGAGAAATTTAATTTTTGATGACTTAAAAGTTTTTGATTTAAAAGAATATAAATTATCATTTCTTGAGTTGTCTAACAAAAATAAAAGTAAAATTTTTGGAGAAATTTAAAAGTTGATTGAGATTTATCAGAAAGAAATTTAAGAGTTAGAAATTAATTAGCTTCAAAATAACTTATTGCAATATTTTTGGAATTTAGTAAATAATCTATGTTAATATTATGAAAATGTGTGTAATGAAATTTAAAACTTGTTTTCAGAGTTCAATTTACACCTTAAAGAGATAATGATCATAATGTATTAAATTGAGGCCGTTCCTTCAATTATTGAACTTAAAAAAATTAAATAAGCTTTTGATGATAATCATTTACTTAAATTTTTAGAAAACTTAATGTACTAAAATCTGAAGCTAAAATTTAAATTGGTGGCTTCAAAAAAGTCTTTTTCATTGATATTAGAAAAATCCAAACCAGAGGAATTAAGAAAGTTGTCAGAAGATATAAATCTTGATGAGTTTCTGTTAAACGTAATTGAAGAGTTTCCAAAAAAAATTATGAGAAAAAAGGCTGACATGTTACTTTACACTGAACTACGCAATATCGAAATCACACAAGAAGATTTTGAATATAGATTATCGAAGTAAAAAGGAATAATAAATTACCTCATATTTAAATAAAGTCTAAAAGAAAAAATGATCGAATAAGAAGAAAAAGATTTAGAATTATTTGAGAAGGCATTTGGAGAATTATTCATCAAATAATCTCCTATGTAGAAAATCAAGAAAATTTTTGAACAATTAAAAGTTGATGAATCCATAAAAAAGGTAATGGATGAGAAATTCAATCAATCAGAATTGAGATTAGAAAAAGAAAAATATGATATATTTTTGTTTCAATTAAAACAAATTGAAAATTTTAAAAAATGTTTATAAGTCGAAAATTGGAATAAATTAATCCTTTAAACAGAAACTGTGATTCAAACATTGGAAAATTTTGGATGCCCAGATAAGGAAACGATTAAAATGTTAATTAATGAAGAGCTAATCCAATTACAAGCTATAATAAGATAATAAAAAATAAATTATGAAGAATATGAAGTATCGATATCTTCTAAAGTATAGATAGGACATGAGATAGTTGATATAGCAGACAATGAGAAATGTCATCAAATTGAATAAATTTAATTGATTGATTTACAAGCAGGAATTAACGTTGTAGCTAATTAAAATGGCAAGAAATTTAATTTTTCTAGTAATGAAAGTTATAGAACTTACCAATCATTCATAATAAAGGTAGTAAAGTTAAAAAAATTAATACTGAAAGATGAGATGTTGGTATTACACAATTTATTTGAAGAGCTTGTTTTTTTTTCTAAGACACTTAAATAAATTGAAAAGTATACATAAGAAATTTAAACCAAATTCTAATAAAGATTTTAATGTTGTATTTAAGAATTTATTCAGAAGTTTGAGAATTTACAATTTTCATAAGTTAATTTAGATTAAAAAGAAGATGAAAACTTTCATTCTTACTTAGAAAGCTTGGAAACCAAATTATTTAATAGAGTAAATGATAAAGAGATTACTTAAATTAAAATAAATATCTTTGATTTTCTTAATTGCTTAGAATGTTATTTACAAGATAAATTAGAATAAAAGCAAAGTTTTTCAAACATCCAAGTTAAATAAGATTTTCTAATTCAATAAATAAAAAAAATATACTTAGAGGAAGATAGTGAAGTTGTAGATGAGAGAGAAGAATCAAAAAAATAATTTGTTTTATTAGATAATATGGTTCAAAGGTTCAACGACTTTACAAATAACGAATAATGGAAAATTAAATAGGGTCTTGTGTTTACTATAATTTAGATTTCATCTAATTGTTTCTCAGATTCTATAACATCATTTTGTTAGAAAGTCCTAATCTAATTATGGGTTTAAGAAAAAGATCAAAGAGTTAGAAATGTTTTAAAAAATTAACACTTGGCAAGCATGTAAATGTAGATTTTATAGAAAGATTGGTCTACCTAACATGATAGAATTGCAAAGAAAATGTCGGGAATGTTGAGAAGAATTGATGAATTGTAAGAGTAAATTTTTCATGAAACTAATCTTAATAAGCGAGACTTGTATATGAAAGAACTCGATGAAACAACAGAGCAATTAGATTAATAAATTGAAAATATTAGTGAAATGGGTTAATAACTTAAACTAATAACTGATTTTGTTAATCATATCCGAAAAGGTTTAATCAGAGTCGAGGGTAAAATTAATGAAATGAAGGAATAACTCAAAAACATAGGAACTGATATTAAATTTTTGAGAGGAAAATCTGTTGAGCAACTTTTTGAAATCAGAAAATGGAAAGTATTGAAAGAAGCAGCTTACAGAAATGCTTAGACCATTTATGTACCATTACAAACTTTAGAAATATTTCAAGGGTAATAAAAAGTGGGAGTTTCGTCAACTTGTTTGATGAATTTAGATGATTTAAATGATAGAGGAGGGGAGGTGAATAAATTTTTATTACAAGAGTCACCGAAAGAAAAAAAAACAGTCTTATTAATACATGGTTAAGCTGGATCTGGCAAAAGTACTATAGCAAAGAAAATAGAAGAATTTATATGGAAATTACACGACAAAAATTAAAAAATTAGAAATCAAGTGCTGATACCTGTTTATATTTCATTGCCATATTTAAAAAATCCTGTTTTTCAAGCGGTAGAAGAAGCACTTCGTCAACAAGAGTATGGTTTTGACTAGCTCTAATTAAAAGAATGTAAAGAGATGTTGGAAAAGAAAGAATTCAAATTTTTATTGATAATGGACAGTTATGATGAGATGAAGCTAGAGCATATTCAGAAAAATTTATATTTAAGCAATAAAGTGAATTAAATTTGGTCTAACCCACTTGTTATTTTTACCACTAGAAGTGAAATTTTTACAAGTAGTAATTATACCACATGGTTTTAACCAGATAAAAAAGAAGAATTAAAAGAAATTTAGCTTCTAAAATTTAATGAAGCATAAATGAAGGAATATCTAAAAATATATACAAACTAGACTATTAAAAAGTCAGTGTTCGAAATGTACGAATTGCAAACATAAATTTCAAAGAGAGGAGATGTTGATATTAATAGGTTTGATAATTGTTGGGAAAAATTCTTCACCCATTTTTAGAGATTAGAAGTAACAAATGGTGAAAATCTATTGAATGAAAAATAAATTGAGAGCATTTAATAATTTTTGAAAGATGATGAGTTTATAGCTTTAAAAAGCACCAATGCTTTGAGAAGCCTAAATATAAATTTATAAAAGCTATGGAGTATTTAAAAATATGAAAAAATGATAAAGAATATTAATTTGAACAAGCTGGTGGAAAATCCTTATATGATGGAAATTGTAGTTCAAGTGTTGCCTGAGATGGCAACTAAAGCAACTGAGATAAATAATGTGAAATAAAATTTTTTCAAGAATTTCCCAAATATGCTTAAAGTATTTTTCAAAAGTAAATTTCTGATCTAAATGTATAAGTTAAACATTGAAATTGAAAAAGAATATTATAATAAAACTTCGGAAGTTACTTTGGTAGATTTAGAAAATTTGGAAATTATTAACTATCAAGAAATAGCTCGAGCAGTTTGGAACATCCTCGAAAAAAATTTAAGCACCATCTAATTTCAAATAACGAAAGACATAAATGATCTCAATAAAAACCTTAAAAAAATAAATTTACTCAACATCCATGTGTTGTAAAATACTGCTGTTGAAAAAATAGCACTTGAATAAGAAGCAATAATATAACTAGTTTCTGATGCATTACAAGAATACAATCTAACAAGTTACGACTTTTATGAAGAGTTTATTAATTAGTATCATTTGAAATAAATAGAGAAATTGCAAAATTTAGGAAAATCCATAAATATTAATTGTTTTGTTCATGATTTAAAAAAATATTCAATCTAGCTGGCATAAGAAATGACTTTTAGACAGTTCACTTAAGTCTAGTATTAATAAAAAGGATTATTATATCATGAGAAAAATGTTGAGGAAGAATGGTTGAATAACTTTTTTAATGATGATTGTAAAAATGGAAACTATAAAAAGGATGTAAGGAGTTGTTCTTTGATTAGATAGAAAGGTATAAATTTTTAATTTGTTCATAAGTCCATCCAAGAATTCTTGATTGCTGCAGATCTATATTAAGTGTTGGTTTTATCTTAAAATCTAGACACTGAAATATTAAGCTAAATTCTTGAGATTTTAATGGAAGAAAAAACATAATATGTGGATAGCTTACAAATTCTTAAAAATTATGAGAGTTGGAAAACGGTTCATCCGATGAACCAATAAAAACTTGACACTTTAAAAAACAATATGCAATAGACTTTGGATCTTCTCTCCATTTTAAAAGAAAATTCATTCTCTGCCATTGATTATTCCCCAAACTTCTTTTCTGAAACTAAAAAATATTTGAAGTAAAAAATATAAAAAAATTAAAAAATTATAGAATTGCTGAAATTTCTTGTATATCTAACTGCTATTGATGCAACCTATATTATTTGTGGATCAAACTCACTGAATTTATTAGTTGAGATGCAAGTTGATCTAACTAGTCACAATTTCTAGAAAATAAGGATTAAAAATACTTCCTTAATTGGAGGTAATTTTGCTAAATGTAATTTAAGCTAATCTGAATTTTATAATGTGAACATAAATGGAATTAATCTAAATGGAGCATTAATGTTTGATTGCAAATGGAAGAATTTGAAGACTAGTGATTTATTTTCATTAGATGGTCATTAAAAAGGAGTTATATCAGTCTGTTTCTCACCTGATGGTACTACATTAGCTTCTGGTAGTGAAGATGCCTCTATCCGCTTATGGGATATTAAGACAGGATAATAGAAAGCCATATTAGATGGTCATTAGGGTGAGGTTAAATCAGTTTGTTTCTCTCCTGACAGTACTACATTGGCATCTGGTAATGAAGATAACTCTATCCGTTTATGGGATGTTTAGACACGATAATAGAAAATCAAATTGGAGGGTCATTTAAAAGCAGTTACTTCAGTCAATTTCTCTCCTGATGGTGCTACATTAGCATCTTGTAGTAGAGACAAGTCTGTCCGTTTATGGGATGTTAAATAAGGATAGTAGAAGGCCAAATTAGATGGTCATTAAAAAGCAGTTACTTCAGTCAATTTCTCTCCTGATGGCACTACATTAGCATCTTGTAGTAGAGATAAGTCTATCCGTTTATGGGATGTTAAATAAGGATAATAGAAGGTCATATTAGATGGTCACTACATGTTTGTTACTTCAGTCAATTTCTCTCCTGATGGTACTACACTAGCATCCGGTAGTGGAGATAAGTCTATCAGTTTATGGGATGTCAAGACAGGATAATAAAAAGCCAAATTATATGGTCAATCAGATGGAATTCTATCAGTCAATTTCTCTCCTGACGGTAAAACATTAGCATCAGGTAGTTTTGATTACTCTATCCATTTATGGGATGTTAAGACAGGATAATAAAAAGTCAAATTAGATGGTCATTCAGGAAGTATTTATTCAGTCAATTTCTCTCCTGATGGTACTACATTAGCATCTGGTAGTGAAGATGCCTCTATCCGTTTATGGGATGTTTAGCCAAGATAGTAAACACCCAAATTAGATGTTCATTCAGAAACTGTTTACTCAGTTACTTTCTCTCCTGATGGTACTACATTAGCATCTTGTAGTTAAGATAACTCTATCCGATTATGGGATGCTACGACAGGACAATAGAAAGCCAAATTAGATGGTCATTAGAATGATGTTAAATCAGTTTGCTTCTCTCCTGAAGGCACTACATTGGCATCTGGTAGTTATGATTGCTCCATCCGTTTATGGGATGTGAAGACAGGGTAATAAAAAGCTAAATTAGATGTTCATGAACATTGGGTATATTCAGTCAATTTCTCTCCTGATGGTACGACATTAGTATCTGGTAGTTCGGATAACTTTATCCGTTTATGGAATGTGAAGACAGGGTAATAAAAAGGTAAATTAATTGGTCATGAAAATTGGGTTTATTCAGTCAATTTCTCCCCTGATGGCACTACATTAGCATCTGGTAGTGAGGATAAATCTATTCGTTTGTGGGATGTGAAGACAGAATAATAAAAAGCCATATTAGATGGTCATTCAGGAAGCGTTTATTCAGTCAATTTCTCTCCTGATGGTACGAAATTAGCATCTGGTAGTGGAGATAAGTCTATCCGTTTATGGGATGTTAAGACAGGATAATTAAAATCTTTATTAAAAGGTCATATTCATATCGTCTAATCAGTCAATTTCTCTCCTGATGGTACTTCATTAGCATCTGGTAGTTCAGATAACTCTATCCGTTTATGGGATGTGAAGACAGGCGAATAGAAAGCTAAATTAGATGGTCATTTACGTTATGTTTATTCGGTCAATTTCTCTCCTGATGGTACTACTTTAGCATCTTGTAGTGATGATAACTCTATCCGTGTCTGGGATATCAAATCAGGACAACTGATCAATTAAAACCTTTTTGAAAAATTTAAACTCCCGATATTTCAATCCTAAATTCAAAATAATAGTAATTATTTTTCACTATTTAGCTACCTCCTATACTACAATCCTTTTTATATCTCAGCAATTAATTTTTTAATCAAAAGATGCTCTAATCTTTTAAGGAGAATTTGTTCATCATTTGGGTTTGGAATTAAAGAAATTATTTGAATAAAGAGGAAGTTAAATTTTGTTAGAGCCTTAATAGTAGAAAAAATGATTAATATTTATAATATTTACATTGCCATTTGTTATTAGTCAAATGTAATTCTTTTGAGAGAGAAGTTTTCAATATTTAATCAATAGCTTACTATTAAATAGCTAGTTAAAAGGAAAATGGTCCTAATAAGGCGAAGAATAAAGTCCTGGTCGCGATTTATGAAAGATTTTTATGCAAAGGCAAAAAGTAGAGGAGGAGAATTTTCGGAACGCCTTCCTCCCAAAATCCCTTTTTTTGTTTAGCTATGTAGGAAAATTTATCCTTAAATCTCTTTTTTTTTTTTAGATACTTTAGAAAATTTAATTGAAGGCCCTTTGATTAGAAGCTACCTCAAGATAAACCCTCATGAAAGCAAATAGTTTTGGATACTATAGGGGGCCCAATTACACAATTAGGATGAGGTAAAAAGAAACGCACTTAGGTAATCGACCAAATATGTGGAAAGAGAATGACTAAAAGATCAAAAAAGGGGTCTAAAGTATGTGGATAGAGTTAAGAAAAACATTTTTTGGTCGAGATGAAAAGATAAAATGAGAAAAATTAAATCAATTTTAATTAACGAGAGGGAAGTGAGATGCGTAATAGAGAGTTGTTTCAATAATCACATTAATTTAATAATAAATACATTCTATTCCGTATGATTACTTTTAGATTTTCGACAATTTTCTACTTATTTTATATTCATCAATTAATTGGGCTGAATGAGTTAGTACCTACCAAAAACTTCAAAAATTTGGCCAGCTGTAAGTTGGATATTTAAATCAACTTTGCTTCAGTGAAAAATAAATATATTGTGATAAAATACATATTGAATTTTATTCTATCAGTTCATTTAGACATTTTTTACAATTTGTTATTTTTTGCTATAATATTATTAATTTCTTTGTGCTTTAATTTATGTTCAGCTGATGATGTATCATAAATATCAATTATAGAAAAATAAAGAATTGTTCTTTTAATTTAGTTGAACATACTAATAATTACAATTATAATAAAATATATTAACTGTGCCTGAATCCAAGCTTGTTGTGTCTCTCTAATAAAAATATTAATCAATAGTATTATTATTATTATTATCAAGAAGTTATTTATAACTTAAATCTTGAGGGATAATCTATTTTGCTGTCTTAAAATCCCATAAACAGATAGACTTATGATGACTACCAGATGCTAATGTAGTGCCATCAGGATAAGGAGAGAATTGACTGAGCATACGGTTGATGAGTGATAATCTAATTTGGCTTTTTATAATCCTGTCTTAACATCCTATAAACGGATAGACTTATCATCACTACCAGATGCTAAAATGTGGTACCATTAGGAAAAAATTTACTGCTGTGACTTCATCTGAATGACCATTTAATTTAGATATTTATTCCCATGTTTCAAGATTCCATATAAACACAAATTTGCCACTGCCAGATGCTAATCTAGCACCATTTGGAGAAAGAATAATTATTTTACCTTGCTCTTTACTTTTTCAATCTTGTTTATTCCTCTTCTAATATCCAACAAAAAAATTTAATTATTACTACAAGATGTTAAATAGCATACCATTTGGAGAAAAGCAAACCTAATTGACAATATCACAGTGACCATTTAACTTATTTAACTCCATTTACAATAAATAACATTGCATCATTCAAATTCACTCAACTAATAATGAAATTGTTAAATTCAGATCCACTGAAGTCAAATCTCTTAAAATTTGCTCCTAGTAGTGAAATATTTCTCATTCTAATATGTTCAAACGTTTATGTCTACAAATCAACCTCCATTTCAACTAATAAAGAAGAGAATTTGACCCACTCTATATGCATCTCTCATCAAAGACAGTAAGATGAACTAAAATTTTACTAGTTTTATGATCTTCTTATCTTAGGATACTTACTTTTTTGATCAGATCTTCTTTAATTTCTTAATGTTCTTTTGATGAGTAATTCTGATTTTTAAATTAATGATCTTTAATTGCTTTCAGAACATCTATTATTTTCTTAAATGTTATTTTTCCCAACTTTAAACATCTATCCCTTATCCAATAGAAATACATTTTTTACCTATATTTCTTATTCTACCTAATTTTGATTTTGATCTAATGAATGAAATTATAGGCAGTCCTATATTTCTCTCTCTTGAATTATGGATGAGAAGATTATTTCATCAACTCTCGATAAAGCCAAAACCCCATAAAGTATTCATCCGACTCCTTTTCCCAATTCATTCTCTCAATTTAAAATAATATTGAACTTCTATTACTTGATTTCAGTTTATACTATAATCTAAAATGTATCTTAAATATTATTGTTAGGAAGAAAAGCCAGCTTTATAAGGATATGTGGTAGATGAAATTTATAATAGTGACAATTCACATTAACATGTGCATATCTTATTTCTTTATGAATATAGAATAGGAATGTAAAATAATTTATTAACAACATTCCTACACTAGCAACAAAATTTCTCAGTAAAAATTTTGAAATGATTGAGATAATGATAAAGAATCTCAAACATTTATAAATATTTATAATCCTCTAGTTCCAATTCAATTGTATAACATATTATTATTAATATATCTGAGAATAATATTAAGTTAGTTTATTCTATTATAATAATCGTGTTATAAATAAATAACAAAATATTTTGCTGCATTAACAGGAGGAATTCGAATCAATTACAAATTAATCGTAAATAATTGGTTTTTCTTTTTGCTGTAATTAAACTTTTAATTTCTTATTCTCTAGATCATCTAAAATTAATATCTTAGCTTATTTTCATTCATTTTCTTAATTGACACTGATATATCCTCTAAATATTTGATAATGATCAAAGCATCTTGAATTCCAGTTTTAATGCACATTTTGCTCCTTATGGAATTTTGTAATGCTTAATTTTGTTACAAATTCATCTAACTACGAATTAATTTCCTCCTAAGTCCTTTTATTATTACATTGTAAGTTCAATAATAGCTATACTTAGTACTTTTTCTAATTCGAAGAGGTTGGTAATGTTCTAAAATTTAAGGATATTCATCAATCGATGAAACCTAACATAAATTTTATTTAACTTTTCAGATTATATCATATTATCTAAGGCTTGATTTATAATTTTAAATGCCTCTACATCTATTTCAATCTTTGATTTAACAGTAAAACTTTTTTCAACTATTCCTTCTACTATTAATGATTAATGTTCAATCAAAAGATCTTTATTTATTTATTATAGTTCTTATTAGATCTATAAAATTACTTAGAGGAAGCGATGCAAAGATTAAAACAAAGCATTATAATAAATTAATTGTTGATTATTTTCAACTTTGTGAAGCAAAGAGAGTTTTTCTTCAATAAATTAGTCATCCATTCATTTCAATTTAGGCTCTTCTTCAAATCGAGCAGGAATTGGGTGTTTTTAAGTTATCATTTGATGAGATTAGGCTTACCTATCTATTAAGGCTTATCATATCTTCTTTAGTTGAGAATAATTCAAAAAGTCTATTATTTCTCTTCCAGCTTTGAAAACTAAGTTTCTGGTATCAATTATTTTTTTTTTTTCTCACTAAGCAACGAAATTATTTTTTCATATCAGTTACAGAGGATTAATCATAATTTTGGTTGGCTTGGTAATTTTAAAGTTCTACTATTATCTATACAGCGCTATCTTAAATTTCTTGGAGTAATTTGAATTTGTCTTGAATTATGCAGACATGCATTATAAATTCAAATGATTGATTTGCTGAAATTTGTATTTATCAATAATTAAGTACTCGTAATATTAATAAAACGATAAAGTAAAGTATAATTTTACCTTTTATAAAATAGATCACCTAAACTTGCAAAGAGCAAATATATTATTAGAATCCAACTCAAGCGCCTTATTGTAATCTTAAATGATTTATCATTTTAATTAAGTTCTTTTAAATGAGCACCTTTTACACTTATTAGCTTAATTACTTCTGTTAGTAAATGCATTCGAATTATTAGGATCCAATGCTATACTATTATTATAATCTATTAGGGCCTGATCCTTATTTCCTATTTCGCTCTATAGAATTCCTAGTCAATAGAATATTCTAATAAACTCTTAAATAATATGACAAAGGGTTTTTAGAATTCAATTCAATTGTCTTGCCATTTTTTTTAAGTGCTTAACTCTTATCCCCCATTTTCTAATATATAAGTCCTTCCACATAGCAATTGATAATCTCTGTAAGAATGTTTTGATCCATTTTTAGGATTTAATTCAATAGCCTTATTAACTGCTTAATTTTTATTTCTAATATGAAGTGAAGGGCTCCTATTCGTTATGATGAATTGATAACCTCTGTTATAATAAGCCTATAATTAGGATCTAAATCAATAGCCTAGTTAGAATCTTAGAAAGATAAATATCTATTTCCAAATATATTAAATAAAATTCCTATTCATTGTTTTAAATTGAGTACTTCTATTGAAATAAAAAGCAGCATCATTTGGATAAAATCAATCGCTTTGTTATTATCTATTTGTGCCTTATCTTGTTCATCAATTTCTTTAAAGATCCTTCCTATTAAGTAATAGCTTTAATGATATTGTATAAAAGTTAAAGGATTTTGTTCTTGTGTCTTTTCTAAAATTTATTTAAGAAAATCAAAAATATTTTATAACTAAGATTTGTCTAAATTATAGATGAGGACGCAATTCACAGTCTATGTATTCAGTGTTTATAGTTTTCAATGTAAAATTAGTACAATCATTCCCTTAATTGATATTAAATTGGGAATAAACAATTGGATCGATTTGTCAATATTAGATTATTACCAAATAAATATCACTCATAACGGTAATCTCTAGTCTAACTATTGCAAATGTTTATTACATGAAAGGGTTTAGAACCAATCTATTCACATTAATTAAGTGATAATTATTCAAAAAAAAACTGTAGTCTTCAATAATTCATTCATAAGTTAGCTAATACTCTTCATNTGGTTGGCTTGGTAATTTTAAAGTTCTACTATTATCTATACAGCGCTATCTTAAATTTCTTGGAGTAATTTGAATTTGTCTTGAATTATGCAGACATGCATTATAAATTCAAATGATTGATTTGCTGAAATTTGTATTTATCAATAATTAAGTACTCGTAATATTAATAAAACGATAAAGTAAAGTATAATTTTACCTTTTATAAAATAGATCACCTAAACTTGCAAAGAGCAAATATATTATTAGAATCCAACTCAAGCGCCTTATTGTAATCTTAAATGATTTATCATTTTAATTAAGTTCTTTTAAATGAGCACCTTTTACACTTATTAGCTTAATTACTTCTGTTAGTAAATGCATTCGAATTATTAGGATCCAATGCTATACTATTATTATAATCTATTAGGGCCTGATCCTTATTTCCTATTTCGCTCTATAGAATTCCTAGTCAATAGAATATTCTAATAAACTCTTAAATAATATGACAAAGGGTTTTTAGAATTCAATTCAATTGTCTTGCCATTTTTTTTAAGTGCTTAACTCTTATCCCCCATTTTCTAATATATAAGTCCTTCCACATAGCAATTGATAATCTCTGTAAGAATGTTTTGATCCATTTTTAGGATTTAATTCAATAGCCTTAATAACTGCTTAATTTTTATTTCTAATATGAAGTGAAGGGCTCCTATTCGTTATGATGAATTGATAACCTCTGTTATAATAAGCCTATAATTAGGATCTAAATCAATAGCCTAGTTAGAATCTTAGAAAGATAAATATCTATTTCCAAATATATTAAATAAAATTCCTATTCATTGTTTTAAATTGAGTACTTCTATTGAAATAAAAAGCAGCATCATTTGGATAAAATCAATCGCTTTGTTATTATCTATTTGTGCCTTATCTTGTTCATCAATTTCTTTAAAGATCCTTCCTATTAAGTAGCTTTAATGATATTGTATAAAAGTTAAAGGATTTTGTTCTTGTGTCTTTTCTAAAATTTATTTAAGAAAATCAAAAATATTTTATAACTAAGATTTGTCTAAATTATAGATGAGGACGCAATTCACAGTCTATGTATTCAGTGTTTATAGTTTTCAATGTAAAATTAGTACAATCATTCCCTTAATTGATATTAAATTGGGAATAAACAATTGGATCGATTTGTCAATATTAGATTATTACCAAATAAATATCACTCATAACGGTAATCTCTAGTCTAACTATTGCAAATGTTTATTACATGAAAGGGTTTAGAACCAATCTATTCACATTAATTAAGTGATAATTATTCAAAAAAAAACTGTAGTCTTCAATAATTCATTCATAAGTTAGCTAATACTCTTCATTAAAATGCCGGAAGCCTTGCTAAATAACATAATAAAGAAATTTTGAATTAATCAAGTGCTCTTCAAGAAATTTTATGAGGTTAGATTTTCTTCCCATATACATGGATATTTTATCGTTACATTTGCAAAATCTATCTTTATTGAACAGTTATTTAATTGAAGAAAATAGAGAGTTTAATATCAATACTTAAGATTGATTTTAGTGTAATAATAGTTAATAAATGTAATGGTATAAGTAACTCATTTAATTTGCTTTTTTACATCAATCCTGCTCTGAATTTAGGCACAATGAATAACTTTCATTTGTACATCAAAGCAGTGCAAAGAAATTATTAATAAATTCAATTTCTTTATGCAAAAATTAATGAAATGTTTAATCATTTAAATCAGTTAATGGAAATAGATTTATCAATCACAAATGAAGTATTAACATAAATTAGTACTCAATAATTAAATAATATCATTACTACACTAATCCATTTTAATGGTGAAAATAAACCAGAAATTTAAGTAGCATCTCAAAACACAGAAAAATTTACTTAATGCTTCTCCCAACTTCTTCAAGCATTTAAGATTTCCTAACCAGATATCTAAACTATTACCAATAATCAAACTTCATAAATAGTTTTGTTTAAATATCAAGTAATCAATTCTGTCAAAGAATATGAATGTTGCTTTTCAGCTTGCTTTAATTAAGATTTTACTATTATGATAACCAGATATATGGATGGTATTTTCAAAGTATTTGAATTTAATTAAGGGAATATTAAACTTATGCAAAGACTTAGTTAACACAATGGCATTGTAGGATAATTAAATTTCATGAATAATTCAAATTTGTTTGTATCTAGAAGTTTAGATAATGATATTATAATTTGGAATTTCTTTTAAAATAAATAGTGCTATGTCTAATAAAAAATAATAGGACATAGAAATTTGATTCGCTGGATAGTAATTAATAAAGGTGATGATCTAAAGATTCAGAATGAAGTTTTGTAGAATAGATAAGTCCTGGTAATGTCATAAACGTTAAATCAACATAATTTTAGATGAAAACTAACCTATCTGATCTTTTGTGCTTAAGATGACGATGAAATATGCATAAATAAATAATAAAAGAATAAATAATGTATGATTGTGTTAAAAATTAAGTAAAGACTATTCTTTATTAATATAAACTTATTTACTGTCTAACAATGACATAGCCCTGTTATGAATATCTATGAATTGGATAACCAAAAAAATGAAAGTTAAAAATGGGAATAGTTGTCATTGTTTTTCTAATCATAATATAATTAGTAAAAGTAGATGTTAATCTGTAAAAATGAATATTATTTTAACATTATAAAAGTATATTAATCAATTGAATTTCAATTGGTTAATTTATTGATTTTGGAACAGGTACTGTTTTTGGTAGATTAACTGAAGATGGATAGTTAATGATAACTTGGGATTAAAACGTAATAAATTTAAATATTTTAAGTTAAAGAAATTTGAAAATAATTTTAATAAATTGATTATAAATAATTTTCATTGGGTCTCTGTATTTATCATAATCATTATGAGCATATGAAATTCTCTTGATAAAGAGAATAGATATATTTTCCTAGATTAAAATAAATTATGTAATCTTTCATCTTTAATTTATCTGCTTTTTAGTAAAATAGAATATATGGATATGTAGTATTAAGACATGAAGAAGATATCAANTTTATGCAAAAATTAATGAAATGTTTAATCATTTAAATCAGTTAATGGAAATAGATTTATCAATCACAAATGAAGTATTAACATAAATTAGTACTCAATAATTAAATAATATCATTACTACACTAATCCATTTTAATGGTGAAAATAAACCAGAAATTTAAGTAGCATCTCAAAACACAGAAAAATTTACTTAATGCTTCTCCCAACTTCTTCAAGCATTTAAGATTTCCTAACCAGATATCTAAACTATTACCAATAATCAAACTTCATAAATAGTTTTGTTTAAATATCAAGTAATCAATTCTGTCAAAGAATATGAATGTTGCTTTTCAGCTTGCTTTAATTAAGATTTTACTATTATGATAACCAGATATATGGATGGTATTTTCAAAGTATTTGAATTTAATTAAGGGAATATTAAACTTATGCAAAGACTTAGTTAACACAATGGCATTGTAGGATAATTAAATTTCATGAATAATTCAAATTTGTTTGTATCTAGAAGTTTAGATAATGATATTATAATTTGGAATTTCTTTTAAAATAAATAGTGCTATGTCTAATAAAAAATAATAGGACATAGAAATTTGATTCGCTGGATAGTAATTAATAAAGGTGATGATCTAAAGATTCAGAATGAAGTTTTGTAGAATAGATAAGTCCTGGTAATGTCATAAACGTTAAATCAACATAATTTTAGATGAAAACTAACCTATCTGATCTTTTGTGCTTAAGATGACGATGAAATATGCATAAATAAATAATAAAAGAATAAATAATGTATGATTGTGTTAAAAATTAAGTAAAGACTATTCTTTATTAATATAAACTTATTTACTGTCTAACAATGACATAGCCCTGTTATGAATATCTATGAATTGGATAACCAAAAAAATGAAAGTTAAAAATGGGAATAGTTGTCATTGTTTTTCTAATCATAATATAATTAGTAAAAGTAGATGTTAATCTGTAAAAATGAATATTATTTTAACATTATAAAAGTATATTAATCAATTGAATTTCAATTGGTTAATTTATTGATTTTGGAACAGGTACTGTTTTTGGTAGATTAACTGAAGATGGATAGTTAATGATAACTTGGGATTAAAACGTAATAAATTTAAATATTTTAAGTTAAAGAAATTTGAAAATAATTTTAATAAATTGATTATAAATAATTTTCATTGGGTCTCTGTATTTATCATAATCATTATGAGCATATGAAATTCTCTTGATAAAGAGAATAGATATATTTTCCTAGATTAAAATAAATTATGTAATCTTTCATCTTTAATTTATCTGCTTTTTAGTATTGTAAATTTATTTTTTTAAAACGATTATTTAAATTGATCATATTTACTCTCTCAATTTATTTAAAATATTTATTTTTTCATTCTTATTAATTATTTTTTAATTCTTATAATTACAATTTTTTAATGTAGTTTTTATTAAATTTTTTTAGTTGAAATTTATATCACTTTAAATTAAAATTGATATAATTTTATTATAAAATAGAATATATGGATATGTAGTATTAAGACATGAAGAAGATATCAAAACAAGAATGTTTTTATCAATTTCTATATTAAAGTTCTTCTAAAATAACTCATTCTAATAAATCCTAGATATTATAACTTTTGTCTTAATTTAAGTTCAGGATGAAATTCAATATTACTATTTTTGATTAAGTATCAAAAATTATTAAATTTTGAAGAACTAAATAAAATAAAGAAATCTTTAATTGTAATTAAGCTATTCTCTTCAATTGTCTAATTACAACGGAATTTATTACTAATAAAATGGAGAGATTTTCTATTCTTAAGGCCTCATAATAATATTATTTTGCTTCTTCTTTTATTCTCAAACCTAATATCTAATTTAATCAACATTATGAATTCTAATGTGTCACTTTATTATAAAAAGTAAAGAATACCCTTGAGCTTTAATCTAATGGGATTTTTGTTCATATAGATTGCTTAATCATAAACAATTAATGCATCTTTGAATTTTTACAACAGATGTAATTAAGTAAGTTTATTTTAAAGAAATTAGAGAGAGATAAAAAATGAAAGAATTTTGAACCTTTTTCCCATTAGCTCCATCATTATTTTTGTTTAGATCAATTTCAGTTTAGAAACTTTAAAGAGTCTTTGCCTATTGAATATTTACATATATTTATTGCCTTTCCCTTAGTATGTGATATCCTAGCGATTATTCAATTTTATTGCATCTTCATAAGCATTTTAGGCTTCTTAATACTTTTCCAATTCATATAAAGTTAGAGAGAATTCAAAATATTAATAGAGCAAGGCTTTCCAATATTTAGAATAATACCCTTTATTATAATAGCCGTTCTCATTCTTTGGATTCAAATCTATTGCCATTTTTATTTTCTAAAGAGCTTCTATGAATTTGCCTAGGGGAATTAATGAAACTCCAATAAAATGATAATAAGTAATTATTGGTTACCTAGATTCTTGTAAGCACTTTTATATATTGGGTTGATTTATCGGGCTAATCAAAAGAAAACTAAATTTATTTAGATGATTTGCAATAGAAATAGAATAATCTATAACTAATGTAAAGCCTTTGAAATTTATTAGTAGTCCAAAATTACCTTTTAAATAATAGACTAAATCGTGATTATAACCCATCGATAATGATTCGTTTAAGGCTGCTAATGCTTCTTTAAATTATCCCCTTTAACTAATTATTCACCTAAAATTAATTTCATAAATTTATACCTTTCTCAAAATAACTTTTGGCTCTACTCAGATATTAGTAATTATTGTCATCGGTTAAAACATTGTTATAGTAATCTATTCTTATATAATCTTTTTTAATATTTTCAAGAGCTGACACAATAGAATTGATTGATGTTATCAGATTTATTACTTTAAATTTAGCATATAAATTTCCTTAATCAATAGTAAACAATACTTTTTTAGTCTCATCAACCTTAGAATGATACTTTCTTAAGAAACTGATATCGTTTTTAAATTTTAGATATTCTCCTTTTGATAAAATCACTCATTTTTATAATTTCTTAAAGTTATTCTATGCTTTCTAATGCATTCGATTAATAAAATTACTGGGGCTGCTCTCAAAGTTTCGTAAATTTCCATAAAATTCATTTTCTTTAAGAATATATTTCAGGATAAAATCTTCGATTGTCTAAAATCATGGGCATTAAGATTAATGTTATTTTTTAATAGTTCTGAGACATTTCAAACAAAATTGAGGAGTTTAATGGCAACCAATATTAATACAAAATCCTTTAATAGCTTCTTCAAAATTATCTTCATACCTACAATGAAACCTGACCATAATGTTTCAATTTTATAATAATTAATAAAAATAAATTATCAAATAGTAGATAAAGAATATAATGTTTTATTCTATTATATGATTAATCTAATATAGAAACAATTCATAGAGCAGGAATCTTTCTTTCTGCATCTATAAAAATTCATATGAGATATTGATAAGATAATAAAATTTAAGTAATCTTTTGCACTATTTTGAAGGTTAATTAATACAATTGGTAAGTAGTAATGACTTAAGCAAGCATTGTTTGAATTAAAATAAAGGATTTATTTTATATTGATTTAATAAGTAATATATTTTTTTATTAAAAATAGCAAGAATGCATACAATGGCGCTTATTTATTAATCAAATGAGGAGTATTTACTATTCAGAATCTGAAATTTGTTGAAATATTTGATTGTTTAATAAAGAGATACAAACTTAACATGGTTCTTGAGAAGGATTAACGTAAATGTTGTTTAAATGTTATTTAATAGTTCTGCTTACTCTATACAAGATAACTAAGTTTAAAACTTTATTCTTGTTCTATTATTTCCCAGAAATTAGAGGTTATACAAATAAAATATAATAAATTATATGAAAATCAGAAAAATTATACTCATATATTTCTTAATTTTGTTATACTAAAATTTGGAAGTTAAAAACATTTAATAATTGAAATAAATATAATACTTATATTAATTAACAGAAATTTTAATTAAAGCTAGTTATAATCAATCTCATTAAAATGTAGTTGATTTTCTCTATAAATAAATTAAGCTGCAACTCTAGTTCATTTTTAATTGATTTTATCTCTTTTCATTTTACAAAATCTCTGAATGTATTTTCCCTAAAAAATATTATAATATTATAAAGTAATAGTGTAATCAAATAAATATATTGTTTAATTCGACTAGTCCGTACTTTAGCATTTGAATATAATTTGGTTTATTGAATGTCGAAATCAAACTTTCAAATAATGTCTCTAATTAAATTGAAAATCTTAATAATGTAAACTTCTATTGTTCTTTAACCTAATAAATGTTGTTCTGAAAAACAAAATAAAAATGATAAAATTCTAAATAGAATGGATTTATTGATCGACTTAATCAATCAAATTGAGGTTATTTATTCCATTTATTCTAAATTTTATATAATAACTATTCCATTTTATTTTGGAGAATATTTGCTAAACCCTAAAATAATTATTATTCTTTATGCTGAATTATACATATGTATTTAAGACTTTGAAAATGTGATGCTCATTTACTAATTTCAACAATTATTTTTGGATAGATGGCGTATTTTAGATGTCAAAATTTTGCTATCAGAGCGAAATGCTGGGATTCATTGGTGTTTACTAAATTAAGTTGTAATATTTTCAAAACGACGGATTGGTAGATTTCATTTGTTATGTAAACAACTTAAAATAGTAGTTTTTCAAATAGCCAACACCTATAATTTCATTGATTTTTAAACTTCAATAATATTAAATTTATTATGTCAATCACAAAATTTCAAAATTTTTCTCTACTTTGATAAAAATGTGATCATATAAATAATTTTTTTTCTTTTAAATGTCAAGAAAAATATACTTTTTTTGTTATAAGGAACAGCTCTCCAAGGATAATAATTTTCAACATCATCTTAGTGAGGTTCCTTTACTGCTATATTAAAGCTTTTAACAATCAAATCACTTCATAGTATTTTCTAAGTTCTGAATCAATGTTATTTTTTAGATCATAGATATAAGAAGATCCATTACAACTATCCATTAGAATTTGGATAGCCCTAAAAAATAAAGTTATGTGTAATGAGTTAAAATTAGAACAATTAACTTTAATTAAACAATTTCTTGGATATTTGAAATTATAAATAATCATAATTGTGAATCGAATAGCATCTAAATGAAAGATGAATTATATAATTCAGTTGAATAAGCACTAAATCTAGAAGACTTTTATGAAAAATAATTGGTCTGTTAAAAATTAATCTAACAAAAGGATGACACTAAAATAGAAAGTTTCCAATTCAATAAGATTGCTAGAATAAGCTTCAGACATCGATTGCTACAACAATCGGTCATCTGACTTTACTATTATCATTAATATTCGATGATTTTTATACTGATTAGGAACTTACCTAGAAAAGCGCTATTAATATCTCATCCTTAAAAGTAAGTTCTTAAAAGGTTGAGTCATAGTAGCTGAGCTAGTTTGGTTGAAGAAGATAGTTGATACTCAATAAATTATCAATAATTATTTAGTCTATATTCAATATAATTGATAATCAATTTTTTATTATTTCTCAGAATGAAACTTTAGCAGAGCATTAATTAAACTTTAATTTAATTAATTACTTAAATTGTAATGAAAAACTTCAAGTATATGGCTAAATTTTATAGATTTAAGGAATGATGGTGAAGTTATAACTTTAAAAAGTTACTAAATCTGTATATAATTAAGAGTTTTAATTAAAAGATTATTAATTGGATAGTTTAATTGCCTTTTTTTGAAAAAGAACCAAAAGTTAGTTAAAATTATATAATCTATGAAAAGCTTAGGCATCTAAACTTTAAATTTACTTATTCAAATAAAATTTGGAGGTTGATAAAATTATTTTGTCAAATCAATCCTTACTAATTTTTTTTATACCAATTCTTAACTTAATCAGCTTTAAATCATACTTATTATGGAGTTGACTTCGCTGAATTTCACTATTGCGATGCTTTCAAAAGGTTTTCTGAAATTAAAAAATATCATTATTATTGTATTAATGATTTAAAAAGAAAATATATTTGAAATTTGCAATTATTTCAAATCATTTTATCTTCAGGACACTTCTTTTTTGATTAAAAGATCCTACTACTACTATGTAAAATTTTATTAAATAAATACAACATATAGTCAATTTTTAAGAATGATTAAACCCTGTGAAAAAAGTCTTTAGATTTTTACAATTTAGTAGTTAATTTAACATTTTTATATTAACATCCGCCTGCGAAGTTTATTGATTGATTTTGTAATTATCAATGCATGCATTAATCTCATTGATTATTTAGTTTTCAAAAAAATTCCAAAAATAATTAAACAATCTATATGTTCTAAGGCAAAATTGCTGTAACGATGGTTGCCCTGCATCTTTGTTTTCCTTTTTTGTATTTTTTTCATGACGATTTTGGCATTAAATTAAATTTAGGTTATTCTCTAATAATAGCGAAATCAATAAAACCGAGATAGATAATTAAATAAACTTAAATCTTGTAAGCTCTTTATTTATTAGTTTATTTAATTTATGACCCAGTCGCAAATTTGCTTAAGAATTTCTTTGTACCGTTTTTGGACAGTATTAAATACAAAGTATGTAAGCAGATCTATCACTTAATTTATTTCTTTATCTATCACAGCGTAATAAATAAAATTTTTGATAAATTAAATATTAGATGAAGAAATTTTCATTTTATATAATTTAAAAAATCAGTTTGATAATTTTAAATAAATCGTACATTTTTCTTTTGTAAGCACTGCCATTTAAAAATAGCCTATAAAGTTGAAGAAATTCTATTTAGCATTTTATTGAATGCACATTTTTATTTTTTAGTTAATAAAATGATCAAAGCCAGTTTTCAATATTTAATTATAAACATAAAATCTTTCTTCAGATCAAAAAATTTATTATTAGGTTCAACGTAGCCATTTTAGAATAATATTATTATCCAATAACAGCATGGCATTATCAATACGAATATGGAAGAACTACAGAATCGAAGTCTCTGTTAAATACTTGCTGTATATAGTAACTAGGGTTATAATCCAGTTGGAGATGGCACTCATTCAGGACTATACATAAACACTAAATATTATGCGATCTTTAGCAGCGATATGATAAACATAAGGAGATTAAAGAAATAGATTTCTAACATTAAATTTACTTAAATAATAATTCTGATAAGGGTTCTCTTTTTGTTTATAAATAATATCATTATTAGAATGCCTGTTATATTTATTTCCTAAAAAGACTAAGCCTGTTTACCTTTGAGTTCAGTGTATAAAATTTAAACTTTATCGATTTATTTAATATCCTAAGTAGTAAATTTGCGAATTCAGATAGCTTATGGCTCCCAAAGTTCAAGCATTATTTATGGTAATTATTTTTATAAACCTTCTAGTCCTCAAAAATCAAGTTCAGATCTTCTTTATGATGACTGTCGATTCAATCCTCCAACTTGGTATTTCGACCTTTGTGCACAATAGATTACATTTCACAAAAATAAATCAATGATGCATCTGAATCTTTCATATATCTTTAAACTTATAAAGAATCAAATTCATTCAATTATACTCTTATTTGTGATTCAATAAAAAGATAAAGAAATTGAATTTAAAAGAAGCGATGTAACTTTGAAAAATCACTTTAGGTGAGATTAAGGAATAATTTTCAGATCAATATTATGCAATCACTAAGATAATTCGACCTTCAACATTGATTGGTTAGTTATAATAGTAGATTTTTTTACATTAAGAAGTTAATTGAATAAGATAGGTAATAGAATCAAGTCATCCAAATCAACAAGATCTAAGTGTAATTATGAAGATAGAAGCTTTCCTATTGGTATTTTTAAAGTAAAGAGGAAAATATCGATGATCAAGTGAGCTGTTATATTGGATGAGGAAACCATCGGTAAGCCTGTTTTTGAAATTGTCCCTGTATCTATGATCAAATGAAATAAATATGGCTACTTATAAGCGAATAGAGTTGATGATCAGAAATATTAATAAAGTTAAATCAGAGAATTGAAACAGTATTTCAAAAATTCACAAGAGGAAGGATGTAGACAAATTTAAGTAAGTTTAAGTTCGAAGAAACATTTAAGGGAAAATAACACATTTTAGTAGATTTAGAGATTTAAATTTGCTATTTTTTAGAATTACAAAGAAATATTACAAAAAATTTCCTTTTGGTTTATTTTTACAATCTAAAAGGACAATATTTAATATAGAAATAAAGCACAACTCAATTATGAGGTTTGGAAAGCCAAGCATCATATAAAAAATACTGAATTTTTTTGAAACATTTAAACAAATGACAAAAAATTAAAGATTCTCATTATTTGTAGAATAAAAAGTTTATATTAATTCCTTTTTGGTAAATAATAAATACTTATTCAGATTATAGAGATTAATATCATTTATAACATATAAAAATAGAGTTTTATATATATTTATATTTTCCAATTTAGGAGAAGAAAGCAGGTCATTTATAAAACACTCTTTGGATTGCTTATTGTTTGATGATATTCGTATCCCCTAAATCGAAAAGTTGATGATTTGCAAATCTTTTAGTTTAATAATAGCAATATTTTTGAAGCTAAGTTTGAATAATTTTCAAAAAGGCTGGCTTTAATAAGATGTATAAATCTAATATCAAAGTTAGGCTTAAATTAAAACTCATTATACCAATTTAAATCCATCCAAGAGTAACCAAATTCTGAGGATTGTTTTTTGAAAATTCATTAACTAAATAAATCAAATTCATGAAGAAAAATGTTAAATGCTTAAATTACTTTTTGTAACCATCAAGTTTTTCTAATTTTTTTCTTTTCAGGAAAAGAAATGAAAAATAGCATAGTTCATTGATAGCGCAAAGCTATATTTAAATTATAGGACATTCAAAACATCCTACTAAAATAATACTAAAAATTATCTTTTAGATACAACTAAAAGTATACTAAAATTCGCTTAATCTTTAATTCTATTTGTTGATTAAATATTAAATTATAAAGAGTAATAAACTAACCTTTAGGGTTAAACTTATAATTCCTTATAAATTGTAGTTATTTTAATATTGAAATGATAACATCATGCTAATAACATATTCATATATAAGAGATTAGAATATTACTTTAAATTATTCTTTAAACTAATTTCCATAATGTTTTTTACAAATTTTTGCTAATTGATTCAATAATTTTAACTAATAAAGGTTTGGCGTATCTGTTTTAAATTATGAAATAAACGTTATAAGTTTCTTAATTATTATTTGGGAGAATAAATGGCTGAAATAGGCTACGAAAAAGATGGAGAATACTTCGAAAAAGGCACCCAAAAAATTTGAGCTTCTTCCATCATCCTCAAAGATAGATTGTGAATTTTCGGAAGTTACATTGAAAAATATAAAGTATTAGGGTGAAAATCCAATAAATTCATAAAAGTTGGCTAACTATATTATTTTAAATGTATCAAAAAACTTTAGCAAATTTTATCCCTTGATAATATTAATGTATTTGTAATAATAGAGCATTTACATCATTTCTATTTAATTTTCTATGATCTAAAATTTTCCACTTAAAGAAGAAACTAATACTAATCCTGCTATGATTTATATTTGATATTAACTAAATTAAATGATAGACCCAGTAGTTTTTTATTCTTCGATTGATAAAAGATTAGGAGATACGAGTTATATCTATATTTGTTAATATTCTTATTCTAATTCCTATTCGTTTATGATGATGCTTAGATCAAGAAAATTTAGAATAAAGATAGGATCAACAGCTCTTTCTAAGTACAAAACTTTTATCATGATTTCAACGTAATCTAAATCCTAAGTTGGTTTATTATTTGCTTCAACTGTTANCTCGAATTGGTTAAAGAATTCAGGGAAATTATCAGACATGAAAGTTCTATTCTGATGAATTTAGAAGAATATATAGTCAAAAGATGGAACCGATAAAGTCGTTAAGAATTAATAAGAACTTGAGTTAGAAAGAGGTCTGTTTTATAAATTGAAGGCCATATTCTTTCATCAAATTAATTTTAAAAATTAAAGAGGAAAGATATAGATGATCAAGTAAGCTTTAATATTGGCTGAGGAGATTTATTGGTTAGGCTGTTATTGAAACTTCCATGTATCTGTGATTAAATGAAATAAATATAAATTCTAATGTGGCTATCTATATGCGATTAGTATTAATGATCAGAAATATTAATAAAATCAAGATCATAGAATTAAAAGTATCTCAAAAATTCAAATGAGAAAGTTGAAGAATAAGTTATTAGGCTCGAAGAAACAGTATTAAGGAAAATAACAATATTTTAGCCAAGTTCGAAATTGGAATTGTTATTGTTTGGATTTATGAAGAAATATTACCAAAATTTGTCATTGAGTTTCTATATTTACAATCTTCAATGTAATAGGTCAGTGGTTAATACATAGAAAAAATTTACATCTCAACTATGAAGTTTATAAATCAAAGTATCATATAAAAAATTACTAAATATATTTTAACATATTATAAAACTTTAATTATTTAATTTGTAGAATAAAAAGACTATTTTTATTACTACTAGTAAATAATAAATATTGATTCAAATTATAAAGATTAAAATGTTGATAACTTATAAATAGTTCAGTTTAATATTTATTTGTATTTGCTAACTTAGCATGAAATAAGTGTGTCATTTATAAAACACTCTTTGGATTCCTGATGGTTTTATGTTTGAATCACTTTAATCGAAAAGTTGATGATTTGCAAATCCTCTTGTTTGCTTCTAAAAGTATTTTTTAAGCCATGCTTAACCAACTTTCTAAAAAACTGGCTTTAATAATATATAAATATCTAATAACAAAGTAAGGCTTAAATTTAAACTCATAATTCCAATTTAGATCCATCCAAGAGTAACCAAGTGCTGCGAATTGTTTTTTGAAAATTCATGAATCGAATAAATCACATTCATAAAGAAAAACGTTAAATGCTTAAATTATTTCTTAAAACCCTCTAATTTTTCTAATTTATTTCTTTTTAAAAAAAGAAAGGTAAAATACAATAGTTCATTAACAGCACAAAGCTATATTTAAATCATAGGACTTTGAAAACATCCTACTAAAATTATACTAAAAATTATCTTTTAGATACAACTATACGTATACTAAAATTCGCTAAATCTTTAATTCTATTTGTTGATTAAATATTAAATTATAAAGAGTAATAAACTAATCTTTAGGGTTAAACTTAGAATTCCTTATAAATTGTAGTTATTTTAATATTGAAATGATAACATCATGTTTATAACATATTCATATATAAGAGATTAGAATAATATTTTAAACTATTCTTTAAATTAATTTCCCGATAGTTTTTTGAAAATTTTTGTTAATTGATTCAATAATTTTAATTAATAGAGGTTTGGCGTAGCTGTTTTAAATTATGAAATAAACGTTATAAGTTTCTTAATTATTATTTGGGAGAATAAATGGCTGAAATAGGCTACGAAAAAGATGGAGAATACTTCGAAAAAGGCACCCAAAAAATTTGAGCTTCTTCCATCATCCTCAAAGATAGATTGTGAATTTTCGGAAGTTACATTGAAAAATATAAAGGATTAGGGTGAAAATCCAATAAATTCATAAAAGTTGGCTAACTATATTATTTTAAATGTATCAAAAAACTTTAGCAAATTTTATCCCTTGATAATATTAATGTATTTGTAATAATAGAGCATTTACATCATTTCTATTTAATTTTCTATGATCTAAAATTTTCCACTTAAAGAAGAAACTAATACTAATCCCGCTATGATTTATATTTGATATTAACTAAATTAAATGATAGACCCAGTAGTTTTTTATTCTTCGATTGATAAAAGATTAGGAGATACGAGTTATATCTATATTTGTTAATATTCTTATTCTAATTCCTATTCGTTTATGATGATGCTTAGATCAAGAAAATTTAGAATAAAGATAGGATCAACTGCTCTTTCGAAGTACAAAATTTTTATCATGATTTCAACATAATCTAAATCCTAAGTTGGTTAATTATTTGCTTCAACTGTAACATTTACTTTAGTGTTTACAATAGAACCAGATAATGAGTTTAAGTATTATTCCAATGTACGATTAGGAGATAGTCTTATCTTCTGATCATAAGTTAAAGAAAGAATTTATTAATTTTCAATTTATTTAACAAATTTTAATTAAGGGACAGGATAAAAGATTTAAATGCATTCATTTAAAAAGCACATGCTATTTCTTGAAGGTTAACAGTTTGAATCACATCCATCCCCATTAATTAAATTACCATCATCACATAGTTCATTTTAATTGATAACACCATCTCCACACTTGGCTTCAACTAAATTTGTTAAAGCATTAATATTATTATTATTATTATGTTTGGTTGTATTAACATCTTAAAAATATTGAATGCAAACATTATTTTCACAAGTCATACAAGTTTGGATATCACAAATTTAGTTTGATTTAGGTTCACATAATTCATCCTATATTTAATAGCCATCTAAGCAGACTAAGCATTAGTTATTTACATCTAAGGTCTTACAATTATTATCTATGATTAATTTACAATTTAAACATTTTCTAGTGTTGAGCACATCACATTCTTCATCTGGCACTGCTACTATTTCATCACCACAAGCACTAAAACAAGATACATTTTATTAATCAAAATAATAGCCTTTCTTACATGCAGTGCCATCATCAGTACAAACTCCAGCTATGCATAATGGGCATAGAGGATTACAAGAATATTTACATTCAAAACAACCATCATATGGATCCAAATTACCGTCATCACAATCTTCGTAGATAGATTTTAAATGATCTCCGCATATGTCATAACATTAATTAATTAAAGGGTTGTAGTAAAGACCATCATCAGGATCACACTTAGCTTTAAGAAGGCATTGATTATCAATGAGCACATAATCCTATTCACAGATTTGGCACAATCCAAAAAAGCATTCAACACAGTAATCTCTACATTAAAATTAGCAGCTCGAACATATAATATTATGTTAAATTAAGTTATGTTCACATTATTCAAGATCATTAATATAATTATCTCCACATTAACTCTCACATTTAGACCTATTTGCATTTAAATAGTAATGTTCTTCACAAATAATACAAATATCATTGATCTATTAGTGACAATATTTTATATAAGATTAACTCATATGATTATATTCCAAAAGTTATTCTTATTGAGAAATTTAATTATTTTGCCTTTATTAAATTACACAAATTCCATTAAATATTTAAAATCCTAATTAGCAACGTAAACATCTTCCTGATACACATAATTAGCAATCGAGACCACAATGAAACTAACAAAAGTGACAACCATCAAAAGGGTCAATATTACCATCATCACAATCTTCCCCAGTAACAATTAATTTATCTCCACAAATATTTTGACATTTATTTTCAATCAATTAAAATCCTATTTAACATTAAAAACAACCATTAATTTGACAATTTAAACAACTAGGTTAACAAGATAATTAACAGTTATAACAGCCATCATAAAGTAAAGTATTCATATCTTCACATTTTTCATTTCCAACTTTTATATTATCGTTGCATTTTTCTAAACATTTATTGCTTTTAGCGTCAAGGTAATAATGATCAATGCATTATAAACATTTTCCATTCTAGCAAGTCAAACAAATAGAAGGTTAACATTATAACTTACAAGTTGAGCTGCATCCATCATAGTCATTTAAATTAAAATCATCGCATTCCTCTGTATTTCTTCCATAGGGATCAACTGCAAGGTAGCCATCCCCGCAAATATTGACACAATAATAGCTTTAAGGTTTAAAACCAACAACTTTACAATCTAAACAATTCATTCCATCAGAACTACATGTTTTGCAATCATTTCTGCATAGTCTCTTACATTAAAAACAATTATCATTTTCATCTAGATTATATCCATCATCACATTCTTCCGATCCTATAACAATTGAATCTCCGCAATTCTCAATACATTTCTACGTCTCAATGTTGATAATCCACCCATATGTTAAACAATCATAGCATAAACCTCTTAAACATTTTGTGCATTAAACTTAGCAATCTTACTTGCATTGGTAACAACCGTCATATTAAATATTATTACCATCATCACATTCTTCAAGACCACTTGTGATTCCATCTCCACATACATCTGGGCAAGGAAATACTGTTAAATGATTACAGGTCAAGCATTATTTTGGGCACTAAAATTTACAATTTGTGCAACCATCATTAATTTCTTAGTTTCCATCTTCACATTCTTCATCGCCTGATAATATTAAGTCTCCACATATTGGGATGCATAAATTGTCAATATTCTAGAAGCCCGACAAACATGTAACTATGTCACATAATTCATTATGCCATTTAAATATTTCATTTCCACATTTTTTGTAACATTATGATAAACTTGTATCTTCAGATGATGGACATGCTTAACAGGTATCACTAACTTCATAATATCCTAATTAACATATACACGAGATTCCCTATAAACTTCTGTGTTCATTTGCATTACAGCTTAGACAAGAATTATCAAATGATGAAAAACAAGTCTTACATTTTTAATTACACTATTTGCATTAAAAACTAGAATCATCAAAGTAATATCCTTCNTTTATGATGATGCTTAGATCAAGAAAATTTAGAATAAAGATAGGATCAACTGCTCTTTCGAAGTACAAAATTTTTATCATGATTTCAACATAATCTAAATCCTAAGTTGGTTAATTATTTGCTTCAACTGTAACATTTACTTTAGTGTTTACAATAGAACCAGATAATGAGTTTAAGTATTATTCCAATGTACGATTAGGAGATAGTCTTATCTTCTGATCATAAGTTAAAGAAAGAATTTATTAATTTTCAATTTATTTAACAAATTTTAATTAAGGGACAGGATAAAAGATTTAAATGCATTCATTTAAAAAGCACATGCTATTTCTTGAAGGTTAACAGTTTGAATCACATCCATCCCCATTAATTAAATTACCATCATCACATAGTTCATTTTAATTGATAACACCATCTCCACACTTGGCTTCAACTAAATTTGTTAAAGCATTAATATTATTATTATTATTATGTTTGGTTGTATTAACATCTTAAAAATATTGAATGCAAACATTATTTTCACAAGTCATACAAGTTTGGATATCACAAATTTAGTTTGATTTAGGTTCACATAATTCATCCTATATTTAATAGCCATCTAAGCAGACTAAGCATTAGTTATTTACATCTAAGGTCTTACAATTATTATCTATGATTAATTTACAATTTAAACATTTTCTAGTGTTGAGCACATCACATTCTTCATCTGGCACTGCTACTATTTCATCACCACAAGCACTAAAACAAGATACATTTTATTAATCAAAATAATAGCCTTTCTTACATGCAGTGCCATCATCAGTACAAACTCCAGCTATGCATAATGGGCATAGAGGATTACAAGAATATTTACATTCAAAACAACCATCATATGGATCCAAATTACCGTCATCACAATCTTCGTAGATAGATTTTAAATGATCTCCGCATATGTCATAACATTAATTAATTAAAGGGTTGTAGTAAAGACCATCATCAGGATCACACTTAGCTTTAAGAAGGCATTGATTATCAATGAGCACATAATCCTATTCACAGATTTGGCACAATCCAAAAAAGCATTCAACACAGTAATCTCTACATTAAAATTAGCAGCTCGAACATATAATATTATGTTAAATTAAGTTATGTTCACATTATTCAAGATCATTAATATAATTATCTCCACATTAACTCTCACATTTAGACCTATTTGCATTTAAATAGTAATGTTCTTCACAAATAATACAAATATCATTGATCTATTAGTGACAATATTTTATATAAGATTAACTCATATGATTATATTCCAAAAGTTATTCTTATTGAGAAATTTAATTATTTTACCTTTATTAAATTACACAATTTCCATTAAATATTTAAAATCCTAATTAGCAACGTAAACATCTTCCTGATACACATAATTAGCAATCGGGACCACAATGAAACTAACAAAAATGACATCCATCAAAAGGGTCAATATTACCATCATCACAATCTTCCCCAGGAACAATTAATTCATCTCCACAAATATTTTGACATTTATTTTCAATCAATTAAAATCCTCTTTAACATTACAAACAACCATTAATTTGACAATTTAAACAACTAGGTTAACAAGATAATTAACAGTTATAGCAGCCATCATATAATAAAGTATTCATATCTTCACATTTTTCATTTCCAACTATTATATTATCATTACATTTTTCTAAACATTTATTGCTTTTAGCGTCAAGGTAATAATGATCAATGCATTATAAACATTTTTCATTCAGACAGGTCAAACAAACAGAAGTTTAACATTAAAACTTACAAATCGAGCTGCACCCATCATAGTCATTTAAATTAAAATCATCGCATTCCTCTGTATTTCTTCCATAAGGATCAACTGCAAGGTAGCCATCCCCGCAAATATTGACACAATAATAACTTTAAGGTTTAAAACCAACAACTTTACAATCTAAACAATTCATTCCATCAGAACTACATGTTTTGCAATCATTTCTGCATAGTCTCTTACATTAAAAACAATTATCATTTTCATCTAGATTATATCCATCATCACATTCTTCCGATCCTATAACAATTGAGTCTCCGCAATTCTCAATACATTTCTACGTCTCAATGTTGATAATCCACCCATATGTTAAACAATCATAGCATAAACCTCTTAAACATTTTGTACATTAAACTTAACATTCTAACTTGCATTGATAACAACCATCAGATTAAATATTATTACCATCATCACATTCTTCAAAACCACTTATAATTCCATCTCCACACAAATCTGAGCAAGGATAAATTGTTAAATGATTACAGGTCAAACATTATTTTGGGCACTAAAATTTACAATTTGTGCAACCATCATTAATTTCTTAGTTTCCATCTTCACATTCTTCATCGCCTGATAATATTAAGTCTCCACATATTGGGATGCATAAATTGTCAATATTCTAGAAGCCCGACAAACATGTAACTATGTCACATAATTCATTATGCCATTTAAATATTTCATTTCCACATTTTTTGTAACATTATGATAAGCTTACATCTTCAGATGATGGACATGCTTAACAGGTATCACTAACTTCATAATATCCTAATTAACATATACACGTGATTCCCTATAAACTTCTGTATTCATTTGCATTACAGCTTAGACAAGAATTATCAAATGATGAAAAACAAGTCTTACATTTTTAATTACACTATTTGCATTAAAAACTAGAATCATCAAAGTAATATCCTTCTTAGCAATCACAAACATCACCTTTTTTCTCGACTTTATCTAGCTAAATACATTGAGTACAATGATCATTAGATGATCCATAACATTTTTTACACAATTTGTTACAAACTTAACATTTAGGTTCCGTATTATCATCGTAATATCCATCATAACATAAACATTAATTTAGTTATAAATAACGAAAATTTTTTTCTTCACAATGAATGCAAAAATCTTTCTGATTCCTACATTATTTGCATTTAAAACTGCAGTCTAAAATCTTAGTATTATTTTACCTTCACATAACTAAGTTCCAATATTAAAATATTAAATTGTCGAACACATTAATATACATCTAGTAACATATAGTTTATATGGATAGAAACACGAAGTGCATTCATATTCATTAAAACAAGCTTGGCATTCTTAAGGACAATTCTCGCATCTAAAATATTAATAATCGAGAAATTATTAAGGACCACATTCAGATGGATCTAATTTAATAATTGAAGTATCAAAAGTTGCCATTTAAATGCATGTATTTTCATCAGAACATTCTAAACAAAATGGACTACAATAATGGACAACTATTTAATAATCAGAAAAAGCACAATATCTATCTTAAACATTATTATTTGATCCATAACATTCGAAAGCGATTAGTAATGTAGGTGAAGATTATGGAATATTTATTATTACTGTTTTATTCTAATTCACTTAATATTATGTAGTATTAATTGTGTATATTAAATAGCCACCTCCGCTCTAAAAATCACATCCAAAAATTGCATCAAAATAAATACTTAATGAATGATGTGCTTTATCTATTGTAATTGTTTAATAAAATTTTGCATTTGCCCAAACATATTATCCTCCGAATACTGCTTTCGAAGATATGTAAGACCAATATATTAAATCCCCTTTCTAAAAATCCTAGGTTGTTGAGGACACTAAAATAAACATGTCAGGTAAATTTTCAGGAACTGTAAAATCAAGGAATTGCCTTATAAAATATTATGAATCTAAAAATATATTAAGTGGCGTACATTTTGTGGTTTAATCGTATTTCACACAAATATTATTTGATAAAATTGAATCTTTCGGACAACTTAAGGTGCATCTTTTATCTGATGTTTTTTTATAGCCACTTAAGCAGATAGAACATTCATATTCTCTTTCACACTTTGAACAAAATGCAGGACATTAAGCACTTGCAATAATAGTATAAATGATGTACCATCCGGAATTTGAATTTCTAAACTCAATAACAATAATATAATTACGTAAAATTTCCTTTGATCGAAAAATTAAAATTTCCTTGTTCTACATAAAGGTTTGTTTACAATAGATAAACATTAGTTGTTTAGCATCCGCTAAACGCTTATTAATTTGAAGCAAAAATTTACATGTTATCTGTTTCATATTGGGCTCCATTATAATAAAATGAAGAATGATATGTCGAATTTAAATAAATTGAGATTCCAGAGTTGCTTGGAGTGGCGTTACAAAATAATATATATATCTATGCGCTCAAGGGATATAAAAATAAAGTTGGACTAATTGTTATTTAAGCTCCTTCATTATTTTTGAAAACTCCGAAAAAGGGTCCCAATTTTTTATTATTATTGCTTAAATTTGCAGGATCATAAATAATGTTCCACTTAATAAGTTATGAATAACTATAAGATTGAAGCTAAAGCCAAAGTATGTATTGTATTTCAAATGGTTTGCAATATCTCCCTCTCCTATCTGTTGATCCCAACAAACAAAAGGTCATGCATTTATAATTAGAAGGTGGCTCACCATTTAAAACTGTTCTGATGGGGCATCTACATATACCATCATTTAAGCTAGCACCTTAAAAACATGATGTGCATTAATTATAATTATCTCCAGAACAACTTTTACATGTTTAATGACATAAGAAATAAGAAAAATGGACATTTTTAATTAAAGCTAAGCTTTATTCGTTAACGATACTGAATTTTAAATTCGTTAAAGAAGTGACTTAATCTAATGCTATTTTTATTGTCTTCACCTAATATTAACTTGAATTACAGCCTCCTAAATTGAATTATAACGGATTTTATGTGGTAAATTAAAATTAGTAAGTTTAAGATTTATACTCCAATTTCAAACTATCCCCATTCCACTATGTAAGAAAGTATATATCAAAATTTAAAATATGGTTTTTCCCATTTATTTTCAAGTTGTTGACTTATTCGCTTAGTGTAGCCATCATTTAGGAGGATTTTAAAATTAATGCAGTTCCTATGGGATTTGTGCAATTTGAAAATAGGGCACTAGATTATGTTCCACCATATTTGAATTAATAGGGGCAATTAATAGAAGTACAGTAAAGATTGTTTGATTAGTGAAAACCATTATAGTAGACTTATCTGTCCCCCATTACTAATGCAATAAGAGTCAGAAAGAACATGCCCATATTTCGTTTACTATAAATAAAATTGATTTCTCTAGCCATCATTTTCATTTTTCCTTTATTAACTTTAAATATTCTACGTAGATTAAATTCTATAATATTTCTATAACCTATTAGTTGTCTCAAAATACAAAATTTTACTAATAAAAACTATCGAACATTCTTAACCTCCTAATGTTTAGGAAATCTTCAATTATCATTTTATTTTTGTACTTGTAGTCTTGATTTTGAAACTTGTCTTCAATTTTGATTATTTCAAAAAAAGAAATTTTATATAGCAGAAACCAATACTAGTAAACAACAATAAATTATTTGTCAACCAACTCACGATTTAAATACAAAATAATGAATTATCAATGGTTAAAAACTGTTTAATAATAATTTATTTTGAATAAGTGTTAGTATCAAAGTTGAGAAGGTAATGCTCAATATATAAGCTAAATCTATCTAACTGCAAAAAAAAGATGTAATTTGCAAAGTTAAATAATATTAAGATGAATAAAGTAAAGAAGAAAGTGTTATCTGATGTTGAAATAAAATTTCAGATAAACTAGGTTGATGAAATGAAGAAAAAATCAAATCTAAAGAGCTATTTCCATTAATTGAATAATGTTTAAGCTTTTATAATTCTTCGTGCATTTTAGATTTTAGGCTAGAATGTTAAACTTTCTTCTATTAATTACTATAAATATTAATTAATATATTAAAATTTTAATATATAAAATTATTTTCTAATAAAATTTAATTATTCCAGTTAAACTATGTTTTATTAAAATAAGCTAAACTTAGAACACCAGACTAAAATAAATAATGTTGATAGTATTTCAACACAACAAATTTAAATAAATAAAGGATTTTTAAATGACTTCTTTTAATTCTCTCTAGTTAAAGGAGTTGAGCTATATTATTAATTTATTATAGTTATTATAATTAATTATATAAATTTTCCTTATATTAATTTACGCAATTAATTTGTATATTTAATTAATGCATATTATTGCTCCTATTTCCAACTTTCTTCTTATTTTGACTATTAATTATAAGAAGCTGAATACTACCTTAATCATTTTAGCATAAGTACAATAATTAATGGCAAAATTATATGTTGCAATCTTAAATTAAAAAAGTAATTTTCTACTGTTGCAATTTGATGATATCTTATGAATCTGTTTCACTAAATTATTCTTAATCAATAATTTTTTAATTTTACAAAAATTTTGGCTTTTCTTATTGGTTAAAAGTTCGCAAATAATTAATAATGTATTTGTTTACTTTTTACAAAGTCAATGCGTTTATTTACTTCCTCCCAGAATCAAATAATTTTGATTGTTTTATTTTAATCCTTTAACCCAGTTTAATTTTAGAATTTATTAATGAAAAAATTAAAATTTGATTACAAATTTTATTTAATAGTTATTTTTGTTTGAGTTGGTTTCTATTAGGGAAATTAAAAAAACTTCACCCATTTCTAATAAATCATCTAATTTAGCAATATATTTGAATGAATGAATTTTTGTGTTTTCAAATTAAATATTTGAATTTGTTTAATGTATGATAATAAAATAATGTATACATATTAGATATTAGCAATATGTAAATTTTTCATATTATTCTAAGTAATTGTGCTAAATTTTAAATGAGATATCAGAAACAATTTCAATTTTTATTTTGAGATTATAGGTGTAATTTGAAAGTATAATTTTTATTTGCAAATGTTAATTTTGGATTCATAATATATTTAATATTCATAAAATTTTATTTTTCTTTTGTGATGGAATTCCCTTCTCCATCTTTGTCTGACTAATTTTTTGGAGAGCCTTCTAGCCTAGCCCACAAACGTGAAAACTTTAGAAGCGAACTCAGATAGAAGAGTCTGAACTATTTATTCAGCAAAAATAGAGATTTATCCAGAACACCTATTCAATAGAATCTTTCACATAGAATAAAAACGAATCATAGGCTTTTAATTACCGCTAGCCTTGTGAGGTTCATAATAGTTCATAAGTTTGTCGACTCCACAACATATACACTACTTTATAAATAATTACATACGGAACGGTGGATGCATTTACTCTAAAAAGATAAGTGGAGTATTAGGAACTACAGAGCAGAAGGTAAAAGAAAAAATTAAAATATAATCACCTAATTTAGATAGCTAAGCGAACTAAACTCAAACTCATAATTAAGAATGGAAAACATACAAACATCTGTGATAAGTTTAACAAGGATACTATAAAACTCAAATATGAAGGTGAATTATACTCAATTGACTACCCATACAGATCAAAAGAAGAGAAATAAGTTAGGATGNATCTCCCATGTCCATGTTTCTTACCATTAACCCATTGCCCTTCATATTAACTATTATCAACATTGACAAACTTTCCATCTCCTTGTTAAACATTCTTTTGCCATTCACCATCGTAATAACTCCCATCTTTATATTTATATTTCCCTACACCATGCTTTTGATCATCCTTCCACATTCCAGAATACTAGCTACCATCAGAATAATTGTAAATCCCTTTCCCATTCTTCATACCATTACTCCAATTCCCATCATAAGAACTGCCATCAGGATAGATCTATTTCCCTTGCCCATTCTATTTATTATTAGACCATTATCCCTCATATACACTACCATCCTCAAAATTGTATAGTCTTTGCATGAAACAAAAAGATCGAGGATAAAAATTATTTAAATTTTAAGTACTTTATAGCAAAAAATATTTGCTTATAGAGAATTTATACAATGATCATTGAGATCTAAATAACTACTCTTAATTCTTCTTTTTGAAACTTAGTCTAAAATTTAATTATTAGAAACTTGATTTATCTCTATTAACAATCCTATAAATATGTTTAATTCTAAAAATATAAATTCTAAATTTATAAATAATTATTCATCATTGTAACTATTGAGACGATATCAAGATTATTATAAATTTATTTGATATTAAGCGATGGAAATAAGAAAAGAATTTTTATTGATTTTATAATTTTTTGTTTAAATAAGAAATGTAAACAAAAGCAAAATATGATGAATTTGAGATTTAACATTATTTTGGTTGCAAAGAGGTATAAGGATGACTATCTTTAATAGTACAAAGTGAAAATAGGCAAAAATAATCAAGGATAATACTTTTTGCTGAATTTTTTCAATGTCAGCGTGAGGGATTAACTTTAAAATTTATAAATTATTCAAAACTTAGAGCATCCTTCCATTCTTAAGATCATCTAAATTAGAAACGAAGGAATCTACACGGTATTGTTTATTATAATGACAATAAGAAAAAAAATAGCACCATGATGAATAGATCATGCGTTATATATGAATATCCAAAGGGAGGGGAACTGTTTGAATACTTATTTTAAACAGGAAAATTTCATGAAGCCCAAGCCAGACACTATTTTAAATAACTTGTTGATGGTAATATAATTAATAATTTAAAGGATTGGTTTCAATTCACAAGTAAGGATTATATCATGGAGAGTTGACAGCAGAAGTCATATTTTTTGCTGATGCCAAAACCATTAAAATCGGAGAGTTAGGACTGAATTAGATAAGAAAAAAAAAATATAGTAAAACTTTATTACAAAGTATATAGCCTTTGAGACTCCATCATGGGCTAAAGAGAACAACAATTATGAATAAAGCAAAGACATATTTGCACTAGGAATGATCTTGTTTATATTGATGGTTGGAAGGCCACCATTCTCCAACACTGAAAAGACAAATCCAAATTATATGGGATTTCAAACTACACCCCAATCGATTTGGAAACAAATATACATCATTTATTCGAATGTTGCACTTACTGACGACTTAAAGTTATTTATCATTTTTACTAAATTATATTAGAGACCTAATACAAAGAACTCTGATCAATAGTTAGAATCTCCTTAATTGAAGTTTATAATCATCCATTGACTTAAAGTTTTCTGAATTCTCAGAGGACATAGTTAAGGAGAATTATTCATTGCAAAAAATAATTTATTATCAATTAATGTTAAACTAGCTAAATTAAGTAAGACCAGGTTATTATCATCAGCAATTATAAATTAACATGTATAATAAATATTGATTTGTAGTATAAAAATAAATAGGGTAGTTTAGATCAGATGCAGAAAGTTAAAAATCTTAAGTGATAGAGTAAATCTAGAATATCGCAATATAATTAATACTCGTATTGCTAATTAATATATGTTTGGCTAGATTTAATAAGATCTGATAGTATTTAATCAATTTAGATTCAAGTTTATTCATGAATTTGATTAAAAAATTAGAAGAATTATTTACCTAAAATTAAGAAAGTACTTAGATCATAATAGTTATTAATTTAAAATGATATAATTAAAACTCTGCAAGCTAAAATAGCATTAATAGAAACTGAGAATAATTTACATCTGTAAACTTTAGGAAGCTGTAAGGATATTTCTAAAACTATATTGACACAATAAAAAGATTTCATGAATTAATTGATAAAATAAAATCATAATAGCATCTCTTAAGGAAAAAAAAAACTACTTAAGGTATTATTTATAAAAATATATGTTAATACGTTTTATGGAAGCTCGTTACAATCTATTATATTATCCACTTGTGTCTTTTTGGCCAATTTTTTTGTTATCTCTTCCTCTATTATCTCTCTACAACATATCTATCAGTTCTTTGAATGTTTTCTAATAGTTAACCTATTAAAGGATAATTAGATTCAAACCAAATGTCCCTAATAAAGAAAATGGTTAGAATTAAGACTCCATACAAGTATTTATCTAACAGATCTTAGGATTTCATAATAAGTTTATTCAAAATCCATAATGCCAATTATTTAGCAGGCACTATTCTATGGTCGATGTGTATTTGAATTAGGTAGTGAGAATTATGTTAAGCTTTAATATGGGTCATAATTCATAGCCTTAATTTGAAAATATTGTTTGTTTCAAAATATTTTCAAGGGCAATAATTGTAATCATTTATTTGAAGATAGAAAAACTGGACATTTATTTTTTTTGAGCAAAGTGGAAAGTAGATTGTTAATGTTTATCTAACATTGTTGTAACCACTCAAAATAACATTCAAAGATTAATCATTATTTGAATTTTAACGCATTTGAAATTAAGAGAAAAAATAATTATCCCAGGTGACAAGATAATGAACATTAAATATTTGCAGAATCAATAACCATCACAAAGCACCTTAAATTTAATTTGCCATATTTTTTACCTACTGCAAATTTAGCCTGAAATTAAAGTTGGACATTAACTATATTTGCTTCCTTAAGAAGTCTTTCTCACTGTAATTTACATCAATTACAATTAACTCAAAATCTTTCTATAGTTTGATATTTTCCTTACAAAATATGCGAGATATTTTTTCAATTACCCTAAACCTCAAAATAAAGTCAGGCAAATGCTATATTATAAAAAATCAATGAGTTATTAAAATGAGGAAAACGAAGATTTGTTTGGGCTTTTAGCATCAACCAAATAATTTAAGGAATCATTCTTTCGAGTCCTCATTAAGATTTCGAAAAGAGAGAAAATTTAAGACTCTCTAAAATTTCTTTAGTTAAATCAAATTCATAGTCAAATCGAATAAGAATTATTTTAGGTAGCTTCACTATTGGACAAGATATAGAGGATAAATGCTTGAATGTAAAATATTAAAAAAATAATAGATGTTCTCAATAAATTTATATATCATGATTTTAATAAACAGAATTACTCTTAGGAAGAATATCAAGGAATTAAATTCTTTCTGATCTGATCTAAAAACTATCTTGGGATTAGAGAATTATTATATTTCTAAATTTTTAGTTTATCTTACTTCTTTAGATGAAAGATACATATATTTTGCATAAAATTCTCTTCATTTATAAATTTAAAGGAGGGTCAATTTGAAGGAACACTCTTTTGAAAATATTAGAATTAGAAATACTTCGCTATTAGGAGCAAATTTAGTGAAATGTAACTTAAATTAGGGCTCAATTCTATAATGTAATTATTAGTAGAATGAATATAAATGGAGCAAAATTATTTAATTGTAAATGTAGGAATTTAAAAATAGATGAGTTATATAAGTTAAATGCCCATTGTGATAGTGTTAATTATGTTTTCTTTTCTTCAGATGGTAAGTCATGAGCAACTTGCAGCGATGATAATTCAATTCTTTTATGGGATGTTAAAACAGGAAAAAAATAGTCTTAATTCTAAGGAGTGAGAAGGGTAAGATTTCTGGGCTTCTCAACTAGTGGCACTACAATAGCCTCTTGTAATGGTTAAGATATGTATTTGTGGAATCTTTAAACGCGCAGATAAATGTTGAAATTAGAAGGTCATACTCATGATATATATTCACTCTGTTTCTCTCCTGATGGTACTACATTAGCATTTGATAGTTCAGATAACTCCATTCTTTTATGGGACGTTAGAACTGGATAATAAAAAGTTCAAATTAGAAGGTCATTCAAATTCATTCATGTTAGTCTGTTTCTCCCCTGATGGTGCAAAAATAGCATCTGGTGGTTATGATTATTCTATCTGTTTATTGGATATCAGGAAAGTAAAAGTCAAATTAGATAGTGATAGTCAATATGTTTATTCAGTCTGTTTCTCACCTGATGGTAATTGTCATCTGGTAGTGATGATATATGATGATTTGTATATGGGATATTAAGACAGGATAATAAAAAGCCAAATTAAATGGCCATTCAATTATGTCATGTCAATCTGTTTCTCTCCTGATGGTACTATATTAGCATCTAGTAGTTCAGATAACTTCATTCATTTATGAGATGTTAAAACGGGATAATAATTTGCCAAATTAGATGGTCAATCAATTTCATTTATATCAGTCTATTTATCTCCTGATGGTACTAAATCGGCTTCTTGTAGTCGTGATAAGTCTATCCGTTTATGGGACGTTAATGCTAATTTATATTTCATTCAAATTTAGTTTCTATAAGACTTTTTTCTTATGATGGTATGAAATAAGATTCCAGTATTAATTTTATGTCTCCACCATTTTTGGATGTAAAAGCAAGATAACAAACCTTTTCCTCAGATATTGAGTATAATGAAATTCTAGCTTAATCTACATTCCCTATCTTTTTAGACATTATTCTACTAGATAATGGTATTTATTCTTAACTAATCTTTAGCTTTTTCTTGTATTGCTGTCCTTATAATTTCACATTAGCTAATTTTTTAATCATAAGATGCTCTAATTATGAAAGGAGAATTAATTAATTAATCAGGCCAAGATTTACAAACATTATCTAAACAAAAAGGATGTTGCCTTTTTAAAAAACCAAACAAGATTATATTAACATTCATTATTTAAATTAAATATTACCAATTTACAATCTGAATTCATTTTTACTTAATTTAATTTTTGGATTCTCCATTTTTAAACAAGTCATGATTGGAATGTCATTTCTGTCTTAGAAATCTCTAGTATTTTGGCTGTAAAAGAATTTTAGGCTACGAGAATTGCCAATAAATATATTTGTGTCTAATTTCAAAATACAATCAAAGAGTTAAGTTTAGGTTCAGATAACAATCAATGAATTGTCTGTCCTATTAAGTGCTAAATATACCATTAAAAAACTAAAAAGAAATTACATAATCAATCCCATATTGACAGTATAAATCTCTTTAGAATTTATGATTATTGCTAAATAAACTTAAATTAAACTCCATACTCCTAACATAAAAAGTAGTCAAGCATTTTCACATATCCTCTTTAACATTGACTACATGAATACTAAAATTAGGCTTTTTAAGCATCAAATTGACTAATAAAAATTCGGCTACAAAATTGGAAGCTAAGGCAAATTGATTGCTTTTGCAAAATGGAAACTCGAATTGGTTAAAGAATTCAGGGAAATTATCAGACATGAAAGTTCTATTCTGATGAATTTAGAAGAATATATAGTCAAAAGATGGAACCGATAAAGTCGTTAAGAATTAATAAGAACTTGAGTTAGAAAGAGGTCTGTTTTATAAATTGAAGGCCATATTCTTTCATCAAATTAATTTTAAAAATTAAAGAGGAAAGATATAGATGATCAAGTAAGCTTTAATATTGGCTGAGGAGATTTATTGGTTAGGCTGTTATTGAAACTTCCATGTATCTGTGATTAAATGAAATAAATATAAATTCTAATGTGGCTATCTATATGCGATTAGTATTAATGATCAGAAATATTAATAAAATCAAGATCATAGAATTAAAAGTATCTCAAAAATTCAAATGAGAAAGTTGAAGAATAAGTTATTAGGCTCGAAGAAACAGTATTAAGGAAAATAACAATATTTTAGCCAAGTTCGAAATTGGAATTGTTATTGTTTGGATTTATGAAGAAATATTACCAAAATTTGTCATTGAGTTTCTATATTTACAATCTTCAATGTAATAGGTCAGTGGTTAATACATAGAAAAAATTTACATCTCAACTATGAAGTTTATAAATCAAAGTATCATATAAAAAATTACTAAATATATTTTAACATATTATAAAACTTTAATTATTTAATTTGTAGAATAAAAAGACTATTTTTATTACTACTAGTAAATAATAAATATTGATTCAAATTATAAAGATTAAAATGTTGATAACTTATAAATAGTTCAGTTTAATATTTATTTGTATTTGCTAACTTAGCATGAAATAAGTGTGTCATTTATAAAACACTCTTTGGATTCCTGATGGTTTTATGTTTGAATCACTTTAATCGAAAAGTTGATGATTTGCAAATCCTCTTGTTTGCTTCTAAAAGTATTTTTTAAGCCATGCTTAACCAACTTTCTAAAAAACTGGCTTTAATAATATATAAATATCTAATAACAAAGTAAGGCTTAAATTTAAACTCATAATTCCAATTTAGATCCATCCAAGAGTAACCAAGTGCTGCGAATTGTTTTTTGAAAATTCATGAATCGAATAAATCACATTCATAAAGAAAAACGTTAAATGCTTAAATTATTTCTTAAAACCCTCTAATTTTTCTAATTTATTTCTTTTTAAAAAAAGAAAGGTAAAATACAATAGTTCATTAACAGCACAAAGCTATATTTAAATCATAGGACTTTGAAAACATCCTACTAAAATTATACTAAAAATTATCTTTTAGATACAACTATACGTATACTAAAATTCGCTAAATCTTTAATTCTATTTGTTGATTAAATATTAAATTATAAAGAGTAATAAACTAATCTTTAGGGTTAAACTTAGAATTCCTTATAAATTGTAGTTATTTTAATATTGAAATGATAACATCATGTTTATAACATATTCATATATAAGAGATTAGAATAATATTTTAAACTATTCTTTAAATTAATTTCCCGATAGTTTTTTGAAAATTTTTGTTAATTGATTCAATAATTTTAATTAATAGAGGTTTGGCGTAGCTGTTTTAAATTATGAAATAAACGTTATAAGTTTCTTAATTATTATTTGGGAGAATAAATGGCTGAAATAGGCTACGAAAAAGATGGAGAATACTTCGAAAAAGGCACCCAAAAAATTTGAGCTTCTTCCATCATCCTCAAAGATAGATTGTGAATTTTCGGAAGTTACATTGAAAAATATAAAGGATTAGGGTGAAAATCCAATAAATTCATAAAAGTTGGCTAACTATATTATTTTAAATGTATCAAAAAACTTTAGCAAATTTTATCCCTTGATAATATTAATGTATTTGTAATAATAGAGCATTTACATCATTTCTATTTAATTTTCTATGATCTAAAATTTTCCACTTAAAGAAGAAACTAATACTAATCCCGCTATGATTTATATTTGATATTAACTAAATTAAATGATAGACCCAGTAGTTTTTTATTCTTCGATTGATAAAAGATTAGGAGATACGAGTTATATCTATATTTGTTAATATTCTTATTCTAATTCCTATTCGTTTATGATGATGCTTAGATCAAGAAAATTTAGAATAAAGATAGGATCAACTGCTCTTTCGAAGTACAAAATTTTTATCATGATTTCAACATAATCTAAATCCTAAGTTGGTTAATTATTTGCTTCAACTGTAACATTTACTTTAGTGTTTACAATAGAACCAGATAATGAGTTTAAGTATTATTCCAATGTACGATTAGGAGATAGTCTTATCTTCTGATCATAAGTTAAAGAAAGAATTTATTAATTTTCAATTTATTTAACAAATTTTAATTAAGGGACAGGATAAAAGATTTAAATGCATTCATTTAAAAAGCACATGCTATTTCTTGAAGGTTAACAGTTTGAATCACATCCATCCCCATTAATTAAATTACCATCATCACATAGTTCATTTTAATTGATAACACCATCTCCACACTTGGCTTCAACTAAATTTGTTAAAGCATTAATATTATTATTATTATTATGTTTGGTTGTATTAACATCTTAAAAATATTGAATGCAAACATTATTTTCACAAGTCATACAAGTTTGGATATCACAAATTTAGTTTGATTTAGGTTCACATAATTCATCCTATATTTAATAGCCATCTAAGCAGACTAAGCATTAGTTATTTACATCTAANAAATCTTTAATTCTATTTGTTGATTAAATATTAAATTATAAAGAGTAATAAACTAATCTTTAGGGTTAAACTTAGAATTCCTTATAAATTGTAGTTATTTTAATATTGAAATGATAACATCATGTTTATAACATATTCATATATAAGAGATTAGAATAATATTTTAAACTATTCTTTAAATTAATTTCCCGATAGTTTTTTGAAAATTTTTGTTAATTGATTCAATAATTTTAATTAATAGAGGTTTGGCGTAGCTGTTTTAAATTATGAAATAAACGTTATAAGTTTCTTAATTATTATTTGGGAGAATAAATGGCTGAAATAGGCTACGAAAAAGATGGAGAATACTTCGAAAAAGGCACCCAAAAAATTTGAGCTTCTTCCATCATCCTCAAAGATAGATTGTGAATTTTCGGAAGTTACATTGAAAAATATAAAGGATTAGGGTGAAAATCCAATAAATTCATAAAAGTTGGCTAACTATATTATTTTAAATGTATCAAAAAACTTTAGCAAATTTTATCCCTTGATAATATTAATGTATTTGTAATAATAGAGCATTTACATCATTTCTATTTAATTTTCTATGATCTAAAATTTTCCACTTAAAGAAGAAACTAATACTAATCCCGCTATGATTTATATTTGATATTAACTAAATTAAATGATAGACCCAGTAGTTTTTTATTCTTCGATTGATAAAAGATTAGGAGATACGAGTTATATCTATATTTGTTAATATTCTTATTCTAATTCCTATTCGTTTATGATGATGCTTAGATCAAGAAAATTTAGAATAAAGATAGGATCAACTGCTCTTTCGAAGTACAAAATTTTTATCATGATTTCAACATAATCTAAATCCTAAGTTGGTTAATTATTTGCTTCAACTGTAACATTTACTTTAGTGTTTACAATAGAACCAGATAATGAGTTTAAGTATTATTCCAATGTACGATTAGGAGATAGTCTTATCTTCTGATCATAAGTTAAAGAAAGAATTTATTAATTTTCAATTTATTTAACAAATTTTAATTAAGGGACAGGATAAAAGATTTAAATGCATTCATTTAAAAAGCACATGCTATTTCTTGAAGGTTAACAGTTTGAATCACATCCATCCCCATTAATTAAATTACCATCATCACATAGTTCATTTTAATTGATAACACCATCTCCACACTTGGCTTCAACTAAATTTGTTAAAGCATTAATATTATTATTATTATTATGTTTGGTTGTATTAACATCTTAAAAATATTGAATGCAAACATTATTTTCACAAGTCATACAAGTTTGGATATCACAAATTTAGTTTGATTTAGGTTCACATAATTCATCCTATATTTAATAGCCATCTAAGCAGACTAAGCATTAGTTATTTACATCTAAGGTCTTACAATTATTATCTATGATTAATTTACAATTTAAACATTTTCTAGTGTTGAGCACATCACATTCTTCATCTGGCACTGCTACTATTTCATCACCACAAGCACTAAAACAAGATACATTTTATTAATCAAAATAATAGCCTTTCTTACATGCAGTGCCATCATCAGTACAAACTCCAGCTATGCATAATGGGCATAGAGGATTACAAGAATATTTACATTCAAAACAACCATCATATGGATCCAAATTACCGTCATCACAATCTTCGTAGATAGATTTTAAATGATCTCCGCATATGTCATAACATTAATTAATTAAAGGGTTGTAGTAAAGACCATCATCAGGATCACACTTAGCTTTAAGAAGGCATTGATTATCAATGAGCACATAATCCTATTCACAGATTTGGCACAATCCAAAAAAGCATTCAACACAGTAATCTCTACATTAAAATTAGCAGCTCGAACATATAATATTATGTTAAATTAAGTTATGTTCACATTATTCAAGATCATTAATATAATTATCTCCACATTAACTCTCACATTTAGACCTATTTGCATTTAAATAGTAATGTTCTTCACAAATAATACAAATATCATTGATCTATTAGTGACAATATTTTATATAAGATTAACTCATATGATTATATTCCAAAAGTTATTCTTATTGAGAAATTTAATTATTTTNATCATAGGACTTTGAAAACATCCTACTAAAATTATACTAAAAATTATCTTTTAGATACAACTATACGTATACTAAAATTCGCTAAATCTTTAATTCTATTTGTTGATTAAATATTAAATTATAAAGAGTAATAAACTAATCTTTAGGGTTAAACTTAGAATTCCTTATAAATTGTAGTTATTTTAATATTGAAATGATAACATCATGTTTATAACATATTCATATATAAGAGATTAGAATAATATTTTAAACTATTCTTTAAATTAATTTCCCGATAGTTTTTTGAAAATTTTTGTTAATTGATTCAATAATTTTAATTAATAGAGGTTTGGCGTAGCTGTTTTAAATTATGAAATAAACGTTATAAGTTTCTTAATTATTATTTGGGAGAATAAATGGCTGAAATAGGCTACGAAAAAGATGGAGAATACTTCGAAAAAGGCACCCAAAAAATTTGAGCTTCTTCCATCATCCTCAAAGATAGATTGTGAATTTTCGGAAGTTACATTGAAAAATATAAAGGATTAGGGTGAAAATCCAATAAATTCATAAAAGTTGGCTAACTATATTATTTTAAATGTATCAAAAAACTTTAGCAAATTTTATCCCTTGATAATATTAATGTATTTGTAATAATAGAGCATTTACATCATTTCTATTTAATTTTCTATGATCTAAAATTTTCCACTTAAAGAAGAAACTAATACTAATCCCGCTATGATTTATATTTGATATTAACTAAATTAAATGATAGACCCAGTAGTTTTTTATTCTTCGATTGATAAAAGATTAGGAGATACGAGTTATATCTATATTTGTTAATATTCTTATTCTAATTCCTATTCGTTTATGATGATGCTTAGATCAAGAAAATTTAGAATAAAGATAGGATCAACTGCTCTTTCGAAGTACAAAATTTTTATCATGATTTCAACATAATCTAAATCCTAAGTTGGTTAATTATTTGCTTCAACTGTAACATTTACTTTAGTGTTTACAATAGAACCAGATAATGAGTTTAAGTATTATTCCAATGTACGATTAGGAGATAGTCTTATCTTCTGATCATAAGTTAAAGAAAGAATTTATTAATTTTCAATTTATTTAACAAATTTTAATTAAGGGACAGGATAAAAGATTTAAATGCATTCATTTAAAAAGCACATGCTATTTCTTGAAGGTTAACAGTTTGAATCACATCCATCCCCATTAATTAAATTACCATCATCACATAGTTCATTTTAATTGATAACACCATCTCCACACTTGGCTTCAACTAAATTTGTTAAAGCATTAATATTATTATTATTATTATGTTTGGTTGTATTAACATCTTAAAAATATTGAATGCAAACATTATTTTCACAAGTCATACAAGTTTGGATATCACAAATTTAGTTTGATTTAGGTTCACATAATTCATCCTATATTTAATAGCCATCTAAGCAGACTAAGCATTAGTTATTTACATCTAAGGTCTTACAATTATTATCTATGATTAATTTACAATTTAAACATTTTCTAGTGTTGAGCACATCACATTCTTCATCTGGCACTGCTACTATTTCATCACCACAAGCACTAAAACAAGATACATTTTATTAATCAAAATAATAGCCTTTCTTACATGCAGTGCCATCATCAGTACAAACTCCAGCTATGCATAATGGGCATAGAGGATTACAAGAATATTTACATTCAAAACAACCATCATATGGATCCAAATTACCGTCATCACAATCTTCGTAGATAGATTTTAAATGATCTCCGCATATGTCATAACATTAATTAATTAAAGGGTTGTAGTAAAGACCATCATCAGGATCACACTTAGCTTTAAGAAGGCATTGATTATCAATGAGCACATAATCCTATTCACAGATTTGGCACAATCCAAAAAAGCATTCAACACAGTAATCTCTACATTAAAATTAGCAGCTCGAACATATAATATTATGTTAAATTAAGTTATGTTCACATTATTCAAGATCATTAATATAATTATCTCCACATTAACTCTCACATTTAGACCTATTTGCATTTAAATAGTAATGTTCTTCACAAATAATACAAATATCATTGATCTATTAGTGACAATATTTTATATAAGATTAACTCATATGATTATATTCCAAAAGTTATTCTTATTGAGAAATTTAATTATTTTACCTTTATTAAATTACACAATTTCCATTAAATATTTAAAATCCTAATTAGCAACGTAAACATCTTCCTGATACACATAATTAGCAATCGGGACCACAATGAAACTAACAAAAATGACATCCATCAAAAGGGTCAATATTACCATCATCACAATCTTCCCCAGGAACAATTAATTCATCTCCACAAATATTTTGACATTTATTTTCAATCAATTAAAATCCTCTTTAACATTACAAACAACCATTAATTTGACAATTTAAACAACTAGGTTAACAAGATAATTAACAGTTATAGCAGCCATCATATAATAAAGTATTCATATCTTCACATTTTTCATTTCCAACTATTATATTATCATTACATTTTTCTAAACATTTATTGCTTTTAGCGTCAAGGTAATAATGATCAATGCATTATAAACATTTTTCATTCAGACAGGTCAAACAAACAGAAGTTTAACATTAAAACTTACAAATCGAGCTGCACCCATCATAGTCATTTAAATTAAAATCATCGCATTCCTCTGTATTTCTTCCATAAGGATCAACTGCAAGGTAGCCATCCCCGCAAATATTGACACAATAATAACTTTAAGGTTTAAAACCAACAACTTTACAATCTAAACAATTCATTCCATCAGAACTACATGTTTTGCAATCATTTCTGCATAGTCTCTTACATTAAAAACAATTATCATTTTCATCTAGATTATATCCATCATCACATTCTTCCGATCCTATAACAATTGAGTCTCCGCAATTCTCAATACATTTCTACGTCTCAATGTTGATAATCCACCCATATGTTAAACAATCATAGCATAAACCTCTTAAACATTTTGTACATTAAACTTAACATTCTAACTTGCATTGATAACAACCATCAGATTAAATATTATTACCATCATCACATTCTTCAAAACCACTTATAATTCCATCTCCACACAAATCTGAGCAAGGATAAATTGTTAAATGATTACAGGTCAAACATTATTTTGGGCACTAAAATTTACAATTTGTGCAACCATCATTAATTTCTTAGTTTCCATCTTCACATTCTTCATCGCCTGATAATATTAAGTCTCCACATATTGGGATGCATAAATTGTCAATATTCTAGAAGCCCGACAAACATGTAACTATGTCACATAATTCATTATGCCATTTAAATATTTCATTTCCACATTTTTTGTAACATTATGATAAGCTTACATCTTCAGATGATGGACATGCTTAACAGGTATCACTAACTTCATAATATCCTAATTAACATATACACGTGATTCCCTATAAACTTCTGTATTCATTTGCATTACAGCTTAGACAAGAATTATCAAATGATGAAAAACAAGTCTTACATTTTTAATTACACTATTTGCATTAAAAACTAGAATCATCAAAGTAATATCCTTCTTAGCAATCACAAACATCACCTTTTTTCTCGACTTTATCTAGCTAAATACATTGAGTACAATGATCATTAGATGATCCATAACATTTTTTACACAATTTGTTACAAACTTAACATTTAGGTTCCGTATTATCATCGTAATATCCATCATAACATAAACATTAATTTAGTTATAAATAACGAAAATTTTTTTCTTCACAATGAATGCAAAAATCTTTCTGATTCCTACATTATTTGCATTTAAAACTGCAGTCTAAAATCTTAGTATTATTTTACCTTCACATAACTAAGTTCCAATATTAAAATATTAAATTGTCGAACACATTAATATACATCTAGTAACATATAGTTTATATGGATAGAAACACGAAGTGCATTCATATTCATTAAAACAAGCTTGGCATTCTTAAGGACAATTCTCGCATCTAAAATATTAATAATCGAGAAATTATTAAGGACCACATTCAGATGGATCTAATTTAATAATTGAAGTATCAAAAGTTGCCATTTAAATGCATGTATTTTCATCAGAACATTCTAAACAAAATGGACTACAATAATGGACAACTATTTAATAATCAGAAAAAGCACAATATCTATCTTAAACATTATTATTTGATCCATAACATTCGAAAGCGATTAGTAATGTAGGTGAAGATTATGGAATATTTATTATTACTGTTTTATTCTAATTCACTTAATATTATGTAGTATTAATTGTGTATATTAAATAGCCACCTCCGCTCTAAAAATCACATCCAAAAATTGCATCAAAATAAATACTTAATGAATGATGTGCTTTATCTATTGTTACCTTTATTAAATTACACAATTTCCATTAAATATTTAAAATCCTAATTAGCAACGTAAACATCTTCCTGATACACATAATTAGCAATCGGGACCACAATGAAACTAACAAAAATGACATCCATCAAAAGGGTCAATATTACCATCATCACAATCTTCCCCAGGAACAATTAATTCATCTCCACAAATATTTTGACATTTATTTTCAATCAATTAAAATCCTCTTTAACATTACAAACAACCATTAATTTGACAATTTAAACAACTAGGTTAACAAGATAATTAACAGTTATAGCAGCCATCATATAATAAAGTATTCATATCTTCACATTTTTCATTTCCAACTATTATATTATCATTACATTTTTCTAAACATTTATTGCTTTTAGCGTCAAGGTAATAATGATCAATGCATTATAAACATTTTTCATTCAGACAGGTCAAACAAACAGAAGTTTAACATTAAAACTTACAAATCGAGCTGCACCCATCATAGTCATTTAAATTAAAATCATCGCATTCCTCTGTATTTCTTCCATAAGGATCAACTGCAAGGTAGCCATCCCCGCAAATATTGACACAATAATAACTTTAAGGTTTAAAACCAACAACTTTACAATCTAAACAATTCATTCCATCAGAACTACATGTTTTGCAATCATTTCTGCATAGTCTCTTACATTAAAAACAATTATCATTTTCATCTAGATTATATCCATCATCACATTCTTCCGATCCTATAACAATTGAGTCTCCGCAATTCTCAATACATTTCTACGTCTCAATGTTGATAATCCACCCATATGTTAAACAATCATAGCATAAACCTCTTAAACATTTTGTACATTAAACTTAACATTCTAACTTGCATTGATAACAACCATCAGATTAAATATTATTACCATCATCACATTCTTCAAAACCACTTATAATTCCATCTCCACACAAATCTGAGCAAGGATAAATTGTTAAATGATTACAGGTCAAACATTATTTTGGGCACTAAAATTTACAATTTGTGCAACCATCATTAATTTCTTAGTTTCCATCTTCACATTCTTCATCGCCTGATAATATTAAGTCTCCACATATTGGGATGCATAAATTGTCAATATTCTAGAAGCCCGACAAACATGTAACTATGTCACATAATTCATTATGCCATTTAAATATTTCATTTCCACATTTTTTGTAACATTATGATAAGCTTACATCTTCAGATGATGGACATGCTTAACAGGTATCACTAACTTCATAATATCCTAATTAACATATACACGTGATTCCCTATAAACTTCTGTATAAATGTTTAATAAAATTTTGCATTTGCCCAAACATATTATCCTCCGAATACTGCTTTCGAAGATATGTAAGACCAATATATTGAATCCCCTTTCTAAAAATCCTAGGTTGTTGAGGACACTAAAATAAACATGTCAGGTAAATTTTCAGGAACTGTAAAATCAAGGAATTGCCTTATCAAATATTATGAATCTAAAAATATATTAAGTGGTGTACTTTTTGTGGTTTAATCATATTTCACACAAATATTATTTGATAAAATTGAATCTTTAGGACAACTTAAGGTGCATCTTTTATCTGATGTTTTTTTATATCCATTTTAGCAAATAGAACATTCATAATCTCTTTCACACTTTAAACAATATGCAGGACATTAAGCCGTTCCTAGATTAGTATAGATAATATACCATCCAGAATTGGAATTTCTATAATCAATAATCATATATTTACGTAAAATTTCCTTTGAGCGTAAAATTAAAATATCCTTGATCTACATAAAGATTTGCGTATAACAAATACACCTTAGCTGTTTAGCATTCGGGATATGATGCTATATTTTAGGCATAAAGGTACAAATTATCTGTTTAAAAATTGGCTCCATCATAATAAAATGAAGAATAATATGTCGAATTAATATATATTGAAATTCCAGAGTTGATCGGAGTGGCATTACAAAATAATAAATAAATTTATGCACTGAGAGGGTACAAAAATTAATATGTCTTGATTGTCATTGAAGCTCCTTCATTATTTTTGAAAATTCCAAAATAAGGTCCTAGTTTTCTATTATTGTTGCTTAAATTTGCAGGATCATAAATTATGTTCCACGAATTTGTTACTGCTTAGCTAGAACCTTTAATCGTAAACTACAATAGATATCGCATTTCAAAAAATTTGCAATATCTCTCTCTTTTATCTGTAATTCCAAACAAACAATAGTTCAAACATCTATAATATGAAGGTGGCTCACCAGATAAAACAGTTCTGATGGGGCATCGACATATACCATTAATTAAGGTAGTGGGTGAAAAACATGATGTGCATTAATCATAATTACTTCCTGAACAAGTATAACAAGTAGGATGACATAAGAAATAAGATGCGTGAACATTTTTAATTAACGCTAAACTTTATGAGTTAAGGATACTGAATTTTAAATTCATAAAAGAAGTGGCTTGTTATAAAGGAATTTGAATTGTTCTCACTTAATGTGCACTTGAATTACAGCACCCTTAATTAAATTATAAAGGATTCAATGTAGTAAATTAATACTCTAAGATCTAAGATTTATATTCAAACTTCAAACTTTCTCCATTCCACTATGTAAGGAAGTATATGTCAAAATTTAAAATTTAGTTTTTGCTATTTGCTTTCAATACGATTGAAGATTCACTTAAAATAGCCTCCATTTATTCGGAGTTTAAAATTAATGCAGTTCCAACAGGATTTGTACAATTTGTATATAGAGCACTAACTAATGTCCCGCTCTATTTGAATGAATAGGGACAACTGTTAAGAGCACAGTAAAGATGTGTTGATAAGTGGAAACCATTATAGTAGTTTTACCGCTGCCCTATTACTAATGCAATAAGAATCAGAAAGAACATGCTCTTATATGGTTTACAATAAATAAATTTGATTTCTTAACCCATCTTTGTCTTCTTTACTTAAATATTAACGTCGAATATTCTACATAGATTAAATTCTATAATAATTCTACCACCTTCTAGTTGTCTAAAAAATACAAAATTATCCATAATAACTTCAGCATACTTTGAAATGCATGAGTGTTTGAGAAATTCTTCAATCTATAAAATATCATTTATTTTTCTACTTGTAGTTTTTTTTTTGAAACTTTCAGTCTATTTTTCAATACTTCAACAAAAGGGAAATTGTCTATAATAGAAACCAACACTAGCGAAAACATAAAATATGGCAATAAATCATTTGTCAACTAACACACAATTTAAATACAATTATTCTTTAATTAGAGATGATAATTATCAATATTATGAATATTATTTAATAATAATTTATTTGGAATCAGAATTATTATAAAAGTAACCGTTAACAAATCAATAACCTATATGAATTAAATATCATTAATTGTTCTGAGTTGATGAGATTTGGATAAGTTTTAACATGAACACTATCTACCAAGAAATTTTATCTTTTTTGATATTGAAAACCACTTGTATGAGATTATGATAGAGGAGATGAATAAAAGAAGCAAATTAATAGAGATGTTATCATTATTTGAGTGAAGTTTAAAGATTTTGTAATTCATTGTGGAAGGTGATGATACATCCCAGATTTTAGGCTAAAACTTTAAGCCTTGATAAATTAAATAACTATAACTATTAATTAATATATATTAATTTTAATTAATTAATTTTTTTTTGATAAAATCAAATTGTTTGAATGAATAAATTTGCTGCTTATTGGCCTAAACTCACGATCCGAGAATTAAATGAATTAATAATTCAGATTCAAATTATTTCAAACTTTTTAAATTAATTCTTATGATGCTTATTTATCTCATAAAATATTTTCTATTAACAAATACCTTAATGCTGCCAACTGAATTAAAATAATATTCCTATTTACTTACAAAATATATTTGCAGTTTTAACTTTAATTTAAATTAATCAATTCTTAGAATCTAACAATCCACTTATAATATTAATTGATTCAATTAGTTATTTTTACTTAATTTATAAGGTTGATTAAATTTAGAATTATCATTTTAAGTTTCCAATTGTTATTCTATTTATCAGTTAAATTGTCAATCTTTTATTTGACTTGTTCAATAAAATCCTAATTGATTTGAAAAATTTGAAATGAATCTTTTTATATTTTGATTATATACATTACTTTTCAAATAAAAATATGGATACTTAATTTAGGTTAATAAATTATTAAGTCTTATTGAAGAATATTTTTTTAGAACTTCCTTTTAAATTAGAATCGAAAATTCATATTGATTAACTAATATATTACAATTATTCTATTTTAGCATTCTTACTCACATAAGTGAATCATTTATTCCCAATCCTCTTAGTAAATTATGATGACTTGTTTAAGCGATAGTTATTACAAAATTATTCTAATATACTCTGATTCCTTGATAAAATCTGAAACTTGTTTTTATATTCAATAATTTATACAATTTTTTATTTTATTTCAATATAAACTTATTGAATTTTATTAAAGATCATTATTAGAAAGCTTAGTATTAGATACTTGTTATCTCTAATATTGTAATTTTCTTTTGAATATTCAACCAAAAAATGAAAAACAAACTCAAGCATGAGGAAGATTCAAGAATAACTAANATAATTCTACCACCTTCTAGTTGTCTAAAAAATACAAAATTATCCATAATAACTTCAGCATACTTTGAAATGCATGAGTGTTTGAGAAATTCTTCAATCTATAAAATATCATTTATTTTTCTACTTGTAGTTTTTTTTTTGAAACTTTCAGTCTATTTTTCAATACTTCAACAAAAGGGAAATTGTCTATAATAGAAACCAACACTAGCGAAAACATAAAATATGGCAATAAATCATTTGTCAACTAACACACAATTTAAATACAATTATTCTTTAATTAGAGATGATAATTATCAATATTATGAATATTATTTAATAATAATTTATTTGGAATCAGAATTATTATAAAAGTAACCGTTAACAAATCAATAACCTATATGAATTAAATATCATTAATTGTTCTGAGTTGATGAGATTTGGATAAGTTTTAACATGAACACTATCTACCAAGAAATTTTATCTTTTTTGATATTGAAAACCACTTGTATGAGATTATGATAGAGGAGATGAATAAAAGAAGCAAATTAATAGAGATGTTATCATTATTTGAGTGAAGTTTAAAGATTTTGTAATTCATTGTGGAAGGTGATGATACATCCCAGATTTTAGGCTAAAACTTTAAGCCTTGATAAATTAAATAACTATAACTATTAATTAATATATATTAATTTTAATTAATTAATTTTTTTTTGATAAAATCAAATTGTTTGAATGAATAAATTTGCTGCTTATTGGCCTAAACTCACGATCCGAGAATTAAATGAATTAATAATTCAGATTCAAATTATTTCAAACTTTTTAAATTAATTCTTATGATGCTTATTTATCTCATAAAATATTTTCTATTAACAAATACCTTAATGCTGCCAACTGAATTAAAATAATATTCCTATTTACTTACAAAATATATTTGCAGTTTTAACTTTAATTTAAATTAATCAATTCTTAGAATCTAACAATCCACTTATAATATTAATTGATTCAATTAGTTATTTTTACTTAATTTATAAGGTTGATTAAATTTAGAATTATCATTTTAAGTTTCCAATTGTTATTCTATTTATCAGTTAAATTGTCAATCTTTTATTTGACTTGTTCAATAAAATCCTAATTGATTTGAAAAATTTGAAATGAATCTTTTTATATTTTGATTATATACATTACTTTTCAAATAAAAATATGGATACTTAATTTAGGTTAATAAATTATTAAGTCTTATTGAAGAATATTTTTTTAGAACTTCCTTTTAAATTAGAATCGAAAATTCATATTGATTAACTAATATATTACAATTATTCTATTTTAGCATTCTTACTCACATAAGTGAATCATTTATTCCCAATCCTCTTAGTAAATTATGATGACTTGTTTAAGCGATAGTTATTACAAAATTATTCTAATATACTCTGATTCCTTGATAAAATCTGAAACTTGTTTTTATATTCAATAATTTATACAATTTTTTATTTTATTTCAATATAAACTTATTGAATTTTATTAAAGATCATTATTAGAAAGCTTAGTATTAGATACTTGTTATCTCTAATATTGTAATTTTCTTTTGAATATTCAACCAAAAAATGAAAAACAAACTCAAGCATGAGGAAGATTCAAGAATAACTAACTATATTTCATAATTGTCTATTATAGAAAATGTATCTAGTTTAGAAAGAATGATGAAGAAATAAGTTTTTTTGTTTAAATTAAAAATTAATTTTTTTGAAAAAATGCAATTGACTTGCAAGAGTCACATGAAGAATTTTAATTACATTTGTTTGAGCCAAACTTGTTCTGAAAAAAGAATTGCTTGTTTCGAATGCCTTTAATATGGGAATCACATTGGGCATCTATAGGAGGTGAAGGAGATTTAGGACTTCTTTCAATTGTATTAATAAGAGGCTCATTAAAATAATACTTAACTCCACAAAATTGGTATATAGATCGATACAATAATGAAAACATTTTAAATACTAATAGATGGGGTCCAGCTAAAGTATTTAGTAACAGAAAGTCAATATTAACAAATGAATTCAGAATAAATAAATGATCTTGCCTAATCTATCTTTGAATGGAGAAAGGATATAGATTTTATAGAAAATACAATTTTAGGTAGTATCAACCAACTATTAGGATCAATCAATCATTGCATAAATACTCTGTAACTAAAATAGAATAGTTTAAAACTACAAAATATCCCATAACAATAAAAACCTTTTAAATATGAATTGATTCATTCGATAAATGATGACGATATATATGCTTTTGCTTTCGATAATACCTCTTCATTAATGGTTGCTGGATATAGTTCATAAAAAATAAAGGTATTCGAATTCAGAGAGGAAAAATTGAATTGTCTTCAAGAATTACATAATCATAACTCCTTCGTTTATTGTTTATCTTTTATGAAAAGATCTTAAAGTTTTCTTTCGGGAGGAGGGGATAAATAAATTTATTTATGGACTTTAAATGAAAATAACAACTGGATTTGCAAATAGAAATTATAGGGACACAATGATAATATCAATTGTCTCATAATTAGTGAAAATGAGGAGCTTATTATTTCTGGAAGCAGTGACTAAACCATCAGATTTTGGGAGAAGGATGCATAATCATCATGGAAGTGCTTATAAATATTACCTGTTCATAAAAATCCTGTTCATTGCATTAGTTTAAATGATTCATAAAAATAATTAATATCATGCGCTTAAGGAGAGAACGTAATCATCATCAGTTAATAATTCCTTCATAGTTAAAATTGGGAAGTAATATAGAGCATATAAGTTGATTTGTGGGGATATAGATTATGCTTTATAAATAATTATATGTTTACATTTTAGCCGAAATCCAAAGAACAGATGTATATCTATGAAATTGATGAAAGCAACTTGTAATTTAAAAAAACAAAACAAGTATCAGTAAAAGGAGGACATTGTTCAATGTACTTTCCTCAATAATATATAAAATCTAAATCTATTTTGCTCAATAAAAATGGATAGCATGTAAATATCATGAGAAAAATGGAGAACCAAGAATTCGTGACTGAATAATCAATTTAATTTGGAACTGAATACATTTATGGAATGATGTTTTAGGATGGAGATTACTTAATTACTTATGATGATAGTACAAGATAAATCTAAGTAAGAAAGCATTAAAATGATTGATTATATTATTTTATATTAAAATTTTTGCAAGAAGTCTCTCTTTATCTATATATAAAAACTGATAATCGGCAATATGATAGCTTTTAGATATTTATAGTTAATTTGTTGTTTTTTCTAATTTCATAAAGTCTTGCTCAAAAATGATTAATTTGTGCTAATTAAAAAATTATAACGAGAAGCAAATTGTAAATAATATAGTTTAATAATTTGTTAAGTAAAAGTAATTATGATATATGAATGATAATGTAAAAAAGGGTTGTCAACACGAGGACTTCCCAAGCGGTCCCCCACNTCTTGCCTAATCTATCTTTGAATGGAGAAAGGATATAGATTTTATAGAAAATACAATTTTAGGTAGTATCAACCAACTATTAGGATCAATCAATCATTGCATAAATACTCTGTAACTAAAATAGAATAGTTTAAAACTACAAAATATCCCATAACAATAAAAACCTTTTAAATATGAATTGATTCATTCGATAAATGATGACGATATATATGCTTTTGCTTTCGATAATACCTCTTCATTAATGGTTGCTGGATATAGTTCATAAAAAATAAAGGTATTCGAATTCAGAGAGGAAAAATTGAATTGTCTTCAAGAATTACATAATCATAACTCCTTCGTTTATTGTTTATCTTTTATGAAAAGATCTTAAAGTTTTCTTTCGGGAGGAGGGGATAAATAAATTTATTTATGGACTTTAAATGAAAATAACAACTGGATTTGCAAATAGAAATTATAGGGACACAATGATAATATCAATTGTCTCATAATTAGTGAAAATGAGGAGCTTATTATTTCTGGAAGCAGTGACTAAACCATCAGATTTTGGGAGAAGGATGCATAATCATCATGGAAGTGCTTATAAATATTACCTGTTCATAAAAATCCTGTTCATTGCATTAGTTTAAATGATTCATAAAAATAATTAATATCATGCGCTTAAGGAGAGAACGTAATCATCATCAGTTAATAATTCCTTCATAGTTAAAATTGGGAAGTAATATAGAGCATATAAGTTGATTTGTGGGGATATAGATTATGCTTTATAAATAATTATATGTTTACATTTTAGCCGAAATCCAAAGAACAGATGTATATCTATGAAATTGATGAAAGCAACTTGTAATTTAAAAAAACAAAACAAGTATCAGTAAAAGGAGGACATTGTTCAATGTACTTTCCTCAATAATATATAAAATCTAAATCTATTTTGCTCAATAAAAATGGATAGCATGTAAATATCATGAGAAAAATGGAGAACCAAGAATTCGTGACTGAATAATCAATTTAATTTGGAACTGAATACATTTATGGAATGATGTTTTAGGATGGAGATTACTTAATTACTTATGATGATAGTACAAGATAAATCTAAGTAAGAAAGCATTAAAATGATTGATTATATTATTTTATATTAAAATTTTTGCAAGAAGTCTCTCTTTATCTATATATAAAAACTGATAATCGGCAATATGATAGCTTTTAGATATTTATAGTTAATTTGTTGTTTTTTCTAATTTCATAAAGTCTTGCTCAAAAATGATTAATTTGTGCTAATTAAAAAATTATAACGAGAAGCAAATTGTAAATAATATAGTTTAATAATTTGTTAAGTAAAAGTAATTATGATATATGAATGATAATGTAAAAAAGGGTTGTCAACACGAGGACTTCCCAAGCGGTCCCCCACCTTAGTACTAACCTCGCCTTAAGCCGCTTAACTTCGGAGTTCGAATGGGATCCGGTGCTTTAGGCTTAGTATGGCCGACAACGATATTTACAATACACTCCTCTATTTATAATCCTTATTAGATAGTTTTATAATTTCAAAATAAATATAGAGGAGATTTTTAAGAAATTTGTTTTGGAGATTAAATAAATAAATTTAATTGTGAATTATTGATAAACTCTGATATGAATATGATTAAATTAATAATGATAGTATGTTATAATATTTGAGAATAACAAAGACACAACAATCATGCTGTCATAAATTAAAATTATTTTATTCGAAACTTAAATCATATATTTATAATCAACCATCAATCATTTATATATCAACAATAACAATTGTTGATAATTGTTGATTGTAGATTAATTAAGTAATTTTACAACTTGAAGTTGTAATATCAATTAATAGTTCTTAAATAGCATTAGTTTAGGTTATGAATCGAGCATTAATAAATAATAGATTAATTGCTCCATAACAGGAATGTTCAAATTAATAATAAGTTTAGCTTACAGGACAATTCTGACATTTAAACAATTTACTTTTTATCTTTTTACCAGTGATACAATTGCAATTAATTTTTAATTCTATGTTAGAAATCGACTTGTTTATTGTATGATATGCACTTGCTGTAAAAACAGTTTAATCATTAGCGAACTCAATTGAAAACATAGGCCTTGGCAAACCTCTATATTCAAGTTTTGAAGAAAATCTAATAAAATTGCACACAATAGGTTAAGCTAATTTGGTAAAAGATTTCAACATTCGAACTTTATTGTGATAATTTGGAGTATATCCTGCTCCCCCTAGAAATTGTTAATAATTTAATTTTACATTGACGTATCGAGTATTTTGTACCAACACCATTGTTATCTATAACTACTATCTATTGCAACAAACGATCATTGAGATAAGCCATACCGCTAAATGGATAAAGCTCTACTCGATCAGGTTGATTAGGATCGTATACATTAGATTCATAGTTTTCAAGCGATAAGATTGAGTTAGATTTAATGAAGGCTTCATCGATTCCTAAAACAATTTAATACCCAAGAGAGACTAAGTTTTCTGATTTTCCAATAGAATAGTGATTATATAGAGAAACAATATTTGGAGGGGTGAAGAAAACCTGTATAATATAATTAAAATTTACGGATAGTTAAACATCTGTAGGCCCTATCTAACTAAAACTTGTAATTGAAATGAAATAAGTATCACAATTAGCATTAGCATAATAATAACTGAGATTCTGAGGCGGAATCAAGTTAAACTAACTGATAACTTATATTCTTTGATCATCAACTGCAAACCACCTAATCCTGAGTCTATATGTTCTCTCATATTAACAGTACAAATACATAACAAAGTCTATGATTTTCAATTATACACTTACTTGTTAATGTAATGTCTGAAATACTAAGATTGAATCCAGAAGTATTAAAAGTTTAATTCCAATGCATGTCTATCATCTCGTGGGTGATAAACACTTGGGGAATATTTACAAAGGTGTCTGAGAATGTTATTATTGCATCAAATTTTGTTCCTCCCCAACAAGTAAATCCTGGTGAGGCATCATAATTCCAATCATAAAAATAGTTGCTATCGTATTTTATTGTTGCCAGCCCTATTGAGAATATAAGAAATGTAACAATCAACATAATAAAATAATAAATTCAAATAAACACATATTAAAGGACGTTTAATAGAACTAGTTTAAGATGATGTATAATTAAAAAAGATAGATGATATTTAGTTTACACATTGTTAAAAAAATTGTAAATAATAGTTTAATAATTTATTAAGTGAAAGTAATTATCATAAATCAAATGATAATAAAAAAAAGGGTTGTCAACACAAGGACTTCACAAGCAGTCCCCCACCTTAGTACTAACCTCGCCTTAAGTCGCTTAACTTCGGAGTTCGAATGGGATCTGGTGCTTTAGACTATATGATCTGATTAAAATTTATTTATGAAAAAAATGTTATTAAAATTATTAAATGATTCCAATATAAAAATTAGCTTCCTTATTGATTCGTACATTCTCAAAACCTTTGTCGAATTAAATCAAGAGATACGCATTGAATAAGCATAGATCTAGAAAGCCAAGTCTTATTAAAACTGGCTTTGTGTTCCTAGGAAACAAATACCATAATTTTGAAACCTTTTTGAATCGAAAATCTATTGGAATGAAAAGCTAAGAAATGTTTTTTAAACCTTTGACTGATGAAGCAGCCTTAATTAAAGGTAATATTTGAGTAATTGTAGGTTCTGACTTATTTGCAGATATATTTGTGTATGCTTGTGTTTTAGGAATTCCTTTGTTAGAATTATACAGATCTCAGAGAGATTCGACCAAGAAATCATAAGATTAAGATGCTGCTCTTTAAAATTATCAAACTGTAAATATATAGTCTAAATAGAGTAAATAGATAATCTGAAATAATTGAATGAGCAATTCTAAATTGAATATAACAGAATTGTGGCAGAAAATTAATATATTGAGTAATCTCTAAAACACTTTGAGAAAGATATTGATGATCAAGTCCAGCATATATAAAAACAATTATAATTTTGAAAATAAATAAAGATTACAACATAATTGTTATTAAAAATGTATAAAGAGCAGGCACATTTAATTCATTTAAATATCAAAGTTATAAGCTGTTTCTAGATGTAACACAACTAATTACATCGGTTAATATTCCATTAAACCAAATACCTTTTTAAAATACTCCTTGTTAGATAAAGACTCCTTATCCATGTTCCAAGTTGTTTACCCATTCACCTTCATATGAACTGCCATCAGTAAATTTATATTTTCCAAACCCATGCTTTAGTCCATCCTTCCATTACCCATTATAATAACTACCATCAGGATATTTATATTTGCCATTCCCATTTTTTTAAGCGTCAATCCAATCACCCTCATAAATACTCCCATCTTAGTAAGTTTGTTTACCAAAACCATTCTACTTATTATTGAACCATTCTCCTTCGTAACAACTTCGATCTAATTATTTATAGATTCCTTTTCCGTTCTTTTGATCATTCTTCCATAATCCTTTATAAAAACTTCCATTTTTATATTACATCTTTCCCAATCCATTCTTTTAACCATTTTCCCATTTTCCTTCATAAAAGCTTCCATCAACATAATAGTATCTCCCATGTCCATGTTTCTTACCATTAACCCATTGCCCTTCATATTAACTATTATCAACATTGACAAACTTTCCATCTCCTTGTTAAACATTCTTTTGCCATTCACCATCGTAATAACTCCCATCTTTATATTTATATTTCCCTACACCATGCTTTTGATCATCCTTCCACATTCCAGAATACTAGCTACCATCAGAATAATTGTAAATCCCTTTCCCATTCTTCATACCATTACTCCAATTCCCATCATAAGAACTGCCATCAGGATAGATCTATTTCCCTTGCCCATTCTATTTATTATTAGACCATTATCCCTCATATACACTACCATCCTCAAAATTGTATAGTCTTTGCATGAAACAAAAAGATCGAGGATAAAAATTATTTAAATTTTAAGTACTTTATAGCAAAAAATATTTGCTTATAGAGAATTTATACAATGATCATTGAGATCTAAATAACTACTCTTAATTCTTCTTTTTGAAACTTAGTCTAAAATTTAATTATTAGAAACTTGATTTATCTCTATTAACAATCCTATAAATATGTTTAATTCTAAAAATATAAATTCTAAATTTATAAATAATTATTCATCATTGTAACTATTGAGACGATATCAAGATTATTATAAATTTATTTGATATTAAGCGATGGAAATAAGAAAAGAATTTTTATTGATTTTATAATTTTTTGTTTAAATAAGAAATGTAAACAAAAGCAAAATATGATGAATTTGAGATTTAACATTATTTTGGTTGCAAAGAGGTATAAGGATGACTATCTTTAATAGTACAAAGTGAAAATAGGCAAAAATAATCAAGGATAATACTTTTTGCTGAATTTTTTCAATGTCAGCGTGAGGGATTAACTTTAAAATTTATAAATTATTCAAAACTTAGAGCATCCTTCCATTCTTAAGATCATCTAAATTAGAAACGAAGGAATCTACACGGTATTGTTTATTATAATGACAATAAGAAAAAAAATAGCACCATGATGAATAGATCATGCGTTATATATGAATATCCAAAGGGAGGGGAACTGTTTGAATACTTATTTTAAACAGGAAAATTTCATGAAGCCCAAGCCAGACACTATTTTAAATAACTTGTTGATGGTAATATAATTAATAATTTAAAGGATTGGTTTCAATTCACAAGTAAGGATTATATCATGGAGAGTTGACAGCAGAAGTCATATTTTTTGCTGATGCCAAAACCATTAAAATCGGAGAGTTAGGACTGAATTAGATAAGAAAAAAAAAATATAGTAAAACTTTATTACAAAGTATATAGCCTTTGAGACTCCATCATGGGCTAAAGAGAACAACAATTATGAATAAAGCAAAGACATATTTGCACTAGGAATGATCTTGTTTATATTGATGGTTGGAAGGCCACCATTCTCCAACACTGAAAAGACAAATCCAAATTATATGGGATTTCAAACTACACCCCAATCGATTTGGAAACAAATNTCACCCTCATAAATACTCCCATCTTAGTAAGTTTGTTTACCAAAACCATTCTACTTATTATTGAACCATTCTCCTTCGTAACAACTTCGATCTAATTATTTATAGATTCCTTTTCCGTTCTTTTGATCATTCTTCCATAATCCTTTATAAAAACTTCCATTTTTATATTACATCTTTCCCAATCCATTCTTTTAACCATTTTCCCATTTTCCTTCATAAAAGCTTCCATCAACATAATAGTATCTCCCATGTCCATGTTTCTTACCATTAACCCATTGCCCTTCATATTAACTATTATCAACATTGACAAACTTTCCATCTCCTTGTTAAACATTCTTTTGCCATTCACCATCGTAATAACTCCCATCTTTATATTTATATTTCCCTACACCATGCTTTTGATCATCCTTCCACATTCCAGAATACTAGCTACCATCAGAATAATTGTAAATCCCTTTCCCATTCTTCATACCATTACTCCAATTCCCATCATAAGAACTGCCATCAGGATAGATCTATTTCCCTTGCCCATTCTATTTATTATTAGACCATTATCCCTCATATACACTACCATCCTCAAAATTGTATAGTCTTTGCATGAAACAAAAAGATCGAGGATAAAAATTATTTAAATTTTAAGTACTTTATAGCAAAAAATATTTGCTTATAGAGAATTTATACAATGATCATTGAGATCTAAATAACTACTCTTAATTCTTCTTTTTGAAACTTAGTCTAAAATTTAATTATTAGAAACTTGATTTATCTCTATTAACAATCCTATAAATATGTTTAATTCTAAAAATATAAATTCTAAATTTATAAATAATTATTCATCATTGTAACTATTGAGACGATATCAAGATTATTATAAATTTATTTGATATTAAGCGATGGAAATAAGAAAAGAATTTTTATTGATTTTATAATTTTTTGTTTAAATAAGAAATGTAAACAAAAGCAAAATATGATGAATTTGAGATTTAACATTATTTTGGTTGCAAAGAGGTATAAGGATGACTATCTTTAATAGTACAAAGTGAAAATAGGCAAAAATAATCAAGGATAATACTTTTTGCTGAATTTTTTCAATGTCAGCGTGAGGGATTAACTTTAAAATTTATAAATTATTCAAAACTTAGAGCATCCTTCCATTCTTAAGATCATCTAAATTAGAAACGAAGGAATCTACACGGTATTGTTTATTATAATGACAATAAGAAAAAAAATAGCACCATGATGAATAGATCATGCGTTATATATGAATATCCAAAGGGAGGGGAACTGTTTGAATACTTATTTTAAACAGGAAAATTTCATGAAGCCCAAGCCAGACACTATTTTAAATAACTTGTTGATGGTAATATAATTAATAATTTAAAGGATTGGTTTCAATTCACAAGTAAGGATTATATCATGGAGAGTTGACAGCAGAAGTCATATTTTTTGCTGATGCCAAAACCATTAAAATCGGAGAGTTAGGACTGAATTAGATAAGAAAAAAAAAATATAGTAAAACTTTATTACAAAGTATATAGCCTTTGAGACTCCATCATGGGCTAAAGAGAACAACAATTATGAATAAAGCAAAGACATATTTGCACTAGGAATGATCTTGTTTATATTGATGGTTGGAAGGCCACCATTCTCCAACACTGAAAAGACAAATCCAAATTATATGGGATTTCAAACTACACCCCAATCGATTTGGAAACAAATNCATTCTTTTAACCATTTTCCCATTTTCCTTCATAAAAGCTTCCATCAACATAATAGTATCTCCCATGTCCATGTTTCTTACCATTAACCCATTGCCCTTCATATTAACTATTATCAACATTGACAAACTTTCCATCTCCTTGTTAAACATTCTTTTGCCATTCACCATCGTAATAACTCCCATCTTTATATTTATATTTCCCTACACCATGCTTTTGATCATCCTTCCACATTCCAGAATACTAGCTACCATCAGAATAATTGTAAATCCCTTTCCCATTCTTCATACCATTACTCCAATTCCCATCATAAGAACTGCCATCAGGATAGATCTATTTCCCTTGCCCATTCTATTTATTATTAGACCATTATCCCTCATATACACTACCATCCTCAAAATTGTATAGTCTTTGCATGAAACAAAAAGATCGAGGATAAAAATTATTTAAATTTTAAGTACTTTATAGCAAAAAATATTTGCTTATAGAGAATTTATACAATGATCATTGAGATCTAAATAACTACTCTTAATTCTTCTTTTTGAAACTTAGTCTAAAATTTAATTATTAGAAACTTGATTTATCTCTATTAACAATCCTATAAATATGTTTAATTCTAAAAATATAAATTCTAAATTTATAAATAATTATTCATCATTGTAACTATTGAGACGATATCAAGATTATTATAAATTTATTTGATATTAAGCGATGGAAATAAGAAAAGAATTTTTATTGATTTTATAATTTTTTGTTTAAATAAGAAATGTAAACAAAAGCAAAATATGATGAATTTGAGATTTAACATTATTTTGGTTGCAAAGAGGTATAAGGATGACTATCTTTAATAGTACAAAGTGAAAATAGGCAAAAATAATCAAGGATAATACTTTTTGCTGAATTTTTTCAATGTCAGCGTGAGGGATTAACTTTAAAATTTATAAATTATTCAAAACTTAGAGCATCCTTCCATTCTTAAGATCATCTAAATTAGAAACGAAGGAATCTACACGGTATTGTTTATTATAATGACAATAAGAAAAAAAATAGCACCATGATGAATAGATCATGCGTTATATATGAATATCCAAAGGGAGGGGAACTGTTTGAATACTTATTTTAAACAGGAAAATTTCATGAAGCCCAAGCCAGACACTATTTTAAATAACTTGTTGATGGTAATATAATTAATAATTTAAAGGATTGGTTTCAATTCACAAGTAAGGATTATATCATGGAGAGTTGACAGCAGAAGTCATATTTTTTGCTGATGCCAAAACCATTAAAATCGGAGAGTTAGGACTGAATTAGATAAGAAAAAAAAAATATAGTAAAACTTTATTACAAAGTATATAGCCTTTGAGACTCCATCATGGGCTAAAGAGAACAACAATTATGAATAAAGCAAAGACATATTTGCACTAGGAATGATCTTGTTTATATTGATGGTTGGAAGGCCACCATTCTCCAACACTGAAAAGACAAATCCAAATTATATGGGATTTCAAACTACACCCCAATCGATTTGGAAACAAATGCAATAGGATAATCATAATGTTGCTTTCACTGATGACTTTAAGTTTTTATCATTTTTAATTATTTATATTAGGGACCTTATTCAAGGAATGTTAACAGATAGTCCAAAAAATAGACTCTCCTTGAGTGAAGTTTATAATCATCCATGGACTTAGTGCAATTCTGAATTCACAGAAGAGATGGTTAGAGAATTTTCTTCAAAGCAAAAAAAGATTGAATAATGCATTATAAAAGAAACTTTAACTCGCTAAGTTAATAAAGGAAAAAATATTATTAACAACGATAAATCAATATGTATATAATAATAGTGAGTTTTAGTATAAACAGGAGTAGGGTAGTTTAGATCAGATTCATAAGAATAAGAATTTTAGGGGATGGAGTAAAATTAGAATATAGTTATAAAATTAATACCTGTATTCTTCTTTAATGTTATTTTAGCTTGAATTAATAAGATCTGATAGTTATTTAATCAATATAGATCCAACTTTATTCATGAATTTGCTGAGAAAATAATTAGATTATAATGAATATGACCTAAAAATTAAGAAAGAATCAGAAAAATATGAGTTTAGTGTAAGTATTCTTAGATTAATATAGTTAATAATTTCTAGTGAAACAAAAGATACAATTCTGAAAGTTGAAATAGCACAATTAGAAACTAAGAAGAATATTATATGTGTGAACTTTAAGAGGTAGGAAGGAGATTTCTTTGACTATATTGAAAAAATTAAAAGATTTCATGAATTAATTGACCAAATACAATCAGAAGAGGATTCCGACGAAAAAGAGAAAACTATTTGAGATATTATATATAAACAGATATGTTAATCGTTTTTTAGATTTTAAAACTTTAAGAGATAATATGATCAAGTAATTTATTAGCAAATCGAAAGCATTTAGCCTAAATGTTAATAATGGATGGAGGGATAATTGATGAGATTGTTATTCTGCTATATGTTTTAATGAACTCATTATTATTATTTATTTCCTCCTCTTGTTTTTTGTTGGCCACCTTCTTTGTTATCTCTGTTGTCTCTTTTATCTCTGTTATCTTTGTTATCTCTGTTATCTCTGTTATCTTTGTTATCTCTGTTATCTCTGTTATCTCTATTATATCTATTATCTCTGTTATCTCTATTATCTCTGTTATCTCTGTTATCTCTATTATCTCTGTTATCTCTGTTATCTCTATTATCTCTGTTATCTCTATTATATCTGTTATCTCTGTTATCTCTATTATCCCTATTATCTCTATTATCTCTGTTATCTCTGTTATCTCTATTATCTCTATTATCTCTGTTATCTCTACCGCCCCTTCTATTGTCTTTTCTATAGTTTCTGTTATCTCTTTTATCATCTCTATTATCTCTTCTATTTTCATCTCTGTCCTCTCTTTTATTGCTATAATTTCTTTTGTTATCTGATTTGCTTCTGTTTCTTTTTGGAGATCTTTATCTTTCAGGTCTAGTTGTTTAAATTTGATCAGGTGGTAAAAGTTCCTTTATTATAAATTGAATATAATTACTTGGAATCCTGGTTCTTTTTTATCTTGTTCAGTTGGTGTCTTTGTTAGTTTAATTTATAAAGATGCTAATTTTCTCAAAACTTTAACAGCCACAAGTCCTTCCTCCAATGGTTCATAAACTTCATTGATTTCTACCTGTTTAATTGTATTAATTTAATATAAGCCAGCTATTCTTCTTCTTACAACTTCAGATATAATAATCGCCTTAGTAATAGCGTTATCAATAGCAGTTATAATTACAGTATCAAAGGCAGGTGGTTGATTCTCTTTACGAGTGCCTTAGAATAGCCACAGAGCTCTCCTAACATAGTTTGATGATTAGACGCGATTTGTCACTCTAATGACGTTCTCTTCAGGCTTTTAGTTATCAACTACATTCCTTTAATACTTTCTTTTGGTGGCCATATTAAATATTAATACAAATCTTTTTGAGTAATTAAAACAAATCTAAATATCTCAAATTTAATCTATATAATAGAATCATTCTTTGATGAGTTTGTGTGATAACTAAGATATGGCTAATCAATCATCATAGAGGCCATCTTAAAAACACTTGAAGCTCTGACAATCGAAAATATATTATATAATATTTTATTATTTATTTTAATGGATATCTCTTTTAATGACTTGAAATTCATTTAATAAATAGGGTAGACTTTGAATATGGAAGAAAGGTATAGATTGAAATGTTAAAGGTAGAATAAAACTAAAATTGGCAATTCTTAAGATTCAAGAGCATTATACTTTTGATGAAGTATTGTTTTGGGGAAGAGTGGAAGGAGTAGAAAAAGACTATTATATAGCGATGGGAATTCAATATAAAGGCTAATACGAGTTCCCGTTGAAAAAATTCTATTGGAGGTATGTAATTAGGGGTGAATGTATTTAGTTCGAATAATTATCACTTTGCTGAATTACCAAAATATAATGAAGAATATGCATAAAGAGCTGACAACTTAAGAGAGCCCTTTACAGGTTAGCATGAACATATTGTGTTCAAGACCGAAGAAGAGATCAATTTTGAGGATTCCCTGGAAATCCCTGCGTAACTGCCAGCTAAACACTTTTCAGAATTAGAAAGACTCTCTTATGTTGTTTAGTAGGTTGAATTCCATTGTGCATCAATACCTGTGGGATCCTACCGTTTGACACCTACTCACGAATTAATTAGAAAAGCATTTAAGGGAGTGAAAGCTGAATTAAAAAATTATTAGCATTTTAGAGCTCCCACAAGAAAAGATAAACAGGACTTAATAGGTAGAATTGAAATTGTATCATAAAGCTCGTGATGAGGCTCTGTATAGGGAAGATTTCTTGGACTCTTTAGTGGATGACACTCCCTATCAATAGTGGTCTTTGTAAGCAGATTCAACACAAAGAAATGTAATTCTATTTATTATGAGAATCAGATAACAATAAGGAATTTGATTTGGCCGGGTTATGTCACTTATAACAATGACTATACATTTGGATATGCTTATTTTGGAGATGGAATAAAGAATTCTGATTTTGAGTTTTTATTATGATTCAGGATACAATAGATATGTTATTTTGTATTTTATATTGATAAATGATCGTATAGTCAATGTCCAAGGCATTGATTAATTGCTTCGGATGCATGTAAATTTACTTATTAAGCCACATAATCATAATATGCTCTAGATCTATGGGTGTAGAAGCCATATACTTAAGAGCCAAAGATCATTGATCCGACGAATCTTAAATAGTGCAATCAATATCATTACCTTGGTCCTGTCCTTAAATATGTAAATCTTCTTAATGCAAAGTAAGTCAAAATAGCAGTTCCAAATCCCAATTTAAATCCAGTGCTCTCTTCCTGTTATAAATCCAAAAAGGCAGTTTTAATATTTTATACATCATGGATGTCATATTGGAAATCTTTTTCAGAATTCATTATTAATATTTATATTAATTATTTTTAATATTCAATTAGGATTCTTGTAATTGTATTTTGATTCCAAATACAATTAAAAATAATTGGATTCGAAAATATAATACGTAATAAAGTTTTTATCTCCATCTTCCTTAATACGATCCATAACAATATTTTTTAGTAATGCCCTGCTCCACCCATTCTACGCAAATTAGTTATTTGGCTGTGGCAAAATTCTGTCAATCAACCATTCCTAAATCAATTTCATCATACATTCTAAGAATTCTCTGCATTTATCTGCTTCAATTTTAGTGATATTTTTTTAGAAAATTGAAATTGGAGCATTTTCATCTTTCAGAAGCTATTTGATTTAATAATATCGCCTTGACTATATGGAAAGCCGATAGTAGCTAGGTTTATCTTAGTATATGATAGGCTCAACTTTGAAGCCCTGTTTTTCCTATTTGATTTTTAAATCTACAACCATTAATTTTTTAGATTCAATTCTTTTTTAGTTTGCTTTGTTATTATAAAAAGCTGTATTAATTCCTATTATAAGCTTAGTATTTTCATTTTTATCTTCGTTTTCGATCAATATGCTTAATTTGTTTAGACTGCAATAGTATATTGCTGGATCAAACCATATAAAGGGATAAATTATTTAATGAAAGAAGTAACAAACCGAGGTTAAAATATAGAGATTTTGGCAATAGAATATGATTTTTCCTTCTTTCAAGATCTCCTAAAAGATTTTAATAAAGGTATCAAAGTTGAAGATCTACTGCACAACATGAGCATATTTAATGTTATTATTTTTTATTATTTCATTTCTTGTTAGTCTAAGGTTTTCTGGTATACTTATATCCCTTTACTAAATAGGTAAGGAATAAATTAGTGTTTTTTGTGTAATATTGAAAGTTTTAGGTAACATACTTTATAAGTCCACATTTATTCTTGGTTTATCAAAATCCAGATATTAATCCATTAATAATTTGATGCACTCTTCCATAATACTTTCTACTCTCTAAAACTAAAACAATTTAAATACATAATGAATATTCACTGCATCTATGTCCTAAAATTTTTTTTAGTTATAATATGCTTTCTCTTCTAATGTCATTTACATTCTTTAATCTATATATTCTTATTTTGTTTTAATTGCCTCCAATCTAGATGCTTAAATTAAGTCTAAATATGATTTAAAAATTAAATACTTGATACGAATTTCAAAAGCTAATCAAATATTTCTGCGATTGGAAAATATGTCAAAAAACAATAATACTTTTTGCATGGCCAATAAGAAAACCCTTCATCTGAAAAAATTGTAATGTAATCATCCACACCCTAAACATAAACGAATAATTATTTGTTTGGGTTAACACTTTTTAACAACTCTATATTTTTTGGCGCATATTCATCAAATGACGAACCTTAGAGATTAAAAAGAAAAGAATTTTCTTATAACACATCTTCTTGATTTAGGCACCTAATGATTATACATTTAATACATTGAAATTAAATTCTATATTTTTGAAATATCATTTAGTCTTTCTGCAATAATATAATTATTTTCGAAATGATTAATTATCGTTTTTTTGTGATCAACCCAGCTTTCCCTTTCCTTTGATGTCCACCCTTAATGGCATTATTGATATAAAAACTTCGGCTTCAATATTATCTCTTCTTTCTACAGATCCTATAATTCCTAAGGCCTATGCATTATTATAAAATATGATTCAAATAAGGGTTAGGGTTTTGCATCTTTGGACTTACTATATTCCTCTTTGTACGCATTCCTATAGACTAAACTCAGATTATTCAAAACATTAAGTCCTTTATTTATAATGGATTTTGTCAAAGATTATAAACTTTTCTGTTCTATTTAGCAAGGAAGGCTCTCTATAATTCCCTTAATTTTCTTATCAAAATTCTTATCTCTTTAATTGAGTAACTCATTTATATCCTGCATAATTGATTATTTCTCTTGATCATATTCTTCAATGCTTTTTTGATACTTTAGTATCATCGTATTTGTTTCATCTATTTGTTATTTTTTATCTTTTATAGCCTTGCGAAGTTTTTCATTTTCTTCATGCAGATTTTTCATTTTTATTTTATGAATATTTATATCTTCAAAACAAAAAATAATCTTAAATTTAATGCTATTTTCTTATCTTAAAGATATATTGATTTTTGTTAATATAAATCATAGGCGTCTTGCTAGATGATTTTACTAAATGTATTATTATTAACATCAAAAATTTTGCTAATGTGATAAAAATAATTTTTTTAGCATATTATGAAGTTTGAATCAATTAAATTATAAAAATATGAATTAAATCCTTATGTACTTATAAATATATAGATAATCTAATAATTCTAAGTTGATTATTTTGATAAAATTGATTTTAAATATAATTTCAACAACATATGTAATATTTTTAAATAAATGGTTTATTTACAAACTATTTTTCGATTAAGAGAGCTAAGAGTTGATATAAACTGATTCCTCATATGGAAGGGGGTTTATTAAATATCTATATGATTAATAATTATTTAATTTGGAATTCTTGAGAATAATCCAGAGTAATTATTTTATACTTAAAACAAGAAAATGAACAATATTATTTCTTTAGAAAGGAATAAACCTCTTAAATATCCTTCAAACGATGTTTCAATGAATTGGCCCTCATTTTAATCTTGCAATGTCAGCCATTACAAATTGCAATAAGGAACAGATAGAATCATTTAACATTCGATAGGAAAATACAGTGATACTGAGAGTGAAAAGAATGAAATTCCTGAAAATCTAGTAAAATTATCTGAATTGCAATAAAATTGTAAACAAAATGATAAGGACAAATAACTCTTGAGAAATGAAAATTTTTGGATAGCAAAATTTATTGTTTCTGATTTAATAAAATCAATTTTACTAGTCCTATCATTTATTTTACCATCCATTTATTTTGAAGACTATAAGTAAGATCATTATAATAATAAAGATATAAATCAACACAATTAAAAGTGCCAATTACTATTTTGATTTTCTCTTTTGAAATTGTCTCACTTTTACTTAAACTATACTCCTAGAGTCTAAAACATCAGATGAGGTAACTACCTGTTACATAGATTGTAAATCTGATAGTTTATACAATTTATTCTACCATAGAAAACTCATTAGCATATGGGATCTTGTCAATTTACTTGTTTGTTGGAAATTTTTAAGTAATCAGAATATTTTGTAAATTGCTTACTTTCTTGAATTATGAGTATATTATTGCATTTATCAGTCATAGATAGTAACAATATTACAAAATCCTAACCTGTATCTATTTTTCACTTCATCTATTTGGTAGTATGTGGAGAGTAGAATATCAAGAGAGGAACTAGGAATTCATTTCATATTAAGAAGGTATATATCGAGCATTTTTCATATCATTATTGAAAATTGAAGAAATGGAGGTCGAAAATGAATAGTTAATGATATTGAATGTTACATTTAATGCAGGATTGATTTTATACATACTTAAGTGTCTATTAATGGGTACTAGTGAAAAATCCAAACATCAATAATTATTAGACTCTTTCCGACTTTATCTTCAATCAAAGTTGATATGTTTCAGATGTAAGCTGATTATAATTCACTACTACAAAATTTTTGAAATTCTGGAGGAAGATCAAACACTTTAATAGGAGTCAAGAATTAATAAGGTCTCAAATTATTTGAAATAGAAATTAATCAAACAAGAGTTATCAAAAATTAAATTTTTATCCTTGAGCACTTTAGAATTAATAAGTCAAAGTGGAACCTTGATTTAGAGCTAGGCTTTAAATGTAATTATCTCATAAATTATAAAGAAATTAAGTACAGAGATCGATGGGTTATATATAATCCTTAATGGCAACATTTATGCCGAATTTATGGGATTTCACATTAAGTTATTAAGCCAAAAAGTCATAGAATTAAGTTTGACTGAAATCATCAACAATCAATGGCAAGGGAGAGTGAAATTAGAGCAAACCGATTCCAAAGAGGTCCTGTATTTTTTCATTGAGAAACAAAGTCTTATTAGTATTCTATAGCAATCGAAAGAAAGGGTATTATTGCAATAATAATATAGGAAGTTTATCAGATGATAAAAGATGACATAATATTTAACAATGATACATCTAAGTTGAATTTTAGATGCTACTTTTGTGATTCATTTCATCCTACCTTTAACTGTTCCTCTTTCAATATTAAGAGGAGATTCAATTATGATTAGATTTATCAGGAAAGAGACCCTCGATATAATCGGAAGGTGACCAAGAAGTCAAGATCTGCAATATTTTAGTAGGTAAGATCATAAAATAGGAATTAGATTACCTACCAAGGCACGAGTAACAACAATGTATTTGAATAGAGTTCTGATAGTTTCGAAGCTTTCTCTGATAACTCTAGTGAACACATCAGCAGTGCCAATATTGGAGTGGATCAACTCACTAAGCAACCGTCTACAAAATATATATATAAGGAGATTTTATAGGCTGACATTATATCGGATAAGTTGACTGAACCTATAATCAGCAGCACTTTCTTGCGAAATCTAACTAGTCCCGATAATATCATAAAACGATCAATAATTGCTAGTAGTCCATAATAGCAGAATTGTTTTTAGGATCTTGATTCATTATTTGAGATCGATAAAATGGTAGAATTCCAAGATTATAAAACCAAATTCAATATAACAAACATCATATTACTTCTCAATAAGAAAAGAAATTGATTTATTAAATATATATTATGACTTTTTAATTGCCTCATAATCTCTAAAATAGATCAGTTCAAAAAATAGTATAGGAATTGATGTATGATGAGTATTTGGATAGGGACAATTTATTGAGAAATGCATTCATTTCATCACCCTTGAAGAGTGGAAAGAAGAAGTTATCTATATCCAAACATAGATACAATCACTTTTTATAATAATCTCCAACCCAATTATATTCTCCAGGATTACTAAGCAATTAGCAAAGAGTAGTTGGAAGTATTGCCCTACAAAAAAAAAAGAATTCAGTCCCTCTGAATGTATCAGTAAATCAATTACTTGAAAACAATGCTAGTCCTACGAACAACCCCATAGTCAGGACAAGTAAAAGAAACAAGGATCAAAAGCCAAAGGAACTCAGGGGACTGTCAATTTCTGATCACATAACGAGATAACGATTTGTGTTTCCTCAGGTTTAGCGCTTAAGCTAAGTTAAGTAGTAATAGTTTGCGTCTCCAAACTTTAATTTTAATGATGAGGATTTTGAAGGATACAAATTGAAATCTGAAGAAATGTCATTAGAAATTGAAGAGTATGTCAGAATGCAAAGACATCATAACAATCCAACTTTATTACCAAATATTTATTCAAGAAATTAATGAGATATTTAATACTTTTATTACTCACAAATATTTAAACTAATTTTTTTAGTGATCTAATCATAAAAGCCTTGCCATTTGAGTGTTTACATATTAATATATATATAAATTGAAAATTAATTTAAAAATACCAATTTATTGATGTCAAGAAAAAAGAGAGGATTGTATTTTATAGAGTAGATACTTGATTATAAATAATACAATGGCTAGAAATATTATCTTGTTAAATGGCAAGGCTATAATAACAGAGATTGCACCTGGGAAAAACCAGAAAAGATACCAAATTTAGCTTAATTTTTGCACCAATTTGAAGAAAATGTTAAAAAAAATGGATCAAATTTTTATCACATTGAAAATGATGAACCACCTCAATTAGAGGATTTTATTGGAGTGCCCAGTCTATCCAAATAGAATTGGCATCAACACCAATAAGAACAAATAAACCTATTACAAAATTAGGTAGATCAATTAAAGTCAGAAATAGATCTAATGAAGAAATATAATGATGAAATAGTCTAGTTAATCACTGCTAGTTAATAGAATGAAAAGTCCTTGTAACCTAATTAATAACAGGATTCTGAAATCATGTAGGAATCCACATCAGAATAATCCCAGAAAAACACTGAAATCAAATTACAATGTGAAGGCGGATTTGAGTTTGGAGATCAATTAGATAAGATTGGTCAAGCTGTGCAAGTCAAGGATAAAGGAAATAAAATGTATTATCTATTGTGGCAAAAGAGACCCAATGGTAATTCTATTTCTATTTCTATTTTAGGTATTGTTCCAAAAAATAGATGGGTCGATAGCGAATATCTGATGAAGCATGATATAAATGCATTTTGTTACTATCTTCAAAAAAAGTTATGATAAATTTAGACAACAATATTTCATTTTTTATAAATATTTTATATAAATATTGCATTTTATTTTTAATTAGAATTACAATTTTAGCAAAGAAATAGAAATAATGTTACTTCTAATTAGAATGAAAATTCATATTTATTATAGAGAACTTTATCGTTAACTAAATTATGAGATTTATAAAATGATTAGAATCCACAATTAATATGGTTAAGCTTTAAATAATAAATAGAAAATAGTATGTATACAAAAGTTAGAAATAATATATCCATATGCCTATGTTTACACGGGTATACCTTTAACATATTCTAATTCTTACAAGAATATGAAAATCTATTAGAATTCCTCTAGTAAGATTAATCTTAAACTATGTTTAAGTATTTGTCTTAAACATTGTATAATTAGACTTAAGCGAGTAAAATTATCTTAATTTTTGCAATTTACTATTTTATTAGATAAGATGATAATTAAATTTTAAAAGTTTATATTCAACAAGTTATAAATAGAGAAGTGTATTGCAAATATCGTTGTCGGCCATACTAAGCCTAAAGCACCGGATCCCATTCGAACTCCGAAGTTAAGCGGCTTAAGGCGAGGTTAGTACTAAGGTGGGGGACCGCTTGGGAAGTCCTCGTGTTGACAACCCTTTTTTNCCAATTTATTGATGTCAAGAAAAAAGAGAGGATTGTATTTTATAGAGTAGATACTTGATTATAAATAATACAATGGCTAGAAATATTATCTTGTTAAATGGCAAGGCTATAATAACAGAGATTGCACCTGGGAAAAACCAGAAAAGATACCAAATTTAGCTTAATTTTTGCACCAATTTGAAGAAAATGTTAAAAAAAATGGATCAAATTTTTATCACATTGAAAATGATGAACCACCTCAATTAGAGGATTTTATTGGAGTGCCCAGTCTATCCAAATAGAATTGGCATCAACACCAATAAGAACAAATAAACCTATTACAAAATTAGGTAGATCAATTAAAGTCAGAAATAGATCTAATGAAGAAATATAATGATGAAATAGTCTAGTTAATCACTGCTAGTTAATAGAATGAAAAGTCCTTGTAACCTAATTAATAACAGGATTCTGAAATCATGTAGGAATCCACATCAGAATAATCCCAGAAAAACACTGAAATCAAATTACAATGTGAAGGCGGATTTGAGTTTGGAGATCAATTAGATAAGATTGGTCAAGCTGTGCAAGTCAAGGATAAAGGAAATAAAATGTATTATCTATTGTGGCAAAAGAGACCCAATGGTAATTCTATTTCTATTTCTATTTTAGGTATTGTTCCAAAAAATAGATGGGTCGATAGCGAATATCTGATGAAGCATGATATAAATGCATTTTGTTACTATCTTCAAAAAAAGTTATGATAAATTTAGACAACAATATTTCATTTTTTATAAATATTTTATATAAATATTGCATTTTATTTTTAATTAGAATTACAATTTTAGCAAAGAAATAGAAATAATGTTACTTCTAATTAGAATGAAAATTCATATTTATTATAGAGAACTTTATCGTTAACTAAATTATGAGATTTATAAAATGATTAGAATCCACAATTAATATGGTTAAGCTTTAAATAATAAATAGAAAATAGTATGTATACAAAAGTTAGAAATAATATATCCATATGCCTATGTTTACACGGGTATACCTTTAACATATTCTAATTCTTACAAGAATATGAAAATCTATTAGAATTCCTCTAGTAAGATTAATCTTAAACTATGTTTAAGTATTTGTCTTAAACATTGTATAATTAGACTTAAGCGAGTAAAATTATCTTAATTTTTGCAATTTACTATTTTATTAGATAAGATGATAATTAAATTTTAAAAGTTTATATTCAACAAGTTATAAATAGAGAAGTGTATTGCAAATATCGTTGTCGGCCATACTAAGCCTAAAGCACCGGATCCCATTCGAACTCCGAAGTTAAGCGGCTTAAGGCGAGGTTAGTACTAAGGTGGGGGACCGCTTGGGAAGTCCTCGTGTTGACAACCCTTTTTTTTACATTATCATTTCATATATCATAATTACTTTTACTTAAAAAATTATTAAACTATATTATGTACAATTTTTTAACAATGTGTAAACTAAATATCATCCATCATTCTTATGTAAACTATATTGAACACATTTTATAAGTGCTTGAATTTATTATTTTATTATGTTGATTATTACATTTCTTATATTTTCAATAGGGCTGGCAACAATATCATACGATAGCAATTACTTTGATGATTGGAACAAGGATGCTTCAACAGGGTTTACTTGTGAGAAAGGAATAAAGCTTGATGCAACAATAGCATTCTCAAACTTATTTGAAAATATTCCCCAAGTGTTTATCACCCATGAGAAGATAGAGATGCATTGGAGTAAATATCAGAATGCTTCTGGTTTCAATCTTAGTATTTCAGACATTACATTAACAAGTAAGTGTATAATTGGAAATCATAGACTTTGCTATGCATTTGCACTGTTAATTTGAGAGAACATATAGACTCAGGATTAGGTGGTTTGCAGTTGATGATCAAAGAATATAAGTTATCAGTTAGTTTAACTTGATTCCGCCTCAGAATCTCAGTTATTATTATGCTAATGCTAATTGTGATACTTATTTCATTTCAATTACAAGTTTTAGTTCGATAGGGCCTACAGATGTTTAACTATCCGTAAGTTTTAATTATATTATACAGGTTTTCTTCACCCCTCCAAATATTGTTTCTCTTTATAATCACTATTCTATTGGAAAATCAGAAAACTTAATCTCTCTTGGGTATTAAATTGTTTTAGGAATCGATGAATTCTTCATTAAATCTAACTCAATCTTAGCGCTGACAAATTATTCTTCTAATGTATATGATCCTAATCAAGCAGATCGAGTAGAGTTTTATCCATTTAGCGGTATGGCTTTTCAGGATTCATTTATATTACAATGGCTTGTAGTTATAGATAACAATGGTGTTGGTACAAAATATTAGATAAATGATTGTAAAAATTAAATTATTAACAATTTTTAGGGGGAGCAGGATATACTCCAAATTATCACAATAAAGTTCGAATGTTGAAATCTTTTACCAAATTGGCTTAACCTATTGTGTGCAATTTTATTAGATTTTCTTCAAAACTTGAATATAGAGGTTTGCCTAGGCCCATGTTTTCAATTGAGTTCACTAATGATTAAACTGTTTTTACAGCAAGTGCATATCATACAATAAACAAGTCGATTTCTAACATAGAATTAAAAATTAATTGCAATTGTATCACTGGTAAAAAGATAAAAAGTAAATTGTTTAAATGTCAGAATTGTCCTGTAAGCTAAACTTATTATTAATTTGAACATTCCTGTTATGGAGCAATTAATCTATTATTTATTAATGCTCGATTCATAACCTAAACTAATGCTATTTAAGAACTATTAATTGATATTACAACTTCAACTTGTAAAATTACTTAATTAATCTACAATCAAAAATTATCAACATTTGTTATTGTTGATATATAAATGATTGATGGTTGATTATAAATGTATGATTTAAGTTTCGAATAAAAATAATTTTAATTTATGACAGCATGATTGTTGTGTCTTTATTATTCTCAAATATTATAACATACTATCATTATTAATTTAATCATATTCATTTCAGAGTTTATCAATAATTCACAATTAAATTTATTTATTTATTTATTTATTTAATTCCCCTCTATATTTATTTTTGAAATTATAAAACTATCTAATAAGGATTATAAATAGAGGAGTGTATTGTAAATATCGTTGTCGGCCATACTAAGCCTAAAGCACCGGATCCCATTCGAACTCCGAAGTTAAGCGGCTTAAGGCGAGGTTAGTACTAAGGTGGGGGACCGCTTGGGAAGTCCTCGTGTTGACAACCCTTTTTTANACATTACATTAACAAGTAAGTGTATAATTGAAAATCATAGACTTTGTTATGTATTTGTACTGTTAATATGAGAGAACATATAGACTCAGGATTAGGTGGTTTGCAGTTGATGATCAAAGAATATAAGTTATCAGTTAGTTTAACTTGATTCCGCCTCAGAATCTCAGTTATTATTATGCTAATGCTAATTGTGATACTTATTTCATTTCAATTACAAGTTTTAGTTCGATAGGGCCTACAGATGTTTAACTATCCGTAAGTTTTAATTATATTATACAGGTTTTCTTCACCCCTCCAAATATTGTTTCTCTTTATAATCACTATTCTATTGGAAAATCAGAAAACTTAATCTCTCTTGGGTATTAAATTGTTTTAGGAATCGATGAATTCTTCATTAAATCTAACTCAATCTTAGCGCTGACAAATTATTCTTCTAATGTATATGATCCTAATCAAGCAGATCGAGTAGAGTTTTATCCATTTAGCGGTATGGCTTTTCAGGATTCATTTATATTACAATGGCTTGTAGTTATAGATAACAATGGTGTTGGTACAAAATATTAGATAAATGATTGTAAAAATTAAATTATTAACAATTTTTAGGGGGAGCAGGATATACTCCAAATTATCACAATAAAGTTCGAATGTTGAAATCTTTTACCAAATTGGCTTAACCTATTGTGTGCAATTTTATTAGATTTTCTTCAAAACTTGAATATAGAGGTTTGCCTAGGCCCATGTTTTCAATTGAGTTCACTAATGATTAAACTGTTTTTACAGCAAGTGCATATCATACAATAAACAAGTCGATTTCTAACATAGAATTAAAAATTAATTGCAATTGTATCACTGGTAAAAAGATAAAAAGTAAATTGTTTAAATGTCAGAATTGTCCTGTAAGCTAAACTTATTATTAATTTGAACATTCCTGTTATGGAGCAATTAATCTATTATTTATTAATGCTCGATTCATAACCTAAACTAATGCTATTTAAGAACTATTAATTGATATTACAACTTCAACTTGTAAAATTACTTAATTAATCTACAATCAAAAATTATCAACATTTGTTATTGTTGATATATAAATGATTGATGGTTGATTATAAATGTATGATTTAAGTTTCGAATAAAAATAATTTTAATTTATGACAGCATGATTGTTGTGTCTTTATTATTCTCAAATATTATAACATACTATCATTATTAATTTAATCATATTCATTTCAGAGTTTATCAATAATTCACAATTAAATTTATTTATTTATTTATTTATTTAATTCCCCTCTATATTTATTTTTGAAATTATAAAACTATCTAATAAGGATTATAAATAGAGGAGTGTATTGTAAATATCGTTGTCGGCCATACTAAGCCTAAAGCACCGGATCCCATTCGAACTCCGAAGTTAAGCGGCTTAAGGCGAGGTTAGTACTAAGGTGGGGGACCGCTTGGGAAGTCCTCGTGTTGACAACCCTTTTTTACATTATAACTTTAATAAATAAGATAGACAAGCTAATCATAGGTTTTAGTATAAATTTATTTTAAAATAATAAATTGAATGATCAAATTTAAATAATATAAGAATGAACAAATTTATTTTAAAGCATAATCAATAATTTAATTTCAATAATAAATAATCATTTTGATAAATAGAGAATCTATTACTATTCTGTTTGATCATCTCTTCTAAGTACTCAATTCTAGGCAGATCTCTAATCCTCATCAAAATATCGGAGTCGTCAAGTTAGGAGAGCAGATCATATTCAAAATCATCAATATCATTCGAATACTATAATGAAAATCTTGAATAATTCATTATTATGTCATCTGCTAATTTTTATTCATCAGTGCGACCATCATAGGGCAAGCAGTGTTGTAAAACACATTAGATATCTTCTTAATCATATACGAAATTGTTTTCATAATCTTTGATTTTAGTGAAAATACAAATTTGGGATGCATATCCATTTGAAAGGTCTCCAGATTTGTGTTGCCCCACTCCCTCATAGATAGTTGAATAATGATATTTTGAAGCAAGAGCAGATGTCCACTCCAAAAATTGCTATTATGAAAACTCGAATTTGTGATCTGGGTGTCTCAAGACAAACTTGGGATTCAGCTATTTAAAATAGACATTGAAATCAGAATTTGGAGTTGTAATAATAATTCTTTGAGGGTTCAAATATCCAAATACATTTTCACATAAGTCATCCAATTATTCTAATTGCAAATGTTCTACGACCTCTATAAGTGTGATTAACTATGTTTAGAATAAGGATCGATACTTCAAAATTCATCTATTTGAGTTGTTTATACTTCTTTAGAGCATTTCCATGGAACAATTTAATCCAACATTCTGATTTTCTATTTGATCTAAGACAGTCTTGGATCTGATCGTAAACTATGTTATCACTTCGATTAAAATGAAATTTACCAAGCTTCTTTGAGAACTTCGAGATCAATGTCCAATCCAGCGATGAAATTGAAATCTAAGGAATGAGCTAATCTTTAAATAAATTTGCCATCATTGCATCCAATATCTAATGTTCTCTCTTTCTCTATGTATTTATCCAGTTGTTGATGCCTTCTTTCCCATAGTCTCATCCCCATATTGTCATAAAAAATATCATTTTCATAAGCCTTTATTTCCATTACTCCACTATTTAGTTAAGTTTATTTTAATAATAATTCCTGTAATTTATTATCTGAATTATTAAGGAGAAAAACCAATTCTCAGTAGATTGAAACCCAATTTATCATTGTAATAATAAGGAGTAAATCAAGAATAAACAGGTTTCCCAATTAGTAATAAAATGCTAACACACGCATAATTAAAAATCAATCACACAAATCAAAAGGGACAAATAATCCATAATAGGCAGCCAAGGTTCCACTCAGTATCTAATCCTTATTTAAATTAAACTAATTATTGATTTGAGATAGATACTCTTCCAGATTGAATTTATTTCAGGACATTCATCAATAAAAATGTGTATGGCATCAAGACTATCAAACTAAGTATCATTGGAATAAAAAGGATAGCAAAAGGCAAGACACACAAGAATTCGCAACATAAGACCTCTATAAAATTCAAGATGAAAATGTACTCTAAAATCTGAATTCCTAGTTTTCTATTAGCACGTATATTAATAAAATGATGGTAACAATGAAATTAGCGAACAATGGAATCACTATGAATATGCCAACAATAAAAGAGCCTAAATTTATTGAGTTTATTAATTACTTGGCAAATCACTATTAGGACCTGAAGAGGATGCTCCTAAGATAAAAAAGAAAATTAAGGTATACGCAAAGATAGATCCAAAATAAAATAGAAATGTCAATCCAGGCTAATTAATGTATTATGATTTATTTACATTTCTAAATCTTTCCATTGATCCCAATTTTACTAAAACAATCAATAGCATAACACTTGCAGTAATCCAATAAGGGTATGAACTTTTGTGTTCATAAAATGATTTTTAAAACGACACTTAAATCACAAATAAGAATAAGACAAAAAGAAAGGACCACAATGTGAACATTCCCAAAATGCTGCTTAAAAAGAACTTTTAGGTTAAGAAATCTGAGTCTTTTATTAGTTTGGAGTAGACTGGTTGAAGTGGCTAATCGAGGTTGTAATAATTTGGTTGATTATTATTGATTTATTATGAATATGGGATTATGACTTATTGATACTGTTGGAAATTCGGATTCTGTTGTGGCAAAACTGGTAGGTATTTAATATCTTCTTGAGTATTCTAGAATAATTAGGGTTGTGCATGTTCCCTCTGTTCAGGAGATTGAATATCAAATTATGGATATTTAACTTATTACATAAATTAATAATGAAACAATAACAAATCAGGGATAATAATTTTTGATAGTTGTTAACACAATGCAGAATGCTTTCTATACAGCTTTCTTATTATTATTTTTATACTAGTGATATATAATAAACTCATGCTTTGCCTTGAGTGAAAATTCTGACAAATTCTTCAAAGCTAAATCTCGTATTCGTCGTCTCTTTAATAAACAAGAAAGCATCATAGCCACATGATTATCCCTCCATCAATAGATATGGATAAGCCAAGAGTAAGTTAGCTTTGGATATCAACAGTTTGTTTGGTTGAGGTTCACGATTCAGTAAACATTTAAAGATTGTTAAGAAATTAATAGTTTATCTTCTGGTTATTTTGTAATCCATTTGAATTTTGTCAATATTAACATTCTTCATAAAATATCTATCTTTAAAATTCGTTTTTAATTGAAAAGGACTACTAACTTAGGATATTTCTATGCTTCGAGATGAGGGTATGAACAAATTGGAGCATTCGACTTGCTCTTAGATTTACTATTGCAAATCCTCAGGATTGGTGATATTCTCCTATAAGATTTATTTTTCAATGGATTGTCTTGTCCTCGTCTTAATGTTCAATCTAATTAATTTATTTTGTTTCTAGGAGTAGATCGATTTGCTATTCATCTCCTTATTCAATTGCTCAAAGATCTGCACTTTGGTTTTCTGCTTTTCAGTGTCCAACATAGCAAAAGCTGTATCGATCTCATGATCTTCCAAATCAATTTTGGGTTGTACGTTTTGTATGTATGGTAGTTTGTTGATTTACATGGTAAAATATTATTTTAGTGCGCTTTTATTAGTAAAAAAGTAATCAAAGATTTGAGAAGAGTTTTAGAATGAAGAGATATCTTGATAGAGTGAGTCGAGTAGGTTCATTTGGAAGGATCCATTAAATTAATTGTAATGAGCAATCATTTTCCAGAAATCAAAACTGTTATTTAAATAAAATACTTTCTAATTTGGCAAGTGAAAATTTTTAATCTGAGTGCCATCTAGAGTCCAAATTTTTGGAGTGGATTTTAAATTCAAAAGGGTTTTAAGATGCATGCTTTGTTCAATAAAATCTGAAATGAGCTCACTTTCATTGTCAATTTTTTAATACAGTGGAATGTAATACTTAAATACTTTGAAATTGTTAAGAATGAAAACTTCTTAAAACCCTTGTTTCTTGTTGATTCCCTTGTCAATTATTTTGTGTCTCACGTATTTGATCAATCTCTCCGATTTCCATTGATCCTAGTAGGATAATTTATGAAAATAATTTGATTTATTGGATTCCGTTACTTGTCTTCTTGGCGTATGAAAAAAGGTGGGGGAATTGCCAATGTTGTTTAACTCAACTTGGAAGGATGTAGCAATTTTCAAACGAGGAACACTGTTAAATCTTTTATTCATTTATTAAATAATTTAATATAATTTTTAAGTGCTTATTATAATTAGAAACCCCCAAGAGGTTGTTGTTATTAAATGAATAAAAAATGCGTAAAAATAATTTATCAATCAATTGTGATCAACATCCATTAATTATTTTATAAATTAGAGAAATAATAATATTAATGTCATTATAATATCATATATATTTAATCAATTATTATGTTATTCTTGCTAAAGAATAGATTTTCTTTTAGAATTTTCCTCAACGATTTATTTGACCTGACTCTTCTTTCTCATTTAATCTCGTTTAACAAACTCATCCACTTTACGAAATTATACCCAAGCCTTGCCTTCCATCAAATTGTCCAACTACATCTTTAGATGATTGAGTGTACCTCTTCAAAAATCTCTTTATCCGAATATCCACTCTTCTTGACTATTTCCCAGAAGGCCATCCACTCATCCTCAGTAATCTGACCACTTTTATCAAAATCAACTGCATTAAACAATGCTTGAGTATTCACTTTGGCAAAATTGGTTTTCCAAAACTTTTGAGTTTCATCCTTGTCAATAGAACCAGAATTATTGACATCAATTTTCTTGAAAATCTCTAATGCCTTCTACCTTAATTAAGGCGACAAACCTTAAGATTGTTTTTGAGCTCCACAACCCATTATAATAATTAATTAAGTAATGGAATTCCTTGTAATTCTTACCCTCCTGTTCTTGGTGTTAGGTGCCTCCTTGTACTTGTTGGTCTGTGTCGATCCCAACTCTCCAGGATTGTTGGGGATGCTGAACAGATTCGTATTCAACACCATCCCATCGATATTCAAGTAAATTCAAGAGTTTATTAACCTAGGAAAATATTGGGAGAACGCATCTTCAAACTATTTTCAAGAGGAATAGACTATTTCTTCTATTCAAACCATCCCCTCGTTTAAATATTCTACGTGTTGGTCGCAGTGGGAGGCTATTTGGTTTATCTGTACTTTGGATTTCTTGAATTATTCAATAAAAACCCTTTTGTATCCCATGTCGACACCGCGATCGGATCAACCATGGCCCTCTTTTGTTTCTACTCCTTCTTTCAAGCTTGTCGATACAAACCAGGAATAATAAATAAGGAGAACAACAAAGAGTACGTCAATTAATTCAAGGAGTACTATGACAATGTGGTGTATTTGAAGGAGAATCAATGCAAAACCTGCAACATCATCAAACCAGCAAGAAGCAAACATTGCCGAGTCTGCAATGTGTGTGTTAGTCGCTTTGATCATCACTGTGTTTGGATCAGACAATGTGTGGGATAAAAGAATTACAAGTACTTTGTCAAATTCATCCTTACTCATGCCATCCTCTGTGATTATGGAGCCTATTTGGGTTTCCGTTGCATATGGGGAATCATCGTAAAAGAGAATCTCCTAGAAGCACAATTCAGGTAATTCATTGATGTTCAATTTAGAGATCCTGTCACCAAGTAGAGATTGCAAGCCACTTGGGGAATCATCGCACAATATTTGTTCTACAAAAACACCATGTATATTTTCATCGTCATTCTGTGTATTGTTATGGGCATTGCATTGACCTGCTTTGCTCTTTACCATCTCTATATGATTGGATAGGATACCACTACAAATGAAAGAATGAAGAGAAGTGATTTCTTGAATTTCTTTGATGAAGAGACTGAACGTTTAGAAAAGCAACTTAAAGATGCACAAACTCCAGAGGATATCAAGTAGGCGACTACCAAGTTGGAATAGGTCAAATAATGTCAATAAAAGATAATCACAACTAAATCTATAGGAATTTGGAGAGGATTGAAAAGAGTGTTTAATGAACCAGATGATTTGGATTAGAACCCTAAAGTAAAAAGTAAAAAAAAATAATGATTTAATAATTTGTGTGTTCTAACCATTCAATTACAGATTTTCTATTGATGTCCTCAAGTATCGAAAATATTTTAAATTTCGTCTTTTAGTAATCCTAAATTAAATATGAAAATAGTTGAGAATCTCTCTCTAATTTGATGAAGTATCCATCCATAGAGTTTAAAGTCAGAAAATATATATTCAAACTTTTAACATCAAAATTAATTATGCAATATAAAATTATTCTAATTAATTATTTCATTTTGTAATTAAATATAATAAATATGCAATACAAGAAATACAATGCTACTAAAATTCATGTCCCTAACCTATAGAAATAATTGAGTATTTAATTTGGAAGTTATTCAAAGGAAGTTATAACACCTCAGATGATTGATTAATTTTGGTAATTATAATAAATTAATTTTTTATAATTAGATGATTCTACTACATGATAGTGTTGGAGACAATATTATACATGGCCTAATTAGTAGGAATAATAAAATTAAGTAATTTGTAATCTTGGTAAATTATAGAAGAGTGACCATTTTGATATTAATCTTGCGACACTTTCATAAATTATTTGGATATAATTTATTATTTTAATTCGTAAAAATTAAATATATTATAATTTAATTAAAGTAATTATAGATTTATTTTTATTAAATAAATATTTATTTATTTATGGGTTGTTCTATTCCATTTGTTTATAATACGTCTGTTGAAACCAATTAATCGTTTTCATTTGATGATCTCTTGGAGAGCGAAGTATCTTTAGATTAAATTCATGATGAAATAGCATTCTTAAAAATAAATGTGGAAAAATAAAAATTGATCTATCCTGAGGACTACAGGACTGAAGTAACACAGTTAGCTAATTCCAATTACATCCAATTGATACCAAAAAGTAAATCAGATACTAAATCTAAGAGGCCTTGTTTAAAACAATAATTGAAAACGCCATCGGTATCACTTTCTCAAGATTTAAACCGTAAGAGAGTTCATTTTGTCGAAATTCAATCCAAACAAACGAATCAGTGCAGACGAACAACGAAGAAGAGTAAGAGCAAACGTTAGAGAAAGTCCTAAGATATTCGGGAGCATATCAACTTAGATGACATATTTTGAACTTTATTATCACTATATTTATTCTTAGTACATATAAATATATACATATCATAGCAATTAGTACAGTTTATCAATTTGAACTTCGAATGAGTTGTCTTCATTGAGCAATGAGGGTAATACATGATTTTTCTATTCTTGGTCTATCAAGTTAGTCACCGTTACAACTTGTATCCTTTCTTCATCAATTTTAAAGATTTCAACATATGAAACCTTTTTACCTAGGATTTCTCAATTTTAATACATAATAATTCGTTTTTCTTTAAGTATGTCAGGTGTTCCTTCGAAGTATCTTTCACAAACTCTACAGTGAAAGACACTTTGCAATCACTTTTTTCCTTAATGGAAAACTTACTAAAAAACACAAATGTTTGGAATGAGGATTTAATGCTCCAAACAGAGGTCTCCAAGGCTATAAAATTGTTTTCGTCTATAGTCTCGAAGATTTCAAACTTCTTGAATGAATTTCTCCATTATTTCTATTCAGTAAATAGTTTATAAACTTTTTCAATTGATGTGCATTTGAGAATGTAAGAGTTCTTGATGATCTATCCTTGCAAATGAAGTAGAGTGCAATTTCTATACTCTAAACCAAATAGACATGATGATTACATTTGACTAGCTTCCATTCATAGTTTAGATTCAATATTTTGATCAAAAAATCTGAAGTGTTGTCGTCTTCTAGTAGAATCATGTCTTTTGAAGAGAACTTCCTTATGGTTTCTTGTGTGGTGGCAGGAGTGATGTTTTCATCAGAGGAATCCAAGGTTTTGGTACTTTCTAGAGTTTACTTTTGGGATTTGTAGGTTTAATAAATTGCTAATACTTCGTCATCTTCAATTAGGAATTTGATGATTCGTTGATCCAACAAGGGGTTGCCTTCCAAATAGCGATAGAGCAAGAGCAGAGCATTCTTGTAGCACTTGTTTTATTGGTTATCTTTGATGTGATTTTGGAGTTTCATTTGTTTGATTTGTTTCATGTTCAATTCTGAGAAGGCTTTGAGGGTGACTTCAGCGACTTGGATTAGTAAGAGATTTAATTTACATGGGTTGTATTCGAATTCCAACAATTTACTTAAGAAAGAAAGTATGCAATTGCATTGTATATGGGAATCTGAATCGCTGGGTACCATTTGGGTCAAACCAAGGATGTCCTTGTCTTTGTCTCCAACAAATAAGTACTGTATGATGTTGTAGGATAAATATTAGAGTTTGCCATACAAATAATTTTCGAGTTAGCTGGATGTAATAGAATTAAATGGGGATACTGTATAATTTTGACTCTGTCTTCTTTGTGACTATTGAGCTTGTGAAGGTAGCAGATCACGGCCTTTTCAATATCGTTGGTTGGCTGATGCTTCTACAATTCTGGTTCGAGGAGGGAGTCCAAATTAAATTGATCGCTGCTGAGACCGTGCAATTTGATATTGTCAAATCCTCTTCTCAAAAATTGTTGTAGGATTTCAATGAACTCCAAAAATTCGACAGGTTTCAATTGATCTAGGGAGGACAGTATAGTTTATAAGAATTCTTATATTCTAGTGCATTGTTTTACTTTGCAATGATTTTCTTCTTTCTTGGACCACCTCACTTTTGTTGGATTTAAACAATTTTTTCTGGGGAAAGTCAAAAAATTCGAATTTTGGTTTTAACTAGAATAGCCGAATTCGATACTTATTCGTAGAGCTGAAGAAATTACTTGTACCTTCGTTGAATTTGGTAGTCGAAGTAGTCTGTGGTGATTTTGATCACGTAGTGGACTATGTGTTTTTTGTGGAGTGAGAAGTTGTCCTTTTCTTTGGTGATGGAAACTATTTCGATGTTCTTAATGACTTGATGGGTAAAAATCAACTGATATACACTCTTTTCAATTTTATAATAATATTTTTTACCTCATCCTGGAGTTGGCTCGTAACTGAATGAACTCTCTTCAATTAGAGGGGAGAAGCCTTCTGCTAAGGATATTGATCTTGAAACGAATATTATCGTTTGGGAAGCATGACAATTAGTTTAGAATTACAATTAATATCTAAAAATACTCAATCTGATTGGTATTATATATACTGCTATTAATTGAATAAATAATATGCAATTTAATAATGAGCATATTATTATAAAAATGGCCGTTCAACTTGTCATCCGATCAGTCCTAGGCTATCCGAGTGCTCGAATTCGACTGGCCATTGTCGTTGAAACCAAGTTCTGCGAATAACCGTACGAATAAATTTAATTACGATTTGTAAGCAATTGCAATTCAATATATTTTAATAATAATATTGATGTTTTTTGCCTTGAAAGATTTACTTAAATGTTTTAAGTGTAATTCGTCATCTAGTACTATTTAAAACATAAATCAATCATCAAATTTATGTAATATTTTAAAAAAAAAAAATGCTAACAACTGAGGTTAGTGCTACGTCTAACCAAAACCAAGCAAAAGATCATTCAGAACTCGTTTTTGAGGTTTGTTTTTAATTCGATTATTTATCAAAGTTTACTCATCCATGGACCGATCACGATGAAGAACAACTCAAGCAATTGTTCCTTATTCATTAGGGCAATTGGAAATCTATCAGCCTACAATTGAATGGACCAAGTCCCTTAGAATGCATGATGAAATGGCAGAGGCTACATCCTGATCAAGTATATTGAATCTCTTAATTTAAGACTCTCACAAGACAATTATGGTCACCAGAGGAAGACGAATAATTAAAGGACCTTGTACACAAGTACGGAAAAAAATGGAGTAAGATATGCACAGTGATGAATTGGAGAACTGGAAAACAAGTCAGAGAACGCTATCTAAACCAATTGCAAGGTCACATTAACAGTGAGAAATGGACAGAGCAGGAAGACAGGATGATTTTAAAATTGTACAAAAAGTATGGAACAAAATGGAGTTACATATCCAGTTTCCTTAATGGCAGACCTGTATAAATCAATTGTCATTATTTTTACATAGGAAAACATGGTAAAAAATCGATTTTATGCCAATTTGAAAAGACGATTCCAATCTGATCTGGAGAATTCAGAAGAAGACCAATGTCAGGACTCTCAGGATTCCTTCAATGTTACCAAATACAAGAAGAAGAAGAAGCTCAAACCCTATAGATTCGTCAGCGATTCCATTTAGATCAAGAAATCTTAGCTCCAAAATGTGAGATCTGAACTCTTCAAACGAATCACCAGGTCCAAGAATAGGGATCCCTTGCGAGATCAAATTAAGGAAGAGAACGTTCAGGATCCCCTTATTCCTCACGAAGAGCCAGTCAATTAAAAGCAGGAATTAGAAAACAATTTGATTTCACACTAAAAAGTAGGTGTAAAAGAAGAAATGGTATCTAATGTTGATTAGATACCTTGCAATCCTCTTATGTTATTCGAATATTAATAACGATTTTAAGCTCTATAATAACTTGATTAAGGAACAATAGAGCTTGGATTAAATTAATAATCACAATAATAATTATTATAATCATAATAATTATTATATTGCTATCCAAAACTAAATGACACTCAATACAATTTCTAATTGTGTTAGAAATGTAGTAAATGTGAGAATACAATCGACTAAACTCAGTTGTATTCTTTTTAAGATATTAATCAATTATTCAGATTGTTTTAGTATCAAATGTTTATGCAAAATCAACCTTTGCTAAATCAAAAGGCTGAAGTTGATATGTCATAAATTGGGAATCAATAACAATAGCAATATAAAAGCCATATATTGCAGTGACATTTCATTATTGGAACTCAAGGACCAATGAAAATGTTAAACATATATCATCCATTACAAAACCCCAATATTTATCCAAATTACATCATTCTTACAATTAAAGTATCTATGTCTATTTAATCCCCGAATCCCTCACTCAAATGCCCGAACCTCTCGCTGACCTTTTAAGGGGAGAAAAAATATTTAAATCTACTCGTATGTCTTGAATTAATAAATAATATAAGAATTTTAAAGCCATTTCTAATAATTTCACAAATTAATTTAACTAATTAAAATTCCGATGTGCTCGAAATATGATATTTTTAAATATGCATTCTGAATTGTATCTATGGTTCTTCTTGATCTTGACCACGAGATCGAATAGCGGATAGGGTGTATCTCACTCTTGATTTTTAAAATGATGTGACGAGGAGAACCATTTGAATAATGAATGTATATATAATTTTTCAAAAATATACTCATATCGAAGTCTGAGTTGGTTTGTGGTGTCCTGATTTTGAATTCACAAATTCCCCAGCTATTTTTGTGACTACTCGAAAATTTACACCTTCCTTGGTAATGGTTCTGTACAAACATCTTTTTGTCGAATCGATGCCTTATGAATTTTTGATCATATTATTTCGGTNAGGAAGACAGGATGATTTTAAAATTGTACAAAAAGTATGGAACAAAATGGAGTTACATATCCAGTTTCCTTAATGGCAGACCTGTATAAATCAATTGTCATTATTTTTACATAGGAAAACATGGTAAAAAATCGATTTTATGCCAATTTGAAAAGACGATTCCAATCTGATCTGGAGAATTCAGAAGAAGACCAATGTCAGGACTCTCAGGATTCCTTCAATGTTACCAAATACAAGAAGAAGAAGAAGCTCAAACCCTATAGATTCGTCAGCGATTCCATTTAGATCAAGAAATCTTAGCTCCAAAATGTGAGATCTGAACTCTTCAAACGAATCACCAGGTCCAAGAATAGGGATCCCTTGCGAGATCAAATTAAGGAAGAGAACGTTCAGGATCCCCTTATTCCTCACGAAGAGCCAGTCAATTAAAAGCAGGAATTAGAAAACAATTTGATTTCACACTAAAAAGTAGGTGTAAAAGAAGAAATGGTATCTAATGTTGATTAGATACCTTGCAATCCTCTTATGTTATTCGAATATTAATAACGATTTTAAGCTCTATAATAACTTGATTAAGGAACAATAGAGCTTGGATTAAATTAATAATCACAATAATAATTATTATAATCATAATAATTATTATATTGCTATCCAAAACTAAATGACACTCAATACAATTTCTAATTGTGTTAGAAATGTAGTAAATGTGAGAATACAATCGACTAAACTCAGTTGTATTCTTTTTAAGATATTAATCAATTATTCAGATTGTTTTAGTATCAAATGTTTATGCAAAATCAACCTTTGCTAAATCAAAAGGCTGAAGTTGATATGTCATAAATTGGGAATCAATAACAATAGCAATATAAAAGCCATATATTGCAGTGACATTTCATTATTGGAACTCAAGGACCAATGAAAATGTTAAACATATATCATCCATTACAAAACCCCAATATTTATCCAAATTACATCATTCTTACAATTAAAGTATCTATGTCTATTTAATCCCCGAATCCCTCACTCAAATGCCCGAACCTCTCGCTGACCTTTTAAGGGGAGAAAAAATATTTAAATCTACTCGTATGTCTTGAATTAATAAATAATATAAGAATTTTAAAGCCATTTCTAATAATTTCACAAATTAATTTAACTAATTAAAATTCCGATGTGCTCGAAATATGATATTTTTAAATATGCATTCTGAATTGTATCTATGGTTCTTCTTGATCTTGACCACGAGATCGAATAGCGGATAGGGTGTATCTCACTCTTGATTTTTAAAATGATGTGACGAGGAGAACCATTTGAATAATGAATGTATATATAATTTTTCAAAAATATACTCATATCGAAGTCTGAGTTGGTTTGTGGTGTCCTGATTTTGAATTCACAAATTCCCCAGCTATTTTTGTGACTACTCGAAAATTTACACCTTCCTTGGTAATGGTTCTGTACAAACATCTTTTTGTCGAATCGATGCCTTATGAATTTTTGATCATATTATTTCGGTGGTAAAGGAAAATGGATTTTGCAGCCGAATACTTGATATTCAGTTGGGAGGCAGCCTAAAAATAGAATGAAGGGGTTTACGTGTTTTATTTTGAAGCCTTTGAGACAAATCAAGTGAATTAGGGTTTGCTTAATGTCAGAAGACAACTTATGATACGAGGTTTTGTGTTTTTTGGAACCTTATTTCATAATGAATCTTCTTCGAGAGTGTGAATCAAATAAAATTAATTCTGAATAATTCAATTTCATATTAATGATTCCTTTTTTAAAATCTTGAAATTCATTATTTTTTATTGAAGCTGGTAAAACAGGAATTAATTTCGAATAATATTAGTTACATAATTAATGTAATCAAAGTAAAGGCCAAAGTAGTTGGACCCCATCAAACGAGTGAAGGAAACAGGTCCTTTCGACTCCGGAAGCCCCTTGTCCTTCATAAACTCAATGTGGTAACCTCAACCATCCGAAGCCAAAAGGAAGCATCAGAAGAAAGTTACTCAAATTTAAAAAAAACTGGAATACGACATTCAGGAGGCTCTAAAACAGACCGATTACGATGAAAGTTGATTTTGAAAATAAACAATAGGAAACATTCTGCACAGAGCTTGTCTTGATTAGCAAATCAAACAGATCAAAGACATCATTGAAGATCTGGTCGCTAAGAAAGACGATGCTGCTCTCCAGGAATGCCTCGTAAAGTAAGACAAATTTCACTGTTAACCCTTGTTGCTGTGTTGCATCAAGCCCAAAACCTTGGAATCCGATTAGATCAGAATGTTGTGCATTCAATTTTTATTGAATCCTTGCAAAGAGAAACCCCTCATCAAGGCAGACGTGAATTGCTTCAATCCAAGAACATTGTGGACTTGCTTGCATTGGGCAGCATATTATGGCGACAAGGAAAGTGTGGAGGTGTTGCTCGAGAATAACATTCATGTTTTCTTGCCTGATTACAAGGGACAATACGCAGTGGATTTGGCAGGTAAGAATAAGTACGAGGAGGTGGTGACTCTAATAATAATGCGGAGTATTGAAATATTGGAATATCTGAAATATGGAAGTTAATAGAAGTACAAGGCTTACTTTGAGAGTCTCACTCCAGACCTTCTGAAACACTTGAACAACCCATTGTTTTTATGCAAGTTGATATATTGGTCAGCCTTGTATGAAGTGGACAGTAAGAACTCAACATTATTGTAATTTAAACGAGCCTATTCCTTTTTCCCATTGTAAATGCAATTTCATTTATGTTTAGTAAGTCTTTGAAAATGAAGACTGCCTTGCATGCCGCATGTCAGAGTCACAAAGGCAATGAAGAGTTTTTGAATGAAGCATTCCGAGTTTTTGAGGAGACCTTGTTTGGATTCAGCAACGACGATTTGACTAAGATCATTCCTCACAAGAAGCCAACAATTCAAGTGAACAGTGTGTTTGTGTTTTCCGAAGAGGATCTCAAAAAATATAGAGACGAATTTCAGAAGGAAGTCTTGCTGTTGGCAGAGTGGGAGAAGGAAGTCTTGACCAAAATCAAGATAATCAAGAATTACACTTAATAAAAGTAGAGATAGAAATACTTCAATGATTTTTATGCGATCTATGTGAATCAGTAAGATGCTTATGGTAATTCCCCTTTGCATGTTGCATCCATAAAGGCATTTAAAAAAGGGATTAACATTTTGATGGAGAAATAAGCTAACATGGAATTGGAGAACAATGAAGTGTTTAAAGCAAGAGAATTGACGCAAGATGAGGATGTTCTGGAGTTGTANTGAAGCTGGTAAAACAGGAATTAATTTCGAATAATATTAGTTACATAATTAATGTAATCAAAGTAAAGGCCAAAGTAGTTGGACCCCATCAAACGAGTGAAGGAAACAGGTCCTTTCGACTCCGGAAGCCCCTTGTCCTTCATAAACTCAATGTGGTAACCTCAACCATCCGAAGCCAAAAGGAAGCATCAGAAGAAAGTTACTCAAATTTAAAAAAAACTGGAATACGACATTCAGGAGGCTCTAAAACAGACCGATTACGATGAAAGTTGATTTTGAAAATAAACAATAGGAAACATTCTGCACAGAGCTTGTCTTGATTAGCAAATCAAACAGATCAAAGACATCATTGAAGATCTGGTCGCTAAGAAAGACGATGCTGCTCTCCAGGAATGCCTCGTAAAGTAAGACAAATTTCACTGTTAACCCTTGTTGCTGTGTTGCATCAAGCCCAAAACCTTGGAATCCGATTAGATCAGAATGTTGTGCATTCAATTTTTATTGAATCCTTGCAAAGAGAAACCCCTCATCAAGGCAGACGTGAATTGCTTCAATCCAAGAACATTGTGGACTTGCTTGCATTGGGCAGCATATTATGGCGACAAGGAAAGTGTGGAGGTGTTGCTCGAGAATAACATTCATGTTTTCTTGCCTGATTACAAGGGACAATACGCAGTGGATTTGGCAGGTAAGAATAAGTACGAGGAGGTGGTGACTCTAATAATAATGCGGAGTATTGAAATATTGGAATATCTGAAATATGGAAGTTAATAGAAGTACAAGGCTTACTTTGAGAGTCTCACTCCAGACCTTCTGAAACACTTGAACAACCCATTGTTTTTATGCAAGTTGATATATTGGTCAGCCTTGTATGAAGTGGACAGTAAGAACTCAACATTATTGTAATTTAAACGAGCCTATTCCTTTTTCCCATTGTAAATGCAATTTCATTTATGTTTAGTAAGTCTTTGAAAATGAAGACTGCCTTGCATGCCGCATGTCAGAGTCACAAAGGCAATGAAGAGTTTTTGAATGAAGCATTCCGAGTTTTTGAGGAGACCTTGTTTGGATTCAGCAACGACGATTTGACTAAGATCATTCCTCACAAGAAGCCAACAATTCAAGTGAACAGTGTGTTTGTGTTTTCCGAAGAGGATCTCAAAAAATATAGAGACGAATTTCAGAAGGAAGTCTTGCTGTTGGCAGAGTGGGAGAAGGAAGTCTTGACCAAAATCAAGATAATCAAGAATTACACTTAATAAAAGTAGAGATAGAAATACTTCAATGATTTTTATGCGATCTATGTGAATCAGTAAGATGCTTATGGTAATTCCCCTTTGCATGTTGCATCCATAAAGGCATTTAAAAAAGGGATTAACATTTTGATGGAGAAATAAGCTAACATGGAATTGGAGAACAATGAAGTGTTTAAAGCAAGAGAATTGACGCAAGATGAGGATGTTCTGGAGTTGTACAAAGAGAAATTGCAGAGCATCACAAGTGAAGCCATATTAAATGAACTCAATCAAACAATAATTCAATAGTTGATGGGCATATTTAAGAAGGATGCTTACGATGATCAATTGCGTTTGCGAAATGCTTTGGCTCCTTGTAAGTCATAGTTATAATATTCTTAGTGTCCAAAAATGGAGAAGCTCAATACTATAAATTGATTACAGAGCTGAATTCGTACTCATAGAATCTGTTTGTGCCTGATTTTATTATTCGAGCCAGTATCAAAGCTGAGAATCTGAATTCAGACACCTTGGAGACAGCCCCAGCCTTCTTTGACCTGAAGGATTAGGACTGTGCTGAGTTGATAAGATTGAACTTCTACATATCGTTGTTGTTGAATGCCAATTTCGAAGTGTATTTAATGAAATCGCAATTTCAACAGGGATTCTATTACATAATGTTGCAGCACAACGAGAAGAACTTGGAGGATTAGGCAGATTTGATGAATCTATAGATGAAATTGATGGACTCCTACGATTTAGAAGAGTTCGAGAAGGTGTTCTAGAATCTATATGAACCCTTTCGATCGCGATAGAAATAGCAAATCATAGAGAAGCACTTGACTCAAATAAAAGACTTAAATGAGTAGATAAATTCTGGGATCATAGAGACGTACTATAGAATGCATAAGACAGGAGGTATCAATAAGATTAAGGAGAGATGGTTGGTCAACAATAAGTGGTATTTGCCGACTCCAATAAATCAGATATCTGAGTACTTGATGGAAGGTGAGAATCAGAATTTCAGTTCGATTACGATATTGCGATTGTATTTTGGTGAGAAGATCTCCTTTTACTTTGCCTGGAAATCCTATATTACGTGTGCATTGATGGTGTTGGCAATTCCTGGAGCAGCAATTCAGATATACATTTTGGTCACAGGTGATTACTTCCCATCAATCCTCCCCTTTTGGGTTTGCTATGTTTGTTTATGGTCAACATTGCAGGTTGAATTTTGGAAGCGAAAAACCTCCGAAATCACGACGAGATGGGGATGTTTGGATTTGCTCGATTCGAAGGACAAGGGTGAAGTGCGTAGAGGATTCCAAGGTTACGAGGAAATCTATCAGGTGACTGGAGAGTTGACTAAACATCAAAAGAAAACTGAAACATTTCTGAAGGTGGTTTTGTCAGTGTTGGTGGTGTTGATCTTTTTGACCCTCTGTGTTTTGATATTCGTAGGTGTTAATCTCATGGTCAAGAGATTTGAAGGGTAAATAATAATAACGACTGGCCTCAATATCATCTAGGGAGTGGGGATATTCATCCTCAATTTGGTGTACAATCACATAGTCATGTTCTTCGCCCAATATGAAAATCACAAGTATCAGGAAGACTACGAGTAATCCATCATCTATAAGAACTCAGCATTCACCTTGTTGAATTCCTATCTGTGTATCTTTTATGCTGCTTTTGTGAACAACAAGAGTTTCCTGGATCTGTTTATCTAATTAGTACCAGTCTTAATTACGAAGCAAGTGCAATTTGCGGCACTTAAAGTGTTATTGCCGAGAGTCCAATACGATTACTATGAAAAGTAATACTTCAAATAGCAGCAACTGAATATACAGAGACAAGGGCAATTGAATAGAAACAAGGAGGGATTTAAGGACAAGGTGGAAACACTGTACGAAACGATCTTCAAAGAGAAGAAGTACACGATTGAGACTTGTAAGAGGGCAGTGTTGAAAATCCATGAGAAGGGGAAGCCACCCACATTGGAGATGAATTTAGATGCAGATCAAGTGGAGTTGAACAATCTAAAGTTGAATTACGAGGGAACTCTGGGATACTTCATGGAGGGAATCATAGATTTGGGATACATCACATTGTTTGCAGCAGCCTTTCCCATAGGGCCAGCGATTGCTGTGGTGGCCAATGTGGCTGAGATCAGGACAAAATTAATATCGTTTCTGGAAGTCTACAAACGACCAGAGTGTCAGAGATGTGCTGGCATTGGAGATTGGTTGAACATCATGTAATGGATGGGAATGGGCAGTGTATTCTCGAATTTTGCTTTGTTGTATGTGAAATATAAGGTGGAGACAGTGGAAGTGATCTATGGGTACAGTGGTTCGGATCAGGATATTACTATTTGGTTGTTCTTCTTGACGATTGCGATCATCCTCATCATCAAGTTGGCGTTCCAGTGGTTGATTCCCGATAAACCTTAATGGGTGTTGAATGAATTGCAAAACATCTAAGAGAAACAACATGTGAATACAGGTCAGAGAGAGGCATTGAAGAAAACAAAGGTGGAGATCCAGAAGAAGCAGGACAGATTGAGTTAGAGAAGGAAACTATATCAAGAGGCTAAGTAGAATTGCACTTAGAAGATGTAGGCTAAAATTAGCACAAAACTCGAGAAGGAAACCAAGATCGAGAGATTTCTAAAATAAGAGGAATCGGAAAAGTTGTTGGCCAAATAGGGAGTTATTCAGAAGGTAACTGAGATTGAGATTAAACCGGAAATAGTGACTTAGATAAGGATAGGGTTGTTGAGATAGAAGTTCATTGAGATTCAACATTTCCTGCTTTAATAAAGAATCAGACAAATAGATTAAGCAAGGACCAAGAACATTTTCCTTTGTTAAGAATGCTCATTAGTGGAGGCAGTGTTTGATTGCGAGGATTGCGATGAAAGTCAATGTTTAGAATGTTTTCGTAAAGTGCATACCAAAATGAAGAATATCACCACTCATGAAGTGATGTTGTTGAAATCTGCAAAATATTATGATCATGAATTGTTGAGTCGATTGTAAGTGAAGCGAAAGGTCAAAGTGGATAAAAAGAGTAACTTAGAGGTGAAGTTAAATTAGTAATCATAGTAGGAAGGGGAAGTAAAACCTAGGAGGTGGCAGAAATTACAAAACTTCTGTTTTCCAATCACTACTTCTTCCTTGGCCTACAATTCATTGCCTACTATATTCAATTATTTGAAGCGTGAGTATTTGGACAATTTGAATTTGGAAAGAATAGAATTAAATAATTTTTATAGATTCAAGAGAGAATAGGAGAAGTTCATCATGTACGAAAGTGAGAATATAAATAAGATCTTGGAGATGGAGGAGTTAAATTTAGAAGAGAAATTGTGGTTGAATAGAATTGGGTTTTTATGTTTTAAGAAGAATGCAAAATTCGAACACTTCTATGAACTGGTCAGAAAACTGTAGAATAGCAATCTGGAGAGTAAGTTAAAATTGGTGTTGGATCTAGCAGATATGGACAATGATGAGTTGATTACAAAGCATGAGATTGAAGCCATTTTTGTGCCATCGATTGTGCAAGATTGCGAAGGGAAATTCTCACTCTAATCGACCATTTAAAACACTTTCAGCAAACCATTGAGTAAGCAAAAGGCCATGGAGGTTCTATTGAATTAAATTAATTCAGATGAATAATTCAAGGAGTTCTTCCAGCAACTAACTCAATGCGAATGAATTAACATATATATATATATTAATATTGATATACTATATAAAAATGAATAAGTTGTAACAATATACGGATGTGTATTCGTTTGAACCTGATTTGGATCAAGTTTTGATCGAAATAATACCGGACATGATTGAATCGGTGGCTGATCTCAACGAAACCCAAATTCAGGATAGACTGGCCACTAAGAGGGTGAGTTCGAAAACGAAGACTGTTACTTTCAATGGAATGCTGTTGATTTTATTGATCTTCTTGGTTTTAACTATTGTGAGATGGTTAATGAATAAAATCGATGTGAGATTGTTGAAGTACATGCTGAAGTAATTCGAGATGATCATAAAATTTTAGAGACTCAGCATTGATGTTACCAATGGTTTTCGTAATCTTGGTGTTCAATTACATGTTGAGTAGTTCGGTGAAGCAGAATATGAATATTTATGGAGTCCTCTATTATGTGGATCTGGATAAGTTCTTGATGCAAATAGTGACCTTCATCATTGTGTGGTTCGGAGTAGGCATAGTGTTCACCTTTTTGTGGCAACATCAGAGTGCCGTCAATAATGAGTTCGAGCAATTGGATGCTGAATAAACGCATAGACTCTACGAGAACATGTACTTGTACAATGACTCAAACACCTACATAATACAGGAGAAGGTGCAATACCATTCAATCAGATAGCAATTCATACAACCCACTGACATTCCAGTGATAAATCCCAGGATTTTGAGGAAGGATTTCAACTTTGCTCAATATTTGAACTTGAACCAACGTAAAATCTATACATAAATCTTAAGAATCAACTCGTTCAGCATCATTCCAATTATCCTTTGCATGTTTCTCACCTATGTGTTCTCCTCTATCATCATCACTGTTCTCTTGCTCCTGTATTATTGGGTGTAAAAGTCAAACCTCTATTAAATCTACACTAAGATTGATGCTCCATATCAATACAATCCAACTCCATTGTAATATCGAGGGATTCAAGCACCTCCTTACATCAATTTACCATTATAGAAGAATAAGTCCAGATTGAAGTAGGTTATTGGATCACCGCAATTCAATTTAAGATTGCTTCATTCCTTCATCTTCATCTAAATATTTTGGTTTGCTTGGTTATTCTATGCTCATAGAGTGAATAATTCGATCCTAGAACACACTTGGTTATCAATTTTCGTATCCATTGCCTCAGTCAATGTGACTATTCTGACTCCCATGATCGTCAAGGTGTTGACTTACACTCATTAAATAGCCGACCCATATAAAGTTTGTGTGGAATTGCAATACAATAGACAATCCTTGTTGGAGAAGGTATCGCATTACCTCAGATTTTGTAATCGAAAGGAAGATGAACAACACAGTCATAATGAAGTCAACCAATAAGATGAGGTTAAAGAACAAGAATAGGATTAAGATTAAGAATAAAATTAAGAATAAGATTAGAATCAAGAGAAAGATCAATACTCTCTGACTGTTGGGTAGCAATAACTTATTAAATATGCATTCACATGTCTTATCAACAACGAAAAAGAAAAGTACGTGAAGTAGGCTGTAGAACAATATAAGAAACAATTGATTGAGAATCCCAATCTATTGCAAGTGCCAATCGATTCAGAAGAGGAAGAAGACTTAGAACTAGAGTTGGATGAACAATCGGGATCACAGGAGGAGGATCAAGAAGATCAATCGTAAAATAGACAACAATAGCAGAATGCGAATCAACAACAAGCATAGCCCAAAGAGATCAACGAGGCCTTGAAAGAGTACGAGCAGAAGATCGTGGCCAAGTTACTCAATAAAACAGAGAGCAGTAGCATCAATGTTAACCAACTGAATGATCTGAAGAAGTATGTGGATTGCAATTTGCCTCTCTGGTACATGGTCCTGATGGTGGACAAGTATTTCAAATTGAACAACCCTCTCGTGGATACCATCAGATACAACGATCTTTGCAATTACTCGGGGTTCAATCAGTATGTTCTAGAGACGGGAGACATGTACCCGTAGTAGAATGAAGTTATGACTCTTACGCAATTGAAGGAGTACCTCATGAGTTTCTTCACTGAGCAGGAGGCGGAGGAGGTGACGATGGAGTACAGCTTTTAGGAATAGATGGTGAATTTCGAATAGTTTTACTAATTCATTGAGAATAACATTGTTTTGTTTCCAAAGTGAATTATAACATTATGATACATTATAATATATGTTATAACAATATCTGAATGATTATTTAAATTATTACTTTGATGACAACCAATCAATATTAGTTGCTCATTTATGACGACGAATTCGTGCAGTTATATTCTTCTATTATCAAGGTAGGAACCCCATACAGGATGAATCCTCCCTTGAATATCTCATGACCATTTGTCTCCAGCAATCCAATGCCAATCAGGACAAGAAAACCTGCTATTAGAAGCAGACCTTCACCAAAGACGAAGACAAGGACATCCTCAAGTACGTAGTGCAATTCGGACCAAATTTTAATAAGATCGTCAAATATTTCCCTGGCAAAACCATGAATATGATCAAGAATCGTTATTATAAGAAACTTCGATATCTGAAATCCGAATTGCATGTTGACAATGAATTCGACTCCATGAGCAACAATACTAAAATTAAAAAAAGTCATTGAAATTTTTACTTTTTATATTAATAATTAGATTATATAAATATTTATATTTAATTTGTTGTAAATTTTAACTATGTCCAGAAACACAATTAAAAAGACAGTCAAAAAAATTAAAAAGCCCAAATCCACCAACACCAAACAAAACAACAAATAAAAAATCGATGACGATGAATCAATCGATTCAGAATACTTGGATGAATTGGAAAATCAAAAACCCCAATAAATGTCAGATAGAAGTGACAGTGAAATTGATGAAACCGAAGACAACAGGAGATTGAGATTGGCCAAATAAATATTGTAACAAACCAAACAAGATTTGAAAGCCAAAAACGATGACTTTTTTCAAGATCATCATGACATTCACATGAACGACGAAGACAAAAGATTAAATGTAGCCCTACTAGAGAAAGTAACTCATCGATCTAATCTTAGTTTGCTGAAAAACACACCATCTATCAGTCCTAAATCCAAAAATTCGATCGTCAATTCAATCGAGAAATCTACAAAGGCCATCTTAGAGCCATCACTTGCACCCAAGTGGATGAATTCGCCTAACACATGTACTCTTGTTCCAAAGATTCAAGCATCATCAAATGTATTCACAATCAATTAAGTTTTTTTCAGGGGACTTGGAAACCAAGAAGAAGGAATTCATCTAGAGAGAAGTAGGTAAACACGGCGATGGCCATTATGACGAGGTCCTTACCATTTCACTCAATTTTGATGGCAAAATATTGGCTAGTGCTGGCAAAGATCACTCCATCAAATTATGGGATACGACATCCAATAAATTGATCGAAACACTCAAACATCATAAGGCTCCCATTTATGGCGTGAAATTCGGATATAACTCCAATAATCTATGCAGTATCTCATGCGATAGAACTTTCATCCAATGGGACGCAGCCTAACGAGCTTATATTGACACATTGTAATAATTACAAGTAATTTATAAGTTTTGGACATAGCACAGAAGCAAATGACATCGATTGCTTTAATGCTGATGACTTCTTGAGTTGCGGCTACGACAGACAAATGATTCAATGGAAGACTAAGTCAGGAGGACAACTTCTATACAGTGGACACGATTAATCCATCGATTGCATTCGGGCGATAACTCTGGACACCTTTGCTACTGGTTCAGTGGATTCCAATGTCAATTTGTGGAATGTTAAAAAAAGGAAGCCTCTATTTGAATTGCACAAACCTCATGGCGATAGATGGATAACTGCGCTGGTAATTGTTGTATCCACATGTAGGGAACCGCTTACAATAGTGACCTTCTGGTTTCGGGATCCTATGATGACAATCTGAACATCTACAAGGTCACGAACAAGGACATCACAAAAGTCAGATCGCTACAGAGTGTAAGATTTTCAGATTGATTTTTCTTTAGTTTGGAATCGTGAATCACATCAATGTGTTTGATAATAAAATCCTCACTGTGGAGAGTCAGGAACATCGTTTGGGCAGGTGGGTTACTTCAACGAAAAGCAAAAATTTAATTGTGTTGTATTTATGATTTATTATTTTCTTATATATATATAAGTTTTAATAAGTTTAATAAACAATAGCTAAAAATCATGGTTAATTACACAACATTAAATTTACTCTCATTACATTTTCATAAACCTAAATTTTATGAAATTATTTGTTTTACTTCTTTACCTATTCTGCAATGTATAAATGTGGCTTTTGTTTAACGGATTTTCCATTCAAATTTTCACTCTCTTTTATTTGAAATTAATATACGAATGTCTCTCAATTCTTAAGACGGATCATTCCCTATTGTCTTTTTATTTTATTTTATATTTACATACCAGATCTTTTCAATGACTAAAAATGCTGAAAAGCAATTTAACTATCGAGCTTATGTCAAAGTTTCAGCTAAGCAGAAGCTCTAGTTAATAGCTCTAGTATTTGAGGAGGAATGGAAGATTAAGAAAGTACTTATTCTTAGTACCAGTTAGGCAGCTTCGTTCCTTTATATAAACTACGCCTCAGCCAAAAGTATCATACTAAAACACAGAAAAAACTCGATACTAAAAAAAATGCCTTTGATTCCAGAAGTCAGGAGGTGCCATTACAAAACAATGAAAAATGGGAATCACAATTACAACATCCTGTGTCTGAAAGGAGGAATATTTCAAAACCTATTAGAAAATCTCTCTCAGAAATGAAGTCCATATATATATGTATTTAATTTTCATATATCATTTTGTTCTTCTCACCACATTCCAAGAAATAATTTGGAATTCTTTATTTAGAACATAAAATTCAGTTTACTTTAGACTCCCCCTCCTCCAAACTCGATTAGTAGTAACTCAAAATACCCTTCAAATAACCTTTAATGTCTTCATTTTTAGTCTTAACCATATAAGCGAGCCGCACTTCTTGTTTAAATTGTTTGTAGAGGTATCCCCTCAAAACACATCAAATGTTTTAGATGCTGTCCTAAATTGAATAAAATTACCTTTTTACAACAAAAACCATTTTCTTAAGGCACTTTTCTCAGTCAAGTAATTCAATTATTTCACAAATTTAAATCAACCATTCCTTTGGTCGATTTCAATTGCAAAACATCAAACAACCCTATTGCTGCGACTTTTGGAGGCTCCCTATCTGAAATTTTGAAGTTTACCATTATTATTCAAAAGGGAATGTTGGCAATAATCGGGGGGAATACAATAATTTAATATAAACTAATAAAGGTTCAATCCTAACAACATTCATTTTTTTGTAAAGAAAAAAGAATATTACTCTTCTACTATTACGAGACAAATAAATTCCAAAGTACAAATTTAGTGTTATTTGTAATCACACAGGTGAATTTAGCTTAGAATGGGTAAATTTTAGAAAAGGTTACTTTTTTCTATTTTCCCAGATTCATTAATTTTAGTTTGATTCAGAACAATCACAATCTCCATAATTTGATCTCCCTAAATTATACCCTTGATTACTGCGTAAAAGTCCTTGATAAACTGGGTTGAAATATCTATGATAACCTCGTAATTAGCTCAAGATTAGTTTAGGAATTACCCTCTACGCAGTTTGAGTGTTGGCACTTAGTGGAATCCGTTAGGAATGAGTCAGCAGGATTTTAGGTTAGATTCAACAAAATTGTAAATATCTGTGGTAACTAAGAATAATTGTAAATTATTAAATAGAGCAAACAAGTAATATTAAGCATGTAGTAAATCTTTAATTAATAAATTATGTGTTTATCAAATATGAAATATCTTGTTTACCAATTATATATATATAACCAGGGATAATCTTTTGATTATATTAATTTAAATAGTAATCAGGCAGATGGAGGCTAAGGATAATAGAGTCCGCGCCTATTGCAAAGTCTCAAAGTCCAAATAAGAGGAGCTCCTAAATCTTGTTTACAAAGACGAATGCAGAATCAATTATGTAGAGATATTCAACCATTGTTTAGGCTGCTGATTTGCTAAATATTAATTACGCCACTGCCAAAAATATCGTACTTAAGTTCAAGAAAACTCACATTTTGAGAAAGTCTGCCAATATGTCCGAATCGAAGAGATGCAATTATAAATTGATTGGAGAATCGAAGGACTAAACAAATTCAGTAAACTTAAGAGGGGGATTGGTGGCTGAAGGCCTAAAGAAATTTGTCTAGAAATTTTGATTTTAATTATAATTTTATAAACCTCAATATCATAAGAAAGGAAATAGTAATGTTTATAATGAACACACGTGAGAGTGGGGACAAGAAATTAGAATATTTTTAGAATGATCGAATCGGAATGATTATTAAATATAATAATAAAATAATTAAACCATATTACTGATTAATTTTGGATTATTCACTCCTTAAATTGATTGGATAGGAATTCTAACTTGCTTTTGATCTCTGAAAATTAGGGAGGTCTGAACACTAACTCATTATCCTTGTATTCAACGTAGGATGTCAGCAATTTGATGGCCACGTCCTTGTTCTTCATGATTAATTCTTAGTACTAATAATAACAAAAGAATGCATTACTTATTACTTAGGGATTTCAATCATCTTTTTTTCAAAGTCCTCCAGATTCCAACAAATCAACATGAGTCGTTTGGATTTGTATTCACCAGACAATACAATGAATTGCTGATCACTGCAAAGATTGTCTATGTAAAGAGAAGCCGAAGTTGATAATTGACCATATTGGTCTTTCCATTACTTAAGAGTTTATTTGTAATCTCTGAAATTGATTAATCTTTTCCTATTTCTAAATTGATGTTGTATAGGTCGTATTCCCTTCTCAAGAAATAGAATGCAATTTTGGTAATGGTGTCTTTGAATGTCCTTTTTGTCAATGGCAAGGAATATAAATTTATCTTTGACAATCAGAGTTCTTTTACTCAATTCATTGGCTATTACTTTCCTGTCCTTCTGATGGGTTAATTGTTATGCATCCTCACTTGACAATTCCCATTCAATATTAAAGGTGTTGTCATTATCTCTGTCCTTTTTATCCAGGGACATGGCAGCCACTTAAAAGAGGGACTCAAAATGATTTTCAACAGCATCAGCTGGGTCTTCCTATATTTTTGTGACTCTTTTTTCTAGTACACTAATTTTCATCAAGAATTTCTGTTTTCCAAAATACACTATTTTTTTGGCTAAGATGATTTGGCTATCAGGTTTGAATTTACTTTGAACTTGATCTTGAACTTCTATTTTTCCATTTTCCACTTGAATCAAGGATGGATTAATCTTCTATACATTAATCAGGACATTCCCTTATTTATCGACTTTCACAGCATCAATAATAGAGTCACTTATGGTTTTCATTGCTATCTTATCATCCTAATGCAAATAAGGATAGAGTTTCTTAAAATCACTCAATTCAACCGCAATTTGAACGGTGTTCTTTAAATCCTGAACAATGGATTTCTATTTGACTTGACCTGTATAAACTACATTGTAAATGGTTTCAGAGTAAATTTCCGATTGAGTTTATTGATAGTGATTGACAATTTCGTTCTTTTCAGTTCTTTGAATTTCTAACCTTAATCCAGGACTCTTAGTATCGATGATGTCCTTTGGTTGTTCAATTTCCTAAACAGTTTTGAATTGATTGCTCTCAAACTAGAGCAAATCGTCTTTGATGAAAACTAGATTGAGGATATACTCTGCTATTTTATTGGATCCAATATTGACCATCTCGGTGGAATCTAAGATATGAATACCTCTGTATCTATTGTGTCTGTTGTGGTATGAAATCAGATCAACAGTGATTTGAGTTTCATACCCTTAGAGAAGTTTGTACATGTTAACAATATAGTACTAGTCTTGGATTACCTTGAAACTCCTATTGAATTTCTTACCGATCTGTCTCACAAGTGACTTGTCCGTACATTACACTTTGAGATTGTAGATCTACATGTCTTTTCTAGTTTTGTAATGCACTTAGAGTTTGGTGATGGCTTGAATCATACTGTAAAACTGAGTGTCATTCTTTTTCTTTTATTGGATATCCTTCAATTCAGTGACTTTGAATTCATTTTCAAATGAAATCTCAAAGGGAGTCTCCACTCTAATGATACGGATGATATATTCAATTAGAGGTTTATACATCTACTCATAATAGTTTTGTAGATGCACTCCTTTGTTTTCAATCCACTTGTCTTTGACATTAGCAAATTCTTTTTGATCAAGTGTTTAATCAAGTAGATTCAAAAAGTAGACTTTCTTGACTTTGGTATCGACGATATTGCCATTGCCATCAATTTCATTCAATTAGTGAAATACAATCTTGATTTGATATTGAGTTAGGAAGAACATGATTTTGATATATTTATTGTCTTTCTAGATGTAACGATGCATCAGAAAGATATTTTTCTCACTTCTCTTCCTATACTGCAAGTAGTACTTGAATTGGGACTTTATTTTGAGAGCTCTTTGTATTCTGAGAGCAAACAAATCCTTGAATATTTTGCTTAAGAAGGGTTTGATCCTTAAGAAATCGGTTGTATGATTTTCATAGATAACTAAATTGTCATCCAGATAATTCATGAGGGGAGTCAAGATCTTGCAAATCTTTTGAGGAGGACTATTCTTAAACACTTTCATCAGTCTATTATTCTCGAAATCTCTTGCAGGTATTATGTGAGTTTTAAACATTTCTGGGAAGTCATCGAAATACACAGTAAATATCAATTGTTGATCACTCAAGTTAATCAAGTATTCGTGAATTTTATCCACACACCTCTTTGATCTCAACATAACTGCCTAATATTTATTCTCAATCAAATTCTCATACATAGACTTACTCTTATTCAGATTGATAAAGACATTAACCAAATTGTAGATCTCTCCTTCCACATTCTCCATATTGGGCTTGCGATGTTGTCTAGCTTTCCATATCTCCTACTCTATCAACAATTACTCCTAGGCTCTGAAATCACTGACAAAACTCAATGCTCCATCATCTATTTACAGATACTTCACAACACTCTGACTCAAATTTTACCTCAAAAATTCCATCTGCACTTCCCCATTTAAGACACTGAGAATATCAATATTGCATCCCAAACTCACATTCATCTCCGTCTTCCCTTCCACTTCCAATTGATTAGTCTGCTTGTTGAATATGATTCTCACTAGAATTCTCTGTGAACTCACCACACAATACTCCTAAAATATTAAGATGCGAGATTCCTTCTCCTTCTGAATTCTTCTATTCTCTTCGTCCTTAATTTGCTGTTCCTTCAATTTCCTCTCTTATTCCTCCTCTGCCTTCCTCTATTCCCTTTGATCATATTCATCCTTTCTCAATTGCAAGAAATCCAAATTGTATTGTCCCTCTTCCAATCCTCCGTATCCATAATCGCTGATGTACTAGTACTCACGGACATAATTAGAAATTGACTCCTAATCATAACATTTCACATCAGTTTAATCCATCAAACCATTGTAGTAACCACGTCTCCAACTTGAATAATTGCTTCTTATAAAAAGAGTGGCCAAATACTGGTTGCTTCTCTTCTTACTTTTCATCTACTTCGGCTTGACCTTCTCCAAAATATTGATATCAGTCTCAACATTCGAGTCTTGAATCCAAGCTTTCCTCATATGCGAATTCCACAGTCTTCTAGCCTACAAGGTGTCATCCTTCTTCTCTGAAGTCTTAGATTGATCATAATCTTATTCATTAAGTAACATCCCCTGCACTTCCATCAGATTTCTCACATCAAACCTTAAGGAACCCTTAATCTACAGCACTTTACCGATTGTCATCATTCTCTACCCAATCATTGTCAATTCACCAACCGACATCTCACTATACAATGGCTATTTGTAGGGATGGATGTAATCAGAAGGAAACTTATGTTCCAAAGACCTAACATCTATACTTATCGATTATTCATTTGTGACCTAATCTACTATCAATGAGAAATTCATAAAGAATGCTCTGGCAGGAGACTCCCCAGACACAACCACCTTCTTTACTAGACTGGTGCATTTGACTTCATTCTTGTAAAATTAGAACTACCTCGTATTCTTCTTGATCATGTATTCCTTTTAACATAAGTGCTGTCTGATGGACTTTTGAATCACTCTCACACAACTCTCGATTTAGGAGAAGGAAAATTGCTTCTTCTTCTACGTTGCCTCCATCTCCTTCTGAATCCAATACTATCCCTCTTCTGTGTAGGTTAAGGTGTTCCCCTGAATTTAGTAAATGTCAAAGAAATTCTCCCTGCATGGGAATCCCAATTATTTCGTAATCAATTGACTGATTTTGAATTTATTCGTTATTAGCCATTTACGATCATAGATCACCTTGCCAAATATCTCGTCCTTATCATTAATGAAGACCTGACAGTACCCTGACTTGAAACTCAGTCCGAATTACCCTTTGATGTGTCTCTTCCTGTTCACTTTGAATCTCATCGTGTTTATTGCATTTCTTGCTTTAAATTAACTTTATAAGAATGTAATCAATTCCAAATGGTTCCCAATTTTGTGCATCACCTCCAATTTTTATTTCTATTACTCCTAGATTACTTGGTACATGTCACTATAAGCGAAATCCGTGAATCCTGCAACCTGCAAATTATTTTACTCATCCATATACACTAAATCCTCAAACTGTATCTTTGCCAAGTATTTCACAATGTGAATTCTGTCCAATTTCAAGTTATAAGAGTGCTCTACGATCGAAATAAAGGATTGACTGGTCTTGCAACAATATTGAATCACTTAAAGATGACCTTGATTTGGCTCTATTTCAGCCTACAATGCATCCTAAAACTCAACTATTCGAGCAAACATGTAGAAGAAGTCCTTCTCATTGATCTCAATTATGAAGGGTTTTAACAATGCCCTGTCACACTTTTTCTTGGCATAAGCCTACAATTTAAACTAAAACTTCTACTCATTCCAGGTCAATTGGAACAAAAACAATTTATTTTGAATTTTATCAGAAACCTACTTAATATGAAACGTAATTAATCTCTTTCTGATTAGATTCTCTGACTTTTATGATTGATTTACAAACCTTTTGATAGCAATACATTTTCTAATGTGTCTTTGTATGAGAATTGCACTCAAAAATTATTTCTTAGGAAAAATCGTTCTTCTTTTTATGTCCAACAATTGATACGCTATCTCTCTGAATTTCCTCTGAATTCTCAAACTTCTAAACCATTTCTAAATCTTCCTTATGAGTTCCTCCAATCTCTCCTAAAGTTTCCTTCTCTTTTCCTCCCTCTTCAAAATTTCCAATTTCTTTTGAGCTGCCTTCCTTCTCCAATGATTTTGTAATTTCACTATGGCTTGAATTGGATACACAATCTAATCCTTTGTTTTTTTGATTTCAAAAACTCTTGCTTCAAATTTCAATTGCAATTCGTTCATCAGAAATTTGATCCTGAGTTCCTTTGATTTTTTCTCTTCAATCACTGAAATTTGATTGGTCTATGCGATCTACTGGTCGTGGTTTTCCTCTTCGGAACTGCTCCAATCGAACTTTTCGTTCTTTTGGTCAGTCTTTTCTTCGACCACAGATTTCTCTTCCTTTTCCTCCTTGGGTTCATTGACTTTGTTTTTCTTGATCACGAAGGTTTTCTTGTTGGGCTGCGGTTACTGCGGTGATATCAGTTATTATTATAATTTCTATTCATCCAACGCATCGCTCAATTATTTTATGGACTACTTTTGAGGGTTCCCTCTGAAATAGAACGTTTTCAATTTGGGTTCACTTTTTACAAATGTTAATGGTTTTGGTGATGCGAGCACTATTTTCCTAGGTGTTTTTTCTGTAACTTGCATCGTCTCCTATCCAGCCTTCTTATATGCCATCACTTAGTAGCGTTACACATCCTTGCTACTGTTAAAGTTTTTGTATACATGAGTAAAGTGTGTCTTGTAATGTCCTCTGCCCATTAGAGAATCAATATCGGAAGTTCGGATTTCCCAGTGCTTTCCTGTAATCTCAAGGCGAAATTGCAAATCCTGTCCATAATACCCTTAAAATCAAAAAGAGGACTATCATAACCGTGTTAGACCTTCATACGTTCGAAATCTAAATAATGAAAATCAAATGATTAAACATTCTTTGAACTTCTACAAAGCTGGAATCACTTAAAGACTAGATAACAGTCGATCAGCTTCCTCATACAGTCTCTGATTGACTTGATCAGACTTTTTTAGAGTAGTGGCACTTTGAACTCTCAATAATCTACTCATGTTTTATATAAATATTTATAAATGTAATCATGAAAATGGCATTTGATAATTTGCATTATAAGGTGTGTTTGGATAATTAGGAGGTACTTGCTATTGCTACTAGAAAGGCATCTAACCAAAAGGACCCTACTATTGGGGCTATCCAAAGGGACCAGATTAAGGCTCTGCCTATGGCTAGCCAAATGGAACCTATTACTAAGGTTGACCGAATGGAGTCTACGATTGCTATGGTTAACCAAATGGAACCTATGATTATTGCGGTTGGCCGAATGGAACTTGCGATTATTGTGGCTAACCAAACGGTCCTGAAGATCCAAAGGGCCCAGCTTAGGTGCCAGTCTTAGATTAATTGCCAGGTTGTTATTAATAGTAATTGGATTGGGGTTAAAATGGGATCTAAGAGGATTAAGCAAGTTGTGGCTAAAAGAGTCCTTGGGCTTGGATCGACTATTAGAAGCGATTGAGTGTTTGTTTTGCTTGGATATTAAATATAATGTCTTCTTGTTCTCTATTTTTAATTTTGATTTCATCTTGTAGTTTTTTGGCTTCAATAAAATTAAGATCTCCTTCTCTTTCCCATACATAGACAAGTATGGGATGCTCATCTCCAAAACCAGCAACAGCAATCATGTGATATCCTTAGTTCCAAGCGACGTCAGCCACTGGACCAATCACATTAAATTAAAATAAATCTGTGGGTAGTGTTTGTGTTAGATTGCTCCAGAGATGAGGTTTGCCATCTTCACTGCCTGATAACACGTAATCTCCCTTAGGACTTGAGACACTTCGACAGGCTATCTTGACAGATTGAGACCCAAAGAAACGATTGTTGACTGTGCCGTAGATGACTTCATGATCATGAAACTTGCCATCTCCAGACTTAAAATCAACAATTCTAAGGCAGTTATCTCGAGTGTGAATTAAAAGATCTTGGCATTCTGGAGGCATCAATTGTATTGAATTGATTGCGTTTCCACTAATCTCTTGAATGACTATCAAACTTAATCTCCTGGCTATATAACTACCTCCAGAGAGATTGATGTCAAAAAAGTGAATATTTCCCAAGGAATCTCCAACATACAAACATTTGACACCATCATACACTATGCAATTGGGATGTCTGTGATTGCCCAGATTATCAAATTGATCAAAGGAGATGCCATCATATGAAATAATCTCCTATTGAATGGGTTCATCAATAATCTGCAATGATTGATTAGACTCAAATTGCCATATACGCATTCTGCTATCAAAACAACATGTGGCCACCACTGGCATCTTGTTATCCATCAAAAACAAGCCAGCATAAACAAAAGAGGGATGTTGGAGTTAACAGATTTATAGCAAATCCGAATCTTCTTCATTCACTATATCTCCTGAATGTTGAGGTACACTCCAGACTTTGGCCGTGTAATCACTTGACACTGTAATTAAATATTATGAATTCTGTGAGAATTGCAACTCATGAATGATGTTCCTATGTCCTTTATATGTGGCAAAATGTTAGCCAGTCTCTACATCAAATAATTTTATTATAGTTTTTGAATTCCTGTAAGTACACGCACAAGCCAAGTAATTTCCAAATTTATTAAACGCTAATCTATAGCATCCCAAAGGAGCACTGGCAAACTTATAAGCTATTTTATCTGGAATGTGATCCTCCTTATCTCCAAGGTAACGACGTCTTCTTAGATTGATTTTCTCTTAATCAGTGATCTCTTCCACTCTCTACTCAATCACCTTCTCCATCACCACAGAGTGTTTCACTTTCTCTTTTGCCTCTTCATCTCCTCTCTCTATCTCAAATACACTGGTGCTTTGACTCTTCCCGTATATCTCAATGAATTATGGCTTGGCTTCAGTACCCAAATACACATTCAAAACTGCATCATATTCAACCTTATCAAGCCAAAGAAAATCGAAATACACCAACGGAATTGATTCTCTTCTACTGACTGATTTCAATTTACTCGTATCAAACAAATACTTGTACAACTGGATTTTACTTATGCCCAAATGCAATCTGCATAACCCATTTGGTCTTGCGTATCCCCATGCAATTCTGTAGAAGTTGTCTGAATCCAAGAATTCACTATTGTGCTATTATAGATAAATAGGGTGAAAGTCTAGAAGTTCAAACAAAATTATCGTATCTGATTTATAGAATTCATCGGCTGGAATATTAATCAATATTTCCTCGTTCCACTATGCTCTACTATTCGTTGCCATACGCATATCACAAAAATTAGTAGAAAAAGCAGTTAGCAACTCTAACTCACATGTAACTCTCTCCCTCTCTCCATCCACAATGTTAGTAATGCAGTTACTCTCATAGTTGTACACAGCATTCGTGAACTCTCTTGGTTAATTGTCCTCATTTTTTGGCTTATACAAATAGCATCCATTTTTTATATTGATCACATGCATCCTTATAAATGGGTGCTGAATGTTCGTATCCATCTGCAATTAGGATGTCCCGATTATCTTCACTACCACTGTCTACACTATCATTGAAATACAATACTCTGTCAGGTGTAATCTGGGCTTTATCTTTCTCACTCAATGAAAATGGGTTGATGATTTATTCATATTCTAACTTATTCAATAGATCCACGAAAGTGCGTCTAGGCGGATCGCAATGTAGCAGTCTATTGATTCTCGCTCCGATTCGGTCCCCAAAAGAGAAACAATTATAAATCAGATCATCATTCATAAAGTTGTTGTATGTCATTCCACTGTCATGATTGGGTGCAGGTTATAATTTCTTTGATCGTAAATACTCAAACAATTACCTCTTCTTCATCAGCCTCCTGTGCTTCTTGCTGATCGAAATTTGAATTTGCAAAGTCAACCTTCTTCTCTGCTGGCTATGACAGTTGCTAATATCCTCCAAAAGGCATTTCCCCACCTTCTCCTACTCTCTTTTGCTATAAGGCTGAAATAATAATTGTCAAAATCTACGTGGCAATTATCGAGGAATATTTGAACGTGACATAGTTATAAATATTAATTTTATTTATTTTATTACTCTCTCATTTTGCATTATAATCCAACTATACTATTCGAATTGCATTTATATCATTATATTATTATGCTCATAATTATCGATAGGTTATTTATTATATAATAATTTAAACTTATATTAAGTTAGCATCATTTGATATTAAGATATATCTAATATCAAGATTTTTCCTAATTTTAAGTCTAAGAATTCACATTAAATTACTTAATTAACACTCTTTCCTTCATATATTGAAAATCTATTTGATTAGAATATTAACTCTTTATATATGACTATGAAAATTTTATAATTCTTATGATGAATTTTGTGTTATCACATTCAAATACATATTTATAAAATATATACACATAAAATATCTTTAGTATAAAAAAATTAAAAGTATAAAGAATTATCGATAATTAATTCATCTCTAAGTAAATTTCTTTATTGCTTTAAAAACTCATCCTTTTTACCTTGATCCAACATCAGAACTAAATATAGATTTGATTTATTAAAACTGGTTGTAATTATAGTATTTAGAAATTTTACTAAAATTTAATAATAATCCTATTGATAATTATAGTGTTTGAGAATAGATGCAATTTAGAATTCTATAAGATGACATTCATAGTAATTTAGTATATTTCTAAATTTAAATACTTCATCATACTTTTTAATTAAATTTAGTTCATAATAAAATTTGTTTAACTAATTTAAAAATTGGAAGATTACAAGCACTTCTAAATATATTGTAGATATTTAAAATGAAATCCTTTATGTTTTATTTAAATTATTTGTGAAAAATAATGTCAAACTAATCTGCCTGCATAGATTCCACCTTCAATTCCAACGTGATTGGATCCTCTTAAGATTTTGAATAATCCATTTTCTCCCCATCCTTCATTCCAAGAGTTGACTACTAACCAATATGGAACGTTTTTCTCAACACCCCAACCAATTATTTTGACAGCATGTCCTCCCAAACTGGCTCCAGCAACATTTTGATAGACTCCGGATTTGTAAGTCAAGAAGTCCTCATAGACGGTGAATGATGCCTACAATAAGAAAGAGGGTTAATACTTCGACTGGGCCGAATGTCATAATTTCATTTTAGATTTGCTCCACCTTTGATGAGACTGAATAAGAATCAACGGATCTGATCTTGTCTGAGTCATAGTTTCTTCCGGATTGAGCAGTGCATGACTTAACACAGGCAGGGGTTGGTTATGAATCTCCGCATGGTCCATACTTGCCATCATCAACATGGTGATCACATGGAGGGAAGGTATATGGTCTGCACCAGGAATTGTCACCGTAAAGATCACCTGTGACGAGTCCCTTGTTTTTGAAGTAGTTCCAAGCACCACTTGGGAATCCACCATTACATCCCATTCCGCAAGTGATTCCACAGCAAGTCAACAAGTCTTCTGTTGAGATCCTGGTTTGCTTTCCAGTGGCGATGCACAATCTGTCACTCATGGCTTCAGCAGCTCCAAAGGCCCAACATGAACCACATGTAGATTAATCTCTGACCTCCTTGATGGAATCACAATTAGGCCATTGTACTCTGGCATCGAAACTCTCTGGGATTTCTAAATTCTCAAATTGCACTGTTGACTCTGGTAATTTCATGAATTCTGGTTCATCCAAGAATGTTCCCATTTGAGTTTTCAATGTGGCTTCATTGAATTATTCCCATCTCTAATTGTGTCCTGAAACCCAAGTTGACTGTTGTGAGTTGACGAAATCATAAAAAGTTTAAGATTGGAATCTCAAACCCAACGCTGACGTAATTAATGTAATGATAAACATTCGCTATTATTAATATTATTTTGTAGAATAAATTGGAGCCGCATTAAAAAGGCACTTCATTTCATCACTAACAATAATTCTACAGGAGCACTCCAACGATTTGTAGGTAAGATAAATTTCTGAATTATTTTATGAATTAATTATAAATGATTTGCTTAAAATCATTAATTCAACTAATTAGTCTCAAATTATTGGTTCAATTTAAGTAATAATTAGGATATGGAGAATTAAGGTAAATGTCTTGTCAACATGAAATGTAAGTAATTAGCTGGAGATCATTTATTTAATTTCCTTATTAAATAATTATATTATATTTGAGCACTGTAAAATGTACAGAGGTTGTCAATTTCTTCAATTACCACCTGGCTATTTTTCAAAAATTGATTAAAATTAAGGAGAAAACAAATAAAATCTTAATCTAACGCACAATTGCAAAAGACACCTTCTGAAAGAAACCAAAAATACTACGAAAATTGGTAATTAATTTGATAACGTCCTGAATCAACACAAAATTTAATTTATTGAAATAAATGCTATTGATTGTTAATTTGATAGATTGATTTTATAGACTCATATAAGGTTTTATTGTAAGAGCGATTCATATTTGTAACTTGGATTGGTGGAGAAAATTTAAGGTAAATGTTATAAAACTTTGTTTGATTCTGATAAAAATCCTAAATTTTTAATTTCTGAAGGGTTATTCACAATAAATCTTAAGAAGCAGGAGTACATTTTGGATGGAGAAGGGATCAAGTATTGTGGTAAGTCGGAATTTATCGAGAATGAAGGAGTGTTTATTTAGGGTGTATTCTAGGAGCCAAGAGGGGAGAGGAAGACAGCATCCCAAACCTTAGAAGAAATTAGTGTACCAAAATAGAGAGCTATCATTATAAGGGATGAAAGTAATGAGATAATAATAAGTAAATCATTTGGGTATGATAACGAAAAGCTTAAGGTCGATCGAATTCAAATTCAATACAACTAATAATTAAGTGAGCAGGATTTCAAAATATTGAGCATTAATTCAAAGAAATGGGTGACTTCTAGTTTGCTGGATTCGGTGGTTGAGTATTTTAATTGGAAGAGTGAAATAAAAGTAAATGAGTTGCCTTTGAAGGAGAGACTGAAAATCCCGAGGGTGTTGTTCATACCGAGTAATGTGACGACTTCATTCGGAGAGTATGAGGACGAAGCCACTTACAGGAAAAAAGCCAAGGGATTGCTATAACAATAGTTGCTATTCTACAAGGAACTCAATTATGAGATGAAGCAGGTTTATGCCAAGATAGGCTTTCCAATCAATGTCAATAATGCCCATTGGGTGTTCTTATTATTTGATTTAAGAAAAGAATAGATACTGTTGTATGATTCTCTGCCATCTACCTCAATTAAGAAGTGCAAGCCAGGAGTGTTGATCAAGGCTATTGGGAGATTTCTGGATTTGAATGTTGGGGAGTGCAAAATCGTGAACCACGCCAAATAGAGGGATAGTTATTCTTGCGGATATTTTGTTTCTTCGTTTATGGAATTTGAATACAAATTGTAGTTTAAACAAAATTACAAGTATTGTTATGATTAAAATAAAATGAAAACTAAAATTAGAAAGATATTGAGGAAGGCGTGATTGTTTGTATATTATATTTATTAATTGCTTGTTGTGAGTCTCCGATATTCTCTAGCCATACAAGTTAACAACATTGTTTTAAAAATGATTGTACTATAAAAATGATATATTAAAATTAAAGTTTTAGACCACTTATAAATTTTGTTTGATGGGAATAACCTGCAGCAAAGCAAAAAAGGGACAAGAAGCCTTAATCTAAAATTAAATTATAATGGCAGTTCAAGAAGATGAGATTCTCAATTAAGTTGAATACAATTAGGCAGTCAGCGAAGATCAAGAAGATTCCAACCAGGAATAAAACTAAAAACCTGACCTTCCTTTAATGAATAATAGCTCAAAAAAGGCTGCCAGTCGATCAGATGAAGAAGAGGGCGAGAAATAAAAAAAAAAGACGGGTAAGAAAAAACCGGCCCAAAGAAGAGATGATAATTATTTGAAAATCATCGAATACTCAGATCTAAAAATACAAGCATATATCCTTTCATCGAAGGAGGAAGACATAACAACATCATACGAGTTGTCCATAACATTTTCATACTAAGATTATCAGTATAGTGTTAACTGTAAAGCTGTAATTCTTTGCGAACCCAAATAACCCTTTACTTTGAGTCCAATTAAATTCGAAGATGCTATAAGTAACAGTTAATTTCAACCCTTCTTCCTCGTAGATACTTATTTCAATATAGACTTATAGTTAAACTCGAACTTATAATCTTTCAATTAATTGCTAGAAGTAAAACGGAATACATAAGCTGAGAAGAAAGATGAGGACAGTCCTCAGCTCTTCACAAAGAGACAGAGCAAAATAGTAAACACTTAGATAGTGAATGGGACACCGTAAAAGCCAAAAAGGAGGAAGAAACGAGAAGCAGCTGAGATGATGGAGTTGATTCATGTATTTGATTTCGAGTGCTCTCCTCGTTTGAATCAATTGCTGGTGGCTCTTATGATTCAACAATACAGTCATAAGATCACCAAATACTTAATCACGATTAATGACGTTTACTTTATATTTAATGAGAAACCCTCTCTTGACAAGCAGGAAGTTCATAGAATCCTCATTTTTTACGAACATTTCGATTACAGTCTGTTAGAACTGAGTGAATATCTACATACTTAGAAGCTGCAAATGTCTCACATTTGTCATCTCTAGCTCTCTTTAAATTTACTGTAAATCTTGTATTACACCTATACGTCATATCTGTACAGATTGAACATTACATTGAATACAGTGTTCTGGGTGAGCAAGGTCAAGAAATTCAAGTTGTAAACCTTTGGGAGGATTTAGAATTTATTGGATTTGGATGGTAAGGATTTTTAGTAGAAATTTAAAACGGCTAATGAGGGGAAAATCAATGTATTTTATAGAGATTTTGATCGAGACTTTGGAGCTGTCTTAGACATCATAGCATTCTTTAAGGATTTGAGTAAGGAGATAGCCTAAATCAAGAAGCTAAGGAGGAAGAGAAAGAACTTGCCTGAAGGAGAAACTTATTACGGCAAGTACATCATTATGTATGACGAACTCTTCCCAGATAATGTCGATTCCTTATTCTTGGGTTTGGTAAGATTAAAATTCTTTGATAACAACTCATTTGATTAAATACTTGAGGAGATAAAATCAATCATTATGACTATAGACAAATTGATAAAGCAAGAAATAGCAAAAAATGAATCGGATAAATTGCAAAGGGAATAGGAAATACTGGAATAATAGCAGTAGGCATCCCAACATGTGATTGAAGTGAAATTAGAGGACGATGAGGATGAGGAAGAACTGCATAAATTGCAGTCATTTAATTTCGTAATGGAGAGAAAAAAGAAAAAGGACTTGACTCAGGAACAGCATTTGTATTACTAGTTGATCTACTCGTCTCTCTTTTATAGTCAAAATTTTAATATGGTGTGTGATCAATTTATGGAGGCGACTAAGAATTAAGTGTTGATAGCCTATGCTCAGCTTCATTATTCAATTTGGAGGAAGTTGAGTTCAGTGGTTAAGGAGGGATACAGTTTGGAATAGTAGACAACATTACTTTCGATCTCCAAGAATGTGACATAACTGACTTTATCGTAGGATTCGTTTCATTACTACCTATTGTTAGAGTTGATCACAAAGATTAGAGATAAACCATTCAATATCATAAATCATTTGAAAGCCTTGGTGTAGGAGTAAAACTATAAGAGGAAACGGTAAGTGAAGCCAAAACTGAGTAGTAATCAAAAGTTTAATGGGATAATTGAAATGCGTAAAGCGATCTTCTTGGATTTGTTCTTTATTGATCACTACGTCAGTGATCATCAATATCATAAGGCAATCTATTTGATGCAACATGACTTGTCATCTTAATTGAAGTTTAACCTGAAAAACTATATGCTCTATACTCAGTCGCTCTTTTTGAATGGATTATTGTGTGAAAAGACTCTATAGTCAGTGTCAGCAATGCTCAATTTGGAAATCTCAAAATTGTTGTACGATTAATACTTTCCTAATTCAAAGATCGTTTACATTGAGGATGAAACTCAACGGCAAGTGACCAAGGAACAGATGGACAGTGCCAAATAATATACTTCCAAAGTTATTCACTATGATAATCAAGCCTGTGAGAATATGAATGTGCTTGATTTTCATTTGGGAAAAGTGTACTTCTCGATTCATGACAAGGAGAATGCCTTGAAATGTTTAAGGAAGGTAAAACAAGCCAGACAAAAGAAATTTGATATTTTATCAGATGAAGTCATTGAAGTAGTCATTGAAATATTGCGCATATTGGTGGAACAAGACGATAGTGGATCAGCAGCTGAAATCTGTTATGAGTATCAATAGAAATTCAAGGAACAATACAGAAGAAATGCATTTTTCAAATCAAGGTACATTGCTCGTTTGCAATTGATCATGGGAGCAATATTCGAATGCAATGGCATGTTGTTGAGTTCGTTGAGGTATTTTTAGAAGGCCAATAAAACCTTTAATCAATCCAGGTCTAATTCTTACATCTTGTAGATTCACATTAGAATGAAGATAATGAAATTGATATCTGCCATTAAGAATAAGGCACTCTCACTAAATTCAATCAATAAGGGGCAGACGAAGCAATTCAATTATCAGACAGGGTATATGTCAGAATCTGTGAAGCCTTACTTTAACAATTAGTTTTTGAGACAAGCAATAGAGGAGAAGTAGACATCAGTGAATTAAGTCATTTTTAACCATTTGCTTAAGGTTTATTCATTATTCCGTCATCAAGATTACGATAAGGTGTAGGACAAACTAAATAGTTTGCACAATGTGCTCAAAAAGAGGAAGGTCGACGAATGTTATGGCTATACTCTATAGAAATTAGGAATCTATAATGCAACTCATAGTAGTTATGTTTAAGCCATCAATTATTTGAAATTGGCTATAGAAATCCATGAAAGATTCCTGATATTCCCGTAGAGGGAAATAAGGCAATTGCGTTGTTAAATTCTGATCCTTCATTGTTGGATCCAGTTGGAGAAAAAGAAGGAGTACCAAGATCAGTTGAATTACATAGATTAGTTAATTTCATCAATTAATGAAATGCTCTCTTGGAGTAATATCCCATATAAACCAACCACGAATAAGTTCACAGTTTTGTCATTGAAACTTGGCAAACAAATTATATATCAATTAGATGAGATGAGTCAAGTAATCGAGAAATTCCAAAAGACCAGGTATAAACTTATTGAGCATCTGTCAAATCCAACTAAGTTGAAGTCAGTGGCTGCCAAATACTTAAAGCATCTGATCAAAGCCACTGAGAAAGAACAGATTAAAAAAAAAAGTCACACTGATTCCAGATAGTCTTGTCTATTTGGTGTGTTGAGCCGACAGAGTGTGAGACCTAGAAAATCGACAGCTGTAGCATAAACTAAATCCAACACTTAAACTGAATTCGAGTATTAAGAAACTCAAAAGTAAAGAATTTATATTAATATTCTCTTAGATCAACCAATACAAGGAGAAGCAATCTAAAACATAGAGAAAATATGAGTTTTTAGTTTACATCTGAGAAATCTCAATAAATCAGTCAGTAATTTGATGGGGCACAAATACAGAAATCGTAATTCTTGGAGGATAATTTGGAAACGGAAAGAAATGGCAATTTGCACATTTCATATAATATTAAAGAGAACACCAATACAAAATGTAGTACTGGTATGCCGTCGATGGCTCAATTGAATATGACACCAATCAGTGAAATGTCCAAATTATCGCAGAGATCACCAAAGTAGAAAGGAAACAAAGATCAAAAGAAACTTAAAATTAACCCATTTTAAAAGATTACTAGAAAATGAACTAATATTTTATAATATATATTTCCTTAATAATGTCATGAATCGATTGTCCAGAATGTAAATCAAATGATCAAAGAGGATTTTCAGTTAGAATATGAATTGATTTGGAAGATTTATAAAAAGTCTTTATAAAAGGTCATATTATTTAAAATTCAATATATAAATAAATTTAAAAACCGTAACCATGGGAGCCTGCTTTGCAAAAAAGGCTGACAGAGAAGCTGGAATACAGTAACAGATATAAAAAACTATCATCGAATAACAGAAACTTAAAGAGGAGGAGGAAGAAATCCAGTTCAATTAAGGAAACAAAGACTACTCAACTAAGCGATCAATTCATGCAGTTTAAACCACTATGTACACTAATCAAGAGAAACAAGATGATGGAATGACTGACATAATTTAGGAAGAAGAAAAATAAACAGAAAAACCTGCAAAGAAGACCAAGTCTAAACCTACAAAAGACGATATAAATTATTACAAGAAATATGAACATGTCTTGCATTTGAAGGCAATAATTGTAGAATTGGTTAAGAATCAGGTCAGTCATTACTACTCCTTAATGATGAGAGTGGATTACAAGGATTATATTGGAGAAGTAAAAATGAATGGGGTCCTCATTACTTCCAGCGACTTTCATTATTTCGATATTTTACCCGAAAAATTCAGTGATGCAAACCAGTACTCAAGGTTCTCTACCTTCTTCTCCAATGACAATTATTTTAATGCAGATAAAGAAAGCGTTAACAATTTTAATGCATTTGAAAAACTCTTACCAGTGGAAAGGTTAGTAAGAATTAGGTAGGCAGAAAAGAGAGTCCGTAGGAAATAGACTATTTTTGCAGAGAAGGAATCTCCCTCTCCAGTTAAGAATAAATAGGAATTCATTGATTCTAGACAGTAAGAAATGCTGGAAGTCATAACGATTGTGGACATTGAAGAATAAGAAAGATTCTAATGTCTCTTATTCCATACTCTAGTACAACAACAATTTCCAGAACTCAACCATTACCTAGTTTTCATACACAATACTACCTTTCTCTTCGATAGACCTCCTTAGTTTGATGCTCCAAATATCTATCGAATTGCATTATTCTATGATAGATTAGATTATTCATTGAAGGATTTGCAAACAGCTCTGACTAAGGATAATAAAGAACTATCACCTCATTTACATCGAAAACTAGCTCTAAATTTACTTCAGATAATACATAATTGCTATTCAAGATATATTTTTCGACTTAATTTTACACTTTCTACTATCTTTTATTGTGCAAAGAGTAAAGTGTTTAAATTGGAATCCTTTGGAAGGTTAAAGAGTATGATTCCCTTCCACAACAATCAGGAGATGTTATTGAAGAGTGTCGAAGAGAAAAAGTTTACAGCTTTTAGAAAGGCGTTGAAAAGAGATTTATTCGCCGTTTGTGATTTGATTATTTACTTCAAGAAAATTGAGTAGACCCCTTTAAGATCCATATAAGCATTGAGAAAAAAGTTCTTAAAGGTGATAGATGGAGGGAATGATACTTAGGAATAAAATGATAGTTACCTTCACATGGCAGAGGAGCGGTTTAGTCATAATTCGGATCAGTATTTATTTGAATTTGTGAAAATGGTTCTCTATACAACAAAAATAGATTCAACAGAAAAAATTTTGCAAAATCTTCAATCCATAATCGAATCTTTGTCAAAACAAATATCTAGTTATGAATTCAAATTAGAATTCCAAGATGATGATAAAAATAAACAAGCTGAGAGTCCCAAGAAAAATGAACAAGCTGATGTTATCAATTTAGAGGAGATCAATTTAAGTCAATCTGATATATCTAATGAAGAAAACACTAATGAAAATTATTTGTAATCCTTTGATATCGATTTTTAAAAACTATACCAGAATGTTGCAAAAAATAAGGAGCAATTGAGTGAAGCAGAATCTATCTATAAAGATATTCTGTATCAATCACTCTTTTATCACAATGAATTTTACTTTGATGAATTAAATAAAAAATTAAATGTTTAGAGTCTAAACAAATTGCAATAAACTTAGATTGTTGTTTTGAATGCTTTTAGTAGAATCAAGATGATGAAAGACGATTCCTGGGAAGTCAAATCTCAATAGTTATCACAACTTATGGAAGAAGCCATCCTTATCATGAATAGTATCAATGAAGATAGTTACGATAACTTTCATATTTCAATGTTATTTCAAATATTATCCATTTCACAGAGGAAACCCTTAGTAATCTTAAATTAGTTGTAAAGGTGCATGACAAAGTAATTAGAATTAAAATTGAAGGTAAACAACAGATTTAGAGGTAAAAATGCCCCAAAAGGATTGATTGAGCAAAAGAAGTATGTGATGGTGTAAACTATGTATGCTCAATCATATTTGAATTCCAATCATTATTTTGAAGCCATTACAAAAGTTTAAAAAATAGTCGGTTTTTAACTGAAGAATTTTACCACTGCTTCTCTATTGTATGGATATTCATTGATGATCAGCGGAGAAATTGCTAGATTGAGTTCTCAACCTATTTCTGCAATGCTTAACCTAGAGATGAGTCTAGCCATTTATAATTAATACTTCCCAGAATACATCATATAAACAACTCCAATAGAGGAGAATAACCAATTAACAAAGTTGAAAAAGGAGACTGATATTTAATAGGATGTAACAGTATAATTGAAAGAAAGAAAGTTTGAAAATCTATCTACTAGTAATTTGGCCAAAGTGGAATTTCTACTTGGAATGAGTTACTTCGACTCTCAGGATTAAGAAAATGCTTTGAAAAGTTTGAGAAGAGCATAGAAACTAATGATGAGATCTTATGGCATTTTTGCTGATGAAGTTATTTCTTTGGTTTTGTATCAACTCAACATTTATGTGTTACAAGATGATGTTGGTTCTGTCATGAAAATTGCAATTAAATATTCATCAGAAATGAGTAAACAATACAAATTGGGTAAATAATTCAAAAGGAAATGCATAGCCAAATTGTAATTTATTATTGGATGTATATTTCAATTTTGCGGATCTTACTTAAGTGCCTTGAGATTTATAGAAAGGTCAAATAGAACTTTATCTAATGCTAAACTTAACAATTTTATCATTTAATCACATTACTAAGCTAAAAAGATGGTTCTTATTGAATAGGTTAAGAAGGCCTTTCTTAAAATCAAAAGCAAGCAATAATTAAGAGGTCAAATGGATTTGAATCAATTTTAGAGTCTACATGAAGTATTAGGTTCAGCATTTTAAAATCAGTTCTTTTGTTAACCAATCAAGTATCATGCCTCTGTTCTCTTCAAAAAGTATAGTAAATACCTCTTGTAAGTGCAAGGGTTGATTAGAATTGGTGAGAATGACAAAGCCATCCATCAAATCGAAGAGTTATTAAAACTAGCATCCAAAATCAAAAAGGATGAACTGTATGCCTATTTGAAGGATAAATTAGCCTTAATTACAATAGAGTCTACTTAAGCAAAAGATCAAATCTAGAACGTTTAGAGACTGATTGAAATTCATGATAGGTATTTGCAATTCCCATATAAACAAATCTTCAAATTGAGATCGCTTATTATTTTGATAAGTTTATTTGCAATGACAAAGGATCTTAAAAAATTTAGTGAAACCCAATCTTAAATAGATGATTTTATTTAAGAAATTTATTAAATATTTAATTGGCAAGTAGCTGCTCCCACTGATCATACTGTCAATTAAGCCAAATTTGAAAGGCTGAAGAATAGAAACAAAGTAAATCTATTGTTTCAAATTCAATAAATTATGGATTTAATCTAATATTTTTATACAATCAGAAAAAAGTTATTTAATTCATTTGACAATTAATAACAACTAAAAGAAATCGGAACTTAAGTTCTAAAAAGATTAACTGGATAACCAAAGCCTATTTTCTTGAAATATTTCGACAAGAAGTAAGAATGCTTATTTGGTGTGTAATCCTAAGTTAAAATTAAAAATACAGAAAAGGAGAATGATATCATCAAATTGCATGAGAATGAAAATAAGACTGAAGTTCCTCAATAGCCTGACTAAGCGGAGGAGTAAAGTAACCACAAATTAGTATTTGATTTAAGAAGTTATGAGGAGATTGCCTTATCTCGAAATACTTAAAGAAAAAAATCTCACCATCATGAAAAGCAATAGTCCTAAGATCTATAAATAGAAAAAAAGGAAATATTAGAAATTAAAGAAATAAAGGAATCAAAACATAAAAGAAATGTAACTGAAGTCACAGCAGCAACCTTAAATAAGAGTAAAAAGAAACAGCCTCATAAATTAAACCCCTTTGAAACCACAACTAAAACCTCAAAGAGATGACACCATTATTTTATATGTGATTTTCTTATCTTTGATATTTATTGAATTTGATTAAAGATAATCTAAAGATTTAATAAGATTTCTTCTTTATTTAATAATAATAATATTTTATCCTTTAAAAGCATGAATATCCTTACATCTTTGAATTTAAGTTCCTTTATTATCCATATTACAACTACCTTTAAGCCTTCAAACCCAATAAGTTTACAACTGTCATTCAGTATCAAATTAACAGTAATTGATTTAATAATAATATTTTGAACATAAACTCAATAAATGATTTTAATTATATTTTATTGAGAAGTATATAAAAATCAATATATTTTCTTATCTAATTTAATTTTGGCTAAAAGATGATTTCTAATATTTCAAAGAGTTTAATCATTCTAGATCTGTTCAAAATGTGTTACTGCAGAAATTTACTATTACCATTATTTTTTCTCTCGAATTATTTTTGTAAAAGTCTTCCAAAGTGATTTATTATTATTTCCATTATTCATTAAAGATTTGTACTCTATAATACAACTGTTATGATTTTTCAATCAATTAAAGTCAAAAGGGAAAATGTGTCCAAAATGACCTCTTTACAGGTATTTACAAGTATTCTTAATTAAAGTCAATTACTCCTATTAATTCTTTATTATTATCAAATTATTCTTAATTCATAAAGTGATTTGTTTTCTAAAAATTTAAATGGAATGTAATTTCCATATTTAAAATTTACCCAGATAAGCAATTTACAAAAGGAAACACATGGGATAAAAATCACACTTGAATTGATTATTAAAATCGAGAGACTACAACATAATCAATAAAGTTAATAAATTCATTAAGGTATTGATGTTATCATATATTAGGAATCATTTCGAATTTCATACTAAAACAATACTTTAGAAGTGACTTGGCTTCCTCCCACACTTGATATTATTGTTATCGAGCTTTTATACTTAAGTATGGGGACGATTTGGCATTCATTTTATTATGTAATGTTGACTTTCTATTTGATGATATTTTTTCTGTGATAAATAATGATTGATTTGGCTGCTGGGTACTTAATATTGAGTCTTTTGGCTGCCTTAAAGATTTTTGAATGAATATATTACATGTTTTATTTTAAAACCCTTTATAAATACTAATTGTATGAGAGAATTTCTCAAAAAGGAAGGCACTTTTTCATAGGGTCTGCAAGCAATAAATTATTATTTCATTAAATATTAAATCACTCTTTAGATATTTCAATATTTTAAATTGTCAGGTTATACTTAAAATAGAAGAATTGAATCTTCTAAAGAACATTGATTCCGGACAATTAAACCAAAGTTGCTTATGATATTGCCATTCTATTTTTAGAATCTATTAAAAATTACCAAATTGAAGGCTATATATAAAATTGTCATGATCTAAACATACAAACTATAATTTATTTATGATATAAGTTTTTAATTATTTTCAGTAATTTTATATATATAAAAATTAATTTTATAAATAAACTCTGAAAAAATATGTAAACTCTTATATTCTGATTTTTTAATAATGAATATCTAAACTAAACAAAAACTTGAACAATAATGTGAACTTTAAAGATTTTAGTTGATTTCTTTTAAAATTATACATAGAATGATTAATAAGATGAATTGATGTCATGAATACCTAATGATATCAAAAATTTATGAAATTCTTCTTTCTTCTTTCATTATAATGTTCTTATTTCTATTTTATATAAGATTCTCTTAATAAATTCAAATTTATCAGCTTCAAATATTCAGAAAATTTTCGAATTAATCATTAATAATCTGAACTTCAAATCAATTAATAAACATCCAGCTAATTTTTATGAACTATTATCAATAGATTAGCTTTATTTTAACAATTTATTTCTATTAAATTTAAGCGAAGTTTGTATTATTAATGGGTTTTATTAATAATTAATTTTTATTAAGAATAATGTTTTTGGAATTGTAATAGTTAATACAAACTGTTTTACATCTAATTAACCAAGTTGGGTGAAATTTCGATTTGAAAGAAACAAAAAATGAATGAGAAATTTCTTTTAAATTATAAGTTTTTTTATTTTATAAACTTTTATTTGTAACATTTAATAATGATTAATTAATATTCATATATAAATGAATAATTGAGATGATTAATNGTATTGATGTTATCATATATTAGGAATCATTTCGAATTTCATACTAAAACAATACTTTAGAAGTGACTTGGCTTCCTCCCACACTTGATATTATTGTTATCGAGCTTTTATACTTAAGTATGGGGACGATTTGGCATTCATTTTATTATGTAATGTTGACTTTCTATTTGATGATATTTTTTCTGTGATAAATAATGATTGATTTGGCTGCTGGGTACTTAATATTGAGTCTTTTGGCTGCCTTAAAGATTTTTGAATGAATATATTACATGTTTTATTTTAAAACCCTTTATAAATACTAATTGTATGAGAGAATTTCTCAAAAAGGAAGGCACTTTTTCATAGGGTCTGCAAGCAATAAATTATTATTTCATTAAATATTAAATCACTCTTTAGATATTTCAATATTTTAAATTGTCAGGTTATACTTAAAATAGAAGAATTGAATCTTCTAAAGAACATTGATTCCGGACAATTAAACCAAAGTTGCTTATGATATTGCCATTCTATTTTTAGAATCTATTAAAAATTACCAAATTGAAGGCTATATATAAAATTGTCATGATCTAAACATACAAACTATAATTTATTTATGATATAAGTTTTTAATTATTTTCAGTAATTTTATATATATAAAAATTAATTTTATAAATAAACTCTGAAAAAATATGTAAACTCTTATATTCTGATTTTTTAATAATGAATATCTAAACTAAACAAAAACTTGAACAATAATGTGAACTTTAAAGATTTTAGTTGATTTCTTTTAAAATTATACATAGAATGATTAATAAGATGAATTGATGTCATGAATACCTAATGATATCAAAAATTTATGAAATTCTTCTTTCTTCTTTCATTATAATGTTCTTATTTCTATTTTATATAAGATTCTCTTAATAAATTCAAATTTATCAGCTTCAAATATTCAGAAAATTTTCGAATTAATCATTAATAATCTGAACTTCAAATCAATTAATAAACATCCAGCTAATTTTTATGAACTATTATCAATAGATTAGCTTTATTTTAACAATTTATTTCTATTAAATTTAAGCGAAGTTTGTATTATTAATGGGTTTTATTAATAATTAATTTTTATTAAGAATAATGTTTTTGGAATTGTAATAGTTAATACAAACTGTTTTACATCTAATTAACCAAGTTGGGTGAAATTTCGATTTGAAAGAAACAAAAAATGAATGAGAAATTTCTTTTAAATTATAAGTTTTTTTATTTTATAAACTTTTATTTGTAACATTTAATAATGATTAATTAATATTCATATATAAATGAATAATTGAGATGATTAATATTGATTTCTTTTTCTAACATTCTTTTAAATAAGCCCTATCTTATGTTTATTAAATTGTATCTTAATATATGGTTTTCTCTTTGGAAGTGAAACAATTGTAAAATAATAGAAATTATTACTGTTTAGAATCATCAATAAAATATTTCTTTTAGATGCCTTAAAAATTAGTGTCCTATTTTGTACAAATTAATTAGTTTTGCACTATTTCTTTGTGAAGACACTAAAGAGTTAAAAAAATTGGTTATAATGCAAATATAAGGAATTTTCTGAATTGATATAAATTGAAGTTAATATTCATTTGCTTGGCTAAGTTAAATGGGGAAGAAAGTGTGCGAGTTATCATTAATAAAATTCAGAAATGGACAACCTATTAAAATTAAACTCATTTTTTTGAAAAATGTTATGTAAATTCCAGAGTTGGTTGGTTAATATTAGAAGTTATTCATATAATAACTTAGAAATAAAATCATTCTTAATTCATGGTGGGATATTCAAATTGGAGTTGTCCAACTACATCTCCTCCTAGTTTCGATACAATGTTTAATTTGCACTTTTTTGATGAAAGTGGTGCAATCTAACATTCTAATTTGGAGTTGATTTAAATTTTAGACCTCATAACATTGTTCCTATAGTAAATTATGTAAGTTTTGGCTGCTGCATATTTAAGCTTTAATTTTTTTGCTGCCTAAACAGAATTATTATATAAAAATACGGCTTTTATTTTAAAACCTAGAAGGCAAACTAATTTCAAGAGTTTTTTTTTCTATTCATCCGATATCTTTTAATAGGTTCGAGAATTTTTTATATTTTTCTTCATTTATTATCTCAGGATTTAAATAAAATTTAATTTTTAGCTACTTGATAATTAATTATCATTTATAATATCCATTAAAATCTCAGTTTAAAAAAAGAGATTTAATTACTATAGCATATTTATTTTCCAAGAATTGAAATAAATTCTCGAATTTTTAAATTTCGATATTATTTTGCAAAGTTCTTATTTCTTAACAACTAACATTAAGTCCGGTTTTAGTTTTAAGAATATTTTAGGTTTGTTAACTTCTCCCTTTTTTAAAGATTTAAGGACAGAAACAACAAATGATTATAAAAGCAGTGTAGATAATATGCTGTCTAAATTTGAAATTAAAATGGATTTTAAAATGAGGAAATTAATAAGATGCAACATTGGAATGTATTTCTTTATGATAAATGATATTATTTGCTAATTCATAATTTGTTTTTGTAAATAGCTAATCCTTTGGCTCTGAGTTCTTATTCCCATTCACGTGCTTCTTTTTCATAAAGATCTTTGAGCATACAATTTCTCCTTTTCTTCAATTCTTAATAAGCATTTTCGACTTCTTTAGAATAGCTACACATATTAACAGATTGCACGTTACACTTTATTCATGAATTTTAATTCATTGACTTTATCATATTTAGATTTTGATTCATGCCACCATGTATTTCTGCTGATTGATTTCAAGTTCTGATCATACCTTTCAGCCTCAGTATATTATTAATTTAATTGAATATTCCTTTTTATTTATTGCATAATTTGTTATATAAATTATTAATTTAATATTCACATTTTTTTCAACTAAAGCCACAGCCTTCGTCTTCAATTGACCATTAAAACCCCTATTTTATGTATTTTTGTTTTGAACCTCAAAGATCTCTTCCGATTTTTTGGTAAACTCCTAATCAAAGTCTATCTATTTAGACGATTTTGTGATGCTAATGATAACTACAATAATCTATTAAAGTGATGGTAAAACAGTGAAAATAATACTAAGAAATTTCAAAGTTGATTTCGTATCTTCATAAGAGAGCCCAACTATGAATAAGACCCAGGTCGCTGTAACTGAGATAGATCATATTAAAATACAATAAAATTTCTCAATTTCTAGAGCGTCACTTTCTTCCATTCTACTTTTTTCACATCAAATTTCTTATCAAATGTGATTAACTTAAAACTCTGTTCAGCAATAGATTCCTTAGACATTGCCATATAAGTTTGGCAGATAAAGTAAACCTAATTTATCCGCATTAATAGGACTATGAGTATATCTTGAAATGAGCTAAAGATATGTGAATGATAAATTTTTTATTTCATAAAATAAGTAAATTACCTTAATCAAAGGTTTTAAATTTTACAAAAATCTAATTCGACAACTTAGCAGCAGCACTTAACGATTAGTAATCAGTACACAAACAATTAAGTTATTAAATTATTAATTTAAATCATTTCAATTTCAAAGAGAATAGCTTTAAATTTTAAATTTTATGAAGGATGTTAAACTCATAAGCTAATTAAATGGCCTAATTCACTCATAACTTTTCCATGAGGATCCATCCACCCTTTCATTTAATATCTCAACAATATATTAACAATATATTAAATCACTCCTTTGACATACAGATATTAGATAAATTAATAGGATAAATCTATATTACACACTCTAGAATTCGAATAACATATTATAAATATCAGAGTGTTAAGAAGAGAATATTCAATCAATTGTTATACTATTAATTATAATTCAACAACTTTGTTTTATTTTTGGCTAGGATAACCGACTGATGAGACTTCTCTGAGATTATTGGGTTCTTTTGAATTTTTCTCTGGCAATGGGTGGCAATTCATATCTGTATTTTGGACTTGAGAAGAATTGATCAGAGCTTCGAAGCATCCTCTTGTAATTGTGCATAGGAGAGTACTTCTCCTACACATTTAATCTACATACAGGTAATCATTTATACAACACATAAGTATCCCTACCAGTTCCATCACATTAATAGAATAAACGTTAAGGTACTTCATATGCTCTGGAGGCAGGACTTGGCATCATATTCATTCCTGTTCTATTTTGATGGACAGCAAGAAATCTGAATTCAGTTCCAAAGTTGCCACCATTATTGTATGAAATGTAAGTGTCCCTTCCCAAACCATCATTATTGTAAGAAGTCGGATTTTTTTCAGGTTTTGATCCTCTGTTTAAGATGGGTTGTTTCATAAAATTTAATTAATAAGTAACAAATTAGTTTATAATTATTGAGTTTTTCATCAATTATTCCCATAGCCTCCTCTAACTGCTCAACAATCTATACTACCTTAAGCATAGCCTTAATTTACTAATCATAATATTAAATGAAATTATACTTGTCCATATGGAATACTCTTTATTTTATTCGAAATAAATCCAAATGGTAAAGAGAATACTAAACTTTATGTTTTGGATATCATTTATTATGATTTAATAATAGGCTCTTAAACTGCTACTTTCATGATTTATTTGCTTGGAATAAATTTAACTTCATTTAAATATTGCTACAAGTCTTCATCATTTATTATGGATAATTTACATGGATATTCGTTGTGTATCATATTGATTGGATCACATGTTTTTTTTAGATCTTGTTAATATCAAACATTATTCATCTGCTCTTACTGCCGATATCAATTCCTGGAATTTTTTTATTATCAAGCACAACAATATTATTAAAACTGCATATTGTCGATCAAAATGAAATCAATTAATTCATTTTAGATTTATAAGAGTATCGCGCCTAAAGCTCTTATGTTCATTATCGGAATTAAACAGTTCTCCCCTAACAATTATGAATAGAATGATAAGATATTAAACAATTTCAATTAAATCGCAATTCAAAATAATCTTTTGTCTTTTTTATATTTAATTATGAACTATTGATATTTAATCTAGTAAATAAAATTATTATGCTTAAGAATAACAGAGGTATTTTGAAATTCAAGCAGAATCTTAATGATATCATAAATACAAAATAAATGAATTCAACAAAATAACTCTAACCTAATTATGACATTATTTACTGATTTAAAACAATCTTAAGCTAATTACAAAGTGATGAGTGTATCTTAATTCTTAACTTGATCATCAATCTTTATTTCCAATTTATTTTAGCTTGATAATAAATTCATTATATAAATTAATACTATGAACAATACTTTATTTGTAGTGTATTATTATTTAAATTACAAATTCCTTAATTCTCTAAAAAGTAGTTATAGTTTATCAAAGTAAATATAACTTGGATAAACTCAGAATTTTTGAATACTTTTTCTAACATTATAAATTAATAAATTCTAAATTCATATATATATCGTTATTAAATTTTGAATTTAAATAATAATAAAATTTACATGAATAATTCTCCCTACATTGTGAAAAGAAAATAGAGACAAGGCGATTGGGTTTGCGCAGTTTGCAAGAATCTGAATTTTTCATTCAGAAGCACATGTAAGACTCACTTTAGTATCATTTTTAGGCAATAGATGTAATAAACTTCCGAATAAGGCATCTTCAAAACATTAATATAAAGGGTTTCAAACATTGGTTCTCATCCATTATGAGGAACCAATTGAAAGTATGGATGAACTTCTTGAAAATTAAATAGATCCAAATGTCACATCTAGCCTTTTAGTATTAGGCTTAGATCAATTTTGAATTTATATTTTTTTATTTTTCTTTAATAAAATTTTCCAATCCAAAGATATTTCCTTTAAAATCCTAATTTTGATTTAGCCTTATTAATCATGCTCATGGATATCTAAAGTTGTATTTTGAGAGACACTCAATTCAAATAATTTAGTTTCCAAATCAATGTTAGCTCTAATCTCGCTAATAGGTACTAAGGTTTATATGAAATAAGTAGGTTGAATTAATATATTTAGACACTTTGTTTATCTATAATAGGAATGATTTCATTCTTAATAATCATTGATGATATTTATTTAATATTATAATCATATTTTTCATCAAAAGAATAATCAAGTATCTTCTATAATCATTGGATGGACTTTCCCATCGCAATTTTCTTGTCCGTTTGAATTTGGATGGTCTTCTTTTAAAAGTTTTTCATCTTTTCTTTTAAATATATTTATTAAAATTACAAATTTTATAAGGAGTTCGCAGTTTTATATTGCTAAAAGACGTTATATTAATTGTCGAGCACATTAAGGCTAACAGCATCAGACTCTTACTGTTTTTAAATAGTTTCTTTGAATTGAATAAGATTTTTAACCTACTTCATTAAGGTACTTTTTATTTTTTTGAATCTCTCATTTACTCTGGTTCTTTGTTCTTAACTATTTGCAAGTAATCTTTTTAAAAAGGCATAATTTGAAGTCCAAGGAGCTTTAGATCTAATGAGATCCCTAGCTTTATCCAACTACTCCTCCAATTCTTTACTGTAGGCTTTTAACAGTTCCTTCAAAAGAAGGAGTAAATAATAAATGTTGAACACTGCAAGGAAAATAAAATAGGGAATCTAAATCTCGATAGAACCGATCTATTGGTCAATATAGATACCGATTCCCAAAGCAATTGAGATAATGCAAACATTAGCTGAATAGGAATCTAGTTTGTTCAGATTAGGGGATGAATATGGTTTGAATTTGATATTTAACTCTTGATAGATATAAATAACTAATAACACAAGAATGCCCTTTTTAACAACATATTCATCATAATAAGATAGGAATATAAGGAGTAATTCTTTTTCTATGATTTTCACAATCTCCCAAAAGTATGCTTAATGAGTGTATTCGTTATATAAATAACCCCACTGTTACCTAATCGATTTGTCATCCAGTCTCTTCCTATTGTAGTATATAGCAAAGAAGAAAATGACTGGGATTAGAAATGCTATTACAAGAAAACTAGGTAAAACGAATCCCAAAAGCCATTTAAAATGAATCCAAGTATCATATCTAAAAGCCACATTGGCAGAGATCCATTTATAGCTGGAAATGGTTCTAAAGGATATCAATTAAACAAAGCCACCCACCAAGTTTGGTTGAAGGAAAATGTACATGTAAATGAAAGTAGTTGTGACAACACTCAAATTGTATTCTTATTTCTTGACTTTGAGTAGGATCAGATACATAGACAGAAATAAAAAGATGTAAATTAATGGTAAAATCATTTACCAGACCATTCTAGAATAATGAATGCTGAAGTCAAACATATCGATTAGGAAGCAATCAAGTGAGTATGCCATAGTCTGCATAGGATTGCCTGATGCCTTGATTGCATCACTAAGTCCTACTGACATGTTTATCTAGAAAGTAGTTATCGTTGTAAGAATTTAAAGATGATTGGTCAACATCTTAATTAAGACACCAGATTAATCTTCTTGCATATGTGAAAATGCTCGATTCTAGCCAAGTCGAACTCTTATGGCTACCTTTTTTAATAATTCCACAGTGCTTTTCACAGAAATCAAGATGGAGATCAAAGTCCTAATTAAATATTAGTTAATGATACCAAAGTGTAATCGCAGTAATAATAATGGAATTCTTATCCTTTTCCGTGCAAGATCCACATGAATATTTAGTGCTGGTTGAAAATTATCCATCCCCTCTTATATCATATAAATCACATTCTTCACACAATGCTCCAATGTGTCCTTAATAACAGGAGGTATCTCCTTCCTTCCATCCTCCAAGACAATTTTCAATTAAATTGATACATTCGTCTATCTAATCAGTATAAAAATAAGGTCTCCAGTATCCAGCCTTTAATTTTAACTAGGCTGACTTAATCTCGCTGGTAGAAGCATCGTCCTTGTATAGACAGGTTTTTGAATTAACACTCAGAGAAAATTAACCTTATTCAACATCGCATGGGACACAGGTGGAATCCACAGTACTTTTGATTTCTCCCATTTAGCAAGGCAATGTCTTAATGTTGATTCTCAAATAGTAATTATTGTGATAACTAACTATCTCCTTATTCTGATCATAAATTGGAATGAAAATAGAATTGCATGAAAATTACAATTGTAAAGTCTTATTGAGTTGATCATCCAAATAGATAATTAAATCATCTAAGTTATAATCACTTTAATTGAATTCCACTCTCTTGATGTTGGTAAAGTTCTAAGTGAATTCATTTTCTCCACTTTCCATAAGTAATCGTCCACTTATGTCACAATAGGTATTATCTAAATCTTATTAGATTGAATTGAGTTTATCTAATGCAACAATTCTAAAATGCAGATTGTAAGGTTCATATTCCCCTTTAATCCAATCAAAGTATTCGTACTCAGATATCTTCTATCCATTAGGTACATAAAATGCATCTGAGAATTCATTGGAAAATACTTGATATGGTTTTATCAAAATCTGTTAAATCAGTAATTGTTCCTGCTCCACTACTGTGGTTCTAGGTAAAATATCAACTTTATTGATAGTAATTGATAATTAAGATGGAACTTATGAAGAATCATTTCCAAATAATTGAGCCTTGTTATTTGCAATGATTGACCCAAATCTACTCATATTCTGACTCATCTGATTTTGTATTTCTAATCCACCACCATATTTTGCAGTATTGTTAGAGACAAGACTTTGAACAAGGTAGAATATTTCATTACCATTGACTTTAATAGATCCTCCAGAAGCTATAGCTTAATTGTGTTCAAATATTGATTTTTAAATCAAAGTTTTGATGTTTTTAATTTGCAAACATGTACCTTCATATGCTTCATTGTATTTGCATAAATAATCATTTATTTTAAGCTCAAATTATTTCTCATTAACTTATGACTCTAAATTATAAAGCAATCTTTGTACGGAACTCATTTTAATAACATTCACACAACTCGATTGGCCACATATATTTTACTTAAGTTTTAATGATTGGAATAATAGAAATGAATGAGCGTCTATGAAGTTCATATTTATTAAACCATTCTAACATATTGTGCAATTGATTTATGATAAAGTAACTTGAGAAATACTCATATTTGTGTAGGAAGGATGAATCTCTAATAGACTTAATGATTCCTTTGACAACAATTACTTCATCAAATTAATAATGCAGTAAGCATTTGACAATGATCTACTATCATATTTTTGATTTAATTTAGTGGGTGATGGTTTGATTTGTGATAGACATTTATACTGTGAATTATATTTCTTTTGTTCTTTTTAACAATTTGATTCAATGTCAATTTCATTTCGAATGGCTACATTTTCGATTTGTATATTATTCATGAAAACTACAGAATTCTCTTTCATATCATTTAAGACTATCACTTTATGAAGGAAATTTGATCTTGATACTTAAATTGATTTGATTTAAACAGCTGTTGAGTTTTAAAAAAACAAAAGAGATTCAAAATCAATGTCATTTATGACTACGTTCTCCATTTAAATTGTTTTGGCATTATATATTAACATCAAAAACCTTGATTAAGTTAAGGCTTTAATTTGGGATTAACTTCCCACACTAAACTTATTGAAAAACTGTATTTAGCCATCAAGAGTATTAGTGATTCTAGCAGTAGCTATTTTGAAATTTTATGATTAAGATGTAATAGCAGAGAATTCTGAATAAATAATGGATCCAAACAAAGCAAACACATCTTTGAAAGAAGTATTAAGGATAGATAGCTAAATAGTACCTAATCCATTATAAAGATAGACAAAACCTCCTCTATTCCCACAATAAATATTATTCGCTGCTACGTTGTTAATTATTAATGCCATTGAAACTGAATTAGAAGAATCCAAATATATAACTCCTCCATTTTCACTTTCTGATAAAAAGTGAGTGCTCATAAAGCTGAAGATTGAATTGGCAATCGACAACTTAGCATCATTCTCCATTCTAATATATAACCCAGAACCGGATGAGTTAGATATTACTACATTTTGAATGTCCAAATCCGAACTTATCAGTTTTGCATTTCCAGTAGTTACAAAAATAGGAAACATTTCCATTATTTATTCAAGAAACACTTCTTCTCCATTATTATATCCCCATACCAGATAACGCTGTATGATGCTGTAATCAAATATGCAATTGGAGGTAAAATTAGAATTTTGGAGTGTCATCTTTTTTGCCTTGATGTAAATGATGCCATCTGTAGAATTTGTAACCAAATTTGATTCGGCTATCACATTATCCATCTTAATTGTACAATAGGAACAATCAAAGTTTAATAGTAATCCAGAGTTTATTAGATCATTCTACCTATATTGATGCATAATATTCCTTTTGAATATGGAGTCGATGATATCGATTTAGAATTCCTATTAGGTGATGACTTAAATAAGTGAGATCTGTTTCATTTGATCAGTAATTAAGAGGAGGTTATTCATAAGGCTTAGATCAGATAATAATATGGAATTGCCATTAGTGGCTTAAGAAATTGAAGTTTAGATATTAATGATAGGATAATCAATCGATTCTGCAGTAGAAATTGTTAATGATTTAAATTCTATACTTTTAGTATCATAGATATAAATAGAAGTTCCATAATGTTAAAGCGTTAAGCAATCTATGTACTGATGAAGTCCTTAGAACAGCGATGCAGCATGTTAGCTGATTGTTGCTTAGTTGATTTTTAATGAATCGACCCCAATAAAGCTAAATTCTTTGATCCCTTACGCTCTCTCGATTTTCATGGATGAAATTTCGATTTTTTCAAGTAATAGATAAATCAATGTAATTTCCGGCTATTCTAATTATTTAATGTTGGATAGTTAGGTTAATTAATTGCCTATTACTTATATATTATTTATGAGGATATGCTTATTAGGAGATAGATTTTATTAAATCTAAATAAATTTTGAATCCTCATCATAAGTATTTAATTCAAAAATAAACACTTCGAAATAGTATTAGACAACATTAACCTTCTCATTTTGGATTACTTTTGAATTTTTCAATAGTTGATTTGCATTAAACCTCAAATTGGATATCTGAGCATTTTAGTTTAAACTAAAGATTATAGATGATGTAACAATTGTTTAGGAAATTTGGAATTAATTAAATTCAGTCGTAGTTAAAGATTCCAAATGAAGTAAATTAGTTACTTAATTTACCTCACTATTCTATATAGAGATTTCATCCATAGTTAATTTACCAAACTATATATTTAATAATTGACTGGATAAAAACTTAGAGCTGATTTAGAGATTTCTTATTTTTGCTTAAGTTAATAAACTAGAATCAAATGAAAATAGGATTGTATTCTTCAAGTAACACTGCATGAAGCGAATATTTTGTATTTGTATATTTTGATCTGAATCAATCTACTCAACTCTGATAAAATAATCAATTGTATTTAAGTTTAGATTAGAGGATTCAAATTCATCAATAAGGACATTCTAAGCATTCTTGATAACAATTTAATGTCTATCTATTGAATTAGAACATTCATATTTGATATTGATTAGTTAAACACTTAAAAGGAAGGCACTTTAAAATATGAGTTATTTGATATTTCCGGTTTGAACTGGATTCAATATGATACCCTCGAATTTGACATTTTTAAAGTTGACTATGGAAATACTTCTATCGTATTGAAATGTTGTAAATCCATTTCCTTAAATCAGAAGTTCGACATTTCTTGGATATGATATATTAATACATGGCAGAGAAGATATTCTAACTGAAATTTTGTTGGATACTCTTGTTGCCAGAGAATACACAGACTTGACTTTCTTGGCTCACAATCTTAATCAAAATATTTTAGATCACCTTTTGATTGGCCATCAAATAAAACTATTGAGTTTCAAACTATTTTAATTAATAATAGATGATACTTCTTTAAAACTAGAGGATGAAAGCAAATCATCAATAAATATATTGGATTATAAGAACGAAATACGTTGTTCATCTGTATCTTAATTCAGAAATGCATTACTGAATTTAGAATAATCACAAAACAAATTTAAATTAATCTCTATACTCTTAACACAAAAAGGTGATGAGCAATCCACATATATTCCTATTGTGTGATCAAGTATTCCATTAAATCCTCTTAAACATTGATTCGACGAGTACTAAAATTCTTGGCTGTTGAAAATGGGGTTGATTGCTACTTTTTCCTCTTAGCTTCTTAAACGACAGAGTGAACAATTAATAGGACAGACAATGCATTGATTACTGTCTAAACTTAAATTTCGCCCTTTGATTGTACTTGGACATTTGACACACACATTTTTATTATCTTTCAACACACATTCAAGACAGTTCTCTGGACATTAGAGTACGCATTCATCATTATAGAGTTCATATCCTGATTGGCATATAGAACATACAACTTCATAGTCATTTTTATTTGGACTTGTTCCATATTCAATAAATGTATGACTTTAAAAGGAATTATCTATTGTAACCTTATAATAGGGACGAATCTCAGTTTTCCAATCATCCTTAGAGTATTTATTTTATTGATAGCACTTAGAACAGAATAGGTCTGCAGGACATGGTTCACATTGTCCTGTAAGTTTGTTAGCGAAAAATCCCTCTTCACAAATCAGACACAGGTAGGAGATGTCAACATTCATCTATCCTAACATGCATACAAAGCAGTCCTGATTATATCCAGAACATTATTCAATAAAGGACACAGGGCCTGTATCAAATGATGAATCAGGATCAACATCTAATGTTCTGGGTCCGAATAAGCATGACCATGAAGTGAAATCATCAGGCGTGTAAATACAATAAGAGCATTCAGGATATTCAGTTAACTCGCATTACATTGTACTTATATTATAACAATATGGTTCTTCACATTTACTACATTTTGTAATAACTTCTCCAGCATAAGGTACAAAGTCATATTCAAAAGAGTTGATTGAATTATTTTCAACAGCTTCTTCATATGCCATTAAACAATTTTCAATTGTATTTTCAATGCAATCAACAGCATTTAATGATAAATAATACTTGTACACATCTACACATTTCAAACATTTCAAAAAGGGGTTATTGTTTGAATAGTTTATTTAGTGTTGGCATAAAGAACAATTCAACCCACATTTTACACATTCAGCACCTACTGGTACATAATTGGGTTGACAGGAGAGGCATTCAAGTACCTCTTGATATTTGCAAGTTAAACATGTATTTGGACATAATTCACATAGATAATCTGAAGACAAGTAATATCCATCTTTGCATTTCCAACATTTTGGTTATTCTTTACTAGTATCTAGACATGCATTATTAAAGAATCTACACTAGTTATTTTAGTAGTAATAATTCGATTTACAAAATACATAGACATCTTCTGACAAGTGAGTTTAAAAGGGGATTTAATAACAACCCTCTGGTTCATCAGGATTGCACAAGTCCAATGCTCCTTAAATCAATTGCAAATTATTATCTTCATTAATCACATATAAGTCGTAATCTTAAGGAGATCTGAAAGATATCTAATATGCATCATCATCGTTGTTTATTTGATGTTATTTAATGTAATCTGTTGTACACACTGGTCTTTAATACCAATTTGTGGAATTGAATAGACAGTCAACACAGAGAAGATCTGAACTTGATTATTGAGGACTATAAGGATTAATTACAACATTACCATTAAATACAGCTTTAAATTTTTGGAAGCAGAAAATATCCAAATTCACATGACTTTTCCTGTGGATATTAAATAATATCATAATAATTTAATGTTGGATAGACTGAACTGAATGATAAGCAGACTTTGTTTTTTTCAAGATATCCAAAATTACATGGACATTCATGTTTATCTTCTATTAGTATTCTATTTTAATCTCCATCACAAGTAATACAATTGTTTTCTAATGGTCCATTACAAGTGGAACAAGAATAATGGCATTCTAATAATAATCTTATTATTTACAAAAAGAGAAATCCTTATCGGAATCAAAATTATATGTAATCTAAAAGCTACAAACCTATCCCTTTAATCGTCTTGTGTTTGTCATATCACTACCAAAGATGGCGTAATATTTCGTATTTATGTATAGTCCTTAATGAGTGCTGTCTCCAAAGGACGCTGTATCCTAATCAAGATTCCCTGCAAAGTATTTGATATTCAACAGAGACTTCGGTCCTGAAGTTCTTCCATATTCAAATTGGATATAATGCCATGCTGTAAGTGCATCATAATATATAATAGGAATTTCGTCAATAAAGAGCCAAGCAAACATTTTTGGATCTGGCATGACGTTTTACTACTTGACAGGAATAGCATAATGAATAGATTCTACTGTATAGGCTGAATACTTTTTGTTTATCTTGTTCAATTATGCAGTTATTTTCAATAATTCATCCCCCATATTCAAATAGTTGCCATAATTTTAATTGGTTGTCAACCGAAGCAACAAATAATAAATTGTCTCAACAGCATCTGCACCATCATATTTGGCCCATCCAGAAATACAAAATCTTTTACCCACCTCATCAATACTAAATATCGATTAGGTATCTCCTTTGAATGTAAACAACTGTGGAAATAGCATTTCTCCACCCTCTCCTTCGAATTTCGGGGGCACTTAACAATTAGACTCAACCTCGCCAAATTTTGATTCAGAATAATCTGTAAATTACATCAACTTGGATAACCTCCCTCTAAACACTCCGACCGTGAATACATCGATCTAATTAGAATACACTTATAATAATTACATATCCAGTTCCGCCTATTATAAACTTTACTTTGTTCAATTCCTGTAATATATCTCCAATATTATTATTAGTGACGTAATTGCTTGTCTCAAAAATCACTTATGTTTATTGAATAGTGATCATGGTTAGTATCCAACTACCCTCATATTCTTTTGGATCATATTCGAAGCTGTAAGTACTAAACCCTGGCCAACCCCAACTATCCAACTCCTCCACTCTTAATTTATGAATTACTGAATCCTCATTTTCATCCAGCACTGCATACATGAACATCACAACTCTATCATCATCAAGAGATTTCAACAAGAACATCAATTAGTATCGTCTTGTATCTGAAGTCGCTTACTATTCTACTTATGGGTAACTTTTAACGTTCCATAGTGGGATAGAAAAGCTCCAAAATGCAAACGTTTAAGAAGGACTCATTTACTCTATTATTGTCTCTTGCATAGGGTAGTGTTAACTAAGCAATGAATTTTCATAATCGGTAAACGGGCAACATTACCCTAATCCCTAAAGCAAGATTATTGAAATAACAATCCAAATTTTGAATCTACTGAGATTTTGTGAATTCATCACAATTACTTAACTATTTAATTAATTAATAATTGAAGAAATGATATGAGCCGAGTTAAAAGTAATAATATTTCTAATTAATAAATTATTTGATCTAAATCTGATCATGATTACAAAATAATAATATTAATTTTTAATATATATTTGACAATACTTTTTTAATTCATCACTTGTTACTCATATTTATCTTTTTAGAGGATCTCATCGTTATCTTATTTTATATTGCAATCTATTTTTAGATCTTAATCATTTCCAATTTAAAATTTCAAAGAATCTCAACACCTAATATTCATTCAGCTTTATCCATATTTTCAATGCAAATTTTATAAGTGTTGATCGAAGGATAAAAATGATAACATATTGCAAATTTAATCAATTTGATTATAAATATAGCTTCATTATTTCTATGCATAAAAATTAACTAAAAACAATTACTAATAAAACAACCTCCAATTATTTATATTGAGTATTTCAATCAATACAATATATTTGGATTTTCTATTTATTTATATATCTCAAATGTTACTAAGCTTCAAATAACCGACTAAATTAATTATTGCGAATTTCTTTGATATCAAAAATACGTTGTTTAATTTCTAATTCTTATTTTTGTTCATCAAAAAAGTTGAAAAACCTATTAATGTATGGTTTTATAACTTGCTTTTGATTAAATTTGTTAATTTGCACAATTAATTTGCTATTACTTAATCATTTCGATTCTTAATGACTAATTTTATTGCTTAAATAATTTTATACATTACTTTACTCAATAGGTTTTGTTAATAATTATAATAATTATTAATAATAATCAATATTCCAAAAATAAATATAAAATGATTCTCCAACATCCTTAAATATTTTGAATCTAAATATGAAATATGTTTATATAATATTATCTGTAGAATGTTGAATAAAACTCTGCATTATCCCTTAAATTCAAATATAAAGAGTTCAAAATTAGCAATAGTCTAATGACGCTAATTATTAATTATTATTACATAATCACTACTTTTGGTTAGATGGGCTTGTGTATTTCAAAACAGGAAGGGGAACAATATAATACTTTATAGAAGGAAGTATTATTATAAGATTAGGATAATTTTGAACAAAATGTTGAGTAAATCAGAATTAGTGATGAGGAGAAAATATCTATACAAGATTTTTAGTTTTTATAAGTATATTCTATGTAAAACGAGGTTCTTGGAAGAGGAGGCTATGGAAAGGTTGTTTTGGTGAATTATAAATGCTAACAAAAATTATATGCTATGAAAATAATCAGAAAAGACCTTATTTCCTAAATGAACTCCAGACTCTACATGGAGACTGAGAGAAACATTTTGATTATGGTCAAATGTCCATTTATTGTAAATCTGCATTATGCTTTTCAAACTAAGTATAAATTATACATAGTAATTGATTTTATGATAGGAGGTATTATTTATAATTTATACATAAAAGGAGAACTGTTTTATCATTTGAAGCGTCTAGGAAAAATGGAAGAATCTTGGGCCAAATTCTATTGCGCTGAATTGATATTGGCAATCGAATATTTACATAGCAAAAATATCATCTATAGAGACCTTAAACCAGAAAATGTACTGTTGGATTCTGAAGGTCACATAAAAATTACAGATTTCGGATTGTGTAAAACTGATATCAAGGATGGAGATTTCACTACAACCATTTGTGGCACGTATGATTATATGGCTCCTGAGATCTATCTGAAAAAGGTATTCACTAAAATAATCCATTCAGGGACATAATCAAACTGCTGATTGGTATTCCTTAGGAATTCTCCTGTACGTAATGTTACAAGGAATTCCTCCTTTTTATTCATAAAACAAACGCTAGATGATTCGAAGTAGATTAGAGAGACAAATCGAATTCAAGACTCCCATCTCAGATGTTGCTTCTGATTTAATCAAATAGTTGCTTAAGAACAATGTATGAGAGATCATTTTAATCTATTAATTAGCCTAAGGATCGTTTAGGATCTGATGGAGTTAATGAAATCAAGTCTCATCCCTTTTTCCAAGATTTGGATTGGGATGACGTATTGCACAAGAGATTGCCTGCTCCTTTCAAACCTAAACTGCTTAGTGATCGAGACTTAAGAAATTTTGATAATGTATTCCTTCATCAATTTCTTAGGCGTTCACCAAGGAAACCATTCAAGACACACCGGTCTAGTCTATGGCTCAAGAGGACATGTATGAATAGTTCACGTACCAAGAATCTGATATGTTTGTAACTATGAATTAGAATTTCTCCCTTGATAAATGATTTTATTTATATATATTGAATTACAAATAAAAAATTAGCAGCATCAGGGATGGATAATGGATAAATAATTAACTTTTAAGATTTCAATGAGATTGAATGTGATTAAGAATATATAGCTTTAACATTTAGCAACAACAATAAAAAGCTCAGGAATTATGAAAAAGCTTTAGAAAAATTCAAATCTTCCATTTAACAAGGCTTTATCTATATAAATAGTAATTTTGATTTTTTCAATCTAAACTCCTCATGTGATGGCATCCTCATTGATGAGTAAAATAACAAGATATAAGTAATTGATGAACCTATCATTGGAACTTAACTTGTGCTTAAAAAAGATAAAACTCAATTATTGAATGATAGAAAAAGACACTTAATCAATATCGACCCTCATTCCTATAAAATTGATGTTAAGACAGAAGAGAAGGATCAAGATAAAAATGGTCATTTGAATAAAATTGATTAATTGATTAAGGAAGAAAAGACTAAGGCAAAGAAAAAACATTTATAAAAAAAATAGTGAAAGAATTTAACAGTGTTTTATAAATAATCTTGTATTTTTTTAGTTTTCTAAATATAATATATTCTTAATGTAATTATAAGCAATTTATTTGTTCTAAATATCAGTAACGATGATAACTTTATTGTTTTTTTTGATTATATAGGTAAAATTAGAATAGAAAATATAAAATTTAGTTTAAATGGTTTATAAGATCCAAAGAAGCTCATATACATATATAAAAAAACATAAAGTAAATAAATTGTTAAAGATACTCATTCATAATATCTAATCCTACCTCCATATTAATTATAAACAGTATCAACTCTATATAATGATTATTAAAGTTAAGAGTAATTTGAAGAGAAATAGTTATTAAACTACAATGTTTAATTCCTCAAATTTGATTCATAATTCTAGTTTTCTAGCTTATGTTGTTTATAATGTTCTCTTAGGTTATCCATATAATCTACATCTAAATAATATATACTTGAATCAAATAATGATTTTGGCCTTTCTTCCCTGACAAGATCAAAACCTTTTCTGTACTTCTAATGATCATAAGTCTATGGTTCTTTTTGTTGTTATGAATCTGCCTTCTCTTACAAATATGAATTAGAAACAAGAAATACAGGAGGAGAAATAAGACTATATAATTGTTTTTATGTCAAGTAATCTTATTGTTATTTGCAATTCAAAATCTTTAATAATGCCTAAAATTCTTCTCTACTAAAATGGAATCCATATTGTTCAATTAGATCTCTAATTGAGTCTTCTGCTAAATATCCTGTCTTTTTTGTTGGATATTTGTTACTAATGACTTTCCAAATTTCGTGAATATCAGAATAGACCCATTAATGTAACTCATATTTTAATTGATTAAGTTCTCTAGTTGAAATTATGATTCTTTCAAAAAATCTCAATAGAAATTCCCTATTCCATTGTGCCATAACCTGGTTAGTAGATTCTTTAACACTCGGGATGGTTTTATTTTTGGATGATTAGGGTAAGATGAAATTGATAAATGTTTCAAGATTAACATCATCAATCTTGAAACAATAGGAATGAAGGAACTCCCATTCTTTAAATGAGCAATGCACTTGCCCTTCTGTAAGAAATTCATGAAATTTCTTCTTCGTTATATATCCCCTCCCTAACTTGTCTAGTTATTCGAATGCTTATTGGATATCGAAGTGATGATGTTGGGTTTCAGCGATTCTATAATTCTCAATCTAAGATATGGATAGTAGATTTCTACATGAATTTCCCAAGAGCCAAGAGCTTTTAATAGATGTGCTAAATCTCTTTCAATTTTTTTATTATTAGTCTTAATAGTCGTTATCATAATATTGTATAAATTTAATTGAAATATATTAATCATTCAGTTTTAATATTTTGAGAATAGATAACCAATTTATAATAGATGTAAGTGATAAATAATGGAAATAATATAAATTATGTATAAATTAAATACAATACAAGGACATTCATTTTTAAATTTCCAGGCTCCCTTGAATTACTTTTCAAAAAGAAAACTCTTTCAACTGGCCAATGAAATAAAACCAAGAAAAAGAGATTCTCTTGGTAGAGTAGTGCTTTCCTCATCTCTTCCGAAAGGTTTCTGGTTCAGAGATTATGATTAAGTGAGAGTAGTTAATAAAAAGTTAAGAGAAAGTCGTCCTAATAATCACAGAATACAGAATCCAATTTATTTCAAGAGAAAAGACATTCAAGAATGTTTACTACATTACACAATCAAAGCAAGTACACCTGATCCTTCTAAGAAATGGAAAAAGTATCGGAATTTAATGTTGGAGAATAACAATCATGTTCAGATGTCTAGAGAGTAAATAAAATAAAAATTTTAAGACACTCTTAATTTATTGATCCCTAATAAACAATCTTCACCTCCAAAGAGTCAACGCGGATCATTCATGTATTCGTAGTAATAGCAATGTTTATTTGAACATCGAACAAGTTAACAATCCAAATTGAAGCGTGTAAGTAGACAAACATCAAATAGAAAGGATGATAGTATGAGATCAATTGATAGACATTTCCAAGATATTAATTGTGATCAAAGCAATTTCAATCATTCCTATATTCAAGACAAAATGGTTTCATCCAATCAAATTACTCCCAGAAATCGATTCTTTAAAGATTGTTTCAGGTTATATGGAATAGATTCTTAAATATTGGCACCAAAAAACAAATTGATATTTACTGATTCTGTACAATTGGTGGAATCTTAAGAAACTAGATGTGATAAAAACGAAGGCATTTAAAGTTATCGAGAAAAATCAAACTAAAAGTAGAATGATTTATTAAATTTAATTAAGAAGTAAAGACAAAAGAACTTATAAACCAAGACAATATCTCCTAAGTAGCCTAAATTAAATACCTCAACTCCTAAGGATAACAAAATTGTTAATATCTATTTCCCATCTCTCAAAAAAATTAATGTAAGAAATCTTTCTTGATTGTCTTTTTATTTATATTTATTTTTACTTCAATATATTATTAAAATATTTGTTAAACACTACAGTTAATGAAATAATAATAATATTAACAAACTTAGAGTATTCGTGGCTACTCACCTGCCACAGTGCCACCCAATATTCAGCATAATCAGAATAGTAAGGATATTCATTTAATACTTAGATTTACCTATTTCAAATTAGTTTAATGAGGAAATTTAACATAGAATAAAACTCAAGTATCAAGAATTAGGATTGAAACAACCCTTGTATCCACAGTAAACTCAAATTTTGTCATCTGAAAATGGAATCTACAATTTCAGAAAAGTGTTCGATCCTGTTCGAGATGGTCGACCTGAATTCGCAATGGATACAAGTAAGCAACATCAACATTATTGTTAGAGTATATGGATCAACTCAAAGATTACAAAAGCAAGTATTTAGCACCCAGTAGAAACTACGATTTGCAGTACAGGAATCCATCTTTGAATATAAAGAACCACGACTTTTATTTTTAAGATTTCTACATGAATCTATACGAATAAGATAAAGAGGAGATCTTTTTTAATAAATATGGCAAGAAGTTTGTTTATCAAGAATGATTTATATAAAAATATTGAATTCAACTTTTAAAGATATCTAATTATAATAACTAATGATAGACTAATATAAAATACTTCTTTAGCAGTAGCTCTTTGATATGGGTCAACCACAAAAATGCGAGACAACAATTTTTAGACCTCGCGATCTTAATTTGTTATATTCGATTCATTGTTTCTTATTTTTTTAAACAATTCTCTTTCATTCTCACCTTTGAAAGGAAAGCTACCCTACAAGAGAGCAACTAACAAAACACCTGTAGCCCATATGTCTGCTCCTCTCCCATCATACTTAAGTTTAGAGACTACTTCAGGTGCCATATAACTAGGTGTACCACAATGACAAGTAATAGGTTGATTAGTAAATGTACTGAATCCGAAATCAATGAGTTTAATGCGTTTATTTTGTATCAATATATTTTCTAATTTGATGTCTCTATGACAAACATTCCTATCATGTATATAATGCAAGATTTTGAGTAACTGATGAATAATATGAAGTGCAAATTCTTTCGGTATAGTCCTTGTAGGAGTTGATTTGAGCAATTGATATAGAGATTCAGTGCCACAATATTCCATCACTAGATTGATATAAGTAGTGTAATGATAGACATCATAGAGTTTAGTGATTTGATCGTGAGATAGAATTCTGAGAGCATTAATTTCTTTGATCAGGTTGTTGAACCTTTCCCCCTTGAGTTAAGCCTTATCATACATTTTGATAGCAACTTTATTGCCATGGCGGTCAGTTCCCATTTTGACTATGGCATAACTACCCTTGCCAATAATAGGTCCGATAGAGTAGATCTTATCATCACAAGTAGATGGTATCTATTTATAGAGATTGTCTTGATGAATGGTGGAGTCCTTGGCACTCAAATTGCCTTGGATTCTCTTTCTTTATATTTTGGAAGATAATCTTAATTATTGTTGATTGGTGTTATAGGGTATTGTATTGCATTGTTGACTCTCTTTGGTACTTAGATAGCGTTATTCATTGTTTGAGTTCTTGGTGTTGAAGTTGTCTTCAAGTTTGGCTAATTCTCTGCCTCGACTGGGAGTTCTAATTTTGAAGTATGTAGTTAGATTGTTGATTCTATGATTAGTCAATCTGGAGGGAGGGGGTTTAGATGAGTTATCGGGGAGGTTTTCTTTGTTCTCGATGGATCGAAGGGCTTCTCTGGGAGGTTTGCGAATATTCATGAATCGGTTAATAATTAAATATAAATTGGGAGTACATTATAAAAATTATAGTTATACACAAGTGCATTATATATGAATAAATAGAGAGCATATGATGATAATTATATTAATAATGCGTCAGTGATTAAATAATAGAAAGAAGTGTTTATATTGGGAGAGTCATTAAATATGATAAGAATTCAATAACTGGGATAGCAATTTAATGCAACCAAATCAACATTGACAATTAAAGATTCAAGATCTGGAAAGTAATACGAGATTCCCATTTCTAATAATTTCATTAAGGCAAGTGATCTTGAGAAGATAAAAGATAACAATGGTTCAATCATTCGTTCTTATGATCCTGGTTATATGAACACAGTTAATTGCGTACTTTTTGCATTCATACAAGACATCCAAAATTAGTTTCATAGATGGAGACAATGGAATTCTCGAATATCGAGGTTATCCCATTGAGCAATTAGCTGAAAAAAGCACTTATTTGGAAGTGGCCTTTCTACTCATCTATGGTGAATTGCCAACTTAATTGCAATATGATAAATGGTGCAAAAAGTACGCAATTATTTATTAATTAATTTCAGAATCCAAACTCACACATTTGTTCACCAAGACCTATATGGACTTTTGTCCCAATTCAGATATGATGCACATCCTATGGGAATGGTTATCAGTTCATTATCAGCTGTAAGCACTCTGCATCCAGAAGCAAACCCAGCTTTGTCAGGACAAAATATCTATGCAGTATCATTTCCTCTAATTCAAGGATTAAAAATCTAGGAACAAATAAATTCACAGGATGATTGGATCTATCACAACCATCACTGCACTTGCATATAGAAATAGAATAGGAAGACAACCAAATCAACCTCATTAATAATTAGGATATGTTGACAATTTCTTATATATGATGGATAGACTTAATGAATCCAATTATACTCCACATCCAACTATTGCTAAAGTTTTAGACATTCTCTTCATCTTGCATGCCGAACATGAATTGAATTGTTCCACCTCTGCTGTTAGACATCTCACTTCAAGTGGAGTTGATATCTATACAGCTATTGCTGGAGCTGCTGCTGCACTCTATGGTCCTAAACATGGTGGTGCCAATGAGGCGGTCTTGAGAATGCTTGAGAAAATTGGATCTAAACAAAATATTCCTTAATTCATTGAGAATGTGAAAAATAAGAAAGCACTTCTCTTTGGATTTGGTCACAGAGTTTATAAATCATATGATCCAAGAGCAAAAATTGTTAAATAATTAGCTTACTAAGTTTTTGATTTGGTTGGCAAAGATCCATTAATTGAAATCGCTTTGGAATTAGAAAAAATTGCATTAAATGATAAATATTTTAAAGATAGATCACTCTATCCAAATGTTGATTTCTACACTGGAATCATTTATAAAGTATTTAGTCCTTCTTATTATTTAAGGCTCTTGGATTCCCAACTGATATGTTTCCTTTATTATTTGCTATCCCTAGAATTTCTGGATGGCTCGCTCATTGGTGCGAATTCCTTGACGACCCTGAAAATAAAATTGTTAGACCAAGATAAAACTATCAAGGATACAAAACAAGAGAGTATGTCCCTATTGACTAAAGAAAATAGACAGATGCCTATATTCATGCGCCATCAACTTCCTTTTCTACAAGAAGAAATGTTTCTGTTTAAAAATGAATATGAAATATTATTTATGGAATTTATAATATTCTAAAAATATATTAATAAATATCAATTTTTGTGCAATAATGCTCATTCTAAATTAATTTTAAAGAGATCAATTATTTCCTCATGGTGATTGTAGAGTATTTATTTTAAGTTTAATTTTAATTCTTCATATTCAATTGATAAAATTTAATAGGCAACTGTTACTTGCTTAAACTATAAATTGAATATCAACTATTGAAATTATTATCTACAATTGTTTGTTATCTTGTGTTACTATGAAAAACCATTCTTTTAATTTTGAATTAGACTTTAAATTTTAGTTAATTTTTTACAATTAATTAAAATTTTTATATTAATGTAAACATTTGATTTACCAATTATAACAATATAAAGTCCAGGTTCTTAAATAATTTAATTGTTAAATTCTAATTGTATGACTATTGTAGGGTTATCAATTGCATTTGGGTCAACTTTTTGACTGATTTATGCCGATAGCAATTTCAATTATGTAAAAATAGTTGTATACTATTTAATTACAAATGATTCAAGATTGATACATGGTGGAAAAACTGCGGGTACTACAAATGTTTAATTTGATATATACCTACATGATAAATGGTATAATCAAAGCTTAAATCTGAGTATGTATTAGCGGATTCCTTAACTAAATGAAATGAATTTGAAGTGTCATATTTAAATCCTAAATAAGTAGTTAAAAATTAAAATTTGTTTCCCTAAATTAAATCTATATTAGAAATATGGTAAGCAATCGGTCCAGTAGGAAATCGCATCATTTCATAAGGAATCGCTTCTTCAATGCCTATAAGAATCTAATAACCAACTTGATTTAAATTTTAAAATTATAATGGATCTTTAGTAATACCTACAGCAATGTTCCTTTCTGAAATTTCTTCTATCTATTTATAATTTGAAGACATACAAAAATTTCAAAATTAATGGGTCCTTGGCATCCAAAATTCACAAGAGAGATAATTGCTTTTTATGTGTTAGGATTTCTTATGGGATATGTTAAATTTATCGGAGGTATCATATTTAGATTATTTATTATTTGAACTCTCTGATCATCAAAAGCTTGGAAAAAATAGTTAATTTATGTAATTTTTCCTAAAGTAGTATAGATCAATAATTTAAAGCCTAATATTCTAACAATAATAAACTTTATGTTGTTATGTCTATTAATTCACAATAGAATTGAATTCCTCCAGCTGAATATTATAACTCTTGTATAGCTAAGAATATTTATGGTGGATTTTCAAAAGTTCCTGTAAAATACAAGGTCTAAGAAAAGATGGGGTTTAATGGTTAAGGAGAATTAAACATACCAGAATCATAGGTTATGTAGGCATATATTCTCAAAAGGAATAATAAGATTAACATATTGAAAAACATATTTATAATTAAATTTACTTGAATTTCTGGAAAGTTATTGTGCAAAAATTCTAAAAATTACTTATCTTTAATAATTGAAACAACTTAATTAATTAATCATGAGGAGAATCTCAACACAGTAGTCCTTAGATAATAATGGGTTTGAAATGGATAGTTTTAATTTAATCGATTTTGGGTGAGGGTTTAGTTTAAATAGATAATTATTCAAATTGATGATTCATAGAATCGGATTTATATGGTCTAAATGCTGATTTATTAGGTACTTGGAATATAGTAATTAAATTTTACATAAATTTGCATAGAAGGCAGTAGGTTATTCTTCTTTTTCTGAGTCATCATAAATTTGAGTCAGCTTACGTGATAGTTTTTGTGATTGCTTTAGTAATTTAATATGTGTAAAGGAATGTATATTTTGGTTCGAATGTGTTTATATTTAAATTAAGTTCGACTAATTGTTATTTAAATTTATACATTTTTGAGCACTTCTTTTTTGATTGCATAAACTAGTTTCTTCATTTGTTTAAGTACTAGATTTGTGGGAGCAAAGGGATAATTTCTAAGAATAGAAGGTTTTCTCATAATTAGAAATTGATAAGTAGTGTAAATGATCTTGGTTCCATTCTCTTCTTTCATAACTTGTTCAGGCGTGATTCGTTTGAGCAGAGATTTCAACTAAAGTATTATGAGAGTGTTTACCTCTTCAATCAATTAGTCTTCGTTCTTTTGCATAATTAATTATGAGAGTATTCGTTAGAATTCAATATTATAAGAGACTTGATGTGTTTTTGTAATAGATTTAATTGCCTTGATTTATTGCTCATTCAGGTAGAGTCTTGAATTAATGATTGTGATTACTTCTCGTTATTTGATGTTTGAACTACATATTAAATAGGTGTTCTATTTGTGAATATGGTGGTGATCTAAGATATAGATATGATGCATTACAACTCCATTTTCCCAACATGATTAGGTTTTACATAATTGAAATTGGATGGTCTGATTTATTTCGAACTGTGGTTCCATTAGATTTTGAATTTGAATAGTAAAATAATTAATATTTTAATAACGATTTTTATAAATTATATTAGTTTGCAAGAAATTAGCAAGTTCAAGTTTTCATCAGACTCAAAAAAACAATATTTATCTACTCGAAATTGCATAATGTTTGAAATAAGCTTCTTGCATCATTGATTCCAATGTATTCGAATGAAATGGAATATTCATAGATGATATTAACATCACCTTTAGATTAAACCTTAGCAGTTCAATTATTACTTTGGATTAAGTATTACCTCCAAGATTAGAGAAGTAAATCGCATCATTTACACTAGCTACATGATGTTTACAATTGAATAAAAGTAAAATCTCTCAAATTACATTTCAAATTTGTCACTCACTGAAATCTTCAATCAAATTTAGTATGATCAAATACTTCAATATGCAAAGCCTCTGGGTATTGATATCCAAATAGTTTAAGCTTAGTGATCCAAAAGAATGAGCAAAAATAATATCAGATTATAAACACACAATCTAACAGACAAATTGGATTTCAATAGGTAATAACCTTATATGACTAAAGAAAAAAACAGATTGATTGCTATCCAACTAGATTTTCTATAGTAAGCTCAATAATACTAGATCAATCAGCTCATAACCCATTTAATATTCAAAAACAATAACTATAAAAAGTAATGGTTTGAATTTCATATTAACAGAAGAAGATGACGTTACAAAGTAGGTGAAATCAAATACAATAATAATTAAGAAAAGTGAAGATCCTTAATTCTTTTAACAATTAAAAAATGCTAGGATGGCATCTCCGAAATTGAGACAAATTAAGGGATCAGGCTTATAACTAGAACTATATCATAAAAGTAAATCTAAATCTCCAGAGGTTCTAAAAGTTAATTAGGCAAATTGTTGTAAAAAATGGGAAATTACTTAGAATACTATATAACCATAATAATAATAATATAAATAATATTAAGCTCCATGAACAATTTAAAAAACTATTAACTGACAGTACTAAAACCTTTGATTAACTTAATACTAAATTTGCACTTATTTAATGTAAATCAACTGTTTAAATGAAAAATAGTAAGTTACCAAAATAAATAGAATTTTTAGATTCGAAGAATGAAAATCAAATGAATGCTATTAAAAGTGAAAAAACACTTACTCCTAGAGTTAACTAATACGATTATATAATTAAGATATTTGGATGATGCTTAGTGAATAAGAATCACTCCCAAAAAGTAGGAGCCAAAATAGAATCTAAGATGAAAAATTGAATGAGAATATTAAACATCAGAATTTCAATTTTATAGACTAGTTTTCATTTAAGCCTTAATTTGAAAGGATATTATAGCAATTTGAAGTTAATTAGGAAATACCTCAAAAAATGAAATATAAACAAGTTGTCAATTCCAAATCAATCAGGACTATTTCTCCTTCAAATCCACAGCAATATACTCAATAATCCACAATCATCCAATAGCCTCCAGTACCACCTAATTAAAAGAAGGAACCAATATAGATCAAATTAGATATCAAATAATTCATGAATGCAACAGATCAATAGAAATATATCAGTCCAATACATAGTTAGAGATTATAAATAGGTAATTTATAAATTAAGGTAGGAATGACTAATTAGAATGATAAATCATTTTAAGTCAATGTTAATTTTAGAAATGAATGATTAATTAGTTATAAATGAACTCACAAATCATTTTACTTCTTTTACCTAAGCATGAGATAGGAAAGAGTTAATTTTAACATTACGTTGTTCTTTATATTTTACATTTTATGCGTATAAAATTACATATTTATTAATTATATATAATAAGATGTTTCCAAAATAAATTCAATATACTCAATCTCAAAAGACGAGTGATTATAGCTTGAATAGTTAACAATTTAACTAGAGGCCTTTTCGATATGAAAACCAATAATCAAGTAAAGCACCTTGGTAGAAACTTAAATCAAATGAAACCGACAATGATCCAATAACAAGACGTGACAGAACTGTTAAATCAATAGTAAACAATGGCTATTATATTAGACTGTCTTATAAGAGATATTTAGTTGTAGCAATTAAAAAAAACTAATAAAATTAGTGAGTTCATTTCTATAGTAAGAACAGCAATTAACTCAAATTGGTGAGCAATTCGACAAATAGCAAATAATTTCACTCTTCTTAAAAATTCATCAGATGCAAAGTCCATAACTTGTGTAGTTTTTACACTTACTTTATGATTCTCTGTTTTCTTTAGATTCATCGGTTAGTTCTAAGATTTACACACATCAAGATGTTCTTAAATATATGCTTCTATCAAATTATGAATAAATCTAAGGGCAAGCAGGGTAATTGACCAGAATACTTGAAATTTTATCAGAGATGCAGATTCTGAATCCTGATTTCCTAGCATTTGAGGAAGAGTTTCAAATTGATATGGAAGAAGTATTACATCTAATAATTAATTAGATTTCAAATTCATTTAACAAAGTCTAATTGCGAATCCTGTTTTTGGTTAGTTCAATAGATATACTAAGAGCTTTGAAAGGTTCAGTAGCTTTGTTTGAATAATTAGAATAGTTTGTGTTTTCTTAAATCAAGAATAGTTAGATGCCAAACATTTCTGATATGCAAACTCTTGTATATGCTTATATTCTCTTAAGTGAATAATTAGATATTGCTAATAGACTTGGCTATTCGAAATAAGCAGTAGAGATTATAGGTAAATCTTCAGATTATTCAATTTATGAATTAAAAAAAAGATTTATTAATAATGCTATGAGATTATCATAAAAATATTTAGGGTCTTAAGTTTGCGATTAACTAACAAGTATGAATAGATCATTCAGTCCTGGGTTCAATAGATAACCAATGACTCGTTTCAATTAATTAGATAGTGCATCCTATTAATTTCTAGTCAATCAATTGAAAATGGATTACACTTTAAATAATGAAGAAAATTTTTAAATTGATTTTAAATGCAACAATATATTGACAAGTCCCCTCATCTATTAATTAATGGATAAGTAATTTAATAATAAATATTTTTAGATTAGTTCCATAAACAGTGAAAAAAGAGAAAGTAAATTCAATTTTTACTGAGTAAAGTCAAGCGGAGAAAAAAAGTTAGCCACTTATTGTAAAAAAGCAATTCTCCATTAAATAATTGAAGTAAGAGAATATGATATAATCTCAAACTCAAAATTAAGTATCCACCCCTTCACAAAAGAATTCATAACAGGTAAAAATAATCAATAAATCAGATGTCCTAAACCTAAGGATTTCAAACTTCCTAAATCAAATAACAAGCCAATATCAGTGTCAAACCAGGTTTAGATTCTAATGAATTTGAAATTCTATAAAATAAATTAGGTCGTCAATAATAAGAATTGGAAGAATTAAAATAATTGTATAATACTAATATGGCTCAAAAAAAAAATGAACTCAATCAATCAAATTAGCAAAACTAATAAAATGATTAACTAAAGAAAAAGATTGAAGTGTTAGAGACCAATTTAGTATAATTGAAGAATGAAAATACTACTTATAAAAAGGAGAAAGACTAAAAATAAAGTGAAGTTAATGAGTTGAGATCCTTCATACAAGATTTGCAAGATAAATAGCTAAAATTAGAAAAATTAGTTCAATCACAATAATAGTAATATCAATAGTAATAATAATAATTTTAATTGTAATTACAATAATAATAATAACAAGCGTCACCATAATTACCCAATCCCAATCCCTCATAACAATATTTAAAAAAATAACAAAGCAGCTAATCAACTAAAGCAAATACTTAATTATAAATGAATATCTAAATTCCCAATAATAATGATGACAAGAACAGACTATTTGTGAGAGCCTAAAGTTAAATGAGTCATTCTCCAGGAGAAGAATTTAAAAATGAAATGGATGATACAAGTCCTAGAATTATCAAATAAAATTAAGCCTATTTACTTTAATTATTAGATCTGTTAGATTTGAATACATCTTTCACTAAAACTTATACCAAATTTCATTCAAATAATGAAAATAATTCTTGGGAAAGTGATGTATCAATTCTACATAATTTTAAAATAGAAGGGTTAATAACAGATTCAAATGAAGGGAAAGCACTGATGCTCAAAGCTTACAATCAATAGAATCTATTATGCTCGGAATAGATATCGTTTGATCTCTTGAAAAATCTTCTTGGCTACGTTGACTTTTAAGATACTCTACCAACAAATCTACCTAACATCAGTACAACTCACTAATTCTTTAAATTTTTAATATTGCCTTATACCGCAGTTGTACAGGATGAAACTACTTAACAATATAAAATTTAGTTGTGGCCTAAACCTTATGGATTATTGAATGGATTAAATTTAAAGGTAGATTTCTTAGATCTTAATTGTCTAGTTTATGTTCATCATCTGGAAACTGATCAATTTAGAATTATTATATTTGACCCTGCAAGTTATGATTGCTTCAAATTAGATTTAGAAATGGACTACTCTTCGATCGATACATTCTTTGTAGATGCAAAATCTATTAAAGATGAATTCAACTATTATTGTAAGAGTAATTTATTAAAATTGACTGAAAAAACACCTAAATTTGGAGATGATGATGTTGCTGAAGCCTTGGTAGAAAGACATTTTTCAAAAGAAAAAGTAAAAGCAGTTTAGGCTGAAATAAAGTAAAATTAATCATATGGTCAAGAAAATCTAGTCTTAAAATAGCCACTAGACTTTCTGAAATTCATTAAATCAATTGTTTAAGTCTTTGAATAATAACTCAAATCATAATCAATTACTTTTCCTAATAGTTTACTTGGTATGAAATATTTCAGATGCAAGACCTGGAATGCTGGAACTAAAAGTTAAATTCAAATTGTCAAAGAACAATTAGATCAATAATAAATTTCTATATATTTGGCTAATTGTTTTGAATCTTTTGGACCAAATAAATCAAAACTTAAAGCTAAAGGAAGTACCCATATTAACTTTTCAGCTATTCAAAGAGAATTTTCTGTCTCCTATGATAAATTATAAATAGAAGAAAGAGCAACTATTTTATAAACTATTTTATATTCATTCAACTTGAATATTTTTGAAAAGGTATGTGAATAGGATGAATAACAGTTTGACAAAAACCCTATTGTCTAGAGTGTTTATGATTGCGGCTCTTACCGAAAGTATTTATAATTAAATTATCTATATTAGAGTCATCGCCTTCGATAATGGCAAAATTGCTTAGGTGACCATCTAAGTTATTGGATCTAACAGAAGAATGTGTGGAATTAAATTTGCTGTTTTCAATGTTGATGAAACCATTGAGAATGGAGTATTCTTGCCGGTTTCATAAAGTGAATGGGATACTAGAGCCATGGAAAAATAAAAAATTAAAGCATCTGTTCAAAATGTTCCATTTGCTGAATATTTATTGACTTAAATTCTAAAATGCCCAACAACTTAAATTGTAAACTTCTATAATTGATTCTTAGATTTTGTTTAAAAAGATTTTGAATGCTGATTTCAAATCAAATTAAATTAATAGTAATGAAATTAAGAAGAGAAAGACTTTCATTGAAAGAGTGGACAATCTATTAACCTGGCAAGAAGTCATTGCAAATTTATGAGTATTAGATAATTAATATCAATTCTAAATCACTAATATTTTAAATTCTTAGTTCAATAGAATGTATTATTAAAATTTTACATTTAATAATCTTAATTATAAAACATTATTAATCACAATAAATCAATCTAATTTTACTATTTTTTAACAATTTTTGAAATCGTACTTCCTTTGTTGACAGATTAGAACTATGAAATAATTACAGATTCATTTTAATTTTGTGATTTTAGAATCTATGAATTCTAAACCTCTAATTTTAATTGATAATTTTCCCTTTAATATAATAAAAAAATACGATTCTAATTATTGAATTCTTGAAAGTTTTGCTTATAAAGTTTAACTTGAAGTTTATTAATGGGATCTTCTTAAAGATTCTTCTTAGATATACTTTTTTTAGAGTTCTTGTATTTATGAATGCAATTTATGATTTTCTTCATAAACACCAACTTCTTCCAAATTTAATTGTTTTTTCAATTTATTGAGTTAATCATATTAGTAATCATATTTTTCTTATAATTCAGTTACTTTTTAAACTCTATTTTCTAAATCCTTAAGTAGTTTATTGTTTTAAGTTGTTAAATTGAGCAATTCACTATTATTTTTCATAAGTTGTAATTAATAATTTTTTATATCTTCATTTAATTTAGATATTTCGGCTTCTTGGCTTTAAATTTGTTTTGTATATACTAAGGTTTAGCTTTCATAGACTTTATTCAACTATTTCATCTTATTCTTTTCTTAAAATGCCTTTGTTTTAAGTTCATCTATTTCTTTAAGCAAATCTGTCATATTTTATGTTTCTATTTTTTCAATTTAATGTTCACTCAATAATAGTTGAGCATTTTAAGTTTGTGCTCTTTATAAATTTTCTAGATGTTTAGATAGTTATTAAATGTTTTCCTCCTTCTATTAGAGTTGTTATTTAAGGATATCAATTTAAGTATATAATTCTTGAATTTCATTTTCTCTATTTATTTAAAGTTATTCAATTTACTATTGATAGCTTAAATTAGATTATTATAATCTATCTGATTCTAGCAATGAATTTTTAAAATTTGTTTAAATTTCTTAATAGTCAATAGATCTCATATCTAAATCAGTTATCAACTATGAGTTTTACTCTTTCAATTATTAATTATCCTTCTATAATTGTAAGATTTATTCTTCCAATTTAATAATTTTAACTTTGTTATCATCCTTTTTTAATTGATCGATGATATAATTCTTTTCTTCCAATTCCTTCGTTAATTTATTATTTTGGATTTCTAATTCTTTGATTGTCACTTCCTTATTTACTTTTGGTTGTGTTTTAATCATTTTAGCTCTGACTCCAAATCTGAGGGTACTGAGTGTTTCCGATTCATTAGTAATACAAGGACTGCAAGTGATAATTAGGGAGGTCATGGAGTTTTTACTCAATCCATTCCATAACAATTTTGTTAAATTAGATTCTCTAAATGGTACATGTTATTACTTTTCTGATAATCCATTAATAACGTTAGACTTACATTATAATTAATAATATTTACTAAAGTTAGCAGACTCTTATTAATGAATGCTCCTTCTTGCAATGAAGTACCAGTTGTTCCTGCTTTGGATGCATTTTCACTACCTGCAAGGTCAGCCATAATCAATTATCCTGTATAAGATGTCCCTTCGATTTCATTATTCATAATTACGGTCTAATAGAATTTTAAATAGTTTTACCATTTAAAATAATAGATGAGATCTGGACGACATATCATTAAGATTAGTATATCCAACTTATCTGTTGACCAAACCTTTTTATAAAGCATTGTAAATTTCATCTTTATCACTGACCCATAATTATGTTACTTATTGAATATAGAATCCTTAGTTAGCCATCTCTCTTACTTTTAAATCTTATTTATTGATATCTAAAAGATCCTTAACTTTTTCTTTATATATCTCCACAATTGAGATTTTAATTCGAAATTCAGCTTCTGTTGGAGAGCTCTCAATGGCATCAAATAAATCATTGATGGTTCTTCTTATGATTCCTGGTTATTATTAATCACCAATCATTGTGTATGTTTTACCAGATGATGTTTGCCCATACATTAGCAAAGTAGCATTGAATCCTTAGAGAATTTAATCTATGATAGGTTTTCCTATTTCATCATACACCTATTATTAGTTTGCATTACTATCAAGGATCTTATCAAAAGTAAACTTTTACTCACCTAATTACATTGTTTAATCCCTAATATTGTAGTTAATTAGGGATGTTTCTTTCTGATTTAAAGGTCTGATCCTGCAAAACACTTTAATATTGCTCATAGTTTAGATTAGTATTAAATCTGATTAAATATTATTACAATAATATTAAATAAAATTAAATCATTACCATCTAAAATACTCATATAAATTTTTTTAGGATTTTCCTCATTAACTTAATATTATGGGTACTCGAGTTTTATCAGATTATCCAGAGATTATTATTAACCTAAATATGTTTTAGACTTTGAACGGACACTTTCAAAGTGTTTTGAATAATCGATATCTATTCATCTTAAACAATTAAATTTTAAATAGGTTTTTGATAGTTTGGAATACAAAGAATTTGCATTGGCTGCCTATTCAGTCTCAAATTTAGTTGATATTGACTTTAGAGAAATCTAGTAGTAATTCTAAATTTAAGTCATAGTTGAAATACTTGGGATTTTATGTGTTTCTATATAGTAGTAAATTATTTTAGTAGAATTTGTCATTTAATTTTTTGTCTGAATTATTCAAAATTTCCAAATTTCGATGTTTAATTTTGCCAAAACAATACTTCTTTAACATTATATTCCAATCTAACTTTTTTCTATAGAATAATCTCTAACTGAATTTTTTGTAATTGGCTAGATTACTGCCTTAATTTAAAGAATCTCTTAATTTTTTATTTAATATTCTTCCAATATATCTTCTTGGTTAGTGTATCTGGTTTTGGATTAAACCGACTTAATTTTTCTTATTACTTTAATTCATTCGCTCTATAATTTAGTGTTTATCTTATACTTAAGAATTAATTATTCTTTTCATCTTTTAATTTACTTTTACTTAACAATGTCATTCATTTTTTTTTCATTTTATTTTTAATATTTAATTATTAATATTTCTTATAATGTCTGACGATAAATTAGGTTTTCAATTAGATGTCCTTGAGTACGATTGGTTAATACTAGGCACTGGATATGAAGAAACTCTTTATAGTGCACATCTAAGCAAAGTATCAAAATAACAAGTAATTCTATAATATTCATTTAAAGAATCTAGTCCTTGACTTTGGAAATACTTATTCAAGCAACATTCGAACAATGAATTTCAAGGAATTCCACAAATTAGATTCAGAATTACCAACAGAAGAACAATTTCCATATCTTCATAAGAGACCAGTCTTTAGAATCCTTGAACTTGATTAAAAACAAGAAAAAATCAATAATTACTTTGCTACAAAAATCAATTCAGGGTAGGAGTTCAAGCATTTTAATATCGATATGCAACCAAAATTGCTTTTTAGTAATAGTCCTGCTGTTTCGATAATGTAATAAGCAGATTTAGATTAATACATGGATTTTAAGGCTGTCGAATCTCAATTTTTTTTTGATTAAACTACAAAGACATTTAAATTAACACCAACCTCTAAAAGTGATATTTTTAAATGCCAATTTCTAAGTCTAAGTGAAAAAAAATAATTCTTTTAAGTAATCAATTTATTAATGAATAGCTATTACATACCCTTGTTAAAATATTTCATAAAGTAATCAATTATTAAGTTGATCAAAATTCAACGTAAGAGTTTGACCAAAATACTACTCAGTTGGATGAAGACACCTATCAAAAGTATTTAGAATTCAAAGATCAATAAGCAATACTATTTTTGAATGAAATTACATCTAAATCACTTAATAAGGATAAGGTCTATTCTATTTTATTTTATTCAATTTGTTTCATTACATAGAGTTTTCATAATCAAAATAATCTAATTACAACTTAAGAATTCATTACTAAATTCGGTAAATGCATCAAATCTATGGGTATTCACAGTAAATCCCCCTTTCTATACACAAATTATGGAACTGGAGATATTCCACAAGGATTTTGCAGAATATCAGCTGTTCATGGATCAGTGTTTATAACTTAAAGTTAAATAAGAATACATAAAATAGAGAAAGAAGATAATCAATATCTAATATCATCTAATTTACATGAAAATTAGATTAAAATAAAATAAGGAATAATAATGAATAAATAGATCTATGATTCTTATGTTACATTGAATTAATCAAAAAATGAGTAGAATACTCAATAATAATAAAGTTATATTTTGATGAGATTGATATTAATTACAGCAAAAGATTAAAATGTATTATGTGAAGAAGTGAGATCTTTAATACTTGATTAATTAGATGAGTATCAAAATACTCTACATTAATTGGATCCAAGTATATATGTAATTCCATGTAAACAATTCAGCAGCAATCCTATATATATATTTAGAACAGATAGCAATAGCAACAGTGCATATAAAGATTATGAATTATTTTATGTTTGGACATTGCTTGACAAATAAGAAGGAAAGGAATTGAAGGAGACTTTGAAGTAAATTGTAGTGGATATTGATTTAAAATACAACGAAAATGAACCAAAGAGCATAAACTACATTTGTTATGAAAAAGTGTTATTGTAAGAGATGTCTAAAAATGAATATAAGTTTCAACCAGATCCACACGAAAATATGTAATGAATGTATTTATAATTAGTTTTGTGACTACTGAAGATAACGATGACCTAGATTTGGATGCCTAAACTAAAGCCTTTATGGGAAATGTTAAGACACTGAATAAGAGTTTTGAAGAACACTACTATATGGTTGAAAAGGTAGCTAAATAATAATAACCAATGGAGTAAGAAATAGATAATCAGCAGTACATATTGAACTAATTAATGAATATAAAACAAAAGGAATGATTATTTTAATTATTATTTAATCTCCAATGAAGACTTCATCATACTCCTTCGTTGGAATTCGCAAACATTTTTGGAAGGAAGTTTTTTATAATATCTAACTATACTAAGACTCCATAGAGATGACCGAAATTGTAAATATCATTATACATTCAGAAATCTAAATCGCCAAAATACATTCTGCCATTGAAGTTGTCAACTGTTATAGAGATTACAGGACAGGTAAGTAAAAATAATAGGAATTTCAGTGGATTCCAGTTTAAATACAAGGACACGAATAAACTAATGAATTGTAGATCATCGGATATAGCTATGTAAGTGTGCTTATTATGATTAGTTTAATGGATATGGTAAGCAACTAAATAACTTTCCTAAATATCACTATGTTTTATTAGGCTATTGAAATAATAGGGAGAGGCAGTTCATCAAGTGTTTCTGTTTTGATCGATACTTATTCATAAGAGCAATTTGCTGTCAAAAGTATAGATAAAGAATACTTGTAGAAGAATGATAAGTTATAAGTAATATTTGATATAATGTAGATATTATTTGAAAACGAGGTAAAGATCTTGTAGGAATTGACAAAGTATAACCATCAAAATTATTTTGTGCATTTATACAGAGTTTTTGAGAGCAAAACATCATACTATTTAATCTTGAATCTCATGAAAGGCAAATCACTCACAGCCTACTACAATAAAATCAAAGTAAGCAATAATGTTAAATTGTTTGAAATTAGAAATAATCAGATTCCAAGTTATTCTCTTCAGACATTATTAAATTAATCATGAGGAGACTCTTTTCTGGTGTTTCACTTCTGCATTGTCATCGAGTATCAAATTTATCTATATCAGATAATCCATAGGGATCTCAAGCCTGATAATCTGTTACTTTTGGAACCAAATAATGTAGATACCCTAGCCATAGCTGATTTTGGACTAGCAACCTATAGTAATGTAGAAAAGTAATAAATCTTTACCATCAAATAGGTATTCTTATCCAATTTGTGGAACCAAGGGGTACATGGCACCAGAGATCACCCATTACAAAGATGGATAGATTAAATATGATGAATAAATTGATATCTATAGTATTGGTGTCATTTTTATTTGGCTGTAATTTTTTTATAATCCTAGACTCACTGGTGATATTGATAGACATAATCCTAAATTATTGAAGTTAGATTCAATTACTTAAAATTTATTGAATAACCTCTTAAAATCAAATCCAAAAGAAAGATTGTCAGCTCAGGCAGCACTTGATCATCCTTATTTCTAAACTGATGAAACTACTAAGAAGACTTTTCAATCTTAATATGGATTTGTAACTCCAATTTTATATTCTAGGAAAATGTTGATTGCGATAGTATTATACAACATGAAGATTTAAAAAACTATTCTTTGCCTATGATGAAGAAACCTCAAAGATAAATATGAAATAAACTTTCTCTATCTAACTATGTCAATCTCTTCGTATTTATTAAAATTTATTAATTACTATATTGATACATCGTAAGCCTAAGAATTTATTTTAATGATTAAAATATATCTCTCCTACTATTCATCTAACGAATAGCAATAGTTGAATCCCACAAAAACTAAAATAAGTATAGATATCTCCTTAAAATTTAGATCTATCCTTAAGAACAATTAGGTCTGGCACTCCTCAAATGTAACTAAATTTAAGGTCAATTTAAAATAGTTCTTATGACATTCAATATACTACTTCATAACTATCTAAATCAAGTAAACCTGCTGAACACAATAAACTTTGTAATTAATAAAATCAACTTAGAATAAGATAATACTCCATCTATAAGAGGTTTCAATCAATACGATTTGGATCTGCTAAAAACGTAAGGAGATGATACCTTTAAATTTCAATCGACTTCGTAAAATGAAAAAAACCTTTAATTGAAACGATGGATTGGGGATAAATCATGTTCATCCTATGAAAAGATAAGAGTATTTGATAGATTCAACTAAAACTAGAGATTAAATACATAACCAATTACTTCAAACACTTACATAACTACCAAAAAAACCTCTTCAAGAGTAGATATGTAATCAAAAAATTAGTTGAAAATCTCTCCAAATAATGTAAATTTTCAAGACATAAATAATACTTTCAGAGTCTATCTGCTAAGCCATCAATTTATAGTAGATTAAATGCATCAAAGGATATCCTCTAAAGTATGATATCTGATAATACAATTAAATAATAAACCATATAACCAAATGAAGGATTAGGGACTTAAAAAAAAAATTTCTTTCCTTTTCCCTAAATAAGGAATCTACTGCATTTAGCTCTAAAAGTAAAATAAATCACATTAGAAACCATGAAAATCTGAAAAATGAAAATATTCTAGATATACTGTTACTTTCAACTTAAGAACTTAACAACAAATTAAAAAACAAATCAATTCTCAGAAATTAATCAGAAGAGAAAATACCTATAAAAATAAAATTAGGGCAGGTAGTGGATTCCCTAAAGACTTTTTTGAATGAATAATTACTATGTAATTTATCAATCGCAATTCAATCTTCTTTTCATCACTTCTTTAATTTTGTCAACCCATAATTAAGCTGGATGTTCACATTCCTTTATTATATTATTTAATTTACTTTAAAATAGTACTTCTTTTTACTAGGTACATCAATGTTAAATTAACCTTTCAATAATTCTATTGTTACAAATTTGTCTAAAATAATCTAACCCTTTTGTAAAGCTATAAAAGATTCTTTATACCTTTTTTAATCCAGTATTAGGATCGAAATATTCTAATTTAGGAATTTCGAAATCATACAAAATCATATTTCTTAATTTATAAATCATCCAACCTAAATATATCAGAATATCCAACCTGTTTTCTTATTAACTAAACCAGTTATCACTACTTCTGGTTTCAAAGTGGTACTTGGCTTTTTTTGAGCGAATTCCTAAGTTGATATCTTTTTTAAATGTATTTAAACATCGTCAGGTCCTTTTTGATTCCACAACTGTTGCCAGTTGATATCCTTAAAGAACGGATGACTCTTTAGTTCTCTATATGTGTTTTTAGAATCTAATAATAGCAGAATCAAATTACTGAGTAATCCTCCTCCTAATCTGCTTAATGGATCTCTGACTAACAATTTACTTATTAAATCCATTCCATCTTAAGGAATTTTATTATTTTTAGGATACTGACAAGATCGAACCTTCTAAAACACTAAATATTCTGTCTAATCACAAAAAGGAGTTGTTCCAGTGAACATTTTATAAATTATGCAGCCCAAAGCCCATAGATCTGCTTATGGACCACAAATATCATCTTCCAAAAGTTCTGGTGATACGTATTCTGCCGTTCCCACAAAGGTAGCCTTATGTTTCTATTGGTATTAGTCTATTTCGTCTAAAAATCTTTCATCTTATTTGCTAATCTCTCTTAATTCATTCAATTTATCGCGAACATTATCTGGTAAATTATGCTCATCGAAAAAGCTAGCTGTTCCAAAATCTATCATTTTTATATGTAAATTATTTGCGACCATTATGTTTTCTGGCTTTAACATCATCTAAAATTTATTACTTTCACATCTCTATGCGCAATCCCATTAGAATGCAATTGTTCCAATATTGTTACAATTTCTGCAGTATAAAATACTATAGAATTATAAGACATGTTTCCTAAAATCACAATTTGCCATTACTATTTATTTTTAAGAAATTAGCAAAATCTCCTCCTTCCATAAACTCTAAGACTAGGTATATTTATGCTGAACTTTGAAAACTAGCTATCATATTAATCAAACCAGGATGTTTAACCCTTGACAACACCTCCTTCTCAATAAAAACTTAATATTGTTTTTTTTCCTAGTCTATTGTTACATTATCAACCTTAATAAGCAATCTTTTCTCCATAGCTTTTATTGCTACTAATTATCCATTTGCTTTGCATTTTGCTAACATTACATCTCCATAAGAACCAGATCCTAATTTCTCTATAATTTCATAATCATTAAGAGTATTCATTATTTATAAATAAAATTAATTCACAAAAACATAACTCATAAAATCCAAAAATAATTGTTATAATAATATTTTAAATCATTTATTTTTGATATCTTTCAAGTATTTGCTGTTATTGTTTAATGCTAAATTAACATATTGGACATAAATGATTCGAAAGAATTTATGTTTAAGAAATCAGAAAGATTATTAATATTCTTAAGAAAATCTTTTGAATTATGAAATTAACATTATTACATGATATAAGTATAATATATGGATTTGAAAAAAATAAATCTTAAATTCGTGTATTCTTTACTAAATTAAAATTAAGAATGTTATTAGAAAAAATTATTTAAAATGTAATTCCAAAGCTAGATGAAAAAATTAAAAAAAAATGGATGCATACATAAATTAGATAATAAATATTAATCTTTAAAATCAAAATTTAAAGATATTCATTAATATTTTTGAACTCAAATTTGAAGTGTAAATAGATTGATGTAATAAAAAAAAATTTTAATTGTGCTCTATATTATATAATAAATATATAAACATAAAATTTTTATAAATATAATCTTATTTTAAAGCAATTATTTTACAAAACCTGTTTTGACTCAATAGGATGAAGTTTAGAATAATTTTTTTAATTAAAGAGAAATTAAATATTGATAATATAAGTTTGTCTATTTTAATTTAGATAGGTTTAGATTGATCATTATTTTCTAATGTTATTTTATTAATTTTAGATCGCATCTTAAATTACATCTTATGTCTTTTATGAATCGATCTTCTCATCTTTCTATTATTTTTATTTCTCATTTTGCTTTCCATTCATTCCTCTCATCATGGCTTACATCAATTATAAATTAATATTATTTATAAATTTATCATCGCAAATTCTTATCTTTAAAGTTATCTCAAAATGAAATTAAAAAGAAGTATTGAATTAACAATTAATAAGACATATAATATTATTGCTAATTGAATAATATGATCAGGGTTCTACAATATGGGTTATAATGATTCCGAAGAAGACCGAATGAATAATAAATAATTAATATATTAAATAATTCTAGGATTTTCTCCACTTAGGATTAAATCTAAGCAGATTAACTAATAAAATAGCATAAATTATAAATGAGTAATAATATTAATTAATATAAATGGACAATATATATAAGTTTAAGGCAAGTAGTTCAGTGGGGCATTTAAAAAGTCTGAATAATGATAAACAATTCTATTCAGAAGAGGAAAGTAGTAAGAAAGAGGAAGAGGAAAAGCAATTGAAGAAGTAAAGCAAGCCTCCTAGTAAGATGTCTTAATTCAGTAAAAATGCTACTGGATATTAAACCGATGATTCTGACAAAGAGACACCGAAAAATAATAAGGTAGGACCCTCAAGTAAGGATATATTGGATTATTTTAGGTTAGAAAGTATCAAAATTTAGAAATTTGGTAAATGCTAAAAAAATTGAGGGTGACAATGATGATCCGAATTTCGATGATGATGATGACAAGCCAACAACCATTTAATAATAGATTCAGCATGTTTAATAGCAAAGTGAAGATTAATATGATGTGGAACAGTAGGCGAGTAAAATGCAACAAAAATACGCTAAGAATGAGGTTGGGAAGTCTACAAAANATTCGTGTATTCTTTACTAAATTAAAATTAAGAATGTTATTAGAAAAAATTATTTAAAATGTAATTCCAAAGCTAGATGAAAAAATTAAAAAAAAATGGATGCATACATAAATTAGATAATAAATATTAATCTTTAAAATCAAAATTTAAAGATATTCATTAATATTTTTGAACTCAAATTTGAAGTGTAAATAGATTGATGTAATAAAAAAAAATTTTAATTGTGCTCTATATTATATAATAAATATATAAACATAAAATTTTTATAAATATAATCTTATTTTAAAGCAATTATTTTACAAAACCTGTTTTGACTCAATAGGATGAAGTTTAGAATAATTTTTTTAATTAAAGAGAAATTAAATATTGATAATATAAGTTTGTCTATTTTAATTTAGATAGGTTTAGATTGATCATTATTTTCTAATGTTATTTTATTAATTTTAGATCGCATCTTAAATTACATCTTATGTCTTTTATGAATCGATCTTCTCATCTTTCTATTATTTTTATTTCTCATTTTGCTTTCCATTCATTCCTCTCATCATGGCTTACATCAATTATAAATTAATATTATTTATAAATTTATCATCGCAAATTCTTATCTTTAAAGTTATCTCAAAATGAAATTAAAAAGAAGTATTGAATTAACAATTAATAAGACATATAATATTATTGCTAATTGAATAATATGATCAGGGTTCTACAATATGGGTTATAATGATTCCGAAGAAGACCGAATGAATAATAAATAATTAATATATTAAATAATTCTAGGATTTTCTCCACTTAGGATTAAATCTAAGCAGATTAACTAATAAAATAGCATAAATTATAAATGAGTAATAATATTAATTAATATAAATGGACAATATATATAAGTTTAAGGCAAGTAGTTCAGTGGGGCATTTAAAAAGTCTGAATAATGATAAACAATTCTATTCAGAAGAGGAAAGTAGTAAGAAAGAGGAAGAGGAAAAGCAATTGAAGAAGTAAAGCAAGCCTCCTAGTAAGATGTCTTAATTCAGTAAAAATGCTACTGGATATTAAACCGATGATTCTGACAAAGAGACACCGAAAAATAATAAGGTAGGACCCTCAAGTAAGGATATATTGGATTATTTTAGGTTAGAAAGTATCAAAATTTAGAAATTTGGTAAATGCTAAAAAAATTGAGGGTGACAATGATGATCCGAATTTCGATGATGATGATGACAAGCCAACAACCATTTAATAATAGATTCAGCATGTTTAATAGCAAAGTGAAGATTAATATGATGTGGAACAGTAGGCGAGTAAAATGCAACAAAAATACGCTAAGAATGAGGTTGGGAAGTCTACAAAAATGAAGTAAGAAAGATGATAATAATTAGACACTCAAATACTTAATAGAGTGTTGATGCTATTTCTGATGTGGAGCAAATGAAGAGTAAATAGCATTAAGAAGGGAAGTTGAAGAACCATCCTTTTCGACACCTTATCTATGGTCCAAGTATAGGAGAGAATTCTTTTAATAAATTTTTATAATTAACTCAAAGAGGCTTGGTTTATGCAAAGAAATGCTTAAAAGGACCTTCCGAGAAATTCATAAAATCAAAAATGGTTTAATTACAGGAATGTGCAATTGTAAAGGCAAAGACTTTATTGTTGGATTTGGATGAGACTTTAATTCACAGCTGTTCTTTGAGGGAGAATCCATAAGTGACAGTAACAGCTTTTGGAGATTACGGAGAAGAAGCAAAGGTATTGGTGTAATATATTTTAGATTCATTTCAACATTAGACCATTTTGCACATGGTTTTTACAATAAATGAATTAATTGTATACAATTTATGTATATACAGCTTCATCATCTGCTTATGCAAATGCAATTGTAAATTATTTAGATCCAAAAAGACAATGGATTATGGGAATTTTGTCAAGAGGAAATTGCATGGAAACAAAGAATGGATTTTTTATTAAAGACCTTAGAATTATTGGGAATAAACAATTAAAGGATATGGTGATTGTGGATAATCTAGCTCACTCGTTTGGATTCTAAATAGAGAATGGAATCCCAATCTTGGAATGGCATAATGACTAAAATGATCAAGAACTTAAATATATGGCAACCTACTTGATGGAAGCTGCTGAACAAGAGGACATTAGATAATTTAATACACAAAGGTTGAAGCTAGATCAACTTATCGAATATAATTTAGATTGATTGATTGATATACATAATATATATTAATTTATCAATGGGTTCTTGCTGTTCATCTAATAAGATTGTTAAAGAAACTTTTGACTACCCTGATGGAGGTGTCTATATGGGAGATCTCGAAAACCATCTACCAGTATATTTATTTAAGTCAAGTTTAGCATGGAAGAGGTACCATAAAATGGCCCAATGGAGCATTATTTGAAGGTCAGTTTATCGATGGTAAAAAGACTGGCAAAGGCTTGTTTAGATGGAATGATGGTTCTTATTACGATGGATAATTTTTAAATGATGTCTTCCATGGTTATGGTGAATATTGTTGGACTGACTTAAAAATATATAAAGGAAACTGGTCAAATGGAGAAATGGAAGGAGAAGGTGAAATGCTTTATCCAGATGGCAAAATCTATAAGGGTATCAAACTTGCATCTATTTTCAGGTTATTTTAAGTCAGATAAAAAAGATGGCCAAGGCGAAATGATTTGGCCTAATGGTGATAAATATATAGGTGAGTGGAAAAAAGGATAATAACATGGTAAAGGAGTGCTAATAGATTATTAAGGAAAGAAAGAGGAGGCCATATGGAATAAAGGAAAGAAACAATGATCGATCTTATATTTATAATAACCTATGAGTAACTAAATTATTAATTCGAAAATAATTAACTTAACATCAAAATTTATATTTACATCTTATGATCTCATTCTTTCCAAATATAAAATAGTCATCATCATTCTTTATTAATCTTACTGGATTGTCATTCCCAAACTAATCCAATCTATACATAGTATTTCATACACTTACTATTAAATTAATGGTTTTTCGTCAGGTTTTAGAAAGTTAAACTAATAAATCTGATTATTGTCATTTGGATACAAAATAGCTTTGGGCATATCCTTCTCATCATAAACAATAACAGGTCTAATAAAGAATCTATTTTGGTATTAGATCTTGTATTAAGCTACTAAATTGCACTCCACCCAATCCCATAATCCCAATGGTTGTTCCAGAGTTGACACTATCAAATGTCTTGAATCCTTCGTGAATTAACTAGATGTTGTATGAGTTTTCTTGCTACCACATATTGTCACTAAAGAATCTGTTCCATATGAATCAAATACACGGGCACACTTATAATATATTTCACTTTTTACACATTGTCTAAACCAGTTGTGGTTACATATCTCCCAGTTTCATTGTACTTGCATTAAGTTATTTGCATTGAGTGTGCTAGAATGCAATTAAAGGGTAGTTTCTAACGAATATCCCAAAGCAATATAGTTTTTTCATTGGCTGCACACACTTCATTCCAAATATTGCTATCTCCACAGTACGTAAATTCAGTGTTTATTTAATGACTAATAACTTATTTTTCCATATCTAATATTTATACGGATTATCCAAATAGATAAAGTTAATTCTTATTGAAGCTATCATGATGACTGAAAGTGCAGCTATATAATAATTTCTCGCTCTCCAAATCAAAATAAGTATTCGTCTTATAATTATAAATAACTATTTTATTGTTTTTATATATCAAAGCAAGAAGTTAGTTTTTACAACATTACACTTCCAAACACAAACTGTCCTGCTTTGGAATTTCTAAATTCTCAAAATCTCCTAAAATCTAGTCGTTTGCTTCCTTTTGCATTTTCCCGCTCCTTGTTAATATATTATTTAAAATATTTAATGACTTCACTTTAATATATAAAAATCATTTAATTATTTTGTATAAGAATGGAAAAATTAATTTGAATGTTTGAACACATTGGGATAGTCAAGAATGATGTCTTGCCTAAACGGAGGTGCTCAATTAATATTGGTTAGTTTTTTAACATCCTTTTAAAATATTATTTAAAAACATGTGCTTTCGCTAACCATTAAATAAATTAAATTAAATAATGTTTTAACATAACAATAGAAATTAGCTTAAATATTGTTTTTCCATTCTAATCAAAATTTTGCTATTTTAGTCTTATTGTGAAAAAAGAAGATAAATGGATCACTCCTGTCTTACAAATGCTTTAAGTTAATATATTCTAGAAAAATTCCAAGGTCTTCTCAAAAAAAAAACGATATTTTAATTATTTGAGTTATATTCAAAGTATTTCATATATTAAGGAAAGTAATTAGATAATATCATTAATATAATATAAGTTTTTGCTAGCTATTAACTCAATAATCAAAAGTAATTTTCACTAAATTATTAATGATACGGTCTTCTTTGATAATTAATATTTGTTGAAAAATCAAATAATTCAATGGTCACAAATAAATTTGTGATTAATGGAATAATTTACATTTAAAATATTTAAATCTTAAAATTTATGTCTATTATAACTTTGAGTTAAACTGAATGTTCAATGTCAACAAAAAATTCCACAAATTTACTTACCCTTCATATCTATTCGTTTTAAGCTATTTATATCAGGATTTTGAACTTAATTATTTATTATTTCTAAATTTATTTATCAAAAGTGCTTAGATTAATAAGATATGAATTTTTGTAAAATATACATAATTATATAAAAAGAGTGATTTATTATTATATTCACTAATTAATTATAGTTGAAATTCTTATATCTATTCAAATACTTTGGGTTAATAGAAATTTTGACTGAATGAGGCTCCTCACTTAGAACTAAACTATTATTAAGTTTCTCATATATTATTATGTTATATTGATATATTTATGATTATGCATTTAAATAATTCATATCAACTCTTTGTATATTACCTAGTGAATTTTCATATGAAGGTTGCCAAATGAATTTATCCATTTCTTGAAGAAACTAATTTGAACTAATCCCATCACTATAGCAATCTTATCAATTTTCCTGACTCCTTCAAATTATAGAGCAAAGCGAGGATAATTAATTTCAGGGCATAATTTACAACATTAACCTTACATTAATGTTATTTTAGCACAAGCTTCACATGCAGTTCTAGTATTAATAATTTGGCATCTTCCTTATGTAAGACCATCTACATGATAATTCTTTGAAGTTGAAAAAATATCAAAACAAGCAAAACAACCACATCCTCCAAACAAATCTTCTGGGCAACTGTTAACATCTGGTCTCAGAATTAGTTCATAATTCTTTTCAATAGGGGAGTGAATTTTCAATTTTGGATAGGAACTCATACAATGCGAATATAAAACATCACAGAAATTTGGAATTGTTTAGAGAAATTCAAAAACTTACTTACCATTTACAAATATCTTCCCCACACCGCTAGGCCAAAATTCTAATCGCATTTACTCATTTTTTAAGACATAAATATATTCTGGGTAAGCATGTTTATCGCAATCGCGAAATTAACAACAACAACAACACCAGATTAAGCAAACAGTTTCCAAACTTATAGTAAAGTCAAGTTATCCTATTCCTTGAATATCAAATTTAGAGGATCCAGTAATAGAGCCATATCCGCAACACATATTATTTTCATATTTATATTGATGTTCAAATTCCACTTAATCCGGGATATTTATACCTTTAAGCAATTATTCCAATTCGTCTGATTTAGATGTGTATGCCTATAATTATGTTAAATCATACATTATTATCAATATTTTATGAATTCAATGGCTAGTATGGGGCATTAGGTTGATAGTCAACTTGATCAACTATTTTCTTCATTTAATTGCTTAATTACAGAAAATATCTTCATAAAACCATTTAAAGTCTTACGTCTGTTATATTACGTCATAACCTTAAGACTTAGAAAAAATTGAAAATTGAATTCTGACAATATATTGTTTAATCTATGCTAATTGGATGTTTGTAAATAAATATATATTAGATTATTATAATCAAAACTAAATCTATGTTGAGGAAGGAACACTATTTGATAGTTTTTGTTAAAATTTGAACAATTTTCTGATTTAATATCCTTTATAACATAAACAACCATGAATAATTCCAATAGCTAATAAGAATGCTATATAGATAATAGAGCTGAAATTAAATATTTAAATACAAAGTGTCCTTAATTGATTTCTTAATTTGGCAATCATCTTCTTCACCTTGCCATTGAGATTTCTCACATAAATTTTTATATAAAGGAGAACCTAAGGCAATTACAGTGGCTATTAAGTCTGAAAGAAAAGTTAGACAATTTCCAAAAATCCAAATAGTAATAATTAATAGTGCTCTTTTATTTATAAAGAGACAATACAAAATCATATTCAAGATAAAAAATGCAAAACTACAATAAAATTAATCAAATACCTGCAAATCCAAATAATAGCTGATAGTAAACAGCCATCATATATAAATTATGGTATTATTCTTCCTAAGACAAATCCTAAGAGCAAAATACTACTTAAACTTGAAAAGATTTTCAGACTATAATTGTTATATTATTTTACGCTCGTTATTCTTTGTTGCACTTTGTACAAGCATAGGTAGGTTTACCAGACGGAATTTCATGTGGAAGGTCGTGAGTTTCAATGAACACAGCAGATATTTAAGGGTTGGGCTTAGGTTTCAGGTCTCTTTGGCAAGAATCCTCACTTTTTTAACTATCTAAAGGATCTATAATTTAGAAATCGCTAAATGTTACATTAAATAGCTTCTTGTTCAATGCTTTACGTTTTTTGGTTGATCATTTAAGGTAGTGGAATGAAATTGTTTATAATTATTACGCAAAAGTATAAATATAATTTATTGTTGTGATGTATGATATTTCAATTATCAGTTATTAACTAAGGTTAATTAATTCCGATGACAACTGGAGACTTCTCTGTTAGATTGTCACTATCAAAACAATAATTCAATTATTGAATCCAAAAATTTCTTTATCTAATTATAAAATCCACAACATATATTTTAAAGTTATATTATATTAAAGCCTTTATATTTAATAATACAAAAATTATCATTTATTTTTTAATTGTTAAAGAATTAACTTTTTCTAATGAAGCAATTAACTTTATTTTGCTAACAATTCTTGAGCCTTTTGCCAAACTCTTTCCTCTTCCTCTTTTTTTTGGCTATTAGTTTACTTCTCTTTTTTATGTCCTCTAGCACTATTGATTCTATCTTGCCTGTATTTGCAGGCACTGTCTTTTTCGTTCTTTAAATCCAATTTTTATATACTCAGGATTTCTGAACTCTGTCTTATTATTTGACTTTGATTCTTTCTCATATCTTATTAATCGCATTTTTGCTATTATTTCATCATGACAGAACTATAAGCCTTCTATTATTGTCTTTCTCTAAATTCTTAAGCCTTTTTCTACTTATCATGCTCTTTAATTGCTTGGTTTAATTTATATTGTTCTTCATTTTCTCTTAAGATATCTTAATTTTCTTTCTGAACTGCTTATTTTTGTTATTGCTTTTCATTTCTCTTATCTTTCCATAATTGTTCATTTTCCAATCTTTTAATCTTTTTAATTTCATTTTCTTAAATCTAAAGATTTAATTACCAAGCGTAGAAGTCTATACCAAATTTTTCAAGCATTTCCTAATTTTATTTTTATAACGCATCATCCTTATTTTTCTTTGATGCATATCTTGTACCAATTTGCTTCCATTATTCTTAGTATTTCTTATTGTCATTCAATTATAAAACATGATCATTCTCAATTCTTAGATTCTCCATCAATTAAAAACATTATTGTATTACATAACATTGTCTTATTATTTAATATAATTCTTTGTTTTGAATGATGGTGACAGCTTCTTATTAAGACATCAGGTTTTGAAGCATTTCTAAAGATTCTTCAAAGAGACACAAGTCTCTTTGGAAAATTTATCTTTACAATAATAATTTTGGAAGTTGTTTAATTGTTTAAACTGTTTAAGATACATTCTAAAATGCTTTTTATATTAATTTTAAATTAATGGGAGGTATTTTCGAGTTAATTCTAGGGAAATCTTTATCTACAATAGCAATAGCAATAATAATTGGTGTGAATATTGCATTTAAATATACAGATTCACTTTGTTATTATAGATTTAACTATTAGATAAATTGAGTTGTCAAATATTCAGTCATCTAAGAATACATTCTTTGGACAATAGAATTATTATCTTGTTTTTGTTATAGATTGGGTTATTTTTTCATTAATAGATGGCTAAACTCTTTATATTGATCATTGATTTTAATAATTGATTATTTTGATAGCCACCCTTTGCTTTATACCTCTTTTGCAAGAGATACAGTGAATTCAAAAATTTCATTGGTTTTTGATTATAATTGTTACATAACATACTAGAAATAAACAAAATAAACTTACGAGTTAAGTTTTTCCATCCTTTAAATCATCTACAATTGGTTTAGATTCTAAAGCATCTCTAATTTCCTCCATCATTTATATTCTGAAGGGAGAGAAGGTTGGGTGAGTTCTTTTTCTTTATTTTGATTCAACAGTCTTTGATTAAATTGATAATTAAGATTAAGGTTATGATTAACAAGATTATTATTATTAAGGTTATTATTACTATTATTATTGTTACTATTTTCTTCTTTCATCTATAAATGCTCTTTCAACTGTTATTTCTTAATATTATACAGGTATGCTGTATTCTTATTGTGGTAATAAATCATCATTTAAATATTCCATCTCCTTCAATACTTATGGTGTAAATAAACTACCCAATAAGGATACTTGTTAGATTTATGGTTATTTTTTTTATTATTATCGTAATCTTTATGGAGATTCACTTATAGGAACGGGCATAATTTATTATTCTTAATCATTAATAAACTTATTGGCACTTGTAATTTGAAATTTAGTGTCTGAACTATTAAATTCATTTTTATTTTCACTAGTAATTACATTATTGTTGCCATGAGTTAATTCAAATTTGTTGAGAAGATCCTGCTTCAACGGAGATTGGAATAGGAGTGGCTTTTCTAAACTCTATTTGCTTAGTCTTAATTCATTTTAATAGAATTAGATTTACTCTTAGAGTTGCTATTTGAATGTGACTGAATCTAGATTGATGATATATTATAGAATTACCATAGCTTCCAAATTAGGGGATATCATATTGACCATCATCTCTTTATTCGGTATCTTATGGTGCTTGATAAAATTAATCTTGATTATATTGTTAATGTTCTTCGTATTCTTATTCATCTTGGTGTAATTTATTTGAAAAATCTTAAATATCATAATATTCATCGGATTTCTAATCGGATAATTTCAGTTGTTTTTTAACACTTGAATATTGATATTGCTATTTATATGATGGATAATCTTTATCATAATATGGTTGAACTGATTTGGGTTGTTTTGATGATTTGGATTATTTTTATAATTGGATTTCCTTTTATAATTTTAATCCTTTCATAGGATCAAAGACATAAGAATCATTAGAATCTGGATGGACTTCTTCGTCATCATCTTCTTCAGCAATAGTACCACAACGTAGTTGCTTATCAAAATATTGCAATAACTAATCATCTATTTGTAATGCAATTTATAAATTTTGTTCAAATTTGATTTGATTATAATTCTCCAACTATACAATTGCTTGGGTATTCAAATATTGCTCTAAGGATGATGATGATAAAATTACCATCGAAAGGGTTGTATCCATAGCAATCAATGTAATTGGTGAGGGCAATGTAAGTATTGGATTTGTTGGGTTAGTAATCCCTCAATTGTTATTCACATTCATATGCTAGCAATGCAAAGCGTTAATGCTATTATCGATCCTCTGAAAATAATTAATAATAAGGATACAATTTTCCTCTAACTGCTTTTATTATAAATAAAGTTGTAATTATTGCATAAAAATTAATGTTATTTATCATCTGATCATTTTATTTCTATGATAATGATAAAAAATAAATAGTTAATAACATATTTTAATAAATCGAGTATTCGAAAAAGAGCGAAATCCTCATTGAATTATGTTGTTTCTGTGAAGTAACAGAATGTGGAATAGTCTCACAATAATTCTATTGATAGTCTGAACACTCGCGTTATGGAGGTTTTTGAATAACAATAGAAGGATGATCAAGTTCAGATACAAAGATTATTGATAAAGAAGCAATTGTTGGAGATTCGAATACGCCATGAAAATGAGAAATATGAAGAAACCCTAAAAAATTATTAACAATTGTTGCAACGATTAGATTCAATGGAACATAGCCAAAAGGAGTACATCTCACAAATGAACCAATTGAGTGAGTGTTTAAAAGAGATTGTTTAACAAAACCATGAGATGGAGAGTGCCTATAATGACAAGTGCAAAGAATATGAGAGTTTGATATAAATAATTAATAAATGAATTAAGTACTGGATTCAGAAGCTGAGGAAGCTGTGTTAAAAGCTGGAGACATCATCTAAGGTAGATTTCGTATTGGAGATCTTCTTGGAGAAGGATCATTTGGATCTGTCTTTAGAATCTATGATACTCAGAATAGCAATGAAGTCTTTGCAATCAAGGTGGAGTAAGAATTGGAGGAAGAGGAAAGCATGTTAGAAAGAGAAATCAAGATTATGATGGAATTAAAGTATTTCACTTATGCACTCTATTCTTTTTAGGAAGAAGCCCGGGTTCCCATAGATATTATACTATGGATAAGAGAATCATTATGTTTATTACATTATGAATGTGCTTGGACCCAATCTTGAAATTACCAGCAAGAAGTGTGGAGGCTCTTTCACTCTTGTAACCATGTTGAGATTAGCTATTCAGGTATATGAGTAATGTACTGTTTAGTGTAGATGCTTAGCCGAATTGAAACGTTGCATTCTATGCGTCTCATTCACAGAGACATTAAACCAGACAACTTTGTGTTGGGATTGGGACAACAATAAAACATATTACATCTCATTGATTTTGGATTATCTAAATTTTATGTAAATTCTAAAGGTGAACACATCAAATAAGTACGCAAAAAAGGATTGATTGGAACAGCTAGATATGCTAGCATTAATGCTCATAATGAACTTGAATAGAGTCGTAGAGATGATCTAGAGAGCATTGCTTACATCTTGGTTTATTTAGCCACTGGGTCTCTACCTTGGATGAATCTGCAAATTGAATAGAAAGATCTTAAATATGCTAAAATATTACATCTAAAAAAGTCAACAACTCCAGATATTGTATGTAAAAATCTACCAGCTTGCTTTATGAAATTTTTAACCGCTGTTCGTAAATTAGATTTTATCACAACGCCTGATTATGGATCTTATAAGAAATTATTCCAAAGCGAATTAGAAAAGCATTAGGTTTAACCATACTATGATTGGGAAGTTGTAGGAGATAATCATACAAAAAAGAAAAGTAACACAATGCATATTATGCCAGTATTATTTATATTAATTTAAGGAATAATTGAAATAAAATAATAGTCCTAACAATCTACATATTATTAATAGCAATGGAAATAACAATGGATCAAATAAAAATACTATGACTTATGGAAAGGATCAAATCATTGAAGGCGAAATGGATAAGAGATTAAACTTTTAAGTTTCAACTAAAGGTGTGGATAATAAACAATTTGAAAGGTTTGAATAGATTTTGCAATAGAATCAGAAGAAGTACTATAAGATGAACAGTTCAAAGAGGTAAAACTCTGGAAGGGCTAAAACCCCTGTGATGGTCAATGTTATTGAACCAGATGTAATTTAAAATCTATTTTATTTAGAAACAAATTCAACAACAATAGTATGAATAAGTGTATGATGAGGTGCAATACATCGCAAAATCAGCCAAATTCTTGTAACCACCCTCTACTCCCAATGTTAGGAATTCCTCTTCCATTATAAATCCTTATTATATTCCATCCTTAAACACTTCATAAGTGAATAATTATGATTGGAGTGAAGGCGAAGAAATAAGCAACGAAGGCACTCCCTTATGGTGTATGTATGTGGAGAAGGAGAGACAAAATGTGATGACGGGAATTTAAACAAAAAAAAAGAACTCCATTAAACACAATAGTTTCAGTGCTCTCCAATATCCAATACAGAATCAAGTTAGAGGAAGTGATGAAGAATTGTTTGATATTGAATGATCATTAGTGTTGTTAATTTATATTCACCTATGGATTTAATTGTAATGGTATTTGGATTGCCATCTCTTCTCCAATTGACAGAAGATCTGAGATCTAGAAAACTTAATCATCTTCAGGGAATTTCAATATTTTAGAAGCTTTGAATATTGCCTTTACTTAATCTCCCAAAAATAACTTTAATTTTCTATTGATTTTATAATAATATCTATTAGATTTTCTATTCTTAGCAGCAATAGCCTTGTAGGAATTGAATACACTTTCTATACTTAAATTTTCTTTTTTTAAGAAGCTTGATTTCATCTGCTATTTAATTTGTTCAGCCACTTCTATCAAAGACATCTATTTTAAAGATAGTTATTTAGAATAATGAAGAAAATTGGTTTCCTTATCTTTTTCATTGATTCCAATAACTGGTTTAGGAGTATAATTGAATAAAATCAATTAATCTCGATCCAATAGAATCTACTTTAGTTTTTCAACCTGGTGAATTCTATTTAATATTGAAAATACATCCAACTCTTATCTAACACTATTTAATGATTTTTGTAGTAAAAATAAATGACTATCTGTTTTATAATTGGCTTTCTTACAACACATACTAAATAAAAAGTATTTTAAATTTAAATTGATTGATTTTTTTGTCATAATTGTCTATTGAAAACTTGATAATAGAAAATGTTTTCTGCTCTTGAATTTATATTTCTCCATAATCTTTTTCTGTTCTTCAACAACCTTCATCACTCTTTCCTTATATTGTGGGTCCTCTTCCATAGAATCCTGCTTTTCTTCATTCTATTTTGCTTCATCAGCTTTCCTTCTCTTTGTTTTAGTTCCTCCCTCCTATTAAGTTTAGGCACTAACATGAAATGGATCTACTAAACCAGATCCTCTTGTTCCTTAATCAGATTCTGTATTGAAATCATAATCGTAAAGCCTATTAGAAATTTCCAAATAAACTAAATACTATTTTATTATTACATTATGTTCTATTATAATATGTTATTATTACTCCAACAATAGAGATTACTGATTATGATAATCCACCTATTTTTGATAATAAATCAGTTATAGTCTAATACTCTCGATTGTAATTAGTAGAGAAATTACTGCGCATGAACACAATGCGTGTCCAAATATTATCATTCTTTCCTTCATATAGTTATCTGAAGGAGTTTGTAGAAAATACACTCAAGTTCTCATCATCTAGTAATCCTCTAATATGATTTGGCAACACTACTCTATCTTTAGCTATCCTTGGAAATCCTTTGTGATGTGCTTATCAAAATGGTAATCAATTCTCTGTAGATCTCCTGGGTTTAATTGCAAACTCATCGAATTATCCAAATAATCTTCGGCCACAAATTCGTTATTGAATGGATTTATAAACTATACCCATTAATAATTATCATACCGTATTCTTTGTGATAAATTGTAATTGAAAAGTTTCATTTTCCTTCATCTCTTAACATGTTTTTCCCCAACTACTCAATCCCTCGCATTTACCCACATCGATCACTAAACTCTTAAAAGATTAAGCTATATATTATTGAATAAACTATCTACAATACTAAGTGCCTTCTAATTGAATAGAGAACTAAGAAGTAGGACACAACCACATCTCCATTTAATTGGATTCAAGAAATTTCAATATCTTATCAGAGTTAACAAGACTTGTGAATTGTTCCAAAGTGCATTATTATAATTCAATGCTCGAATTGCTCCTTTGATATCTATGATTCACTGTTATATCAAAGGATGGAGAATTGTAAAAATCCGCTTGATTGACTCTAATTGCAAAAATGAAATTGCTTTGGTTGAGTTCTAATAAATCAGGATCATAACCAAATTTAGTCTATCATTATAAAGTGAATTATACTTCTTATGTAATTTATATACCTCTTTAGATGGTGTATCCAATGATCTCATTAACGCTATAGATGATGAGTAAGAGTATAATGAATATTGATATGATTCCTCCAAATGAACTTTTATATTTTGTGTTTAAATCAAGGTTTAAGTTGATTGGCTACCCAAAAATGTCCATCTTTCTAAGTACTGCATTATAAGAAATTGGTATTACTTTAAGTTAATTGTGACATTGCGACACTTTACAAAAATGCAAAATATTTAATTTATATATGTCTAACAAATATGTATATCAAAAATCATTTAATGGTCCATCAAAAACTATTTTTTCTAGCGTTTGACGTGATTGTTGTTCATGCTAAATTATATGTAAATGCAATTAATGTACTTTGATTTCTTCATCAACCATTCTATGCTGCTAATCAGCTTGTTTGATATCTACACTAGTAATCAATTAATCTTAATTAGGAATATATCGATTAGGAATATCTAAATCTATTAATTTATCCTATTTTATATATGAAACTTTTATGTACCCAATCAAAGTTTTCAAACCATTGATGTCCTTTCAGATTTGCAAAGGAATTTCCTAATCTAACTTCAGGAATTCTCGAAAGCAACCTAATTCAAAATCATATGATTACTATTCTATTAGCTTTTTGGCCTTCTTCTCTTTGAAATACTATGGGTATATGATATCATTCTTAATTATCTACTCATAAATTTCATACGGATCTTCAGCATCTTCACCAAATGGTACTTATCCGCAGAGGAATTCAAATAAACAAATCCCAATAGACCATAAATCAACTAGATTATTGTACCCTTTGCCACAAATCACTTCAGGTGCCATATCTGAATAATAATTATAATTTTACAATATGGAGTTCCAATAATTGTAAAAGTTCTATTAAGTTCAGATTTTGAAGAGAATGGCTTTGCAATTCCAACATCAATTAATTTTAAGTATCCTTTTGAATCTACCATGAAATTTTCAGGTTTAATGTCACGGTGTATTATTTTTTATTTGTAGAAGGATTCAGCAATTAATATCATGGATGCAATATACAATTAAGAATCATAACTAGAGAGTAACCCTATTGATTAATTAATAGATGTTGTACCAATGTCACGAATTACATCATATAATTCTTTGCCATTCACAAATTCGAGGAGTAAGAACAGATCATAATCATCCTGGAAAGTTCTATAAAATTTAATAATAAAGGGGGATTGCAAGGATTCAAGTATTTACTTTTCTGTTTCAAAAAACCTAGTTAGCAGAGATAGTGTACCTTTCCAATTAGTATGATTTAATATCTAATTTGTTATAGGTTTTTAATGTGAAGAGTTGCTGATTGGATTTGGCCTTAACTAGATAGACAGGTCCAAATTGACCAACAGCTAATTGCTTAATAAAAATTAAATCTGATTTCTTAATGGATGCATAATTATTCTATTTAATCTGATATTTCATTTTCTTATCTTGAGACTTTTCATTCTTTTTAATGACTTCTTCTAGGAATCCTCCTATTGAATCAATGAAATTTTCATGACTCATTTCTGCCAATACTCCATCTGTTTCCATCACAATATCATCATCCAATCTGAAAATATAAGATATGGTTATACAATTTGTTTTTATTAATAATAAGAAAGTATTCTTCTCCCCATACCTATCCTTTCGTTGCAATCACTATACCTGACTTGTTCTTCTTCACACACCCTTCTACTACTACAATAATCTTCTATTGGACTGATGTTCCTTTCTTCATAATTATATCACCAGCTCTATAGAGTGTTAATTTGAGTTAATTAATAGTCTTCTCAATCTGGGTCTTTGTTAACTTTTGCAAAAGAGCATTCTTTTCAAATGCCCATTTCAATAGATTTCGAAATGTTACAATATGGATTTAATCTCCTAATAATTTAGTTAATGCATCTCTTCCAACAACCAAACAAGTTACGTCATCTTCAGCCATAACAGACATCTATCTTATAGTATTATAGAATAGTGATTGCTCACCAAAGGTATCACCCTTGTGTAACTTCTTTATTTCCTTCCCATTCTTGGTTACCATTGCAGTACCCTTAAATCATTTGTATATAAATTACATCTTTAATTATGTAGAAGGAAGACCCTGGATCTCCCTCAGTGACTACCATTTGCTATCTATAAAATTTAAGGGTTTTTAAGATTGAGGCAATGGCATCCTTCTATTCATTTGTAAGATCATCTATATAGATTAATTTATCTTTATTTACAAAAAAATCTAACATTTTCTAAAAACTTCCTGTTTTCTTCATATTCTTGTAATATTTTGTCTTCCACAGCCCTTCTAAAACTCACTCTATCTATTCCAAAGAGAAAACAATTCTCAAAGCATTTTACTGATGCAGATCTAGGAGAAGTGTATAACAAAGCCAACTCTCCAAAGCCTTCACCAGCTCTAAGTTCTCTTTTCGGCTATGAACATATATATATTTTGAATATCAATACAATATCATCGACAGTCACTCCCATACTCCCACGATGGATTATGAAAAAGCATTGAGCCTGATCTCCTTGTCTGAAGAGGTATGTTCCAGACTGTGCTTCACAATAGAACATCTTATTGGCTACTTAAGTTCTACTCATTTGTATTAAGATAATTACAATTCTTCTTCACTCAAATTGTAAAATATGAAATGAAGTTTGAGAGATTGGATGATGAATGATGTCTCATTAAGTCCTTGTTTGAACTCTACAATCTTCATGTTCTCTGGTAAATTCAAATTATTGAATTTCTGGTCTTCAGAATCCTTGATATTCACAGAAAATACATTTGCTTGTATAATTTCTTCATCATTTTTCTGTTCATCAATATCCATTAAATTTAAAAAATAAGTCAATCAAAATACCTCAATTTATAATTCTTTATTATATGTATATATGTTTAAGAGTATATTGATACTACGAATGATTAAAGGAATTTCTGATTTTATTTTAGGATCCCAACTTACTATATATTTGTATTCTCAATTAAGAACATGATTATTCATCAAATAATAATATAATAAACATATTAAATATGTTTGTTAATAATTCATTACTCTAAGAATGCATTTTCAATGAACAATTATTCCTCTTCAAATCCAATACCCTCCTTATTGTCATAGACCAACAATAAAGTTGGAATCTACTTAATCTAAATCACTCTGACACTCTAGCAGGGCTATTTGGAACTTTCCATCTAATTAAATGAATATTAATTTACGTTTCCTTATCTCCTGTCTAACTTCAATAAACTGAGTATCCTTTCTATAACAATTATGGAATTGCATAATTTTTTATGGTGGTTTCAGCATCAACAGTGTCAGAGCACCATAATTAACCAGTTTCAGCTAGAATGTCTCCAACAAAGATCAAGGCTGCCTTTACTTCCTTATTGACTTTTTTAGAATAAGTAGATGTTGTGACTTAAATAACTTATTCCATTAAATATATGATTAGATAATAATCAATAATCTCAGCTGAATATTTGGTGTTTGATACAATCGATCTCATCAAGAAAGGCCAATATAAACAATGCGTTGCAAAAATAAATAGATTGGTATTTGATCCTTAATTGGTCAAAGGATAGCCATAATTTCTACAATTGCAAATCTAATTATGTCGTCGACTGTTATATTGCTGTAACAAAATCCTTAAAAAGTAAGACCTGCTCATCATAGTAATAGATACTTTCTAAAATATTCAGAAAAATCACACAAAATTCAACCGTTACTTAATCGATCGATTGAATTGAATTTCCATTACATTGAATTTTTGGAAACCTATTAAAAAGAGAATGGTAAATTTGATGGCTCTCCTCTTGCATCTCCATCTCCAACAATAAAAAAAAAATAACTTTTTAAAGAACTCTATGCAGAATAATTAAGTCTGGCTCATAAAATGGAAATGTTTTTCTCGTAGGACATCGTCAATAACTATGTTCAGAAATCCAACATTTGGTTCCAAGATCATTGTTAGAATTGTTATATTCAACTTCTAGAAACACTACTTAATGCATATAGATATCACAAATCTAATAGAACACAATATCCGTCTCTCTTTCTACATCTCCTAACCCAATTAATTACTTACTCTAACAAATAGAATACAAATAACCACAAAAATCATAAGTTCTCTCTCTTAAAAGGAGAAGTTTATATTCTCCTAGGGAATGCTTACTTCGAATTGAGTATTAATTATTTACTTATGTTTAAGATGACCATTCAAAGGCTGAATACAATTACCTCTCTTCATTAGACGAAGCCATCGTATCTGTTAGAAGTCTTTTAGATGACATTGAGAAATTGAAAATTAATGTTGATTCACAAATAGTCAAGATCCAACTATCAAAATTGATCAGCCAAATAATCATAAGTTTAGATTTATAATCACTTATCAACCAACAGATTGAACATTACAATCGTTACATTGAAATCCATTAGGTCTCACAATTATTCAATAAAATCCTGATATATTTCAATGTTTGCAAAGAACTCTAACAACATCTAGATACTAAAGCCACTGAAATCAAAGACAATTACAAAGATCATGTACAAGAAAATACAGAGATATGCAAATTACTCTCCTTGATATTCTAAATTCCATTCAAACAGCATCCTCCAAATCTTAATTCTACTATTAATTTAGAATAGCTAACTCAAACAGATCAATATTAACATAAATTGTTTGATAAATATGATTATGCTACTAACAATACGATCTCTTTCATCAAGAATAAGGATTTACCTCCTAAACCTAAAAATCAAACATCATAATCAATTTTAGAAAATGCAGGCGTGACTTAATAATACTTCATTAGAAATCAATCAATAAAGAATTTTAAGTTAAAACACAACAATTCTTAGTAATCCATTGAATAATCCTCTACCAATTATAATGACAGTCAAATCCAAAATAAAATCGATTAAAGTAGTCTGAGTTAAATAGATACTTCCAACATCTCTAAAATTAAATTTGGATAGACTCCAAAGACAGCACATAGATAGAGTTTCTTGAGTGAATTAATTCATCTCAGGAATTAGGGTGTAAAAACTGATAAATCAGTTATCTAGGAGACAGATGTTGAAAGAAATCATCGTCAATAAAAAGAGTTGCTATAAAAGATTAACAATAAAAGTAAACTATATTTATACAAATTAGATTTCTATCAACCATTAGATTAAGTCGTTCATACATACATCAATGAAAATCTTACGAGTCATTAAAAGTGCCAATCACTTGAAGAAGTTAAGTAAAATGCCAGGATCATTTGTCAAGCGGAGGCAGAAGTGCATAAGGAAGTACCTATAACTAAGAGTTTGCTATATGCTAGAAGGATGACATGTCCTTAAGGAGTGTTGGTAAATGATTAAAATGCAGAAAATGAATTCAATAAGTTATTGGAGTTTAATGTTATTGAGTACTTTGATTTCGTTCAAACCAATAAAGATTAGGCTGTTACTAATTTAAAAGCATAATAAGAAAATTAACAAGTCAGAATAGCTTAATAAAATTTATTCTCGGAAAACTTCATTCCCAAAAAGAAGTTGAATTTTATTGAGAATGAAGAGATCAAGCAATTAGAGTAAGCACAAGTGATTGCATAACAAGCTGAGAATCTGCTAAAGAGGACTCAGGATAAAAGGAAATCCTCTTCAAAGTAATCTCGGCTTTCCATTCTGTCTTTGATGTCAGAGAAAGCCTTTAAGAAATAAGAATCCGTTATTGTTCCCATTACTTAGGAACAAGTGGTGGAGAAAGCTCGAAATTCAATTAAGCACGTAATTTCTCTCAATGAAAAATAAAAAGAAATATTCGAACAGGAGGATCAATAATTAAAGGAAGTATTACAATATGATCAATAATTTTAGGCAGAGTTGCCCTATAAGTTTAAGAGATCTCTTTCTGGGAAGCATAAATTAAAGCAAGAGTGCAAAAGCATCTTGATTAAACAAGAATTCGGCCATCTCTGTTCATCGACTAAGAACATTAGGGAGAAGGACTTTAGTATACTCAACAATAATAATAATAATGAATAAAAACTAAAAGGAATAATCAGTTTAGAAAAGATCAAATGAATAATAATATAGTTTTTATTAATATTGTTTCAAAATGGTTGACTTAACTATTTAAGTTATCTAGAAAATTGTGAAATTTCTTATTAAGTGAAGATTTTCACTAGTTTATTGGAGGAGCAGTTTTTGCATCCATCACATTTGCAATTATCAGAGCATTCAATGCCCATTTAATAGCATTCACAATATTTCTTTTTGCAACCACTTTTTCTGCAATTACATCCCTAGAATTATATCTCTAAATTACTTTAGAATGAGCCAATTTGTAATCCAATTCCTTTACTTTCTGATTGAATGCTTCTGGATTTCTTTCTACCATTTTCTCTCTATATAGATTTCTCTCTATTAGATTTGAACTGTTATTAAAACATCCGCAACAATTACATTTAGATGAACATAATTTATTAGCTGCAAAACAATCGCAATATAATTTAAGGCATTTGCTCTTCTTACAATTACAAGGCTTAGTTTCTTCAATCCTATAATAAAATTTAATTAACAAAATAAATTTTATTAAGTTTATATTTTGAATATGATATTTGAATTTAAAATATAATTCTTTATATCGTATTGTTATTATAAGACATAGAGGGTACTTACTCTTATTTTTAATTGTTAGAATTGGTTTGAAATAAATTTTAAGCCAAGTTATTAAAATTTCCGATTTAATTCTGTGATTAGAACTTTAAAAATGATTTTTGTTCTGAATTACATAAGGAAATATTTTTTGTTTACGGAGTTCTATAATAATTAGTTTGAAAACATACTAAAAGTTGCTTTTGTTTAGAGTTTATGGAAATGTTATCTCATTACTCTAGAATATTTTCTTAAAAGGTGGAGTAGATAAATTTAAGTTCTTATTTGTTTCTTAGGACTCAAAGAAGATAGTATCACAGTTTTTATAAGACATTGACAAACGTATTTAAATTTTTAAAATTAAAATCAAATATTGGCAGCATTAAATGTATAAATACATCAGATAATATTGAGATTCATTCCATTTATTTTTATAATTTGAGAATCCTCTCATAAAGCTAATTGTATTTCATATCACCCAAATTCGCATATTCTCTGGACAGATTAGATATGGATTCAAATCGGCCAAATTTACACTCAAACATATCTAATTTCTAAATAATATCATGCTTTTGAGGAACTAATTAAGCGAATAATTTCTCATGATTCACCTAATCAGAATGATTCTTACTTCCTTTGATTTAATCTTCTACAAAGCTGCCTTGAAATCGAATCCCTTATCATACACTTGTTTCCTATTTCCTTCTTACTTAATCTTATCTGACAAGGTATCCTACACCTTAATACAAAAACAATACAGTTGTTTCACATAATCATATTCAATCACTAAATTACAAAATGATTTAGCCTCACTCAACAATATTTCATAGGGCTAATTAAATTGTTTTTTAAATAAACATTATATTTGATCGACCTCCTACAAATTCCTACTCAGAAACTGTTTTTCAATATGTTCCTGTAAATCACTACATTCTTTAGATTATCTTACCATAAATCGAATTGTTTAATTAGTAAAATTATCTATCAACTCAGAGTGATTATTCAAGATATAAAATACCTAATATTAAAATGTTAATTGTCTCAACTTCTGACATTCCAAATCTTCAAAGATTAATCTCTCTAATGTTTATGGAATGTAAGATTTCAATGTTTTGATCAAGTATTAAGTTCCCTTAAACAATTAACTCAATCCCTATTGTGATAATTTAGTTTTACTTCAATGTTTAATGGCAGATTTGTTAGGTTATATGTGAAATTCATAAATCCAACAAATTTCTATTCTTGATCTAAGAAGTGTTCTAATTTGCTATTCCCTTTCCAAATTTGACAAGTGTATTCGAATGTCAAAACTAACTTGTAAATGTATAACTTTAACTCAAATTATCTTAGGTCTTTCGAATCTCCATAACGCTATCTACAATTAGAGAGCTGTGTAGCCATTTAATGCTTTTCACTAGAAACTTCAGTATTTTAAGATCTTTAATGGGAATGGATTTTGACTTAAGATTTGGCTAACCTCATTTTGACTAATTTATTAATCCTTTCAAGGTTCTAATCCTTCTATAATAAAGATGATAGAAATTATTATTAGTTATCGAAACTACGTAAATGAGATTACATTTAATTACTAAATGATTATCTCTTTTCAGTAGACTTTTGACTTTCCCTATTGTGTAATTGAATTAATCTTATTTTAGTTTAATTAGATAACAACCCTCCAGAATTATCTTAATTTTGAACTTGTTTCTACAAAACTAATTTTCTTCTTTTCATAATACGCACTTACCCAATAGGAATTTAATTGTATTCAGTAATATTCTCAAAACCATTTATATGGGAATTGGAATATTTTGTTATTGATTTAACCATCTTTCTATTTTCGCTTTTTGATCTGGCTATTCTTCTAGTTTAAGTGTTAAGCTAATATTCCGGGGTCTTTTAGATAATGTCTTCACCATAATAAAACTTTTAAGTATTCATATTCTTAATTATATAAATAGTTAGTAATTATATTGAGTGGTTAAATTAAAATTCAAGTGATGATGTCATCTAATCTTATATTTTAGATTAGGATTAATAAACTATAATATTGTAATCTATTGCTTATCATCAGATTGAGTGATTAACAATATCTTAGTAATCTTATAGTTCTTTTCTTATTTATATCTCTTATTTGACCTATCATTTTTTAATTTGTAAATAGAAATTAATAGTATTATAAAATAAATAAATAAATGATAATAATAATTCATATTATTAACTTAATCTACTTGATGATATTTTTATTGATCATCACCTTCATTGGAATGAATCTTAATGAGTATCTTATTGAAAAGTAATTGCTAATAATTTGGTGGATTAACAACCCATTAATACTAAACAATAACATAGATATGAAGATTCCTAAACTAAATAATAAGACAACAATCATTTCAGTCTCTGATGTTAGTTCATCTTTAGCTATTTGGATGAAATAATCAGAGAACAATCTTAATTGGAAATTGGTAGCATCTAAACCCCAATATATATACATGAAGTATTCTCTTGAAAACAACACATCCAAAAAATCATTAAGAAACTCCTATTTTGTTTCATTTTTATCAGTCAATCCCAAATTCTGAGTAGCCAAGAATGTTTGTTAGTACAATTGGATTAGTCCAACATCGAAAAACTTACTTAAATCATTTACTAGAAATCTCTGTTTGAACAATTCAGTTTGTGCATCACACCCTACAAGTAAACAAATATCATTTAACAACAATGAAGCCTTTTCATCATCTGGCAGATCTGTAGTGATACTTGTGAAGGGTTCCTAAACTAAATTTAGATAGGATTGAAGTATCTCATTCTTATCCAATTCAAGTAATTACAGAATCTTATTATTGCCTCTAATATTCCCATTGATATTTGGAGTATTCTCATTAACTTCGATATAATAGTTATAGAAAGTTTTGAAATTGTAACAGTCCCAATTGTTGATAAATTTAATGAACTGCAATCTTATTTGTATACCTGATAATGCAGTATTCACTATTGGATTTATTTGATTTGAGTAGTTGTTGTATTAGATTTAAAAGATAACAAAATAGATGATCAACAAAACAAAAATAATTGTTTACATTATATAATACATAGGTAGATTGAATTAATCGTCTAGTTTTATATTTTATGAGCCTTAAGTTTGGGTTTTTGAGACATCTTAACTCATTTCATAGAAGCTCTAGAAAAACTTACTATTGAACCAAAATTCTTCATTTTTCACATTTTAAGATACATATTCAAGTCTTTGCAATTCATCTTCAATATCTCGATTATCTAATCGTTAAAAGATCTGCAAAATCTATTTAATCTTGTAAATGATTTGCGCAAGAGTCAAAATTAACATGGCATAGAACACTAAAATACCTATGTAAAAGATATAAAAGACAATCTAAACCTGATTGTCAAAAGCATTGTTATATTCCTAACTGTTTTAGAGACATGTCTCTATAAATTGTTAAGTGATATCACAAACATCATTGAAATTCAAAAATAAGATAGATCTTGTGTTTATTTATGCGAATGTATCTAAAGTACCTTTTAAATAGAGAGAAGGATCACCAGCAAATGTTTTAATAGCCAAATAAAATAGTTAATTCATTATTTCATAGTAAGCAGCCTATGTTTAAATAACTTAAGTTTGAATTGAATAGACTTAATAATCTACGAATTTAAAGTCAATTAGTTTCTCTTCCTAGTAACTGTTTAAGACAGTTTTATAATTTTCATATAAATTGATTAGATTCTAACAATTTTCTTTGTAAATCCATAAGGTAAACTGAATTTTATCACTTGTTGTAATGGACACTTAAACGTCTTGATCAACATTAATGGATTGGTTATAGGGAATGAAGTTATTAAAATCTCTGTAAAAAACAGTGTGTCGACTGCCCTTCAATATGATGCCATAATAATCTAGGAATTCAGTCCCATAATAGAGTCTATTAAAACAGATATCTTGTTCATTTCTCTTTTGCAATAGTAAGATATAGATCACAACTAACCCAATGATAGATATACACATGTTCACCAAAGAAAGAAGCATGAATTGTTTAATTGCCGTTGGAAGTGTTTTCTAAGAAATAAAAACCAATAGGTCATCAGATGATTTAACAACAGTAGCAGTACTTTGTCTAGAATGCAATGATTTTATAACGTTGTCATTCTATTTTGATTTACTCCTACTTTTCCTAATATATTGAATTGATATTACTTTTTGATAATCTCCTTTTTATTGTCCTCAAAATGATCCTGGATTTATTGTTTTTATTCGTTGTCAAATTAGGTCAAGTCAATGAGGAGTCTATAATAAATGTAGTACTCCGAAGCATCGTCAGTGTCATATTAAATGGTTTACAAAGAAATTTCATAATCCACTTAAGAAATTTTATCTACTGATATTGAATTGACTGAAGCAACATTATATTATTCTAGTTTTTCTATTTGTTTAGAGAAATCTATGTCATTACAGATATTGCAAGACTTGCTATTGGATGATCGCATAAAACGACTCATAATCTAAATGATTTGATTTTAAAAGTAAAGAGGTTTAGCATTATTTGGTGAACTGTGAAAATAAATTAAGTTCTCTCTTAGTTATGGAATCATCTAAAATACATTAATTTAGTTTAGTTACAATTAAGACTAATTGATAATTAATTTGAATTTGTTATCAGAACACATAAGATTAAAGTTGTAATCCAATAGAATGATAGCATTATTCTTTGAATTAATTTTATACAAATAAGTTATCAACTGATATTTATTTAGATTCTATTTAGGGAAGTAGGGAAAGAGGATCATTTTAACGGGAATTATAGTATTTGCATCTGGACTGATCATGCTTTCAATTTGGGTTCCAATGATCTTCGATTTTCCTTTTTGTAAGTATTAATCTATCAATTTTATATGAGATGGTCTAAAAGAAGGGTGTAGTATTTGAGAGACTGAATTAAGGACGAAATGTTCATCTAATTCCAGAAATTATAATTATTTTGATGTTATTTTTGAAGTGATTTCTCCTGATTCTTTCTCATTCAATGATGCAACCAAACTGATTGCAAAATTTGAGGTAAAGGCTATGTTTGTGAATTCATCTTCTCTATATATTTCATTCTAAATTATTTCATCTATTCTGATTTAATTATCGATTTATTCTCTTAGATTCTAAGTCAGAAAAGATATCAAATGACAAATACGAAGTGCAAAGATGTTGTTTAACTTTTTGTTATCATAAATTTTGAGATCTCTACTCTTTTTAATTAATTCTTGAATTGTCTCCTTCAATCTATATAAGGAATCGTAAAGTTTCTAAAAGTTCTGAATGCTCAGCAACTTCAACGATTCGTAAAATTTGTATTTCTCCATAATTACCTTCTATAATTCCTATTGAACAATCAAGCCTTCAAATTTCAATAATCTCATTTCTTCAATAAATTTTACTTGTTACTTCTATTGCATTTCTGTCTTCAACTTCTCTTGCAACACTTATTCCAAATAATGAAAGATTTCTAATACATACCCATTCTAAACATTCTTCTTTTGATTCAATATCGTCTAATGCGCTTGAATTGTATTATTGGAAATATCAATCAATATCAATATAAACTGGAGTGCATTCTCCTCAGTGAATTTCTAAGATAATAGATTCTTGTAATATAGATTGATGATTTAACTGATTTCTTTTTCGGACAACTTACGTACATCCTGTTTACATGGACACCTCGAAAGCAGACAATGCATTAGATGCTGTCTATGCAAGTACAAGAATTCTACGGCTTGATTATGATTTGATCGGTAATTGAGGTATCCATAATAGTATTATTAGTAGAATGATACTGATTAATGATTTGTAAACAGTAGTGAATTAGCTTATTAATTAATCATCGTCTAAAAGGATTAGGTAAGCTAAATTATCAAAGTAATATTACTGTAAGAATTAGCATAAAATCATATATCATTTAATCCTGTCCTGTCATTTAAGAATATGAGTTGGCTATAATATAACTTATAATTATTGAATATACTCTTATCTCCTAGAAGTATAATTCAGAATGGTTTATCACTATTTCGCCATATAACCATATGATCATGTAAACAAAGTAAATTAGACTAAAATATTGCAAATAATAATTGATTTCGAATAATTTAGAGTACAAGATGACCTACTATATAATCAATATATTAAACAGTGCCAATTTAGAAAATTGCTTATTTATGTTCAAAGACTTGAAGTGGATGTTCTAAAAGTAATAACTTTGTGTTATTCCAAATAAGAAAATCGAAATTGTGTTCAGAACACATATTGCTATCTTTTCAGTTTCATTCATGTTCATTGAAAAATTTGCAGAAATTATTTAAAAAGGAATCAAAAACAATCGATCATAATTACTTAGTAATAAGCGAAAGAATACCGCAGTATTTGCTTTCAAATTAAAATAAAAGGTAAACGATAAAATTATGCCAAATAAGGCTATGTTACACACTGTAACGAAATAAGGGCTCAACTCACTTAAAATTGAATTGTAAATAAAAGTTAATATTGGTATTTCGGAATCGCAAATTTAAGATTCAATCATGAAAAGCTCAATCAAGTAAATAGGAATGATAAAGTATTGAATTACAAATAATTCTGTTGATTAACTTTGAGAATCATAACATTAGACCGATGCCATAAACCCTCTGTATTTTTTTATGAATTTCTCACTCATATCACTAATTATCATAATTTTAATAAATTATTCATCTAATTTTTACATTCAAACAATCATTTATTTATACATTTATCTGTACAAATAGTACCACTATTTAATAACTTATCCCTTTTAGAGTGGCATTCTATTAGGTAATATACTTTTTTTATATGAAATAAAATAATAATAACTATTATTGCATTAACTGAAATAATAAAAATAAATTCATATCTCACCTCTATGTTTCTTATTTATCAGAATAATTTATCATTTTTATGGGTTTTCAGTAATCAATTTGTTAATGTTAACAACATTATCTAATTATTAACTAAAAAGTCTCTCATTCTTCTAAACTTCTATCTTATATTTATGAATCATCACACATCCATCTGTTAAATTATAAATAGAATCAATTCAACATAAAACCATTAATTTCAAAATAATATAACTTTTAATAATCTCGACAAATTAGCTCTAAAAATTTAAAAAACAATTCAAACTTCTAATCCTATCTTCATAACTTAAATTTTTTTATTATAATATAAATTCAATTCTTAAGTTTTTCTTTTGAGAAATGTGAATCTAACATAAAGTTAAAATTTAAATAAAAATTACAAATATGTTATAGATATAAAAAGTATAAATTCCGAAAAAACTATGGTACATTTGATTCTTGTTTGTTGAATTCAGTAAGTTCTATTTTCGTTTCATCTCTTTTATACCATTGTAAGAGTGCATAATTTGAATTTGAGTCAAAATATTAATTAATACGAGGTAATATTGATAGTTTCATCTAAAATTATCTAGATCTAATAAGCACTAACCTTTTCTTTTAATTAATATAACCTTATCAATAAGTTTTTAATATTTATTGTTTAATTATGAAAGCAAACAAAATTCAAAGAATATCAAACAGAATCAAAAAGAAAACTATTTAAGCTTTGCTTTACATTTCAGAAGATGGATTTGATATCACAAAAAGCTCCTTTTTTAATTGTCTGAAAATGATAGTGTATTTTCTATAGTTGGAGGGATATGTTTTTAGTTAATATGAATCAAAACCCTTAACATTGAAAGAAAACATTTACTTTTCCAATTATACACAATTATCTGCGCTTACATTTATTCTTTTTGAAATTGGGAATGATCTCTTAACATAAATATTTTTTTACCTAATATTTTTCTTGCATTTAATAATATACTTACTGCTTGCAATATTATCATTAGACAAATCCATCGAGAAAGCAGGAATAACAAAAAAAATGCTAAACTTATTTTTTACTAATTATTAATGGATATTTGTGACACCTTTTTAAGAAATTAGTGTTGGAGTAATGGTTTGCGGTAAGAATGCTTTTATAAAATAAAACCAATTTTCGTAAGACTGTTAATAAACTAAAAGTCAATTTTTATATATTTTTGGAACAATATCAACAATCTTTGTATTTATATCTGGCTTTTCAATTTCTTATTTTTTTAGAAATTATTAATTCAATGATAAAACTTTTTCAAGATAATTTAATTATGTAACTATCCTAAGAATATTGCTCCATTAAATTGTTATTATATTATATTACATCAATTTCAGTAGTATTGACTATGTAAAACACGTAGCTTCGCAGATAATAGGATTAACACTAATTTTCGATATTTTATTTAATTAGCCATTTGGGCACTCCTTTGAGTCTAAATTTTATAGTGCAGCAACTCTAAACCATCAATGTCTATTGTTATTGACTACAATTTGGATCTTTAGATCTAAACAAAACGATGAGTTTATTTTTTTGGCTTTCCTAATTTTTATTCCAGTAACATTAAATTGTATATTTAGATTAATACATTTGTGTCTAATCAATTTTTAAGATTGAAATAATTGGAAATTTATAATTCTTTTAATCCTTTTGTATTTTAGCGTAGATTTGATAAACAATTAGAGGAAATATATCGAGTGGCAGAATTAAGTGAGTCTAACGTAGAATCCAAATTATTAATGTATTTGATTTTCAAGAATCACATTTCTAATTGCAAAGACATTGAATGTTTATGTATGCGAAATACACAATCATTCTTCATTAATAACGCTATCAATAGTAACAAACTGAATCAGTGGTCAACCATTTTATTTTAAAAGCAATTAAACTTTGCTCTAATTCATAAAGATTTTGGTGTATATGAACATCTTTCATTGAAATTTGTTACATTTCTAGCCAAATATTAGAACAACCCTATTAATGCTTACTAAATATTGTAAAAGATTATGAGGAGCCAATAATCTTAAACTTAGTTGTCTCAAAATAGAAGATAAACTAAAACTTCATTTTATTTCAAAAACATTTAATAGATACTTTTGAGGCGCAATCGAAAATAATTCATGAGTCAACAAGTACATTGTTCAAAGAAGGTTGAATCCCTATTATAAGGATAGGCCTAAATAGAAAATATTGGTTCTTAAATGTAAGAGGAATTGTTAAAATTAGCAATGGAAAAGTAAAAGTTTTGGGAGAACTACGTCAATAACAAAATAGGATCAATTTAGCTATTAGATTAAGCTTTGGATAGAGTTTAACAAAGGATTAATCAAGCAACCTATATTGTTTAACAATTGAGAAATAAAATACGGCACTTAGTTAGTTATAAGCATGATTGTGTTAGTATTTTAAATTTTGAGTTACTCTATAAGATTTGCACAACAAATAATGCTGAAGAGATTTACTTAATCCAGTAGAAAATCAAATCAATTTTATTTGCCGACTAATATGAGGATGAAACCTACTTGAATCTCCACTTTCAAACCAAAGAATGCATATCTTTAATAGCAAATGTTTCATAACACAAAAGAGGTGAACTTTGGAAGCCAAATCAGGCTGTTATACAGAAGTTCTTTCGAACAAATAAGGAAGTTAAACATTTAAATGATTTGTTGCCACATTTCATAGCTGATATCCACAATGGAATCATAGAAAATTACATTAGATATGGCAAAAGTTCAAGGAGTGAGGCAATCATATCAATTCTTGCCACTGTTGGAGAAGAATATATTTAACCAATAATATTCACTCTTAGGTTTTTTTTCCCCAAATTTGATTCTGATACTGACTTTTACATGATAGGATTTCTAAAGAAGGATGAAGAAGCAAATGAAAATATTTAAAAGGAAAAGAAGGTCCCAGGATATATTTGTTTTGATTAAAATCTAAATGTATTAGCTATTAATTCTGTTGTTGCCAATAAATTAAATCTCAAAATTTAACCCTTTAATAATTATAACGGATTAGATATTTGTACTTTATTGCCCACAATTCTATCTTCATTAATTAATTAGTACAAGTAAATCTTAAGTGGAAAGATTGATAACTTAATTGATAACGAAATGATTATTTCAAAAAATTAGGAGTTATTCTATGTTCCTATTGAATTCTCAAAAAATTATAAAATCAATCCAAATGATTGTTTAGAAGATAAAATTAGAAAATTTGAAGAGATTTATGCTGAAACAAGTGAAGATTAATGCCAATTCATGAACAGTTATCAAGTGGATTATCAAATATTTTCAAAGAGATTGAGGTATTTTGATGAACATTCAAACACTGTTCATTTTAAAGAATACTTTATACTGAAATTAAATTTCTTAGAAAATACTGGTTCTAATGATAGTTAAAATGGAAGGGTTTATTAATAAGATAAAAGTTTATTAACAGAAATAAATGATAATAACCTAGATGGAATAGTAGAAATGGCATCTAACAGATCAAAATCAACTACAAAGTCAGTACTATAATAAATACAAACATTTCACCATCTCTTATCAAATCTAAACAAAAGTAAAAATTAAAGATTGTTCAAAATCATAAACATATTTTTTTTAGTCTTTTTTGTTTTTACTTTCACCTCTATAAGTCTTACTTTCAAAGATATAGATTCTGCATTCGAAGATTGTTAGAGTACATAAATTTCAATATTAAATGAGGCAGCAGTCTACTCTAATTTGATCAATAGTTTAAACAATCAAGGAATAGTTGATATAGCCAAACCTCAGCTTGACATTGACATTGATGATGTAAAACTAAGCATTTCTTATTTGCAATACCAATAAATTCTATCAGAGTTGATAGACTACACATCAAATAACTTTCTAACAGTGATTTAAGAGGTTGAGTTCATTCTGGAATTGCCTAGTAATTTCACTATGTAATTATACTCTGAGTTTGGCTAAGGAATAGAATATAATAAAATAGAAAATTTTTTAACCTTCAGATAAATACTATCTTAAAATATTCAAAACTTTAAATCGTTTAGAAAAAAGGAAGACTTGGGTTCTATTGTTTTAAATTATCTTAATTATATAGAACAATTAAAACTATTTACTTAGTCATGCATCGAGGATTTCAAAGTAGAAACCAACGAATCAATATTAAGGGCTTAAAATACCCTAATTTTTATGTATGTTACATTATTTTTAATTTATTTGTCACAGATTTTTATGGTAAATAGAATGATCAAGAGATATAAATTTATCCTAAAATTATTTGTAAGGACAGATTACAAAGAAGCTTTATTGGAGAATGAGAAATTCTCAATATTAACTTCATGGTTTAACTAAACCAAAAAGGGTTGGGATCAAAAGAGTATTTCAAGTTTATTGTAGTAACTAAATTTAAGTGTTAAGTCTTTAAAAGATGATGATGATATTATCAATGGGTTGACTTCTTCGGATAAGAGATCGACTGAGAAGGGGGAGAAGTTGCTTGAGAATAATGAGAAGTTGAAGATGCATTTTTCTCACAGATACCAAAATTTTACTGGTTACATTACAATAACAATTTTAGTGTTGTTTACTTTAATCTACATTTTGACTTTCCATATTCAAATAACCCAAATATCAGAAGAACTACTATATTTCTCTTCATTTAGTTTGTTATTATAGAATTATTAAATTAACTATTTGGTACAATATTTTCGATGTCAATATTACATGAATTATTAGTTCTATAATTATTATGAGAATGAAATAATGGCTGAGATATACAGACAGGATGATTTCACAGAGTAAGATCTGTAGGAGGATCTGCAGTAGTTAAATAAGAATGTGTTTAGTTCAATTTTAACAAATTCTGATGATGCATTGATGGATAGGATCTTGAATTTGAGTGAGGAGGAGTAGACTGAATTTTTTAAAGGAAATGTCTGTTAGTTGGATCAAAAGATCTGTGATGAGGGTTCTCGAAAGGTGTTGCTGAAGGAGGAGTTGGAGAGCTATTACAACACTAGTTTAAATCAGATGTTTTTGTAACAAGGACAAATCTTTTACGAGAATAATGAGATGTACAATATGGAAGGGTTGATTGGAGAGTACGTTAAAAATTTGTTGAATTCCAAGGAGTATTTCTTAAACAATGTTTGGGGTTTCGATATAATAATAAGTAGAGTGAGCAATTCGATTGTGTACTTTTAAAGTAGGATGAATGAAACAATTGAAATTAGTGAGACTACTATGTTTCTTTATGCTCTTGTGATTGGCTTATTGTACTTTTTTTTGTTGATGATGTTCATCTTGTTGTTTGGATGGTACTTCGACAAACAGGATCGGAAGAGGAGGCAGTGTTTGTTATAGATGCCGTTCTCAACTATTTTAAAGAAGAATATCTATTCTTGTCTAAAATTCATTGATTGATTATAATAAGTTTTATGTAATTAACTAATTAATAAAGATACGACATAATTCTTTATAAAGATTAAATCCATCCCACATATAAATTTAATAGAAAATGGACACAACTTAATACACAACATCTGTGAAGGAGTTGAATCAAAACTGGGTCGAAGCCTAATATGCAGTCCGAGGTCTGGTGCCAACGACAGCTGCAAAGATTCAAGAGGAGATTAAGAGCGGTAAGTAATATCCCTTTGATTCCATAACGGAGTTAAACATTGGGAATCCCCAAACATTCGGATAGAAGCCAATCTCATTTAATAGAAGTGTGTTGGCAGCAATGTTGGATCCATTGGTTCTTCAGCATTAATCTGAAGATGTCTAGAGAAGAGTGAAACATTACTGTGACAAGATAGGGTTCCAAGTAGGTGCTTACAGTTAATCTGCAGGGTATCCAGTTGTGAGGGAAGCCTTGGCTAAGTATGGATTGTTTTTCATCCATGAATAGCTTCATCCAAAAGAGAGATGGGACAGCCGAGAGACCGAACATCAACGATATCTTGTTGACTGATGGAGCATCAGCAGGAATCACGTTGATGTTCAATTTGTTGTTGAAGGATAACAAAGATGGAGTGATGATCCCGATTCCATAATATCCGCTTTATTCGGCAGTCATTACTCAATGTGGAGCCCAACAAATCCCATACTATTTGGTTGAAGAAAAAGGTTGGTCAGCTGAGTAGAGTGAATTGGAAGCCCAATATGAAAAGGCCAAGCAAAATGGGATAACTCCAAGAATCCTTGTGTGTATCAACCCTGGCAATCCCACAGGCCAGGTATTCGATAAATAGAGCATCGTAGAAATGATATAGTAATCATGCAGATATATTATCTAGATTTGCAGCACAAAAGAAAATTGTAATTTTCGCAGATGAAGTGTATTAAGAGAACATTTACGTGGAAAACAAGAAGTTCATCTCATTCAGGAAAGTGGCTCTTGAGTTGAATGCTAATGTAGAAATCTACTCTTTCCATTCCATTTCTAAAGGCATCACTGGAGAATGTGGACTCCGAGGTGGATACATGGAAATTACCACTAAAATCGATCCCGATGTCCATTTCCAAATTCACAAGTCCAAAAGTATAAGTGGCAATTATCTGTTAGCAGTGATGCTCTGTCCAAATGCCATTGGCTAATTAATGGCTGGCCTGATGGTCACTCCACCCACCAAAGAAGAAGGATGTTCAGATCTTACTATTCAACAATACAACGAAGAATGTACTTCCATTTTCGCTAGTTTACAGAGGAGAGCAGCAATCGTTACCTAATTCTTGAATGAGACCAAGGGAGTTTCCTGTCAACCCATTGAAGGAGCTATGTATGCGTTCCCAAAGATTGAACTACCAGGTTATATATATATATTTATTCATCCTTAGAAAAATTCATTTAATTTGCAAAAGAGTAAAATAAAGAACCTGATGTCGTTTATTGTTTGGATTTATTGAATGAAACAGGATTGGTGGTTGTCCCAGGCTCAGGTTTCCTCCAATATCCAGGTACTTATCATTTCAGAATGACAATCCTCATTTTACCAGAAGAAAAGCTACTTGCTAAAATGAAGATATTCAAAGAGTGGCATGAAACTCATATGTCTAAATTCCAATGATTTTAATTTATGGATATAAAAAGAAGAAATATTTAATATTCAAAACCATGTCCTGTTTATCTTCTGGCCTCTTTTGGATGTGCCACAACTCTCCTAAGTGAAATACTTTGCTACCCCCTTGAATACATCAAAGTCAAATTACAAATGAATGGAACTCAAGGTTGTCCCAAGTACAAAAACATTAAGTCATTGCTTGCTGAAACAACGTCCATAAGACAATATTATAGAGCAATCAATGCCTAAATGTTGAAAATCATACCCTATTCTACCACCAGAATATTCGCATATGAATTTATACGAACTGCCATTACAGGAGATATTGTAGAAACCACATTCAGAAGGAAACTCTCGTGTGCGTCAAGTGCTTATGCAATCGCATTACTGACTGGAAACATGGGAGACATCTTGAAGATCAGAATGATAAACAACCCAGAATTAACCTTGGTGTAAACAATATAGTAATCATATAATAAAACTGGGTTGGCTGGGTTTTTCAGGGGTTATTGGCTGAATGTAATAACCATCACAGCCATCTAAGCAGTCGAGATATCACTGTTTGAGAGATTTTAGAGATTCTTTGTGAAGAACTTTACTCAGGGAGACAACTCAATAGGCATAGATGTGCTCTCCAGTCTACTCACTGGAATAAGTGGCGGAGTTCTGACTGCTCCACTGGACGGGTTTAAGTCGAGATATATGAATTAGGTGATTGATCAATAGACCTATTGGAACACCTTCATTAGTTTGATCAAGGACGAGGGGTTGTTTGGGTTGTACAAGGGAACCTTGCCGTATTGTATAAAGTTGTCAATCGGATCCACTTTGACCTTTGTGCTCTATGAACAATTCAAGAAGCAAATAATTTGAATAATATATATTTATGTAAAGTGATTATTATGAGAGTGACAATTTCGAAGTTGTTCCAGAGGAGTACAATGAACGGATGGCACCCAAGGAGAAGGTCACTCTCAAAGAATAGATCGAATTTCTATAATAACAAACAGCGCTTCTCAAATAATCTATGGATTTGGAGTAGGAATTGCAAGTGGATAATCCAATTGCTTATCTGAATGTGATTGAGAATAATTTAGAATCTCTTAAAGTCACTAATTTATAACAGAGGATCCAATGTTTGGCAATTCTGGGATCGGGAGCTGAGAAATGTGTCACATTGAAATGTGTGCTGCCACAATCGGATAATTTGAAGCGTTTCCAATAGCTGGAGAAGTAGGTTCATTTATTGGAGACCATTGTTGGACAGAAGGGTTATTCATACAACTCAACCATAATGTAAGATTTGAACGAAGTGTAGTAAATTATCAACTCAATCTAAGGGGAAAACAAGGATATCAAATTAGCATTCACACAGAGTCTGCCTCAAATTGATAAAATCAATGAGATCTTTAGACAAGTGTAATTGCTGGTGGGAATAGCTGATTTGCTCCCAAACATCATTACGAAATTGGAACAACTAAAAAATGCTCACGATCAGAGCATCTAGTATTAAAATTAGCTAAAAGTACACAATATGATTTAGATATGTAGGAATTGCAAGTAAAACACAATAGGGTTTTGGAGTTGATATCGACTAACAGAAATAGGATCAAAGTTCTTTGTGCTAAACTAGCTTAGAAGTGAAAGATATATTATTGTTAAAAGACATTATTATGATATATATATTTATAAAGAGATTATATATAATAATAAATCATTACAATTATTATCGAAAGTAATTACTTAGACTATTATCCTTAATCTGATGACCTAAGTCAAGAGTTATCGATTTGTTCTTTCGATACATTACAAAATTATCATAACTGTATTTCATTGGCAAAGGAGATTGCTACCTTCCACTTACATAAGTTTTGTTGATCCTCTGATGAAATTGAGTCTTTCGAAATTGTTTTTGTTAGAATTCCTCGTAGTCCAAAAGCGAGGTTCTATTTGATAGATTCCCACTGATCCCAATTAGGGGATAGAATGAAAGCAAGTCATACAATTGATTACTATGATCAATAAATTGGTCTAGATTGATGCTTTATTGTCTTTAAGTCTTCCTCACAATAATTTCTTAGTGTTTGGTTGGTTTCGACATTAGCAATTGATTCTGAGATAGCTGATCAGATAGTCTCTTTTTGAATTCCTTCACGTCTGGATGAAAGTTGTGATGACAGTTATTTATAATCTGAATGGGTTAAATTATGCGGAGTGAAGTGAATTTGATTTAATAGAGCAATTTGAATTGTAACATATTGATCAATGTTACAATTATTAATTTATCAGTCAATACCATGTCTTTGAAGAGCAAATTGTAAAGATTGTCACCTTCATTGACAGAAATGTGAAAGTCTTGAGGATTGCGAATAGAAACTTACAGATGCTACTATGATTGAATTAAGATGCTTCTCAATTCTTGAATTTCTAATTTTCTTACATATTTAAGTATTGTTACTGAAGGAGAACAAGTATACTTTGGAGTCTTGTTGAATTTGTTCACTGTGAACATACTCACTTTTTCAGTAAACAATTGGATTGCCTAGATATACCCCATCTGTGTAGCAATGTGCATGACGGAATCTTGCGATGGTCCCATTCTCTTGGTATAGTCAAATTGATCTGGACGGCAATTCGCAAAACTCTATTTAAAATGCATGAACTTACTCGTAATGATGGTATTAACAATATTTCATGTATTGGAGCAACCCCTTTGGAATTCTTCTGATTGGCATTCTGATGTTTAAGCAATAACTGGACTATCTGCATTTGATTGACGTAATCTGCTTCACTCCTACATTGTCTCCGGAATACAAAATGCAATGGGGTATCTCCAATGACTCCTCTCAATTGAATGCAAAGAGCCTGACTCAGGATTTTCATTTCGTCTCTCCAACAGACCATGATTCCGCTTTCAAGCATGTGTTCAACAACTTCCACTTCTAAACGATCGCATGCCCACAGGAATACAAATTGAACCAGCAATAAGGTTGGATGCAAGTAGGATAGTAAGATCTTATAAATTCTGAATTGCTTATATTCACTTTTACCTTATGTTTAATTTGGCTGCTAGAATTAATGGTTAAGGATGTTACAATTTGGTCAAGCATTCCGAATGACTTTCACATATTGAAGGTATGATGCTGTGCTCATCGTATTGGATGGCCTTTATGAAAATGGTGTCGGTGAAATTCGAAAACACGTTGACAAATTAGCTGAAATTCATGTGGTGGTTCTCTCTCAACTACACTCCTATCTTCGAAGTTCTCAAATCAAATTGCTGAGCACTCAAGTCGATCAACGTGAACCAACTCAAAGAGAGTCGTTCCAGAGTGGGATGGTGCTGGTAAATTTGAAATGAATTATATTGGATGTCCAGACAGGTCAGGTTGAGATAAGAGAAATCTGTTGAGAGTAATTGATTGTCTGAAATCTCCAATGTGTGCAGTCTCGGCAATGGCACCTTTGGAAATTACGAGATTTGATTATGATTAAGGATCAAAATCTCCAGATTCTCCATCTGTATGATCTGATTTGGAATCCAAGTGATCTGGTTGTAACTCAAATTTAGATATTACACATTCATCAGAATTGGGAATTCCTTAAGATTTTGAGACTGCAATTCACCTTCCTTTCGAGATATTATATTCATTATTAATTTGTTTTATTATTCCCAATGGAAAAATGCCCTATTCACAAGGAAAACATCACCTATCTAGTATTGAAGCCAAACTCAGTTCAATTGGCATGTATTGAATGCAGAGATGACCTCATTAGAGAGGGACACAAATGGGAATCCTGCATTTTGTTATCCAAAGTATGCCATCTCATAAATCACGATTCTAGGCTCTCAAAATACCAGAAGTATTATTAAGCAAAATCAACATTGAACCCATCTTCAAAACATTCTTTTCCAAGATTATTTTGGTTTCAAGTGAGGAACTTGAGCTCTAAAAAAACCTATGGATCACAGAATTCAAAAGAATAATGGCAGAATTAGAGAAAATGATAACGGACACAAAAGATTTCTTTGATCATCTCTCTTAGACCCTTGTTCAATACAGAACGGATTTAAGGAGAGTAAATTTCTATTAATAAATAGATTATCAAATTTGAGACCTTCGAATAGCATATCAGGGGTAATCAAAATGACCAAAATTTCAATTAAGTTTCCTCCATCATCATCTATTAACATCGCCAGTAGACGATGGGATAAATAGAATAAAAAATTTAAGAATACATCAATTCAATCTCACAGGAAAGCAATTGTGAAAATAAACAAATTATCGAAGCTCTAATTTAGGATTATAGGAAGAAAATCAACAAGTAAGCCCTTTCTATTATTAATTTCAAGTGTCAAATTCCCACCTTCAACTGAAATATTAAATCTATTAACAAATAAATTTAAGACTTTCGAAATTGCTGTCGACAGTAGGTTCAAATAAGCCAATCCAAATTCTACATGTTCTTGTTTATTGTCAGAAATCAATTTTGAAAATATGAAAAATAGAATTAAGCAGAACTCAAATTCCGCTTATTCGCTGATTTACTAGGGATCGATTGATGGGTTGAACCCCAACAACTTTTGGACCAAAATCTCAAGCAAGAGCAATCTACTTATGATAATGAAAACAAAGAATAATAACTGTGTGTTTGGAGGATACTCCCCTTGTCAATGGTACAGGACTCAACAATCATAAGCTATGGCAGATCAAGAAGGCACTTCATTTATATTTGTATAAAGTCCCAATCAATAAATGTACTACTACCCAATCAAGAAGGAATACAAGCTTTAAGCTATCACTCTGAATCAAAATTTTGGCCCTACATTTGGCAAACCAGATCTTCAAATTTCTGCTGACTTCAAAGAAGGATAATTGAATCTAGGAAATTATTACTTTAGAGATCCCAAAGAAAATTAACTCAGCTTCATCTTGGGACCTAAATTAGAAGAAATCATCGAATGTGAAGTATTTTAATTATGATGCATTTTGAAAGCATAATTTAGATAATTAATTAATATTATTATGAATACTCAAACAAGTAAAATATAGAGTTCTTTAGAATCATTCAACAATTTAAACCACAAATGCATCTTCCTCATATTCTCCATGACTTGTTTGATTCTGTCCTTCTTGGCAACATCAATGCTACTAAACATGGGCCTCTCTTTAGAATGGCCTTTTTTAATAATTGAATATGCGTGATATTATCATGAGGACCTAAACACTTTTGGAATACCAAACTGATCAAGAACTGATACAAAAAGTAACTGATTTTATTACACCAGCAGGTTCAACTGCAATTCGGAGATTTTATAGTTGTAAGATCGTCATACTTGTACTTCAGATCCCTCAAAATCTCCTATTTAACCACTTGTTTTGCTTAGAATGCTTGAATCACGGAATCAGCCCCATCTGGTTAGACTCCAATTACCTTTGTATTTGGACTCATGGCTTTGCTGTAAGTAGCAATTTCTGCAGCAAGTGCTCTTTGTCCAACAAGCAAAAATATGTAATCTACATCTCTTTGGCATCTCATTAGGAATTTCAATTCCCTTATGTTGAATAATTCTTGTACAATTGTACCACAAACATGAATGGTTTTGATGTTGTCACTTGGATGTATGAGTATTTTTTTGTTCAGCTTCCTCACATTCAACCAACTGTTTTGATCTCCACATCTTACTTACCGTTTTTCTATTTTATATCAAGTTTCCAACCGTAAAAGACTTCAGGAATAGAAATCANTCTATTAACAAATAAATTTAAGACTTTCGAAATTGCTGTCGACAGTAGGTTCAAATAAGCCAATCCAAATTCTACATGTTCTTGTTTATTGTCAGAAATCAATTTTGAAAATATGAAAAATAGAATTAAGCAGAACTCAAATTCCGCTTATTCGCTGATTTACTAGGGATCGATTGATGGGTTGAACCCCAACAACTTTTGGACCAAAATCTCAAGCAAGAGCAATCTACTTATGATAATGAAAACAAAGAATAATAACTGTGTGTTTGGAGGATACTCCCCTTGTCAATGGTACAGGACTCAACAATCATAAGCTATGGCAGATCAAGAAGGCACTTCATTTATATTTGTATAAAGTCCCAATCAATAAATGTACTACTACCCAATCAAGAAGGAATACAAGCTTTAAGCTATCACTCTGAATCAAAATTTTGGCCCTACATTTGGCAAACCAGATCTTCAAATTTCTGCTGACTTCAAAGAAGGATAATTGAATCTAGGAAATTATTACTTTAGAGATCCCAAAGAAAATTAACTCAGCTTCATCTTGGGACCTAAATTAGAAGAAATCATCGAATGTGAAGTATTTTAATTATGATGCATTTTGAAAGCATAATTTAGATAATTAATTAATATTATTATGAATACTCAAACAAGTAAAATATAGAGTTCTTTAGAATCATTCAACAATTTAAACCACAAATGCATCTTCCTCATATTCTCCATGACTTGTTTGATTCTGTCCTTCTTGGCAACATCAATGCTACTAAACATGGGCCTCTCTTTAGAATGGCCTTTTTTAATAATTGAATATGCGTGATATTATCATGAGGACCTAAACACTTTTGGAATACCAAACTGATCAAGAACTGATACAAAAAGTAACTGATTTTATTACACCAGCAGGTTCAACTGCAATTCGGAGATTTTATAGTTGTAAGATCGTCATACTTGTACTTCAGATCCCTCAAAATCTCCTATTTAACCACTTGTTTTGCTTAGAATGCTTGAATCACGGAATCAGCCCCATCTGGTTAGACTCCAATTACCTTTGTATTTGGACTCATGGCTTTGCTGTAAGTAGCAATTTCTGCAGCAAGTGCTCTTTGTCCAACAAGCAAAAATATGTAATCTACATCTCTTTGGCATCTCATTAGGAATTTCAATTCCCTTATGTTGAATAATTCTTGTACAATTGTACCACAAACATGAATGGTTTTGATGTTGTCACTTGGATGTATGAGTATTTTTTTGTTCAGCTTCCTCACATTCAACCAACTGTTTTGATCTCCACATCTTACTTACCGTTTTTCTATTTTATATCAAGTTTCCAACCGTAAAAGACTTCAGGAATAGAAATCATACAGTTGATTTCGCCTTTTTGTTAATTAATTTAATTTGATCTACTTTAATACTCCTTTTTCTTTTTACACTATTCCTTCGTGAGAGATTGCAGAGATGTGAAGGCACTTCTCATCTTGAATACTTTTGTCAATTATTGATCTTCTCTTTTTAAGTAGACAGTTGCATGATATTGTTCATGACAATCTGAGTGACTTTTTGAGTTTAGCCTTAAATGGAATGACACTCTCTCTCATTTAATTATAATCTTAAGTGACGGAGGGATCAAATAAAATTATTTATTAATAGTGCAGGTATAATTACAAATAATAATATTAAATGTCCAATATATTGTAGAGAATGGTAACCAAAGAGGTCAAGAGGAGATAAGTGGAGAGTCGCTTATTGAACAGATCATAATAAACATTGAGATAACTCATTCCGGATTTGAAATCTCCTATTAAATCACCTTAAGTCTCAACTGCACTTGAGTAATTTAAGAGTAAATTTACAGAAGGCAAATACGTTTTTCAAATTGAATAACAAAGAAAAAGCTAATTAGATGAAGTGTTTTCGAGAGTGCAAATACCAATTAAAAGGGACTTCTTGGATGTATTATTGCAATAATTTGAAACTGAATTATGGAGAGTTTGTAATGAACAGAATCTCCAGTACTTAAGTGATCGATATCTGAGCTATCAATTATCAAATAACAAGTTTCTTAAACACCTTGTCTAATTTGTGGATGAGTAGAGAGAGAAAGCAGAACTTGCCTTGGGTTAATTGGCAGGCAAAGAATCTACGATTAATGAATTGTAAAGTAAGTATGCACAACTATAAATGATGTTTTAACAATTGTCTCACAACAAAGATGATGGATAGACTAAGCTTAATAAAAATGAGAGTGTCAAAAGATAGAAAGAATTATACATGGAGAATGTGAGATTGAAGAATGAGATTGAAAGAATTCAAGATAAATTAAAATAAATTGAAAATCAAGCGAATGTTCAGAAATTGCAGGAATAATATTAGGAATTAGCAAGAAAATCAAGTGAGAAAATTCATGAACTCTTGAATGAAAATTAAATCAAAGAGAAATAACTCTAAAAACTCAATCTCCACTATTAGAACATCAAATCCCAATATAATAAATTAGAAAATGAATCCAAAGCCTATTAAACTGTATTTGAAGCCAATAAGTAACATCTCGACAGATTGATTAAGGAGAACGAAATACATACAAATTTAATGAATAGATACAGAGAAATTGCCTGTATGCAGAGAGAGGACTTTGAAGTGAGAATCATGTATTACAAGGAAGAATTAAGTGTTGCATCCAAAGCAAAGGATAAGTTAATGTAATTGTAATCAAAGTTAGATCGATTCTAAATTGAGAAATCCAAAGACATAGAACCACTCCCCAATAATAATTATGAGAAGGAGAAGACAGGCTTGGAGAAATTCAATGATCTATTTAGTAATGATAAAACCTATCAGCGTTTAACATATTAAGCTCTGCAAGAGGAGAAAGGGAGAATAGTAACAAGAGTAGGACATTCAGTAGTCACTATGGAGTAACATTTCAATGCGTAGGAAATATAATTGGAGAAATTCACAATTGGATATTGTCCCTTTGTCAATTTAGTTGAACATCACAAGAAGACATTAGAACAAGAGTTCAGTGGATTATAGTATAAACGCCCAAATCTACAATTGCTAGTTACATTACGAGTTATTCTTGATAGCAAATGGAATGAAATGTAAATTAAGCCAGAGAAGATGTGGACTCATTTACCTGAATTCGCATACTCTCATTTGATGAATTTCAAAGTAGACATGCAAACCAAATCCATCAAAAAGATTGATCAAGATGTTCATCGCATAGATGATCAGATTATAAAATTTATAGTGGATTTTAGTAATCCTGTGTTTGAGAAGAATTGGGAATGCATCACATTCTAAGAATTCTTAAATGACTTTACTAGTTAAGATGAGATCTATTTCTATTTGTATGCTCGAAATCTTCTATTTCGTGGCCCTGAATGCCAACATACAACAGCATTCTATGAACCACATCATTACATTCCATTATTGTAAGCTGAATTTGTAGCAACTCATCTGCTCTCACAATATGAAACTGCAACCCTCCAGCAGGTCAAAAAAGTCCTTAGAGAAAAGGCAGTCAACAAGACCATCACTAAGAACCTATTCATTGTAGATGCTTCTTTTGTTCTGAGAATTTTGCTTGAATTTTATAGAGTTGAACGTAGAAATAGATACAAGATGTTTAAGATAGCATTTGGAAGTAGAGCCACAAATATCAGTTTCAAACAATTCAGAGTTGTATTAATCAGCAATTACCCCTACATCACAGACCTAGAATTAGCAACTCTTTACAGAGAGGCTTACTCCTTCACTGGCACAGGAGTATCAATTGATTCCTTTTACACTGTGGCTTCTGAGACTGGATTTTTCGTTAAGCATCTTAAATTATAGAGTCTTACGACTCAACCGAAAATTGTGAATAAAGAATTCGTTTTCGAACCTGACACTCAACCCTTCCTTATTGTCAATGAAGCATACAAGAGAGTAAGTTATGAGTTAATTTTAGTTTCAAGCATATTAAAATAAATTTGAGTAAATCCTAATTGATTTTGGTTTGGAGGAATTGTTTGCTTAATTTAAAGAATTCGACAACTTGATTTAATCCAAGTTTGCACCTCTTTAACACAATCAAAAGTCTTTATCTTAGGTCATTGAAAGTTACATGAGTGTATTTAGAAACATCAACAACCTCATTTGCAACAGACTGTACCTCTAAGACTAGTAAGTATTATATCTATTTAGGATTCAATAAGGGTAAGAGTTCCTGACAAAACATGAGGATAAGATGAAACTCAACAAAGAGCAGAATAGAGAGGCTTAATTTTACTCTGGCGATAATTTTAATAAATAATATTTGAGAAGAGAAGACTTCATTCCTGATATAGAAATATTGAAAGGATAGATGGATTGCTTAGAACATCTAGGCTCTTACTTAGAATCTTATGAGTTGGTAAAGAGAAGGAGAGATTATTGTATGACAATTTAAGCGAAGAAGATCCAGAAATTTGTTAAGAAAAAAATGAACAAATTTTATAGTTTTGTAAGTTCTCTGCTTAGTGCCAAATTCAAAGCTTCACTCAAATAAGGGAAATGATTATAAGATTGTTGACATTTTATTATTATAAAATTATTTGATTTAATAATTGATGGAATAAAATGTAAGAATTTGAAAATCATTAAAAATTACTAAAACTGTGTTTAAATTTAGGAAATAACTATTCCTAAACTATTTAATGGTCTGTCTCATTACACTTCAAATAAGGATGACTCAATGCTTGTTTGATATTGATCCTGTATTAAGTGTTATTTACCAGGCCTTTCAAGAAATTGGTACCATGACCAGGTATTAGAGGGTAAATTCCTTAATCGGCATCAATCTACTTGGCATCAAAGTTATACAGATAAAGCATAACTTTATGCAATCCATAAATATCAGTTGTGTCTGGTTGATTTTCTATTGTTGCTTTGCTAAAACCAATTAATTTTAGTTCTTGATTTCTACCGAACATGAAATTTTAAGGTCTAATTTATCCATGAACTATATTATTTTGCTTTAATGTGTCCAATATAGTAAGGATTTCCTAATTGCATAATTGTAAGTACCTTGATAACATTTTGATTTTCTTCATGAGTGTAATCCTACTCTAATTTGCGATCCAAATATTCTAAGATAATATAATAATATTTTGAAGATTCATAAACCTCTCTGATGGCAACTATATTTTTGCAATTCTTCAATTTCCTTAGAATTTTGACCTCTTACAGAAAGTAAAATTCACTTTGTTTCTTATACAATTTGCAAAACAACTTTTCTCCGTTGATAGTTGATTTGACTATGAGATTCTTGGGTAAAAATTAAAATTTACTGCCTTGAGCTCTGTTTTCGACATAGTTTACAATTCCTCATAGATTTCGGACGCTCCCAAGTACATCACACAGGAATTGAGTTAGTCTTTAAGTTGTGATAAATTTTTAGAAGAAGATTGGAGAGTACAATTCTCAATAGTACATTGTTCAAGGTCTTTATTCTTATAATACCATTGCAAATGTAGATTTAATGAGATGTAAAATTTAACCTCTTCAGTTTAGATTCTAATGAGTATTGAATGTTCGTCACAAATCAAAATAGCTGGTTTAGCATTAAATAAGCAATCAAATATTAAGGAATTTTACATGATTATATTTATAAAATATCTTCATTTAAAATTTGAAAAGCTTATAAGGACTTATGTCAATAAATTCTAGCCGGAGATTTTAGATTTAAGAATTAATTACATTTTAATTAATATTTTAAGAAAATCATTTAATTTTTTAATAGTATGAGCTCTTTGTATATTAACTTATCGCTTCGGTCACTCCAGTAATTAACTTTGGGTTATATGTAAATTTCACAGGTATATTGGTTTCACCAAATATACTTTAGATATATTCATGTCGCATTGCATCTTCAAAAGTAAATCTGTAATCTAGATTTGGATTCATCAATCCAACAATAAATTCGTTGCCCTTATCGGGAATGTAAGGCAATGAAGTATAGGAATCCTTGAAGCCATAACTAAACTCATTCAAATTGATTACAGTTGAATCAAAATTTAGCCTATGTTGGCAAGATAATTGTCAAGATCGATGTCTTTGGAGCGAGAAGCATGGCAAAAACTAATGAGTTTTATGTTGCCTCGCTTATCCATCATGAGGTCGGACAATTTGAACTTGGAATATTGAATATTGTTATCAATTAATATCTTAATGGTTTTGAGTAAATCCTAAACAATATCTTAAGTAGATACCAAAGTAATAATCTGGATTTCTTCATGAATCAGGTCTACATTCAAATGATGGTTCATCAACTCCATCACGATGTAGATGTGAGCCTTCGATTCGTAAACTTCATACAATTTTGGAAAATATTTGTGTTGTTACAGTTTGTACAAAATAATAATTGATTAATATAATTGTTCTTAGTTGTAAGCATCCTTTCTCAAAGATCTACAACATAACTTCACCTTTGTAAATCTATCTTCAACTTTACAGATCTTAAATTTTCGAATAAATTACCTTACAATTCTTTTTATCAGACAGCAACTCTATGGTTTCGTAATAATTCTGAATTCCCAAGTATGATACTCTCCCATCCAGGTGTTACTTCAATTGATTTAAGTCTTCTTGATTTGCTTGTATCATTAGATCCTGTATATTGACGGATTGAATTCCAGAAGCCGATATCTCCCATCTCATTTTTATTTTTAGATGGATATCGATTTTGAAGACTAAGTTATTCCTAGTAATTTCAATTCTTTCATCAAACAGTGTTAAAGAATGCTGGACTTTTAGAATCCAACAAGGAAATTGTAAGATGGTTAGCATATAAATTAGTATTTAATAATTATACTGCATTTTTAAAAAATACAAAACCCCCTATTGGACTGGAGAAAATGTGATTTTTGGAAATAGATTCCTCCCCCATTTTTATTTTATATAAATTCGATATTTTAAACATATACTACATTCAAAAGATTTCATCAAGATTTACTTTCGAACACTTTCGTTTTGTTTTCTTAACTTTTCTAAATAAATACACTTTATCTCCAAAAACTACTTTGATTTTATTGTCGAAATGAACGTTCTTTTCTGTAATGGCTTTATCTTGTGGTTCTGGATTTATTGTCAGTTTTAAACATGACTTTTTAGAAGTGAGACCTGAATAATTAGAATAAGTGGTTGGTATTGTGTTGTCAGGAGTTCGATTTGAGAAATAAAGGCTATCATCTCCCTGGTCCATAAGAATGTGCTATTAAGTGTGCAAGAGTAAGGCTTTAGGTTCGATATGAGAATTAATTCCAAGAATTGACTCTTCATTCTAAATGATTAATTCATCGACATCAAAGTTTATTTCATCTGAATTTATCACTTTTGTTGGCACTCCACAACCCATTATGATTAATATTAATTCTTTTCTATATGAGTTTTTTTTAATATAAAGTTAAAAATTGAGGAATTGAGAGAATATTATTTCACAGTTACTATAAATTTCACTCTATTACACCTCAAATTAATTATAAGGTCGAGTGATTCTATTTTTAATGAAAAAAAAAATATAATTTTAATACTTTAGATTATTCTTCAAAAATTCTTCTGTGAAAAATACGAGTCTTCTCATTTTCTCCTTGGAAGAAAATCTACCAAAAGACTCTAATTGATTTCAAGATACCTTGTTATTTTTGAACCCAAGAAAATATCATTTAAAGTATAAAAATGAAGACACGTATTAAGAAATTGGTATTTTATTGTTAATAATGATGAGAAATTACATTATAAAATCATTAGATTTCATTCAATATCATAATTTAATGAACCTACTCTCCATTCTATCAAAATTCTTACTAGATCGTTAAAATCTTTACATTGACCTTTCCTCTCTTTAAATTCTGTTAGCCTTTCAAAATAGTATTGACTCTTAACAATCGAGTGGTCCTGAGTCACATTAGAAATTTCTCTATGAGTTGTAAAGGGTATCATTCTTCCAATTAGACCTTATGAGCTTGTGTTTTATCACTCTGATTGAATTGTAATAACTTTCAAATATTTTATGTACTTTGGCGTCCATAATTATTAATATAATTTAACGAAAATGCTGAAAAACCCAAAAGTTAAAGAATCACTGACTTCTCGATTATAACAATAGGAATGTTGCAAATTATAAGGACATGAGAATAATTTGATCCAATTTGTTTGTGCTTGCCATGAATGTCCTTATCGGTATCAGAAGGCATGTGCTCATTGTGTGATTAAGTTGCATGGGAAACACGTTGAGGACATGAAAGAGATTGAAGAATTTGATATCATCATGAATGAAAACAGCAAGAAAGCCAAGAGTTTGATGAAGGAGAGCGAGGAACTCTTTTTGCAATTGAAAAATCCATTTGGGAATTTCTTTGAATAATTGAAGCAGCAATTGATCGAGATGATCGACAGTGTTCAGAAACGATATTTGGTATAAAATCAAGAGAGAGCATAATAACTAATACGGAATGAATTGGATTTCATCAATTAATTCAATTAGAATGTGAATTCTAAACAGAACCGCTATTTGAATGATCATTCTCTAAAATAGTACAGCAATTCGTTAAGAACAGCTTAAGAGAAATTGAGTAATGCACTTTCTCTATTTGAATTGAAATAGTTATTGGAATCTAATTTGATATTGTTGCTAGAGGATTTTGGCAAGAATACAGGAGTCAGTTATATAAGCAACACTAGTCGAAATACGAGTTAGAGACATAGTAGTTGCCACAATATAATGACTCCCAGATCTGCCTTGAATGTGTTTAATCACAATATTAGTGCAGTCAGATCTAAAAAAATTAGAAATTGATTAATTTATGAGTAAATAATCTAAATAATATCTCTCTACATCAGCACCTCATGTAGATACATCACAATTATCTGNAAAAAAAAAATATAATTTTAATACTTTAGATTATTCTTCAAAAATTCTTCTGTGAAAAATACGAGTCTTCTCATTTTCTCCTTGGAAGAAAATCTACCAAAAGACTCTAATTGATTTCAAGATACCTTGTTATTTTTGAACCCAAGAAAATATCATTTAAAGTATAAAAATGAAGACACGTATTAAGAAATTGGTATTTTATTGTTAATAATGATGAGAAATTACATTATAAAATCATTAGATTTCATTCAATATCATAATTTAATGAACCTACTCTCCATTCTATCAAAATTCTTACTAGATCGTTAAAATCTTTACATTGACCTTTCCTCTCTTTAAATTCTGTTAGCCTTTCAAAATAGTATTGACTCTTAACAATCGAGTGGTCCTGAGTCACATTAGAAATTTCTCTATGAGTTGTAAAGGGTATCATTCTTCCAATTAGACCTTATGAGCTTGTGTTTTATCACTCTGATTGAATTGTAATAACTTTCAAATATTTTATGTACTTTGGCGTCCATAATTATTAATATAATTTAACGAAAATGCTGAAAAACCCAAAAGTTAAAGAATCACTGACTTCTCGATTATAACAATAGGAATGTTGCAAATTATAAGGACATGAGAATAATTTGATCCAATTTGTTTGTGCTTGCCATGAATGTCCTTATCGGTATCAGAAGGCATGTGCTCATTGTGTGATTAAGTTGCATGGGAAACACGTTGAGGACATGAAAGAGATTGAAGAATTTGATATCATCATGAATGAAAACAGCAAGAAAGCCAAGAGTTTGATGAAGGAGAGCGAGGAACTCTTTTTGCAATTGAAAAATCCATTTGGGAATTTCTTTGAATAATTGAAGCAGCAATTGATCGAGATGATCGACAGTGTTCAGAAACGATATTTGGTATAAAATCAAGAGAGAGCATAATAACTAATACGGAATGAATTGGATTTCATCAATTAATTCAATTAGAATGTGAATTCTAAACAGAACCGCTATTTGAATGATCATTCTCTAAAATAGTACAGCAATTCGTTAAGAACAGCTTAAGAGAAATTGAGTAATGCACTTTCTCTATTTGAATTGAAATAGTTATTGGAATCTAATTTGATATTGTTGCTAGAGGATTTTGGCAAGAATACAGGAGTCAGTTATATAAGCAACACTAGTCGAAATACGAGTTAGAGACATAGTAGTTGCCACAATATAATGACTCCCAGATCTGCCTTGAATGTGTTTAATCACAATATTAGTGCAGTCAGATCTAAAAAAATTAGAAATTGATTAATTTATGAGTAAATAATCTAAATAATATCTCTCTACATCAGCACCTCATGTAGATACATCACAATTATCTGGTGTGTCACCCAAAAAGGAGTTTTACGACGCCACAAAGCAATTGGAAGCAGCAAGGAGAAGAATCACTCTTCTTAGATTGGAGAATGAAATGAGGTATGGTTTTGACATTCTAAGTAAGGGAGAAGAAATTGCAAATCCAACAATAAAAACAAGAACAATTGAACAAGATTAGGGAAGATCACGAGCTGTTTAAGGAATACAAATAGGCTCATAAAGAGTAAGTGAACGTACAATTACAGAATCTAGTGCATAGAACAAGGAGTATGAAGATGCAGCAATCACAAGATAAAAAACTGATCCAACAGAACTTTCGATAGATGAAGTAACAAGAAGTTAAGAATATTAAAGAGCAATCTCAAAGAAATGAGTACATCATTCGATAGAACTTGGATTCAATAAAATAATAAAAGGCAGAATAAAAATAACAAGTTCAGACTCAAGTCTAACTTGCTCAATAAACCATCCAAAACTTTCGCAAACAAAAGTACCTCCGATTCATTCAGGAACATCAAATCTCCAAATCTCAGCACTCTCTGGAAGCAGAGTTAAGGTTACAGTAGATCGAAGAACTCAAGAAGCAAGAAGCCTATCTACTAATCAAATTAGATGAAACCACAAATGTATTTTAGAATTATATCCTAGCAAGTCCACAAACTCAATCAAAGTGCCTTGATCAAGCAATCTCAGACCACACCAAAGACTGCATCCTATTCTTGAGATATTTTTATGTTTTACAATCATTTATTATATTACTAATAAATTATAATTAACTAATGAGTGAGGATGATTAAGTAATCTATTATTCCCTATCACCATGTAGCATTTCGTTGAAGATGACAATAGTGAAGATGATAAATTTGAGGAGAATCTTGAAAAACAATACGCTGTAATTCAGTTACATATATTGTAGTTATACCCTAAAGCTAGTAATAAGAGACCTGAATCCAAACATGGCAGGCCTGAGAGTTCCAAATTTTCGTATAAAAAATAAGAATAGCAAATCATAGAATAATAGCCAAAGCTATTGGAAGCCATACCTACTTCTCCAGCTCTCAGGAAGTTTAACTAATTAGTTTCATTTCACAAAATACAGATTGAATAATTCTGGAAGAATCATACGATTATGGCTTCTTAAACAGAATTCATTGGTTTTCTGTTAGAATCAGGTACTTTATCATTAATAAATAAGGATTCCAATTTGAACAATATGAAATCAATTCAATTCTTAGTGATTTATCTAATGATCGTGGTGTTATCACTATTGAAAGTCTTTGTAAGAAAGTACCTGCATGGCATTAAAATGAGAGTATTTTCTTCAATCTAATTATTCACTATAGATGCTATGTTAGAATTTATAAGGGAAAAAGCTCTCAAATTAGCTCAGGAATCCAAGAGAAAGTTCTCTGCGTAAAAGAAACCGAAGCCACAATCTGCAAGTACTAAGCGCAGCGGTTTCAATAAAGGAGAATCTAGGCCAATCAGCGGCATTTCAAAAAAGTATTAATCCGGATTCAGCGATTTGAAAATGTAATTCTAAACTTGCCACATATAGATCCAACATTAATGATAAACCATTGTAAAATAGATCCAAACACTACCTATTATTGGCTAAGCAAAGACAACAAGAAGAGGACCGACTTCTCCAATTGACAATTAACTAAGGCAAGAATGAGTACGAATATGAGATGCTCATTAAAATGGGAGAAGCCAATGAATTGTCTTAAGAACTAGATAGTAAAATTACATACAGAGCATACAAGACTGCACAAGGACACTTGAAGGTGCATGTCTATGAATTGGAGCACTTTTAAAGAGATCTTGCTTTGGAGGAGTTTTAAAGAGAATACAATATTCTAAGGAGCAGATATAATGAGAAAAAGAAGTTGAAAATCTGGGAAGTGCTCAGTGAAAAGAAGAAAAATCAAAAGAGTCTCTAGCATTTTGGATCCTCTCAAAAAGAAGAAATCAAATAAAATGAGGTTGATGGCAAAGCAGCGAATAAGAAAGAAAGACAACAAGAATTAAAGAAGGTGCTTTTGGAAACAATGATGCTTTCGAATGTTCTGAAGGAGCAACTGGTGGTATTGAATAGGAAGGGTATCAACGCTATTCTTAACCAAAGTGTAAAATTATGATATATAATATATTTGATTTGATACTCTGCTTTGATTAGTCCGTATGTCTCATCAATCAATTAATTATTGAGAGCAATAATTAAATCAAAACAGTTTGGATAATAATATTAATGTCTTCTAAAAGAGAGGTAATTGCAAAGCTTCGAATTGAGAGTGCTTCCAGATCCTAGAAAAGGAAATTGGAGTAGGCCATGCTTCAAATCAATAGTCAACAGCCTATCACAAAGACCTAGTAGACTTTGCCTTCGGAGGAAGTTGAATTGTATAAAAATGTGAATTTGTAACATGTAATCAACGGAGCTGATTTTGTATGGAATCACTTAGAGAATATGCCTAAGAAACAAATGGAAGCTGTCTTTCTCCCTCAAACTATAGCTGGAATGCAGAATGTGTATTGCGTGGTTAAGAAAAAATACAATGCAGAAATGGCTAAGAGAGAGCAATTGGGAGTTGAAAGAATTTAAAAGAACTAAGAGAAACATCATTAATTCGAATAGAGGAAACTGAAAAATCAATAAATCTATACTAAATTAGGATTGAAGAAGACTTATCAATCTGCACCTGTCACATAAGTAACAGAAGAGCCACTATTCCAACGATTAAGTAAGCCCAAGCAATCTTTCATTCAGCAATCCACTTATGACCTACCTGATTTTCGAGGACTACCAATCAAGAATCTCTCTAATGTAGACAAATACAAAAATCCAGCTCTGATTAATCATTTCATTAGTTCCAATATATTACCTAAATCTGTAAATAAGCAGAAAGCGAGAAGTAAATTCGAAACATTCGATTAAAAACTTGAATAGTTTCAAAATACAATACAGGAGGATGAAATGAATTTGGACAATAATTTCAAAGACAATGCTATGATTGAAATAGATCAATTTGAATAGATGTTATCTACAATTCCAATGACGATGTACTCATAAGTAAAAGACAGAGAGATTCAACTGTTGCAATCGGTTGAAGGGTTTAGATCGATAAGGAAGATAAAAAAAGATCCAAATTACAGACACTTAATTGGAAATCAAATCAGAGAAGAAATTTTGACAAAATAATGATTTTAATTAACAATATATCAGAGGTGAACCTTCTTTGTGACAGTATCCTCAAATTAGCATTCTTCTTCTTTGATTTCTGTATCAAATTCATCTTCAAATTGTCTCCACAGATTCGACATGCTAAGTTCCTTTTGAAACTTATTCTATCATAATATTAATATGATTTTACTTTTTCCAAACCCAATAAAAACTTAGCGACTTAAGTAGGAGTGAGAATACTTCTCATTTCATCAATGAAGTTTTCCAAAGAATTTGTCTTTTGATAGAGATTCTCTTTGACAGTTTAAAATTATTTGATGATACTTGGAATAATAAAAAAATAAGTTTACTCTTCTAATTTCTCCTTATCCGATTAGATTCTCTTATAAGATTTCTTGAGGGATTTCATTTGCTAATCTGATATATCAATTTCTCGACTTAGATTGGTGAACCAAGATGGTTCAGTCAGATTTGGTCCTGATGCCCATAACAAATATTTGACGTGAATAGGAAAAGAGATCTCCATTATTTATTGTAGAAAGTAATTTGAAGCATTGACTCTCTCCTTACCTCCTCCACCAACTCTGAATCTCATTGAGTCCAGCAATAGATTTATCTCATTGTTATCAGAATTGTTTTGCACTGCAGATTCCAACTTGTCAAACAATTGTTATCTACCTACAAAAAAGTTTTATAACTACAATAGTCTCGAATAATTACTTGAGGATTGGATCCAATTTATTACATACAACTACTGTGCCCCTTAATAATCCTTTTGCATTTTTCTAACTCCTCCTTCAGCGTGTTTACTCTGTTTTCTAACAATTCCAAATAAATTTTCTTCCTCTTCCTCGAATTCCTAGCACATTCCCTATTCCTAATGAGTTTGGCCTATGTAGAATCGTCTGTGTTGGTTGAAACTTTCCTTTCAAATTTAGGAGTCATGGATGGTTTAGATTCTTAAATTAGAGAAGTGATTTTGTTAATGTAAGTGTTCTTTAAGTTTTGCTTGCTTGTCAGAATCGTATCCTCCGATTTCTTCTTTTTTTATTGCTTCTTCCCTTGAGTTTATTGAGGTAGTTAACACGAAGAAAAGAACTCTTGTTAATTGGGACCTTCATCATCCGAGTTCTAACATTACCCGAATGAGCTACTATTAACATAAGGAAAATTCGATCTTTGTGATATATTAAACTAAATACTAATGCTGATCCATTAAAAAGTTCACGAAATGGTCATCCCCAATAAGCTCAAAATGATTATTATACATTTATTTAATATTTCATCATTAAAGCTAACTATTTATAAATTATTATCTCATATTTCACGTATCTTCTTTGAATCTTTCTGAATAAAATTGCACAATCTAAAATATCTCAGTTTCAGCATTTAAAATAGGTTTATAATAGAATACTTTCCGTCTATCATGAATTAAAACGAGTTAAATATGATTCATTTAAGTATAATCATATACTTTATATTCTTCATCAAATAAAAATAATAGAGTAGCAGAGATAAAATGTGGTAAATAAACAGAATATTTTAATAATAATTAATGTAATATGTAAACTACTTATATAAAAGAAGAAATAAATCAATTTCTTATAAAACGATGAGTACTGCTACTCATAAGAATTTGATGGAGAGATTAGTTACATCAAAAATATCTATATGGATCTTTTTATAAAGATTTCTGTCAAATGATATATATTAATAACTTTATTATTAAAGCATTTGGATAAATTTATGATGTTGAAATGATATTAAGCTGAAAGATATTTGTATTAAACTTAAAGAAAGGTATTTCAAAAAATTAATAGATTTGTATATGAATAAAAAGATTTTATTGAAAAATAAAATCAGATGATTAATTATAAATTAAAGGATTAATGATATCTGCTTATATTATTATTCTTTTTCTTTAGTATTTTAGTATATAATATATAAATAGAAGGGAGTAAAATAAATGGGAGTCAAAATAATTAAATTATTTTGTATACAATTTGATCAAAGAAAAATGGCTTATGCTTTTCTGACTTAGGCTGTGATATAATGTCTCTGTTTTGGAGATAGTAATTTTGCGATTTAATATATAATTTATATATTTATATAAACTTATGAAAAATTTAAAAGAATGTTTATCTTCGGAAGGAGGTTATAAAAACACAAAACGATTTAAGGAAAATATACAAGACGAGTAAATTGATTTACCATGATTCTAGGGATACTTTGAACTACGTAATTGAGACCTTGGAGGACATTTTTTAAAGCTCAAAATCGCAACCAATGTCGTTGGTGCTATCCATGAGAGTAAGTCTGTTGGTATGTTTAGCTGAGCAGTTGACAAAAGAACTTATGGATCTTCATTATGATTGCGTTGTGCACTCTATTTCCAACAACATTGTTTACATGATTGAGGATATTATCATGGCAGATTTAAAGAAAAACGAGAGAGGCAAATTTTATTTTAGTGATTAACCAAGTATAAATGGGTATTATGTAGATTAATCTCTGATTTTGCTTGGAAATACGCTTGTACGTTTAGCACTTGAATGCATTTTTGTGTGGAACTTGTGGCACCCTAATAATTTAGCTATTACTTAAGTGTAATTTAGTATGTTTTAATTTTAGTTATTAACGATTAATCGACAAAGGAGTTTAGTTCCCAAAATTGCATTATTTTAATGCCCAGAAAGTCAAGGAATACTACATGACCGTGAAGGAGAGCTCAAAGAATGGAACCCTTTATCGATAGCAATCCTTGATGTTGCATGAACAATACTTTGAACAACTCAAAAAGACAATTGAGAAGAACCAGTACAGTAATGTCAAACTACATGAAATCAATGAGGAGTTGAAATGTAATTAATGTTGAAAATCTAGAAATCAAGCACGTAAACGAAAATTAAAAATAATTTATCGAGAACTTCAATAGGGCTTACAAGGATTATCTTGTCAACAACAAAATAGACGAGTTCAATAATCAAATTTAATCGATGTATGCGTATTATTAAATTAAGTTGTTTAGAATATGATGAATTGTAAAGTCAAAAGAAACAGAGTAAGAAACTAATCACTTATTTTTAGATAGCGCAATCTAGTTCTGCACATACTCTACTGACAAGTAAAGCAATCAATTCTCAAGAAGCATGAGTGTAAGTAATTCTCTATAGATTTTAGTCTTAAAATTCTTAACGTAAAAATGAGAGCGACAACAAACAACAATCTATTGAGCAACTACTACATGAAAATGAATTAATCTAGGCATAAATTCAAAGTTTTGAAATTCCGAAAACGAATTGTCATTTAAAGAATACAGATGTATGATTCTTATATTGTAAACAATTATGTTATATTGAAATCTTTAATCAACATTAATTTTTAATAGACATTAATAAAAATATCCTTAATTCATACTTCAACAAGAAGATATAGTGTTAATTTACAAAATCAAAAGAAACATAGATTCCAAATCAATACTAAATTCAAAATCTCCATTTAATGAAGGGACTTGTAAATATTAAAGAATGAATATAGAAATCATCGTATAAATAACAGCATTTTAGATATTTTGAATTGATATATATTTTATATAAAAATGTAAATTAAGCACTTTTGGATCAAGAAGTGGATTTTAGGATTTCATAAGGTATTTTCTAAAATCTGGCTGCTTCTGGGTTGAATTCTGGTGTTTCTATGAATTATAAAAATAGATTCTATAGTCTTTGTCTTAATCCCTCCAAAGAAGGTTCCGGTCTACCTCTGTTTAACATGTCAGCTTCCCTATCAATCAAATCAACTATCTCTCTTGTCAGATTGCAGTCCCATTCTTTTACTGTCCATTTGGTATTAACGAGAATATCTAGTCTTTCATCCAAACTTAGTTTCCTTTGCTTTAAGCCTATAAATCAAAAGGAATATATTACCATTATAAATATCCATCAATTCTCTTGCTCTTGTGGTGTAGAGAGTATGAACTTCAGTGAATCTACCATCTGATTTCCTAAGCCACTTTTTAGGATCTGAGATAGACTTCAAGAATTTATTGATTTTCTCATCCTTGTTCTTTTGATTGGCTATAATCTTCAACCTGTCTATAGTTTAGAGTAAATCGGTTTCCTTATTTAATACTTATTTAAGAGCAGCTCTTTTATCCTCTTCAGACATAGCAGAGGATTTGATTCTGGCAATTTCAGTCGTTCTCCAAAGCTGATTAATATGGATGATAAATACTTCTAATTCCTCATATAAAATTTGGAAATCCTCTTTGGTTCTGGGATTGGTTCTCCTTTCTATTTCTTTCTTGTGTCTAACTTCTTCTTGTCTTCTGAAATCTTCTTCTTTTTCCAATTATTCATTTTGTAATTATTGCTTTTTTTGTCTCAAGGCATTGGTTCTCCTCCTGGCGAACCAACCTCGAATCAATCGTTAAATAAATAAAGCTGCCTCTTCTCTTCGCTCTTCCCACATTTCGCTTGTAAAATATCTAAGGGATTTAGAGACAACTGTTACAATTTTGGTTCAAAAGTCCTATCATTTCTTAAATCAATGAATAGATCTTCCTTCTCCATTTAAGTACCAAATTCTCTCATCATGATTGTCGACTTGGTGGATTCAAAATGAGTTTGTGTGTCTCTGTGATTTTTCTCCTTATGCTCTCTTCGATATTGATTGGTTTGAGCAAATGCATGATGCAACAAAGCACCAGACTTCTTATTTTTTAACCCTCCCAAGTAAGGCTTTTGATAATCTAAGCAAATGTTTGAATAAATAACTTGCTTTGGTAATTTGGATTGTCAAAGTGTATTTCTTCTGCACTTCACCCTTTTCATCCTTAATGACAACGACAGATTCGAATTGTCTTCCCATAGTCTGTTCGTATTCATCGTTTTCATATAATTGCTCTTGATCCTCCAAGAAGTTAACCTACTAATTGTTATCCATTTTTGTTATTGTATTTATATATATATAGATAAATAAATAAGATTATCAAAGTTCAATTTTTTAAAACCCAAATTTTAATGTTATTTCTACTTACAGCATATAGATACACTCCATCTTCAGACGCTATCGAGGTACCTATACTGGTGCTAGAATCCAATATGTGCAATAATCTGGCTGTCGTCCAATCTATGATTTCTATTTTATCACTTGTTGTGAGAATGGCCTTAGAACTTGTCAAGTAGAGATGCATAACGTCACATTGGTTCTTGGTTATGAATCTTCTGAGGATCTTGAAATTGATCTGATTGACAAGGTAAGACTTCGATCGTATTTGCCCATTGATTAAGAAGAGTTGAGAATTAGAGAGACTGTTTATCACCGACACTTGTTTGATCTGATACTGAAGGGTCTTCATTTTTTCATTCTTCATTATCTCTGGAAAATTGGTGAGGTTTATGGGTCCGAATGTCCCGTAAATGAAGAGTTTGGTATCATTTATAAACTATACAAAGTTTAATCCGTACGGGAAGAAGTACTTCCACAGCAACTCACAAGTTTGCGAATTAAAAACCAAAAGCTATTTGTCCGAACCTGCACTGATTAAGTAATTTTCATTGGGACTGAAATCAACCTTCATCACATACGCCGAATGATGACATAATAATCTAAATTGCACTTACTAGATCCCATCAAACTCAATCCGCCCAATATTGCAATCAGCTGAACCACTAGCCAAGTATTTCCCAGAACTTGAAAATTTTAGAGTGATTATGAATTTTTTGTGATATTTATAACTCTTGATCAAACTTAAATTATTGTATAAGAACATATTCCCGTCAAAATCACCTCCCATAAGTAGATTTCCCTTCTTATTCAGTGTGATGACATAAAAACTATTGTGGGTATTTTGAATTATTTTGAACAACACTATTTGAGTATCATTATTATTATTATTACCATTCTGCATTTTATATAATAAAATAATTCAAAATTAAAGGATGCTTGCTGTTACATTCCCATCCAAATACCTTCTGACAAATAACACTGGTTTAAACGGATAAAACTAATTAAGCGATTCAAGAGTGATTCAGAGAAGGAAATTATCATTAAAGCAAGTCTCTGTGAGTCAATAAATACTTTGAGATTCCTTGCCTTATTGAAATGAATAGATCAATTTAATTACCTTTAAGATCTTCAATTAATATTAAAAAGCAGATTCATAACTCACTCCAAACTATTTATATGAATAATTCTTAATCATTCAATTTTGTGAGAGTTAGATCAATATCTCTATTGTTTGTAAAGTAAAGATGTAATAATAAAAAATTAATATTCTATTTTCTTTTATTATGATTAGATCAATAAGAATTGTATTATGAAAACACAATTCATACATATTCAAATTAAAATTATTAAGAAATAACAATTAGACTCTCTCTCTATTTGTTATTTCTTAATAACTTAATTTAAGTGGATGCTCAAATTTCTAGTTTTTTCTATAGGAGAAGATTTCTATTTCAGAAATAACGCACTCTAATTATTATAAGTATATACACCTTTTTTAACTTAAGAAGGGTCTTTAAAACCCTTGGTTCCTTTAAAATTCCGTAATTTAATATGAATGCATAGAAAATTGAAATTGAGAAGGAATTGGAAAATGATTTTTAATTTTGTCATCTATTTTGAAATAGAATTTAATTGAAATAATAATAAATTATGCTTTGTAGTTCACAGATATGAAGATTACAAATTGTATAGAACTCATACAATTTCAGCATATACTTTTCTTTTCTCGAACTTCTTCCTTACATCTACGTTGTTCCTCTATGAGAAGGCACTTATCAATTATTCTCTTTAGACTTTGGCCTTGATAACTTCCGATCTATGAGTGGCTTGATTTCCCTCATGATCCTGAAAGGTCTGCAACTATCTAGAAAACCATATGTAGCAGCAATTACTTAAAGACTTCCTTGTTTTCAAGTTGGACATCATCTGCTTGTGTGAGGATATGCTTGATTCTTTGGACTGCACTTTATTTAAATTTCCTTTGCTTGACTTGGTTAGTGGAACACCTAGTGTTGGTGTCTATTAGATCGAAACTGGGTTTGCTGTATTGGGAGTAGTAGTTGTGATGAGTGTGTGGTCTGGGTTCTGTGGATGTTCTGAGTGCGGCTTGTTGAGTGCAAGGACGGGTGTTCATATTAAGAGTGATCTCATTTCGCTATAAATCTAGAGATTTATCTCTTACATGAGTTTCCTTTATTTAAGAAATAAATAAACTTGTTTATCATCTTGGTCTGTATCTTTGGGCATGCCTTCTCCAAAGGCATTTGAGATTTCTTTGATGAGTTCAGGCACTGACTTTTTGGCACCAAGTACGAGTTGTTTGCTTGCGAAGAATTGTTCAAATTAGGCTAGGAGTTCTTCTCTGCCTTTGAATTTGTTGCGTTGCAGGACCTTTTGTAGGTTGGCGAGTCTGGATTGCTGTATTATGCCATTGTAATATCTGTCTGACCACAATGTATTGTCATACCTATAAGATATGATAAAATTGATAAACATAATTCCTTAATTCTTTTTAAATGTATTCAAATACTCATTTTATAATCGATTATTCTTGGTTTATTAGATGACCTGATTGTAATCAGCCTTTTCTGAGATGCTCTTGCCCAATCCTTTGGCTTTTTTTAATTGGAGGTAGTAGAGATCCAGTGTGGCATTTTTGGTGTAGGTTTAAAAGGTTTTGCGTCTCCTCAGGAATTGCTTATCAGTAACAATCAAGGGAACTTGGAGAATGTGCTTGAATTTGTCTTTGGCTGTTTTTTTCTAGATGGTGAGGTATGAGGGAGAGTTTTTACTTTGAATTCCTTCACGTACTGGATCTCGGCGTCCTCAGTGATCTTGTTGAGCCAGGAGGACTTGAAGGTGACCCCCAGTTATTCCTCTTGGACTCTTTGCCAGAAATTGGAATGAAGATGATTCTTATCTACTTTATTGCTCATATATTTTTAATAATATGAAACTTTATATAGTGTTTTTGGTAATTTGTGCGGTTGTCTCTTAAAAGGAGAGTACAGAATTGTCCAAGGAGGACCAGACCCTGTTGGATAGTATGGTTAAGGACAAATTCGGAATGAACGTGTTAAATGATATACAGAGTGAATACAGAAAAGATTCTGGTAATAGTGTGTTGTGTATTTGGAGAAAAGACGGAGCAATTGTTGAGAATTGAAAGTTTGCTGAACAGCATCGAAAGATAGATAGCCTAGGACGAGTAGGACGATCTAGAATAATTGACTAAGGACCAAGAACTATGTATTAAAAAAAACGAATTTTATACTAGACAATTAATAATTAGAGAGTTTGAAAGAGAAGATAGCGGAGGGCCAATATGATTATAGTAGCATAGGTGCAACGATCAGATTGTTGGAGGATGAGTCCAATAGATACGACACTCGAATAAATGAGAAAGAGAACATTGTGAACGAATATGAGTCAACTCTGCTTTAATTGGAGGAGATCAGATAACACGAGGTATCATAACTGAGAAAATTCAATAGAGTGCCTATTTCGAAATTACAAGAGACGACTCATTTGCCATATGCAGTTTAATCAAGAGAGCCAGATATTTGATTAGGGAATTGCTCCCAAGAAGTCCAAGGAATGTTGCATTTGTTCAGCAATACACTTACGAGGATAATTCTCATCAATTCTCCAGCGCTGATGTCTTGTAATAAATGAGAGATCTATAAGTTGAGGCTTAAGAGACTCTCCAAAATAATGAACCATTCCTGAAGATCATAAGTTTTAATATCAATTAATAAAAGATGAATTTGTAAGTGTTTCTACTCAAACTGAAGCTGTTATTGACTCCACTAGAGCAAATGCCATCATTAATTTACTCTAATAATTATATGATTAAGTAGACGGTACTAGTAGAGTGCAATTAACTGCTGAAGACGACAGAGAAAACCTTCATCAAAGAGTTAAGGATCAAATCAATGGAGAATTGGACTATCTGCACTTATAAGTATGGAGATTCTTAACATATTCTAGCTCTCCATTCTCTACGATGAATAGGATGGTGTAGAAGCCCACATCGTCGCAGCTTAGATGGATCAGAAGGATGGCGAATAGAGATTGGCCAATTTGAAATAGTCTTACTAGGATTTATTGAAATGCAAGGAGGATTCAAAGGTATTGAGGTTCATGAATTGCTAGGTTAATTACGGAGTTAGATCAAAGGAGAGGAAGGAACAATTGAAGTTATTAAGAAAAGCCAGGGATGTGTTATTGAATGAGTTCGATGCTGTGAGATGCTATCTTGAGGGTATTCTTAGTCGAAGTTTGAGTCAGGAATGATATTGTTATGATTTAATCTAAATATTACACAAAAAGTCCCAAATCTCGACAAAATGAGTATATTCATACAAAAATACAAAATTCACTATGCTTCCATTAGAGTGGTTTCTCTGCTCAACTTGATTTTGCATCTTTTGGACATATCCAATATCAATTGAATGAGAACACAACAAATAACAATTAATATGATTGAGAGTACAGTTGCAATTATAATTCGCTTGGATTGGTTATCTTTGCTTTGCAAGCCTACGGTTATTGTGCTATTTTACCCAGTAAGGTATTGATAGTGGTTCCTTCCAAATAATTCGCAATCTCCAATAGAAACACCTATTAAGGGTTTTGGACTTTCTTCAACTGCTATTCCTAGAATTGTTCGCTGGAAACTAGTTACAACGCTTCAACATTGTCAGTTTCCTCGATTGGTACTTGGATGGAGTAAGTTAAGACTAATATACATATTAAAATAAACATGTTAAATAATTTATGAACGTTTTTGAGAAATATTATGTATAAAATAATTCATAAAATTAAAACCATCACTATTACCATAGAGAGTAGAGTACTAAATCCATCATTTTAACATAAATTGCAACTTGTCCCGTTCCAAGTCGCTGAAAAAAAAGTAGCTTATAAACAATTGTCTTTGGTGAGGAACGAAGTATCTTCTGCATCCTGACATTGCTCCTTGTCCCACTGGCAAATCTAGAAAGTGCCAGTCTGATCCCCTCGTAAATAAGTGCATTTGGTTTTGTCGGTTATCTCTATGCAATAGGGTTCAGAGCATAGCTCTTTCTCCGAGTCCCATCTGCAACTGAAGAGATCGCATTTAGATTTAGAGATGATGTTCGAACACTTGTTGGGATCATAAGCAATGCATCTCCCAACACTGTCCTCCACAATCCAATCGCATACCTCGCCATCCGCCTATTTTATAGCTGCCTAATTCTCTATCGCATCTGCAGTGCATACACCTCGATCCTCTATCTTGTTGCAAACATAATATTGATTGTTGTTATCCTTCTCTTAACATTCGTACTTTCCATCCACCATATTTGTTCCCGCTACACAAGTCGTCCATTTCTCCGTGCATTTGTTTGGGTCTGTAACATGATAATCGACACAATCAGAAAAAGGCCTGCAATTGCCTACATCATTTATTGCACACCCAATAAACTTTATGCAATCCTCTTCTGTCTTACTATCAAAAGATTAGCATTGTATTGTATTGCATGAAGAACCATCCCAATCGCATTATTCTAAGCCAATTTTACAATCACTTTCACTTTATAATTATTCACATGAACACACATGATCAACAAGTAACTAATTTGTTAATGCAATCAAGCTAATCAAAATACCCAAATTCATTAATTATAATTTAATTTTATACATAATATACATTAATATAAGTATCAATCATTAAAGACCTTTATTTATTTCGATATCTTCTTCTAACAAATCGAACACTGCACCTGATTTTTTGCGCACTCCATACAGCAAATCATATGAAAGCAAGGCTCATAAATTATATTGGCCCTGCTTTCTTTGCATTGCAAGCATCTTAATGTTTGATGATGCTAGGAAATAAGGACATCTTGAATGTCATGCTTCAAGAATTACCTTAATTACCTATATAGGAAATGCAACAGATAAGCCGCCATTCCAATCTCCCCCAAAATTTAAATGATGTTTGCCAAATAGAATTGAAAACGGAGACCCTGATAATCTGAAACCTCAGCCAATTTTCTAATCCTGTAACACCTCAACACTTGAGTCTCTGGATTATGGATGAAGTCCCCAAAAATCAAATACTATTTATTATACTAGATAAATTAAATGAATGTATAACATACAGGTAGACCAGCAATTATTTCTCTCTTCATCAGCCCGAGATTAAAGAGAGTCTGTCCCCAAAAACTCATATTCTCCTAAAATATTACGAGGGCCTTCTCCAAATTGAAATTAAACTCATTCAAAGCGTTAACTTGTACTTCCAAATCGTATGAATTTTTTAGTTTGAAAGTAGGTGCGCGATCAATCACTCTGTTAGAAAAGAATGCTTCCTAGCCATATCTAAACCCCATTTAAGAAATGAGTAAATAGTTCCTTAATCGCGGGTTAGCATCTCTCAAACCTTCTGTTTTATGCGAAGTTCCGGTAATGTACATGTGAGTGTAAAATTACAGTCCCTTCTATTATTGACCTTGCTGTAAAATCTTTAAAAGCAAATAATTTTTGGATGATCTCACTCCAGACAAAGTTTTCAATTTAATAAACTAATTTGATTTGAATTACAGCTTACTTGCTTAATCACAGACTTGGAGAGGTAGAGGATCCCGAAAGCTGAACCCAAACAAAGGATGTATTTAAATTTCATTATAGAATTATAATAATTTATATAATGTCTAATAGTTAAGAAAGAGAGAAAGAACTAAAGGAGATTCGCAAAGAAATGCTCAAGGATGCAGAAAACAATGCTCAAAAATAAAGATTTGGACTGTTCTCGTCTCCTGTTCCTTTGGCTTTGGGTGACGATAGCATGGAGATGAGGAAGAAACGTAAGGCAATCAGAATGTATTTCGGTAGCATAAAGAGGAGAGAATGGCAAGCCTATAACCGAGCCGTCGAATATGAAGGTTAGCGCTACTCGGACGGGCAGAATCAGATCTTCGTATTTCGGGCCTTTGAGTTTCACAACAGTCGGGGATCCATACATAGATCCAGAAAAAGTGCTTGCTCATTATGAGAAGGAACAAAAGAAACTGTGCAATAAGGAGACTCCCTTTAAGCCTCCCTCTGGTTATAAGGAATTGATGGGGAGTGCCTATTCGCACATGAAGGAGTACGATTTCAAAAAGGTGGAGAGCAGAAAGCAATCTGACGGACGGGTGTATTCTGCGCCTCGTAATGTTACAACAAACCCGAGATGCAAGGTGCTGGACAAATCCATCCCCTACATGATGGACGATTACAATAGATATAGCGACTTTGAGAGGGTATTTTTAAATTGTTAGGGGTTAAGAAAGCGAGGATGCTGAGCAAGAGCAAGGAGAAGGAGTAGCCGTTTCGAAGTACTGTGCATGGCGGTGTGACTTTTGAGAGGGACAAAAATTTGTTTGGAGAGACCAAGATGCCAGCTGCAAGTTAGAGGAAGTCTCCGGAACTGAAGTTGGCGAAGCACGAGTCTGCATTTCGACCAGTAAATGGGTTGAAGAAAGGGTTTGATGGGTTGTTTGGTCACTTTGAGTACAAGGCTGACCCGATGAGGGAGATCAAGAGGCAGTACAGTTCGAAGAAGGAGCGGGAGAGTTTTAAGTAAGGGCAGAGTATAGAATAATAGACCTGCAGATTTGGGGAATAAGACGAGGCCCAATCCGACCATTTCTTGTTTTAAGATGAACATACGGAGGGAGATGGCTGCGCATTATTGATTTTAGTATTTAATTTTATATAATAAATAAATATTATTATAGAATAAAATATGATTTAAGATTTAGGTGGAAACAATGATGGAAATGACGTAGTATGCAATTATTTTTTTTATAATGATTTACATCATAATTATTCACATTCGCACTATTGAATTTCATAATATGAGGGTAGATGAGGTAAAATTAAAGGAGGGAAAGGCTTAAATAAATTAACATGAACATTTTGAGCGAAATAAAGAAGTAGGTGGAAATAGAAATGAAAAAGATCAAGAANCTTGGAGAGGTAGAGGATCCCGAAAGCTGAACCCAAACAAAGGATGTATTTAAATTTCATTATAGAATTATAATAATTTATATAATGTCTAATAGTTAAGAAAGAGAGAAAGAACTAAAGGAGATTCGCAAAGAAATGCTCAAGGATGCAGAAAACAATGCTCAAAAATAAAGATTTGGACTGTTCTCGTCTCCTGTTCCTTTGGCTTTGGGTGACGATAGCATGGAGATGAGGAAGAAACGTAAGGCAATCAGAATGTATTTCGGTAGCATAAAGAGGAGAGAATGGCAAGCCTATAACCGAGCCGTCGAATATGAAGGTTAGCGCTACTCGGACGGGCAGAATCAGATCTTCGTATTTCGGGCCTTTGAGTTTCACAACAGTCGGGGATCCATACATAGATCCAGAAAAAGTGCTTGCTCATTATGAGAAGGAACAAAAGAAACTGTGCAATAAGGAGACTCCCTTTAAGCCTCCCTCTGGTTATAAGGAATTGATGGGGAGTGCCTATTCGCACATGAAGGAGTACGATTTCAAAAAGGTGGAGAGCAGAAAGCAATCTGACGGACGGGTGTATTCTGCGCCTCGTAATGTTACAACAAACCCGAGATGCAAGGTGCTGGACAAATCCATCCCCTACATGATGGACGATTACAATAGATATAGCGACTTTGAGAGGGTATTTTTAAATTGTTAGGGGTTAAGAAAGCGAGGATGCTGAGCAAGAGCAAGGAGAAGGAGTAGCCGTTTCGAAGTACTGTGCATGGCGGTGTGACTTTTGAGAGGGACAAAAATTTGTTTGGAGAGACCAAGATGCCAGCTGCAAGTTAGAGGAAGTCTCCGGAACTGAAGTTGGCGAAGCACGAGTCTGCATTTCGACCAGTAAATGGGTTGAAGAAAGGGTTTGATGGGTTGTTTGGTCACTTTGAGTACAAGGCTGACCCGATGAGGGAGATCAAGAGGCAGTACAGTTCGAAGAAGGAGCGGGAGAGTTTTAAGTAAGGGCAGAGTATAGAATAATAGACCTGCAGATTTGGGGAATAAGACGAGGCCCAATCCGACCATTTCTTGTTTTAAGATGAACATACGGAGGGAGATGGCTGCGCATTATTGATTTTAGTATTTAATTTTATATAATAAATAAATATTATTATAGAATAAAATATGATTTAAGATTTAGGTGGAAACAATGATGGAAATGACGTAGTATGCAATTATTTTTTTTATAATGATTTACATCATAATTATTCACATTCGCACTATTGAATTTCATAATATGAGGGTAGATGAGGTAAAATTAAAGGAGGGAAAGGCTTAAATAAATTAACATGAACATTTTGAGCGAAATAAAGAAGTAGGTGGAAATAGAAATGAAAAAGATCAAGAAGGTACCCACCTCAAATAAAACGATAACTTGTTAATAAAAAAAAGAATTAGTTGAATTGGTAAATCAAGGAGTGCTCTTGAAGGATGCAGCAAAAAAATTAAACCTTACATATCATGAGGCCAAAATAGCCTACAACGAGCTAAGGAGAAAATCTATGAATACTCAGAGTGAAACTGAATCTGCTGTCTATAACATGCGGACAGCTGGAGTTAGTGATCTGAAGGTGTTTCCTAGACACTTTCTATTGTAACAAAGCGTCAACAATACCTTGATATCTGTTAGACGGCTATATAATATATTAGTTTTGAACCCAAAATAATAATGACTTTTTTATTTAATTTATAATACTACGTCATAAATTTAATAATGAACAATATCAAAACAGTTCCAGGGTGCCTTGTTCCTTCTCCTTCTTAAGAGTTTCGAAATACCCATAGATGATAGTGACGGATAAAAGTATTCCAGTTCCTAAAACAATTGCAAAGATACAGTACCTGAACCGATGGCTCCCAAGAAATCAGCTAAAATTGTCAGAGCTCCTATGCACATTCCACCGAAGGAAGCAGCAATTGGAATATATCTTTTGAGTACTTCCTTCATGGAAGAATCTCTGTATCCAACTATTTACATGTCTTGTTCTTTGAGTTGTTTGGCAACCTTTAAAATTAGATAGATTTAATACATCTTTTGGTGATGACCCAGACACATCAATCCAAGTCTTTGAGAAGACTGCACAAGTACCCAGAATGAATGCAGTATACAAAATAGTGTGGATGGGGTCAAAGATGGCTTCAGAAATTGATCTGGGAGGTGAGACATAATAGACTAATCCACCAATGGGAACAGTTTGTCCATTTTCTAATTCTTACCAATGTCCAAGCAATCTGATTAAGAAATTGCCTCTGAAATTTCTGTATAGGATTTGTGAAAGGAAATAAAGATTGGAAACCAAAGCAGTTTGGAGGATGATTGGAATATTTGAAGTGTAGAACAACTTGATTGGATAAGATGTCAATCCTCCTCTGACTTTATTGTTTTTGATTGGAATATCTACCTTAAATCCTTAGAAGTAGATAACAATCATGAAAACTAATACAGTTGCTAATAGATTAGTGAGATTAGGTAATGAATCTCTCAGGATGGCTGATTAGATTGCAGCGACCTTATCATCTCTGATAAACAATCCGTGGAAGAGTGCAATGATGGCACCCTCGTATTCCAATCCCAGTTCAGTTCTGTGAGTGATTGGCGAGAATGCTTTCCACATAATGTTCTCGCAAATGTTGATGGCAATAAATAAGGATGTGCCTGAGTTTCCAATTCCATATCCTTTTGATAGTAATTCATCAATCATGATCATAACAATAGCTGAGAAGACTAATTGAATGATGATCAATATGGCATTGCCTGCTCCCAATTTATCTAAGTCTCCGTACATTCCAGACCAAACATATGCGAATGCTTCACCAAAGGCAATTAAGATCCCTAACAATTTCTGAGCTCCTGAGTACAATTGCTTATCTTCCTTTACATTCTAATCCACATCGATTAACTTAGCACCTGCCAACAATTGCATAATCATTGAAGCTGTCACCATTGGTGAAATACCCAATTCCATCAATGTTCCCCTATTTGATGCCAATATCACTCTCAACCAATAGAAGGGATCTCCAGCAGATGCCTTGTAGATACCATAAAGCGGGATTTAAGAGCAAATCAAATACAAGAGTGTTGCTATTGCTGTCCACAATGCTCTATATTTGAACAAAATCTATTTGTAAATACGATTAACATACTCTTCTTTCAGGCTCAGCCACATCTGGAATTATGGCCATCGCTGGTCTCATGTAATTCAGGATCTTGGTTTTGCTAGGCATTAAATTTATTATTGAAACCCGGCCATTTCTCTTTTTATTTCACATCATTCACACGTGTGAATTATATTATTATGGACAATATTTAATAAAGAGAAACTTTAGGCTTATTCTTGAGATTCACCAGTGTCTGCCAAATTCGATGTGGAGTCCTAAGCTCCAAAGATGATGTGCTCACTAAGGACAACCATCAATGTTTGGGTATGTAATTGGTTATAATGCGAAATAGAGAAATGCACAAATCACATGATAGATTCCTTTAGAAGAATACAAGATGCATACAAATGATCGAAATACATTTAAACAAAACAAAATATCATTATTTAATAACTTCATCAAACTTTTAAGACAATTCCTGAAGGATTGTGTTTGAATATTGCATAGTGTACTTCCCACCCTTCTCAATTATGATCTTGTGATCCATCAACTCCTTAAGATTGTCCTTCAATTGTATTTTGCTTGATACGATCATCTCATCCGAGAGAACATCATACAGATCCTAAAAATTCAATCCCTTAATTTTATATAAATATTATATATACATCTCTGCTCTCCAATACTTTCCCTGCGAAATAATAGACTATGTTTTTCTGTTTCTGAGTCATACTCGACAACACATACCACAATCCCTCCTCCTGTTTCTGTTTGCCCACCTAATCCTCGAAGATCTGCAATATCTCCTGAACGTACGGTCGATTTGTGTGCACGCACTGGAAGAAGGCTCTCTGAATCTTGCATATCATCGGATACCGATAATTGTCGAAACTGCAAGCCATACGAACATTTGGACAATTGCTCAACTATCCGAGTAATTTCTACGCTTGCTCATTCAATAAATGACGACCGTCTATGCTATGAGCAATAATTATTATCGATTGAGGAGTGTTCTCAATGCATTTGATGATCTACTCTGAGTTCCGCACATGTGAGTCTATTTTCAACACTTCCCCCATCTTCTACAAGAACATCTTCATATTAACTAGAGGTTTGAATCCCTTCAGTACGAAAAAGTACGATTGCGGATTACTCCTACAACACATCAAAATGTAACATACTCCATCAACTCCTTCATTGCCTTCTCAAGCAATTCAATCTTGCTCCCTATCCCATACACCAACACATTGAAATCATGATTGACTTATTGAACAATGTCTGTCGACCCTATGATATTCTCCTCGAATTTCTCCTTCTCAGCTTGATCAGCCAATCTTGCTTACAACTTTGTTAAATCAAAGTCAGAACTATCGAATTTTGTGATCTCAGATGTGTCCTTTGTTTTCAAAGAAGAAATGTAATCCTTCAACTTTCCATATCTCCTTTGATACTCCTCCCTTCCTTTCTCATAAGTTTCCATTTACATTTGAATGTATGATTAAATTACTTATAAATTGTATAAAATAATAAAAAATCATATTAGACTTCCAAAAATATGGGTTAAATTGAATTCCAAAGTATAAATCTCATTTTATCAATTGAGTTACTTGTATATCAGATATAAATAATTTTCTACTTTTTACTCTCATTATAACTTCATTATATCAAATGATACTAATATTTTTAGTAATGAGTCTATCAGGATTCTTATCCTTAATATGATAAGAATCATTAATCAACCCTTAAATATATTATTTCTATTCATTCAGATCATTATGCAAATCTCTTTAGAAATTTTGGAATAGATGTGAATCTTTTCTTTTTCTCCAAGAACATATAATACATTTGCTGAGAGATCATAAAAAGTAATATTAGGTCTCTGTTCCAATTTATAAAATGATACTTGAGAGAAATAACAAGTTAGCAATTACAAATCTGTATAATTAATTATACAGATTCATTTTACACATACAAAAATGGCAAGTCACACAATGAGGTATGTAATGCAGTGATAGTTAAAAGCAAAGACATGGAGACTGACAAATACTACTTAATTGATAATGTAACTGCAGAAGTAAAGCAAATCAATAAGAACGGTGACTACATTAAAAAGTTCAACATCGAACTAACTGGCAAGGCAAATTATAGTGAGAGAGTTGCAAAGGCATAAGGCGTAAACTGCATTTTATCAATTTAGGATTAAGCCTACATGCCATACAGCACTAAAGTGTTACAAACCAAACCCAATCTTTATACTCCCTAAACAGACAAGTTCGATGGTTATGCACAACTACCTCGCACTTTGCAAGAACCCTACATAAACAACACTCGCAAAAGACCCAAGACCACAATCGAAGCCACCAAGTACTTGCTTGAAGGGAAGGAAAAAAATAAAAAGTACTTGATAGGGAAACAATTGTAACATATAACCGGCACCATTCATGATTACTTCAAGGCCAAGAAGGATGGCAAAATAGAGATCTTGAAGATGAGGACTGAAACTAAAATGCAGGATTTCGTATCAGGAGGTTCTGTTAAAATCATTAATGGACATGAATTGACTCAACCCCAAGTGTTGCATAATCCTCCAGAGAAACGAGCTTAATCTGCTTCCAGAATCAAGTACGAGACTCTTCCACAAACGACTGAAACCAGGGCTTAGACAAGTCAATAGTCAAGAGTGATTGTGCCTTTGGAAGAGTAGAAATTGAAATCCATGCAATCTTATGGCACTCTGAATCAGGAGTTGCAGAATACGGAATCTAAGGCTTTATTTTAAAGTAGAACGTACATTCAAACCTCTCAATCGAAACGAAGTCAGAATGTGATTGACTAAAATGTGTAGTTATACAACATACCTCATTTTCAAGAGAGATTGGATATTTTTAAGAAAGAAATTCAGAGTTTTACTCTACCTCAACCAAAAGAGATCAAGTAGATCACTTCCAAAGGAAGATTTAATTGCCACTTGGCTGACAATAAAGAACATTATATGTAGGATAGGTTGATGATGAAATTATGTATTTGTTTATTTTTCATAAAGTTCAACCTGAACAATTTAAGTCGAATGAAAGTCCAAAAAAACAGGAAATGGAAAAACAAAGAAGGATTTTGGCTAAAATGAAAGAAACTGACATGTTGACTAGAAATCTAAAATTGAAGTTGTGAATTACTAATTTACACAAAGATGTGTTTTTAATAAATAATAAATTATGTTAATTTTCAAGAAAGTCTTGATTATTATATCCCTTCTGGGATACAGTCTCATCCTCTTGAATAATCAAGCAATTATTACAACCTTAACATATACAAGTAATTCTCTGATTAAACATAAGTTAATATGATTAACAGTTCTCCCTATTTCACCATTCTAAGTAATCCATTTTTATAGCAATGATCAACTCAAAAACATTTGAATACTTAACGCCTACCTCCTTGATTTGAGGATTAACGGTATGGGCCAAAATTACTTTATTGTTTAACAAGTAGAAGGACCTTAAAGCAAAATAATAGTGATTAAAATAATATATTTATATTTCATTAAAAGTCTACTAATTTTGGATGAGTGTATTTATCCCAATCCTTAGGTCTCTCTATTTTACTCTCACCTTCCAACCACTTTTTCCTAACCCCATTTTCCCAAACTCCGACTTAACTCTGTCCATCATTCAACATATACCTTCCAATTCCATGCTGCTTCCCCTGTAACCAATATCCTTCATAACAACGACCATCATTCCATTTATATACTCCAAATCCGTGCTTCTTGTCATTTAGGTACTCTCCATCATAGTACCTACCGTCCGGCCAATAGTAAATCCCTCTACCATTCATTTAATTTTGCAACCAAAACCCTTCATAGCGCTTTGTATGAACCAATCATCTTACCCTCCCATCAGGCCAATTATATAATCCAAAGCCATTTAATTTGTTATCACCCCACATCCCTTTGTAAGTAGAACCATCAGCCCATTAATAGGTACCAAATCCGGACTTCTTCCCGTATTGATATTAGCCTTCGTATTTAGAACTATCTGCCCAAAATTCCCTTCCTTGACCGTGTTACAAGTCCTCAAGCCATTCCCCATCATATTAGGCCCCATCAGCATGGATGTACTTACCAACTCCATTGGCTCTATCGTTCTTCCATTCTCCTTCGTAAAAGTCACCATCTAGATGCCAAAACTTACCTCTGCCATTGGCTTAATTGTCTTTCCATTCCCCCTCGTACTTGGCCCCATCAGACCATATTTGAATACCATAGCCATCTCTAGTGTTTCCTACCCATTCTCCTTCATAAATTGCTCCACTCTTAAAAACATGTTTAGGCCTCTTCTCTCTGGGACCCTGCTTGTTGGACTCGTCCTGATTGAAATCTTATTAGTTTCGTTTATCCATCCTGTCTTTCTTGAAAATACTAGGATCATTCTAAGACTCTTGGGTCAGTTAAGGCTATTGTATTTGTGCACTGAAGGTAATAACTTAGATAGGCGCTATATCAGGAGTAGCAATAGGAGTGGGAGTTGGATTAGGGACTTCAGCTTGGTACTTTTATTCTAACTTTTTGTCTTCATTCTTCTTCAACTCTACTCCTTTACTCACTAATTACTTTAATGAAAATACATGAACTTTCATCATTTTCTTCCTCGCGAGGTTGCTGAGAATACTGATTCATATTTTGAGAACTGTGCTGTCTAATCTCTGACAAGACTACAACCTATTCCTCTCTTTTCTAACAACTCTAACACTAAGAGCATTAACTACCCATTTTTAATTATAAAAATTATATTATCATCTGAAAATCTTGTTGACCAAATTATTAATAAACCTGTAGGCATATATTTCTGGAGTTTGAGCGGAGACATTCAAATTGGGGTTCATTGCCAGCAGTTGCTTGGATGCCTTCTCTGCCATTTTGGACAAGTTCCATTCCTGAAGGTAATCTATTATGGCTATGTGATAGTAGATGTTTGGTTCTTCTTGGGAAGGGAAGGCATTTTAAGGGATGTCTATTAGTTTGTCTACTTTGCCTTAATACTCTCCCCAGTCAATCTTCATTATTAATAGAGAGTAATCAAGCAGGTAAGTGTTTTTGAAGAATTCGGCATCTTTAATCAGTTGCAATTTCACAAAATCACTTTGCTGTTGTTCAATCTTGATCCACTTCTCTAAGTTGTCAAAATCGACATCCTTCAAAGTGATTTTCGAAAGATCGATGTCTTTGGGTTTTCCCTTGAGCGCCTCCCTTGCAACTTCACTGCCCTTCATATCAAAGGTTCTCTTGATGAAAGGACGAGGTACTTGAGAGATGTTCCTCATCAAGACCATGTGATAGATGATGCCACAACTGGAGGACAAGTAATTCATGTCATAGGAGAAGATCCCATAAATCTTGTTGATGAGAGATTTCCTATACTCACTCATGTGATGGAAGTATTCAGGCATTCGTTGTCTGAAACTATTCAATTCCCTGTCAGTAATGGTTTTCAGAATCCATTTGTTGTCGTAACTGAAGAAGAAGAACTCTCCCGACTTGCCTCCATCCACATTGATCATATTTTCAATCAACTCAGCATTCTTTTCTAGTGAGAAGGAATCGTAAGCATCGATGTCCAAGTTGTCAAATTTAAATAGCTAAATATGAAGCTGATAAAATTACATAGTAAAAGTACTTGGGAGCCAAGGCAAACATCTTCGGATTCTTGCCCTTAGTGTGTTGGGTTTCCTTGACATAAAAATTAAACTCCTTGTTTAGTGCTTAATTGCTAAGCTTGTATTTGTCCAGAGTCCTTGCTATGGCTATTTGATCCTCACTCAGAGTTTCCCTTATGAGATGAGCATTTAGAGTGATATCATTATTGTATGTTGCCCTTGCCTAAATTATCAACTGCGAAGTTCTCTCAGCATCAGTCTCAGATCCATCCACATTCTCCTCCAATTGAGAATCATCTAAGTACTCTTCGATGTTGTTGAAATACTAAATAATGCCTGCCAACACACTTCTAATCTGAAACATTCTTATGAACTTCTACACCTCAATGAATTGGGTGTCCACATCAACGATCTCAACCTCCTTCTTTGGTTATGGGTAGAATGCTTTATGAACCATGTTAACAATCTTACGCAACAGAGCAGGATTCTTTACTCTCTGATAGCACAGAATTCCAGAACCCAAAGTGTAAAAGGAACAGGTCGATATCAGCATCACTATGTCCAAATTGGCAGGTTTATATGACGGATGTTCACTAGTTTAGATAAAAGTGCTGAGCATGATCAGAAGCGATAGAACTATGGTCGAGATGATGTACATGACGTATCTGATGAGCGACGACTTTTTGTTGGTTCGAAAAGTGTCATCATTTGGTAAGTTCTAATAGAAGTACCATATTGTGTATAGTGCTGATATGATGTACACAAATTCAAATACGTAAAGAGCCAACGGCAAGTAGTTCCTCTCTAAGATTATTGTGTTGATGCAGCTGTCCACCACTGTCTTGCTGGCTCCTTTTTAGATTTCTGGCTGGAAAGCAAACAAAATCAATGAAATACATAATGTGAACACCAAACAAAAGGAATGAAGGAACATCTTAAACTTCGCATTCGTTTTCAGCACATTTGTGATCTCCTACCTACAATTACTTTTAAGATTACCTCATTGTGAAGCAGTATGCAAAATTGTATATAAATTAACCTAAAAACCCCAAGTTCTGTGTAAAATCAACCCACTTGCAATAAGAGGACTCATTCAAGCTTTTCTCTGGATTGCTCGGAGAATTAACATCAGGACTTGACATCATCCAATATATTGAAGTACTCAATTGCGAGATTCCCAAAGCAAACACTATGTCTCCTGGAGACTTACGACCAACCTTCCATGCCAAATAAGTGAACACAATGAAAGAACTGCAAACCACATTCACACATGCAAAAGCTATTAGAGTATAAAACTTCTCAGACATATCAATAATATAATTCAAAATTATAATCCCTTTACCACTTTCATCAATTTCTGAATGTTTCTGACACCTCTTTCCATAACATCTGAATCCATATTCTAATCCCCCATCTCAGTTGCACAATCTTGCTATTTGACATTATCAAATCTCTTTTACTGAATCAACTTCTCCCCTTCCCTCTAATCCAAAGTGAGTAAATCCTACAGCAATCTTACTTAGAATGCAAAATAAAACATAAAATCAACTGACAATCCTTCAATAATTTCTTGTTTAGTACTAATTCAGAAATTTCTTAAACTGTTGCACTCAGTTGCAAAATCTAGTTTTGACGTGTGCTCACCATCTTGTAATTATTCTTACTACTTAATCGATTTTAATTTATTTTGTATTACTTCCTTTTACCTAGTCTTGAAAGTCAGTTCATTTTTCTATCAAATGCTTTTTATTCGCAAAAATATCTATTCTCAAACAAAGATTTTATTTGTTTCTTCCTCTACTTTATTTAATCCAATGCGATTGATTTTTAACTTGATTTGCTTTCTGAGATTCCCCAAAGTCAAATTTAAATTTTAATGCATCATTTTTGGATTTTTTTAAAATTTGGAATCAGCAAAAGCTTTAATTGATTCCATCTTTGAATGATGATCTAATACTTCATTATTATGTTTGAATTAAGTAGAATTCCTTGTTCTTTCAAGTCATTTAGCCATATACTTTACTTATTCAAGTCAATAATCTGTTATCTATGAGATAATTTGTTAATCCGCTATTTGATTTTCGGTATAATTCTCCTACACATTCTTCTCTTTACTATGTTTTAAATACCAAAAACTCCTCACCTTTTTGGTATGTTTACATTATTTACATTAGGTAAATTTCACTTGCAAAAATTAAATCTGCCTTCAGTTCTTTATCTCTCTTTACTTTTTTTTACTAAACTTAATCCAGTTAAGTATTAGCCTTTTCAAACTTAGCTTTGAAAAATAAAGGAAATTGTAGTTTGAGGAGATTATTTTGATTAATAAATTAATAAATGTCCGGACAAAGACAAGAGATGGAATTGATTAAGCAAGGGTCAAAATCAAGTAAATCCAGCAAACACGCATTGAAAAGAACAGGAACGATTTTATCTGATAAATCGAGTTCTTCTTTTGAGGATAGTAGAGTAACTTTGTTACTATTTGAAAAATACCGAATTGTAGAGATGACCAGATTTTGTGTGATATTTGCATGCTAAATCTTAGCTATCTTATAGGTATACATCTAATGCTATTGTTTTCTCCTTTTTCAGTACGAAAGCTCATTTCAGGATCAATTTGAACAGAACTTTGATAGCGAAACGACTCTGCTCCTTTACCTAATTTTCTTTTAGACCATCGTTGCAAGTAAATCGCCTATTTATCGTAGTCACTCTTACTTTAACCTCCTACCAAGTTCTATTAGCTTACCAGAAGAAGGCCATGATGGTGACTCCACAGGCCAGTCTTCTAGAATCCAATCTCATTTATGGCCTCATTATAGAGGTGTTTTTGATGATCCCTTCTCCCACTCCATTTACTCAGAGGATCAAGGTTCCATTTCATTAACGATATACAGACGCCCCACGCTATTACTATCTGAATGAAATTCTAACCTACATTCTTACATGTCGAGTGGCCTTGCTAATCAACATTGCACTCAAATTTTAGGCATTTTACAATAGTCAAATCGGCAGATTATGGTTTACTACTTTAATTCTATTTTTAGTCGTCTCTATTCCACAGATTTTGATACACATTTGGTATTCAAAATATGCATGAAAGACATTCCTGGGTTTACCTTGATGGGTTTATTTTGTGCTGGAATGCTTCTATTTGGATACAGCATGGAAATAGCAGAAAGAGCCCTTTTACGTGATGAAACCTCATTTAGCAGTTACAATGTTGGCCAGTCACTTTGGGTCACTCTCATTACAATTGCAACTGTTGGCTACGGTGATTTCTATCCCACAACAGATTTAGGCAGGATTTCCATGGCTGTCTGTGTATTCTGGGGTGTTTCCAATACTTCTCTCTTTACTGCTATGCTCTACTCGATGTTGCAAGCAGAAACCAGCGAGGAATTGGTTTGGGCTTTGCTTGAAAAAGCAAACGTGAGAAACATCATGAAGGCTTTTAGTTAATATTTGTTTGTCAGAATCCAGAAGCTCAAAATTAAGGCTTAGACCATAAACGCGAATGATAAGAGCAACTACAAAGAATAAGTCGATTTGATTCAGGAAACTTTAAAAGCAATTAGTTAAATGAAAAGATAATACAGGGATATTGATGGGGAAGCCACCATGGTCATGGCAAAGAGGAAGTTCAAGGATATAAATAACATGTTTGAAGAACAAATTTCTTATTTGAAGGAATCTAAACGATTGCAACTCCTCACTAACATCAATTTTTAATATTGCTATAAATCCAATGTTAATTCAGATTAGAAGCATAAGCAAAGCTCCCCACATATTCAAACTTATCAAACTGATGACAAACAAAGTAAAGACGAAGCCTTTTTTGCCAACCTGTAAGACAATGAATCCAATCTACTTTTGATGGACTTTCGTGATTGACTATATTTTATTAAACAATTATAAACAATACCTTATTTAATATTAATTAGCTAATTTTATTCTGATATCTATGTAGTATCGAAACAAATATTAGTTCGGTTGACAAAATGTGTTGAAATTTCAAAGTGATGTTATGGAATGTATATAGAAGTACTCATTTGGGGGAAATTAAATAATTCTAAATATACAAAAATTTATTTCTAAAATTAAGCTCATAAATAATTAATCCATAAATTTATTTTTTGAACCTATGATCTGAAACTCATTTATTGAGAAAATAATCATAACAACCTTTAATATGATCAATATCACTAATTAATAAATTATCAAATCAAACCTTCATGTATATAAGAACATCCATTTCACAGTCTATCAGTAATTAAATGTTGGTTTTAAAGAATTTTCAAAGATTTTCAATGACTTTTAGATTGAATTACTGATTATTTATTTATGAATAAATTTAGACTTAAGATAACGTATAAATATAATTGTCATTCAAACATCTAACAATTCTGCTTTGTAATCAGAAGTTGTTTTTTTAACAATTTCTCTATATCCTTAAACTTTTGCAAGTAAACAATAAATGAAAAGTATTTCTTGTTCATCTATTTCAAAGTATATATTATTGTATGAGTTTAATAACATTAGCATAAACTCCCTATTATCAGCATAAATTTGAGAAGCTGCGTATTCTTTATCAACCTAAAAGCCATTCTTCAATGCAGTCCAATGTCTATCTATGAATTCCTTTACTACTTATTCGACACTAGTTCTCTTTATTGCTTTCATTCTTTATGTTTCGGGATTGATGCTGGCATATTCTGGGCGTATTTTTGCTTAGGTTAAATTTTTAAAACAAATTAAAGGTCGTCTTTGAATTGGTTAAATCATTGATTTGGATTTTTTAAATTAAATAGCACTAGTAGTTATAGATGGTTTTATTGTTGAAAAAAAATGAATCTAAGAAGAAGGATAATTTATCGTTTATGACAATTTTTGTTTAAGGAGTTTTGCCTAATATTTATATAAATCCTCAAGTGATAATCTATCTTCAGGATTGTATTTAATCATTCTTTAAACAAGATTGAGAAGTTCTTCACTGATAGGTTTTTATTAAGAGTTAAATGGATTTTTATTAATTTTGTATTGTTCGGATTTGATAAGGTAATGAAAAAAATTCACTTAATCACGAGTGCATTCAAAGGGCAGTTTTCCATTTATCAATCTGATTAGTACCATTCCAAGCTTTTATAAAAATATCAATTACAGAATAAATATCAGAAGCCACTTAGTTTTGATTACTCTAAATTTTAAGGTAAAGCTCATCCTCTGGAGAACTTGGAAAAATCTCAGGGGCTATATACCCAATATTTGTATTATTTGAAGTGGCATATGACACGATATCTCCTATCTTGTATTAATATTTATTCTAAGATTTAATTATAAAGATATTGTTTGCATTTATTTTTCCATGGAACAAGTTCGAACCATGCAAACATTTGTACCCTTTGATAAAATCAATTAAAAAATCTTTTATCTGCATCTCATTGAACTCCTGACATTGTTATTCCAAGTTCTCTTAACATTTTTCCATAATTATGAAATACTATTTTTTAGAAAAATCGTAATCAATATGGTAAATTGGAACAAGATTTTGATTATTACTCTTTTGAGTGATTTAGTATATTTTCTTGTAGTCTATTTCGTGTTCGTTCGAAGAAGAAAACTCACAATTATATATTAAAAAATACTTTTGCATAAAGAGATTTTACAAAATGTTTTCCTTTAGTGCAATTGTAAATTTTAGTATAACTATTAAAGAAAATAGGCTGAGCTTCAAAGACATAATCCTCCTCATCGATATTGTAATGCATTTATTTATTGTAATTTTTATTTTTGATAGAATTTGAATCAATTTTACTTATATTCAATTATATAACTAAAATATCTTAATGCGAAGAGTAATTAATCAAAAACTAGCTGTTTTCAACTTTTTGGTTATAAAAAATATCTTTCCCCTCATTTTTTTGAAAATTATTTATTATTAAATAAATCAACTATTTTTTAATGAATCATTTATTATTATTTTTGCTTAATAAAATAATCTCAGCCAATAATAGAAAAGATGTCTTCACATTAGAAATAAAGAGAGATTCTTTCTCTCGGAACTCAACTCTTAGAATTCCTTGAATGCGGCTTACATTAAAAAATAAAAATTAGTTGATGCAAGATTAATTTTTAATTGAGCAATTTTTTCAACTTAATATATTAAAGCAAACTGTTAAATAAAGGGACTTAAATTACAATTAAGCATATACATATCATAACAAAATCCCTTTACAAGATATATATCAATTAAAGTGGAATTGAGCAATTCTCCTAATCAATCTAATTGCAAGGGTAAGCAGCTAAGAAATAAATTGAGAAGCCATAATCAATAAATTAATTTATAGATTAGATTTAATTCTTTTATTAATTTCACTTAGTTCAATATTTTTAATAATATTTATTTCATTAAATAAACAAACATTAGAGTTAAAATATTGATTCGCTTTTCACTAATTTTAAGTACTTTTAGGAAGAATTTAACATCCTTGAGGATTCATAAAAAAAGATTAAAATCAGTGTTTCCTAGTTGGTTTGTAAATGATTTTCCTTCTTTACTCATGAAATGACTCATTTTCGATTAGTCCACTTTATCTGCTCTTTTTCAGTTCATTGTTTCCTCTCTCATTCATTCATATAGATTTCCAATTTTGGTTTTACTTTATTCTTAACACTTTAAGTGAGAACAAATAACATATAAGGATTATTAACATGATATTATTTAAGGCATTGTAGTTGAGTTTTCTTAAGACATTTATCAGTTTGATTCGCCAAGAATAGCTCCTTTTATTTATCATAAGATCTTCTGATCTATAATAAAGGAAAATTTTTGTATTATTATTTCATATATTTGTTCAAAATGGCAAAGATTTCATTTTGTATATCGATAATTTAATTCTTGGTAAGGTCATATAATTATAATAAAATTAATTTTAATTTGCAAAACCATTAGTTAATATATATATAATATTTAAAATGAATATTAATAAAATATAATTAAATTCAGATGAGATAATTTTTTTAAATCAATGTAAAGATTTTAATTAAATTTATTATAAAAAAGAATGAGAATAGGATAACTTCAATTATTATTGTGCTACCAAAAACGCTTTGGAATCAATTAGTATCATAAAATATACAAATTACTGTTTTTCAATAAATAACTGACATTCATTTTTTCTTACTTAACAGGTTTATGGTTTCCAAAAAAGGTCTTCCTAAGTAGGCTGAGAGATACGTTATTCTATTTTATTGAGCAAGGAACCATAATCAAAGTAGGAAGAAACAATGTGCAATTTTTAGAGTTCTAGAAACTTCTAAATTTTCTAAGATATAAACTTTAAGGATAAGTTATACTAATATGATGTCTATTGTTTATCCTAACTTCAGGGGGATGTAACTTAAAAAATGATGTAAAACAGATAATTTTTTAATACTATTTATTGAGAGATAGAATTAAGAATCACAGAACTGAATAATTTATTCACATTCTTTTATCCTAAACTCGTTAGAATAAATATATTGTGTCAAACTAAATTAGAGGAGATCGTTTAATTTCAATTTATAACTTGTTAGATAAATGCCTTAATTATAACATATGAACTCTATAATTAACTTACCTTACATAATTACGATCTAAATTATTGAGATAATTATTAAAAAATTATTTTTGTTAATAAGGACGTCTACTTTATTTTACTTAAGAATTTTTAGTGATATGCCTTAATTACATGCTTCTATATGGTTAAATTTACATAAATTCATGATAATCAGCCTCATAATTCAAATAAGTCATCCTGAAAAAAATTACTACTTCCTAAATTTTAAGAATCAATTAATGTACTTTCCAAGTAAATTAACACTCATATTTATTTTTCTTAGATTTTTGGTTATTTATTCTGTAATGCGGCTACGGTTTTTATTATTAATTTTTGGGATTATGATAATAAGTTTTTTATTTTCTCTAGCTCTAAAACTGAATATGTCAAACTGTCTTATTACATTTTAAACTGGCTATGTAGTAACCTTTTATGTCTATGCCACAGAAAATATATTATTTATTTCTTCAGCGCCTAACAGAGAGTTTAGTTCCACTATCAATTTTGAGCAAAGCTTTTCCAATGTACCAGAAATTTTCATTGTGAATCAAGTTTATGATTTAAACATTGGAAGTGAGTAGGGCTTTTAGTTTTATATCTTGGACATTACAGTGTCAAGTAAATTTATTTGTTATTTTCAGGTTTTGTAGTAAAAATCCGAGTACCATATTCAGCAGTATATAATGGTATTGAATTCAGATACTACGCCTTTGATGACAAACGCAGATAAGTCATTTCCAGGTTAAATTAGTTCAGCCCAACCAATGGAATTCTATAAATAGCACATTCCAATCCTAACTTTGTTGTGGGAATTTCATCTGTAATAAGTTTAGAATATCAAAGTTCATTTAGTTATAATTTATATGTATCATTATCTTCGTATCATAGGTGTCACAAGTTACAAGCACTAGTTGTTCCATATCTATTTCAATTTCCAATACTATTACTTAGATTGGCTATTAAATACTGCTTGGTACCAAGGAGGCATTTTATCTTTAAGAGACTGTATATGCTACTTCCATTCCCTCTTATGTCGGAGCATTCAACTTTGAATCAGGTTGGGAAGATTCTTAGTTACTAGTGGTTTATTAAGGAATTTCTTATCAACCATACACAACATTTAGGTTAAGAATCAATAGGAATAATGCTTAAACAAATTACTACATCGAATTATGTATAATTTAATATAAATTACTAGGGGCTGGAAGTGTGTTGGAATCAGTTTATCATACATATGGTGGAATAAGAGCATAGTGGGATTAAGGATATTATTAAAGTTTTAAACTTTTTAAATATTTTGTTTCAAGGAATTTTGATAAAAACATTGCTAGTATACCAAACTCGTTTGAATTTACGATTCCAGAACTAAATTTCTAAACGAACACCCAAGGGACTTTTATCTTTGATATCAGTTTGTCTATCACTGACTTTACATTAATCTTTACAAGGAAATGTGAACATGGAAAAAAGTTAATCATGTAATTAATACCGAAAGATGATTGTTCTACCACTTATTTTGAATATTAATTAAATTGTGAATCCAAAATTAACATTTGCAAATAAAAATTATACTTTCAAACCTAGACCCCTATAATCTCAAAATTAAAAATTGAAATTGTTTCTGATATTTCATTTAAGATTCAGCACAATTACATAGAATAAAATGAGAAATTTATATATATTGCTAATATCTAATATGTATGAGTACATCTTTTGATATACAGTATTTTATTATCTTACATTAAATAATATTAATATATTTAAGTTGAAAACACAAAAATTCATTCACTCAAATCAATTTCTAAATTATTAGGCTTATTAGAAATGGGTGAAGTTTTTTTGATTTCCCCTAGTTGAAACCTACTCAAAAAAGAGTAAATATGAATTAAAATTTGTAATAAAATTTTATGGTCCCTTAAATAGATACTTGAATAACCATTCTTAATTTGTTATCAAGAAAAACTGGGTAGAAGGAGTGAAATAAAAAATTCAAATTTTATTGGCTCTGGAAGGAAGGAAAAAAACGTATTGACATTATAAAAATTAAACAAAAGCTTAATTAATTATTAATTCACTTTTAACCAATAAGAAAATCAAGACTTTTGTAAACTTAAAAATGTTAAAAATTCAATGAGTAAGAATATTTATTGAATCAGATTCATAATATATTATCAAATTGCAACAGTAGAGAATTTCTTTTTATATAATTTCTTAAAAATTTAAAATTTCAGGAAAAAATATTGAGGAAATGGCACTCCCCAAGGGTATTATTTACCAATATTCCCCTAAAGGAGTAGCTACGAAGATTCCTTGACCGCTGAATGGTTGGTTGATCAGGACATTTTTGGACAAGGGTAGACTGGAGGACCCTGTTTTAAAGGTATCATTCTTTGGTGGCTTCAAACCAAAACAAGATGAGCCATAATATGATTTATCCTTCTGGAGTCTAAAGAGCTGTTGGATGGAGAAGAAGGAGAGGTCATATGGGATAAGAGAAGTCCTCATAAGGTTTGGGTTTTGGGTTTGGGTTTGGGTTTGGGTTTGGGTTTGGGTTTGGGGTTTGGGTTTGGGTTTGGGTTTGGGTTTGGGGTTGGGTTTTGGGTT